ATATTTTGTGGCTTTTTCTTAGGTTTTGCTGCAAATTCTTTTATTAGAATATTGTGCACTTAACTTCAATTAATAATTATATTTATAATCAATTTGAAGTGTAGTTTATAATTAAAAAATCAAACTTAATCATTGGTTGAAACCATAAATTTTCTACCAGTAGTCTATATAATTTTTCTTTTTTTGATTGTTCTTGTTAACAGCCAATAAAATGATATAATAAAACAAAAGGTGCAAGCCATTAATAATAACCCTAGTTGAATTTAAAAATTCCATTCTACATAAATAAATGGAAGGATTAAGTATGTTATAAAGATAGGAGTTGAAATTACTGCAGGTATTAAAGTGACAATTACATCAAATACATTTAATATCTTTAGAGAAATTTCGCCAATTTTATTATTTATGCAACAAATCAATAAGTTGAATATCATTGAAAATACAACTATTCCGATCATTAAATAGCTTAAAAAGGTAAGCCGTAATATAAATTAACATATGAATTCATCACAATTCTCTAAACTTTAGCAATCTTCTTTTTTAGAAGTTAATATGCAAAACTTTCCTGAGAAAGTTAAAATTACATAGATCATGATCTTAAATTAGGTTGCAAAGTACTGAAATTGCGATATGCTTAAAAAAATCAAACCTAAAATAGCAAAAATAGTGTGCATAAATTAAATTTATTCTCATTCTTCTTTAAATTATATGTATTAAAAAAAATGAGTCAATTTTTCCATATGGATACAAAATTCTTTTTGCAAATTTAAATTTTATATTTAATAAATCTAAATTGTTTCTCTGATTTAACCTTATTCATTTTAGTAATCATAACCTTTATTTTCAATGTTACACTCCTAATTCTAAGAGCCTCTCATATTGAATTCTTACACTTATCAAACACATGCATAATATATTAAGTTCTAAATAAAATATAATGCTATCATCTATTCAAAAGTTCAATCTTATTTTAGTTTGTATTATATTTACTATTAATAACCAATTAACTGGCTAACTATTTCAAATAATTATAAATATGTTTGCTTAAGCACAAATGATTAATTTATTTGATGCATCATTCTAGCATGATTTTGGACATTTCCTAAGAGAAATAGTATTTATTAATGTAAGTGCTAGCTTATTTCATCATAGATTTAGTTTTCTTTTCAAAACTTACCCAAAATTACCACTTCTTGTTTATTTGATGTTAGACTCATGATATGATCTTATCAATATGTACCTTTCATTTAAATCAAACCTTTTGTGAAGCTAAAAAATTATTATCATTTCATAAAATCCACTAGATATACATTTAATTTGATTTTCTTATAAAAATCAGCATCCATTCCTTCTTTATATTCTTGATAATATTTATCTCTATCATTTGATATAATTATCAGAAGCAGGTTTAGAATAGAATTATAAACAATTTAACTTTATTTGATAGAATTTGATTCTATCAGTCGTACCTGTGCTATTATAGATAGATAATTTGCTCTAATGTATAAGTATTAGGAATTTAATGGTTATTTAGATTTTGGAAATTAATTTTAGTTTTTAATTTTATTTAAATATCAATTATTTTCACATATTCTTATTAAATATAAAAACATATAATTTTTAGTCACTGTTTAGTTTGAGCCTACTACTAAAATTCAATTATCTAGAATTACAATTTCAAAAAATCGGTATTTCTCATTAATAAGCTTTCACTTATAATTTAGTGCTTTCATTGCATATAGCACAAGTCACAATTTTTTTATCCCATATAATGAATATCAATATTATTTATAAGACATGGAGATAAATATGGATGTAGTATCTTCCTAAAATAAAATAAGAATAAAATACAAACAAAATTGTGTTAATTAGTGGACTTAGAACAAATTATTTTAATCTAAATTTAATCATTTATAATTTATCTACTAAATGTTAATAATCTTCATTTAGAAACTTAAATGGGAAAATATAATTTCCTTAAGATTTATGAATACATTCATCAGATTAGGAGATCTTGAATTAATTAATTAACTTTTTGAGTAATCATAGGAGAAATAATATTTTCATCAATTCAAAATAATGTAAATTTAGGGAGATAAAATGAGCACATTATATCTCTTCTCAACTTCAAAACCTTCATCATATAAATTTTTGATATCTATTATATTTTATAAAGAGTTAGGGGAATTCTTAAAATAAAGTTGATATATGTGCTAACTCTTAGTTATTTGTAATATAGGTAAGACTGGTTTCTGAATAATTAAAAATATTTCTTTTTACATATTATTGTAAGTCTTATTGCCATTATAAACATTTTTAAAAAGGTGATTATATTAAATATCCTCTTATTTTTTTATTCAATTTTATGATCAGAGGACAATTTTAATATATATATATAACATTATAACAAATCATGACTGCTTTTTCATCAATCCTTAACATTATTCAATTAAACTTATGAAACATTGATTGATACTTGCAAAGAGTATATTTGAGGTAATCATTATCTCAAAAATTGATGATTTAAGTTCCTTAATTATATTCTAATAAATTACTTCTTTGCCTCTAAGTTTAATAATTTGTGATATTATAAAGTATCCATGAAGAGCAGCAAATAAGCAGTCCAAACAAATATAAATTACTGAATGAGGGTAGATAAATATATATATAATTAACATTAGTAGTGTAGGAATAAAAATAAAGATTGAACCAACTTTTATAATAAATTATTTTTACCTTTATAATTTATAAGAGTTTTTGTTCTAGTTGTATAGAAGGCCGTAGAAAAAATGAATGTAAAGTCAATAATCCAAGCTAAGAAAATCAATTAAACTCCCCAACGATAAGCAATCAAAATACATATTGTGGTTAGAGTAAAAGAATAAAATAAACACACCATAGCAAGTTATAGATGGGTTAATAAAAAATGTTACTAAGAATGAATAAATTATTTTTACTTTTTTAATTTAGGCAAATCCAATATATAACCAAGTTTATATAATGAACCCGATTATTACAGAAACATAAAATAGACCTCTTGGATTAGGCTAATTACTCTCTTCACCAGAATATATGCATTCATCTTAACATTAATATTCATTCACAAATCCACAATAACAAAACTCATTAACATCATGAATTTAGTAAACCAGCCAGAACTGCATGTTGGTATAAAGGCCCAAACAAATCATCATAAGAACAAATAAATTTTGCACTACTAAGCCTGAAAAAACGCTACTTTCAAAATCTGCTTTCTCTTCTGTTGTATTGATACCTACAGATAAAATAATATGAAAGTACTTTTCTATTATTCTAATTCTAGTTATTACTTATCATTAATATCTATGACTTTTTGATCATTAAAATTTGATGGCTTGTAAGCTTCATAACTGTACATATTCATATACATGATTAGAAAGATATTAAATTATATATTAAAATTGCATTCCATATTTTTTTAGTATAAATTAAGAAATATTAATAAAAAAGATTATAAAGCAATTTTATAATATTTATATAATGTTGACTTTATTAATTTGTACCTTTAGAATATTCTATTATTGTTTGTTGAAAATTGTAAAAATTTATGGAGATATTGTTGTTTCTAAAATAACTATCAAACCTGAGGATAATAAAATACATAGTTTGAAAAATTCAATATTATTAATGATACAAAAGGAGTTGAGTAATTATAGTTATAATATATTTATTACCACGATTATGAATTTTCCCACAAAAATGGAATGATAATTTATCGTGTATATAAAAATGAAATATGATTTTTTAATTTGTAAAATAATTATGAAATAATTTTAATAAATTATGCATACAAGATTTACAGCCCATGAACTTATATAAGTTTAAATTGATATAAATTATTTAATAAAAATCAGATCTGTAATCTTAAAATAGTACTCATATTCTAGCCCATTGGAATCGTTTGTTTATTTAATCGATTTGATCCTATATCTTTCTTTTTTTAATAATCTCTCTCTTACAAATTTACTTTTTTTATTTTATACTCTTTTTATAGAAGTTCTTAAATGAATCAATAAATTTATCTGGCATAGTTTAATTGCTATTCAAAATTGATCTAGATATTGATTTATTTAATTTCCTATGTATTCTTCTGTATTTCTAAAGCTTCGTTTCGATCAGCAGTACGGAAAATTCTCCGAAAGGGTATTCCAGAAAAGTTTTACTTACTGTCCATCTTTCTAAAGACTAAAATAGTATCAGTTTAAGATCTGTAATCTCATCATACTATTTATTGATAACTAATATTATTATAAAAGATTATTATTATATTCTTAATTTGATATTATTAATAAGGACAATTTATTACTATTCATAATATTATTTACATATTTATTTTCTATATTTAATTGTAGAATGAACAACAATTGTGTTTATCAGTAGATTAAAATTTCATTTTACAATTAATACTATTAGTACTTTTATTTTCTTTTCTATAATATATATTGAAGATCTTTGGGTCAAAGAATTTTCACCAAAGACATCTTTGAAGTTGGTATAATTTTATAATGTTTGCATTAAATAATAAATATTCATTCAATAATTATCCTATACATATATGGAATGATAACTTACTATTTCAAAAATTAACTATTGAATTTACAGAAAGCTGAACTATTTGGTTTATAAATTTTGAAGCAATATTGTATTCTACAAGTCATAAAATAGAATTCAAATTGATAATAAAATTTCCACATAATCCAAATGTGCAAGGGTGTTAATTTTAATTCACTATTATCATTTAAAGGGAACACTTTACCTCTTATGATGAAATCTTTGTCATTTGTAATATATTTCTCACAGAATTTTGGGTCAGTTGTTATTTCGACTTTGTATATGCATAATATTTTTATAAATTGAAATTTATGAAAATATTAAATAAATTATTAAAAAAATGGAAATGGACAAAGAACCATATGATTATATATTTAAAATTATCATAATTGGAAATGGAAGTTGCGGTAAAACAAGCATATTGTATCACTATTTGAATGCGAAATGTAAGTAGATGTTATGAAAGAAATTAGAGCCAAAGAATGTTGCCTAGACTGTGGGGGTTGAGTTTTCGTCAAAAATGATTTCAATAAAAGGGAAATCGATTAAGTTACAGTTATGGGACACGGCAGGTCAAGAACGATATAGATCAATTGCAAGAACGTATTACAGGGGAGCATTGGGAGCAGTTTGCCTTTTTGATTTGACAAACGTGGAATCCTTCTAAAATATGTAGCAGTGGATTAAAGATGCAAGAGATTTTGCAAGGCCTGATATATGTATTATAGCATGTGGGAATAAGGTAGATTTGATCGTATGTAATTTATATTAAAAAAGGAATAAAGAAGAATTACTGAGAGTTAGGTATAAAAATTAGTGAAGGAGTATTCAATTGATTCTTATTTTGAAACAAGTGCAGTTACAGGAGAGCAAATAGAGAATATGTTTTTGACATTATCAGGGAAATTAGTTTAAAGGATAGACAATGGGTTGATTGAGAAGAACGATTTAAAACCAATATTATTGGCTACCCACTCCTCAAAGGAAGAAGCGAAAGAATAAACTTGTTCTTGTTGACTTAGTGTTTACAAATATATTATAAATAAACATTGAATATAATAACTCATTGTTAAATAAGAATATATCCTATAAAGGAGAGAAAATGATTCCAATACAGAATTAATCAAAACTTTTGACTCATAATATAAAAAACATTGAGTATCAAATCATTATTATTATTGTAATTGTTGATGTTCTGAATTATCGTTTCTTAGTTGTTCTGATGCCTAGACTTGGACATCTCTCCAATCATATCCTTTTTCCTTCAAAATGATTCCCAGTATGATTCCAACAACATTCATTCCAAAACAAATCCAATAGACTCCTTCCCATCCAATCTTTAGTCTCGCAAATCGATAGAATATGTAACCAAGCATGTTGCAGACCCCAATCATAAAAAACAGAAATCCGTACATCAACCCTCCAATCTTTTTACCATAAACTGTGGCACAGATCAAAGGATAAGTAGCTAATAGTCCTCCTTCTGCTAAATAAACTATGGCGATCAATAATAGATATCCAATTCCATCGCTATTGTAAGGTAGTATTGCTGAAGTGATTAAATTTAGAATTGATATTAATGTGAAAGTAAACTTAAACGAGGTTTTATCGGATAAGGTGGCCCAGAAGAAACGAGAGCATCCATTCATTACTCCAGCAACAGAACCAGTAGCCGTGAGTGTAGCATCATCTATTCCTAATTCTTGTCCATAAAACTTATAGCAATTAGATATCAGCATTCCTAAAGTGCAAGACATCAAGACTATCAAAACCAGAACTGGGAAAACTACATGTTTAACTCCTTTAGATCTAAAATTTAATTTTATATCTTACACTGTTTAACACTCTTTCTCTGGTGGGAGGTAGGAAGATGGAACATGAATTTACTGATTTGGATTAAGGGATGCTTGTTTTTTCTTTCTTGCTTCAATTGTAGCTATCAATTTCTCCACATCTATTTCCTTAGGGAATCTCACCAATAAAGTCGATAGAATGGCCAATCCAAAGTAACAGGCTGCCAAGACCTATAACATTAAAGGAACTCTATCCCCAACTGTGCTGTCAAAGTATTTTACATCTTTGCCATCTTCTTAAAATATAACACTTGGCTTCTCATTATCAGGATTTGCTATGGCTTTGCAAACAAAATTGAATATGAATGACCCAAATCCATATCCGCCTATGGTTATTCCTGAAACCAATCCTCTCTTGTCTGGAAAGTGTCTCCATCCGCAAATGATTGGTAACATATATGCTAATCCTCCTGAAATTCCCACCATTATACAATAGATAGCTATGAAACCACCAATATCTTGGACAAATGATATTATCAAAAATGCCAATGCTATTGAAGTTGAACATATGCCAATTGTCAGTTTAAATCCAATTTTTTCAGCTATTTTTATTCCAAATGACAGACAAGACATTGTTATTAAACCAAGAATAGGGAATATGATAGCCATATAGTTCAATGTTACACTCAAGTCTTTCTCTCTCATCCAAGCACATACATAAGGACCTAAAATTAGAATATGAATTAATTTATACTTATTGATCCCCAAACATAAAATGTACCAAGTTCCAGATGTAATAATAACCCCCCTACCATTGATTTTATCCCTGATATCATTATTGCCTTCATTTCATCATCGTTGTACAACTCTTGTTTGGTAAGTGCTTCTCCTGAATTATTTTTAGTAGTCTCTTTTTCTTATTGTATTAACCCCTTCTATTCATTTCTTGGTCCTGAAACATCTTAATTCTAAATGGATGGTAATTCTGACATTCTTAGATATTTTATAATAATTTCAAGCCAAATTAGAAAGATTTAATTCATATGAATATGAATTATGATGAGTATTAATAGATACGTCATTCATATTTTAATATTATAATAATTTCCACTTTTATTATTATAAAAATTCTTTTATTATTATAAATATCTCAAATTCCATTACAATATGACACATAAGCTATTCAGAAAGTCAAAACATTTCAATCTAAGCTGAATCTCTGTCTTAAAATAACCAGACCCAAAGTTACTTAGAGTTTGTATCAATCAAATTAAATTTTAAATGTATTTGGAAGATCTAACAAGAAAACTCCTTCTTAAAATCAGAAATTCATACCTAAATTTCAACTTTGATATGTAATAACCAATTATTAAGAAAAACTGTTAAATTCAAAGAATTCACATTAAGTTGAATTATTATTTCTGCACATTACTAAATGAAACAGAGTTATAATTATCTGAAATACAGTAGTATTAATAAGCCTATACAATGGGTTTAGAGTAATATAACATATATATAATTTTAATAATATAAAATTTATTTATTAATATAATTGTGAGAAAATGAATGTTGAAGAAATAAAATATAAGTTGAAAGAATTGCATAAAAAATAATAGGAGAGCTTAAGTAAGAGAAAAACTTTGATCAAAGAAATTAAAAGCATGCCTTTTTAGTATTTTTCTTAATCTATGTTAATAGAAGGAACATTAATAAAAACAAGAAATTAAAGGATGAGAACGATAAGGTAATTTATAGATTAAGAATTTTTTGAAGACTTTTGTAATAAATCTTGACGGCGCAAAGGAGGAACGTGCAGAAAAGTAAAAGTAGCTTGATCAAAAAGTACCCATTGCCTTAAAAGAGAAAGATAGAAGAATAGTAAAATGTCTATTTGGAAACCATTTACAAAGAGCAAAGCAAGATTTAGATGGAGAAAAATAGAAAGTAAATCCTATTATAATATGAAATTAGTTAGACAAACAAATAGAGATAAATAAAAGATTGGAGGATAAAGAAAGGCAAGATTTGATGGCCTTCAAAGAAAATTAGGATGTATTCTAATAAATATATTAACTAGAAAAAAAAAGAAAAATTAGTGACAGAAAGAAAGTTATTGGAAAGAGAGTTGGCAGCTGATGAGTTTAGAAGACAAGTATATATTATAGCAGCTATATATAGTAATTGTTATTAGAGCTCTAATTAAAAACAATGAGAGAATTCTTTATCACAAAGTATATAATATTTATAAAGCCTTTTAGAACAGCTCCATATTTGTTATGGCAACCAGTTAAAACAAATGAAGGAATGAATCCACTTAAAGAATACAGTAATGAGCGATTCAATGTATGTCTATTTTCAACTATGATTAGGAAATGGAAAAAGATCTAAAGGAGAAATTACAGAAAGCATACTAATAATTTATTGATTTTTAAAGTCAGAAAATAAAGGAATAGACTATCGAACAAGAGCAGGAGAGTTCTCAATCAGAAAGTGAGGATTCCTAAGAGAAACCAAAAGAAGAAGGGTAAGAATGATGAAAAATTATAGGTAATAATTAAATATTCGACATCTCTTCTTTTAAATTAAATTCTTATAGTATATTTACTATAATAAATAATCGTTTTGATTTTGGTCAAATATGTTTACTAAGAGCAGCTTTAACTGATTTGGCCACATTAGACTATTCTTTCTTTTCGTCCTCGTTATCTTTTGGTTATTGTTGTTATGGTTTTTAGGTGTACTTTAATAAAACGTTTCCAGTTGGGGCTTATTATTGACTAGATGTTAAGAAATAGCTTACTTTTATTATAGTTTTTTGAATTGCACACTAGGCGAAACAAACTAATTTGTTGTGTTAGGAGAGTCTAGAATTTAATTAAGGATTTAGATTTACCTTCACATCCTACAGTTCTACCTGTAATAACTGGAGTTCTCATGATCATTTATTAATCCTTATTTTGAACTTCTTTCATTTTATTCGTAGCCTACATGACTGGTGATTTTAAAGGTGAATTAGTCAATTGGTTAATTCTTAGCATATCAAATGTGGCACCTCTATTATTGATTTTATAATTATACTGATCATTAATTTTTTGGATTCTTGCATTTAATCCAGGTTTATCATCAACTTCTCCGATATTGCCATCATCCTCTGAAGAGACATTTTATTGATTTCCTTCACACAAGTATATGAATTCGAATTCCATAGCTTGTTTAGCTGTTATTCTTTTCTTTGGACTAGGCTCTAACATTTATTTTAATAGTTCAAATGCTTATGGCGGTACCACATCAAATACAGGACTCTTAAAATTGACTTTAGCATCTTTATTCTATTGGACAATTGTGTTATAGCTTCTTCCTGGAAATCCTGGTTTTCCTGTCAAAAGTATGTGGAACACTAATCCTAAGGAATAGATATCACAAACACTGTCATAAGTAGTTGACATATCTGTAATATTTATAACTTCTGGTGCTACAAAACCAGGTGTTCCACATCTACAATACAGATAGACTGGCAGATTTACAAATGTTGCCAAACCAAAATCAGCTATCACTACAGAATTAATGTCGCTATTATTATAATATTTAAATTAACTTTTATTCTTTGAAGAGTATGTTTTCGAGTTTTAAATCTCTATGCATTATATTTTTGGAATGCATGTGTGCCAATCCATCCAGCAATCCTTTCATAATGGATTGTATTTATTTGTTGGTTAATATTACTTTCTTTTTGATTATATCATAGAGTTAGCCTCCCTATAATAATTCCAAACCCATATACAAGGAATTCTATGTCTCATAGACTTCATAGAGTTTCATGATATTGGGATGATCCAATTCTCTCATTATGGTTATTTCATTGATGAGTCCTTCCTTATTTTGTAAATTATAATTTTACTTTCCCATTTTCTTCTGCGTAGACTGCATTTTTTGAAAATGCTTTAATTGCCATTTATTGTCCATCTTCTACCCTCTCTGCTAGATACACACTTGCAAAATTTCCTTTGCCAATCTTTTTGAACACTTTAAACATATGATGAAAGCCCATCTGATTTATTTTTTAACCAAACAATTTTCTAAATGTTTTAAGTGTTTCTTGATCACTAGTGAAATCCCAATATTTCTCTGAAGATTCAACCGACAATCTTATATGCAAGATATCTCCTAAGGTTTAAATATCCTCAGGTTTCACAACGTCAGGTCGGTTTGTATGAGGAGTGTTTGGTGTTGATTTTTTTGTTTAGACATTTGCTTTCAAAGTTGGAGCATCACGAAAAATCTCAAATCTAGTCGAAAAATCCAAAGGCAATAGTTTGTGTGCGAATTTTCCATTTTCCTTTTGAATATAGTTTGAATTACTTTGAATAATAATATATGTTTATCAGTAATAACAAGGTGTCTCTGATGTTGTTTCTTTCCTAATTTGGTTACTGTTGCCTCAAACTTGACTTTGGATTACACAAAATCTTTAGGTATTATTTACCACACAGGTCCTTATTCACTTTATTGCATTCAATATTAGATTTTCTTAATTAAATATGTTATTTTTTTAAGAAATTATTCATAATATTAAGAAATAAAATAACCATTATTCTAAAATTCATCATCGATGATGATGGTGTCCATGATGATTGTTACCTAATCTATCTAAATGAAGATATACCAACAAGAACTACATTTGCCTAATGATGAGGATGATGACCTATGTTTTCGATCATTCTAACCGTTTCTATAGCTGCAAAAGTTCCAATAGCAGTTTTAGCCATTGTACCAGCAAATCCAGGTCCTTATTGTTAATTATATTATTGTTGTTATGGCTATTACTACTAGTTTACTATAATAGTTTGATTGGTTCCGTATTAAGTTGTGCAGTATTATTATGAGCTATCAGGATATTACTAGTATGTCTAATATTGGTTCTGTTGTTATTAAAGATTTCCATAAGGTGGTATCTAATTTTGAAAAACTTGTTGATTCTAAACTGGATAGCCAGATTATGCTTATTGTAACTGACTTGGTATCATTTAGTAAATAATTTCAGATGTAGGTTACATTACAGATTGAGGTTGTTATTCGTATTGATCTTCTTATTCCAGTTCAAACTTAGTAAGAATGATACTCTCATATGGGTTTTCTGGGTAAAGGATTTAAAGTAAAGGAGTGAACTGTATATAATAACTACATAAATACATGCTAAGCAAGAAACTCCTTTGGCAACTTAACTACTTTAAATGTTAAAGATTATAGCAATCCTTTTTTATATGTACCAGAACAACCTGTAAAGGTATATCCCATAAACATATGCTGAAACTTGTAACCTTAATCTTTTCCAAAGATTGCTTGTTATCCTTTATAAGTTACAATCCCTATCTAAGTAATCCCAGATTCATAGTATCCAAAAAGGGCTTAAATGAAATCATCTTAATTTAAATTTATTATTACTTTAATCTATTTCAAAATCATATTGAGTAATATGTTTCCCTGTTATGCAAGTGTCATTGCATAATATTTTATTTCCATTTTTTAAATTTTAGTAAATAAAAGCGATTCCACATATATTTTTATCATCTAAACTAATTTTCACACCTGAAATTCTGAACTCCTCATTTCCTAACTGCATTCTATCATCAAATTTTTAGAGATCATCTCTACCTTCCCCAAGGGTTATTAAAGCTGGAACTTTATTTGGCATAATTTTTTAATTGTTTTTCTTTATTTGAATTTTCTATATAAATTAAATGTTATAATTCTGAGAAAGATTTATTACTTTAATAATTTAAAATAATGGAGAAATATAAATAAACAAAATTTCATTCATTAAATTGTTAGATTGATACTAAATATTCTAGTTTGCTAAACACTTCTCTAATTACATTTTTATCATCGTTTCTCGAAAATAATTGCAGTTTCTTTTTAAATCCATCAGATAATTCATATTGGATTTCAAAATATTTATCTTTTTTCAATTTTAAATCTGTAATAACATTTAATGGAATTCTTTTGAACTTTTTTTTCTCTCTTTTTTCTATGAAGATTTCTTTTGCTATCATATAGATGAAGTTGAGGATCCCATTCTTTTTGCTTTATTTTTCATTATAATAATAATAGATGTCAAAATAGTCTATCCCAAACACAATCTCATTTAAACACCCCTTATCATACTTTGTTAAATTAAATTCCTAGTACCCATATAATAATGGCATCTTCTCTACAATTGCAAGTTACATAAAATCTAATGATAAAAATCTACAAGAACTAGATGGATTATTGTTTTCTTGAAGATTGTTTATGTTATTTTTATTTGGAACATTAGCATCATCCAAAGATTCCTATTATAAATTTGAGGACCTGGAATAGATAACTAACCAATGGAGAGGTAATTAATCTATTGGAAATTGATCACCAAGATCTCCACAATCATAATTAACACATGGATATTTCAAGCTTAAGAAATAATCATTTTTTAAGTATTTCCTTGTCAATTTTCTATTTAATTCATTTTAGCAATCCTTTAGATTCCCTGTTTTTTTAACTTTTATATGATAAAATGTTTATGACTTTGGGTCTTCTATTAACAAAATAAGAAATTCTGGATGTGATAGGTATGTTTGTTTTATGAACTAGAAATCTAATCCAAAGGAATTGAGACCTGGTACAAGTTCAACAGTCTTATAAAATACCTATGATTCTAAATCAATCTCTGGGTTTTCTAAAGATTCATCATCTAATTTATTGCTGTCATTTTCAAAATTTTCATCATTTGTGCATGTAAATTTAGTCGGGCTTATTTCTGTTCCAACTAGTTTATAAGCCAATGTGAAATTAGGATATTCGTATTTTGATTTATCACTAAATTAGTCTTATTAAAATGTTTTAAGAGCCAAGACAATTAGTTCTGCTGCTATAATTTAATCGCTTACTAGAAGTGTTTATTGATATTTAGATCCAAAATACTTGACGACGACCTCTGTCTGATAATTCTATTTATAGTCATTAAATTATTTTGTAAATTCTGACCTCTTTTAAACTTATGAACTCTTCCATTTCTTAAATGATTCTTATTCTGTTTAAAATAAATCAGTATCATCTAATGCAAATCCATTAGTTGTTGTTTTGCATTTTTTAAAATTCTTTTTCTTTTTTTCTAATTAATACTTTTTATTGTGGGAATATTTGTTTTATTCATCGTCTTCAAAGTTTTCTAAATTAAGTAAAGAGAATTCAATTTCCTCCTTTTTTTTTTATCCTAGCGATGGAGTTTCACCTTATGATTGTTACAAAACAAACTGTGAAATATCTGTATTACTGGGTAGGTTATAATTTTGGAAATCCATCTATTGAACTTATTATAATTATTGATCAAGCCATTCATTATCAATATACATATTAGTTGTAGAATTGGATTGGAGTGACTAAGGTAATGTTATTTGAGTAAATTTATCAATTTGGTATAAATTCATACCTCTTTTTATAAACAATAATTATAAATAATTAGACTAGGATTAATTTTTTTATAACAATAATAAATATTTTTATATAATTTTTAGATTACATCCGTATTTGTGAACAATCTCATTATTTGATAGATATAAGAATAGACGATATTCTAGATTATATTAATTTATTTATATTAAATAAAAGTATATTATAATTCTTAGAAATAATATGAATTTATATATATATTTTTATTTCAGAAATTGAATTTAAATGTAAAATTGTAGTAAAGATTGCATAATTTTATGCAGAAAATTATGAATCGATATAGAAATGATTGATTTGAATAAATTTATAAAAGTAGTCGTGATTTACAAATAAATATCACAAAAAATTGTTTTAATTTATGATGAAAATTTTAAGATAGATATGCATATTAACTATCTTCATATTGGAAATAAGAAGTGAATACAGTAGTATTTGTGTATGTAGTCAAATATCAGATGGTGAATAATGTGAAAGATCAAGTATTTGTTAATGGATCTAAAATAAATGTTTGATAAAAAATGGTGAAAACTATTTGGATAAGGGGACTGTAGGAGCTTCATGTAAGGAATACTCTTAAGAGGATTGCAGATTGAAGGATAAATGTGGATTTTATTTGGGGGAATGCATAGAATTTAAAGAGTGCAAAGCATTTAAAAGAGAAGAATGCTGGGAATCATCTAAGAATTGCATTAGCGATGGTATGAAGTGCATAGATGTTGGCGAATGTGAGGAATATGCAAATTGGATTACATGCTAGCACATGAATAAGGCTAACCGTTATTGTTTCTGGTCTATCAATGAGAACCCTAAATGCAGAGTTAGTAGAGAGTGCAATGAATTACCAATGTATCTAACAAGCGATTTAGAGTGCAGAGAATAGATTTCATCTTGTACAGTATCATTAAATGGTGGTTGTGAGGAAAGCAAAGAACATTGCAAAATGATAAAGTATTAAGAGTAATGCTTTTACAATAAAGCTAAATCAGAATAATGTTATTGGGATTTAGAGCTATCAGTATGTGTAGAATTAGTTTGTGATAACTTGAGATTTACAACTGACGAAGAATGTAGAGGTTTGTTATTGGAATGTACAACAAACGGGTAAGTATGCGTGTTACGTAAATAATGTCAAGATAGCTTAGTAATGGAAGGTTGTGTTACTGATGTCTAAGGTAATAATTGCATTTTTATTCATAATGAATGCAAAAAGAAGGAATGCTCCTTAGCTGAAGATGTAAATATCTATTCAAATTATAATTAATGTTAATAATTTGATTCCCAGTTAGATTGTGTTTTCAAAAATGGAGGAGGTTGTAAAAATAGACCAACTTATTGTGAGGGTTACGATGCTCAGGAAGATTGCTTATCAGTTTCAGTTTAAAAATGTTATTGGATTATTGCATAGAATAAATGTAGGAGATAAGGATGTGACAGTCAATTATTAACTTTAAATCATAATTAATGTAAAATGGTTGGAAAGTGTATGGGTAAACTTAATGGTGGTTGTTAAGATAGGCCAATTACTTGTAATATGATTAATGATAATTAATTTTGCGATGTTGATTATTCTAATAGGAAATGCTATTGGAATTCAAATTAATGTGTGGAAAATGTTTGTTCTAGTTTTGTTTACCCTGAATTCACTAATCATTTACAGTGTAATACTGTAAATAACAAATGCACTTATGATTATTACAATGGAACATGTCGAGATTAAACTTGCGAAATAATTCATCAAAATGATTGTTTGACAAATTTATCTTGCAAATTGCCAAAGAAATGTAGACTAAATTAATGTTCTGATGCACCAGTATCATTAATCACTCATGCAGATTGTGAATTATGGCTCAAGAATTGTACTGTTAATGTTTATTAAATATCTGGCAGCTAATAAATTCATGGATGTATATAAAAACTATTAAATTGTAATGATTTTCATTAACAATAATGTTATTAAACTCTTGATGGTTATCAATGTAAATGGACTGGTGCAATATGTGCTCCAAAGATATGTTCTGATTATAGTACTTCTTCATCAACTTTATGTAACAATCTAAAAGTTGTTGGTATGAAGTGTTTTCTTGATTCGGTAAATTCTAAATGTTAAGCATGGCCAACTGTATGTTCAGGAATTTCATATCTAGCATAATGTACATAAGGTTTGCCAGATGGGACCAAATGTTTTTGGGATGGTACATCATGCAATTTTAAAGCCTGTAATATACCAAGTGGAATGACCAACAATTATTAGTGTTATTAATGGAATTCAATTTGCAATTATGACATTACTACTTCTAAATGTAAACAGCGAGATGCTCTTGATACTTGCAGTATGACTGCAACTTTCACTGCCTAAACCAATTAAGAATGTAATGCTTGGAATAATTCATGCACTGTGAATACTTCTGGAGCAATAGGATGCCAAAGAAAATAATATTAATGTTTAAGTTACACTGATCAATAAAAATGTGTGGATGATTATTATGGAGTGAAATGTGAGTGGAATACAGCCACTAGTTATTGTGACGATTATGTCCCTGCTCTTTGTCCTGGAACATTAAATCTAGTAGTTACAAATCAATTATGTGAATAAATATCTATATAATGTGTGAATTAAAATATTGCTTGTGAACTATTAAAGACAGATTGTTCATTTTACACATTTGAAATGTAATGTAAAATCAATTCGTACTATGAGCCTTGCGTGTGGAATGGTACTACTTGTTCAAGTTAGTAATGTTAATCATAAACAACAGCTAATAATGATAGCGATTGTTTTAAATTTTTCAATAGTTCAAAAAATTGTTCATAGAAAATAAAAGCAGATGGAACTAGAGATTAAGGATGTGAGATTATGGGTTTATGTTCTTCTATCACTAGCTAAGAAAAATGTAATGTGTCTGTTTCACAAAATGAAGTTTCTTGTTAGTTTATAGGTGGAGTTTGTTAAGAAGTCCATAAAAACAATTCTTTGAATTGTCATTTAAACGGATCAGCTGTTTAAAATTATGAATGCAAGTAAATCAATGACAAATGCGAGTTGAATTACAGAAATGGGATTGGTTGCACTGCTAAATCATGCAGTCTCATCGCAAATAACATTATCTGTGATCTTTAGAAACCAAAAGGAGCTACTTGCAGTTGGAATTATACTCTCAATGTATGCGAAACAAATCCTTGTTCATTTTATATGACAGATACAACATGTATTTAAGCATACGAGAATAATAACGTTAAATGTTTTTGGTGTAATGGTGCATGTATCAATAGCAATTATTGTGAAGAAGTACTTGCGGATTATCATAAAGAATGTAATAATAAGAACCAATTATATACGATAGCATAGTATCAAACATGTGCATTAGCCTAAACCAGTTGTTCTGTTTATTCGGCATCCTCTTCTTGCAAGTTCTCAGAAAATCGAACTAAATGTGTCTTTTTTTGGACAATTTCTGGTATTGCACTTCCAACAACTGGATTTTGTACTGAATTATGTCCAAGTCAGCCAGATTAAGTAACTTGTGAATAATTTTCCAATTATTGTTATTGGACGAGTGGTTCTTGCATCTAAGTTCCCATAAGTTGTTCAGATTATCTTACATCGGAATGTGAGAACTCAATAATTAGAAATGGTACCAGATGTACTATTGATGTGTCGGCCTTATGTGTTTAAAAAGTCTGCTCAAATTATAGGGATGGTGCAAGTAGACAACCAAGTAATCAGTCTGATTGTGATAACTGGTTAGATAATTGTATTTTTAGTGGAAACAAATGTGTTGATGCTTGTCTATTTGCCACATTATCATCTGTTTCTATTACATCCTGTGAATAATATAAACCTAATAAAGTTTGCACTATTGGAGATGAACCTAAGTGTGGACCTCTTGTGCAATTGTGTTCATAAGCATAACAGAGTTAATGCTATTAAAGTGCAACTAATTAGAAATGCTATTGGAATAGTAATGTCTCACAATGCTTTGAATTAAATGCATGTAATATATTGGATAATTTAAACAATACTCATACAAAGTGCAATACTTTATTGAATATTTGCACTGTAAATGAATTGCGGGATGGTTGCATAGAGTTAACTGATTGCCCTAATTATACCAAATCTTATCAATGTTATTTTAATAGAAATCATTTTCCATGTTATTGGGATGTTAATAAATGCAAAACTAAAGAATGCAACTATTATGTAAACGAATCCACTTGTGAAAATGCTACTTTAAGTGACAAATGCGTATGGGATCATATCAATCTAAAATGTATACTTCTTGATTGTAATACTCTTCTTGTAGATTAAACTCATTTATGTTCTGATTACACTAAATATTGCATAAATGAATCCTGCAAAACTGTTGAATGCGAAGACTATTTTTATGGTGATGAAATGTAATGTTAATAGTTATTCCCTGATAAACATTGTACAAGTGATGGCCAAACATGTTTATAAAGATTAAATTGTAATGATTGTCATTATCAAATATGTTGTAATTTCGATAGAACTTCTAATGATTGCATTTGGGTTTCTGGAAATTGTTATGATAAAATTTGCAACTCTATGCCCATCATTCCATTTACTTTTGATGAATGCAATTCTGTTTAAACACAATGTACTCTCAAGGCTTAAGGAGGATGTTAACTTAAAACTAATTGTAATTCTTACAAGTATGCGTCTGAATGTTTATTTGATTAAAATGGAGACAATTGTGTATGGGAATAGTCTTTATAACAATGTTTCTCTGATATGTGTCAACCCATTTGTGGAGATGGAGTTGTTACTTATCCATTTGAAGAATGTGATGATACCAATAATCTACCTTATGATGGATGTTATGAATGCAAAATTCAATGTTCTTTTGGATGTTTAATTTGTGAAGCCAAGGTTTGTTTGAAATGTAATCCAAATGGATGGATTCATAACACTATTACATAGGAATGTGACTCAATTTGTGGAGATGGAATTATAACTATTTTAGAAAAATGTGATGATGGTAATTTTATTTAATTTGATGGTTGCTATGAATGTGATTATCACTGTTCCTTTGAATGTTTAAATTGCTATTAAGGAATATGTTAGGAGTGTCTCTATGGATTCTATCAACACAACTCTTTTTGTTTCACTCAATGTGGAGATGGCATTGTTATTGAAGAAAAAGAAGAATGTGACGATGGTAATCTTAATGATCATGATGGTTGTAATAGCAAATGTGAAGTTGAAACTAATTGGAAATGCATCATATAAGATTAATTAAGTCTTTGTATTTAATAAGATTTTCCTCTCCCACTACTTTCAATAATAAATCGTAACCCAGCTTATTTATCATTGACCTTTACTTAACCAGTTATGTTATCTGAATCATATTACAATTCTCAAGATTTTATTAAATCTATTTAAATCTCTATCTCAGACCTTGACAAAAATCAATTCAGCTTCACACTAACACCAATAACTTAAGTATCAAAAGAATTAATGGATGTCTCATATACAATTGATCTATAATTTTAGATTTCTATCAAACACCCAATTTTAAATTTAACATTTAATCAAGATCTATTAATCAATGAATTAGGGAATAACCCATCATCTAGAGTTACTCTTAAGTTATACAATATTGAAATATTGACTAATTTGCAAAAAGTAATTACGGAAACAGCAGCATATTTCAATTCAATTGTCCTCTATATTCTCATCGGAATAGCTGTTCTATCATTTTTCTTAGGCAACTTTGAAATCTTTTGGAATTTACTAGATAATCTATAATAATTATCATACATCAAATACATAAATATTAACTACCCCATTAACTTTTCAATTTTCCTCGCCATTTTTGATTTTGTATCATTATAGCCTTTATATGATTATCTTTATTTGGATTCAATTTTTGATAAGCTTATGCAATAAGAGACTCCCACAATTTAATATAATGTTGGCAAATTTGAAATCTTTCAGACTGATTGTTTCTTTGGAACTAATTTTTAAGGCTTCATAATTATCCTATTAACTAGTATCATCAATTATAAGTTATCAAAAATAATGATTCAGTTACTCATCAAATTAAAATATTAACATTTAATCAATCATGTTGATTCTTCAGTTAAATGCTTAGTCAAAAAAATAATAGAACTATTGCATTCCATGGAATCTTTTGCATTAATTTACATCAAGTCATTCTTCTATTAAGGATTGATTAGAGTGTATTTATCAAGCTACTATGATTTAACATTCACCTCTCTATTACAAATAGTTACATTCTCCTAATAAAGTAGACTACTGTATATATGTTCAGCCTTTTCCGTTGCTATTTTTTCATTTAATTTATTATCAATTTTGGGATTCTATTCCTATTCATTAATATCAAATAAGATAATACAAACTGTGAAATCAAACTTGTTTTTTGAAGGTATTAATACTAAATTCAACAAATGGAATGCCCAATATTAAACAATCCTATTAATAAAGAAATTAAGTTTTATATGCACATTGGTGCTTTTCTAAGTTATGCCAGCATGTTAAACTCTATTTATATCTTTTCAATCAGTAATATTTACTTTATATATTTTGTTATCGAAACCAATGATTTAGAGTTTTGAGAATTTCAAAATCATTGTTTTTGAAACTTCAATTTATTTAAATTCCATCTTATTTTTATGCCATGATATGGATTAATTTTATTAATATAGGATATAAATTGGATGGGTAAATATAAGTTTGTTTAGTGTTAATTTAGTATGTTGTTTGATGGTTGATATTTATCAGTAGTTCAAAATTTTGAAATCAAAGCTATGTAAACCAGTATTTAAAGCAAAAAAGGAACCTAATCCAAATATTTTTTAAATGTGTTGATTGATTTAGATTTTTGAATTATATTTTATGTTTACAAATGTTGATTACATGTTAAAATAACTATATATATACATATTTATAGGAAAATCAAATATTCATAGGGTTATTCAACTTTATTTTTGTTTTAACTTATTTATAGGTGATAAATACTATCCAATATATTACATATAAGTAGTTTTGAGTTACTCCTTTACAGTTGGGGATTGAGACCGTTAAGACTTATTAATCTCTGGAGGTGCGTTTATAGGCTTAGGAGACTAAGATCTTTACTTTTTATCGAATTCAGCTTTGATTCCTGATGGTTTGATATTTTATAGTTCTTCTAGGGCTCTTTTGATAGGACTTATCTCAGCATCATAATTTCTTTTGTAGGTGTACCCATAAAAATATTTTTTATTTTCGCTAGTAGCTTTATTTTCCTCTTAATTTGCATCTTTTTCATTATGCACAATGTGTTTCCAAGGTTCTTTTTCTTCAAACTTATCAAAATTAGATGTTAGTTTCTTTTTGTCAGGCAAATAAGGAGGTTTTTGATTTCTCAAATTGGTCCAATCAATTCCACAAAAGAAAGGATGTTTTTTGATTTTGCTTGGATCTCCTAATCGTTCGCTAGGATCAGAAATCAACTTGAGAATTAAATCTTAACATTAGGAAGATATTTTCTATTCTTTTGGTATTTTGAAATGATGTTTCCATGATAATATTTTCTAACAGGTTTTTTACGGTGTGTCACTATAAAATGGTGGATAACCTATGACCATTTCAAATAGAATAACACCAACACTCCACCAATCAACTAATTGATCATAACCTTTTTGAGAGAATATTTCTGGTGCAATATAGTCAGGAGTACCAACAGTCGAGTAGGCTAATTGACGACGTGCACTATAATGTTTAGATTAAATATCTTGAGTATTATTTTGATATGGAATAGCCATATCATAATGAACACCTAAATGTTTACAGAGACCGAAATCTGATATTTTGAGATGACCAGCTGCATCAATCAGAATATTATCAGGTTTCAGATCTCGATGTATGTAATTCATGCTGTGAATTTCCTCGATTGCCAAAACAAGTTCAGCTATATAGAATTTTGCATCTCTTTCTGGAATTATATCCTTTTTAATCAATAAAGTCATCAAATCGCCTCCACTCAAAAATTCCATAACCAGATAAAGATTGTCATCATCTTGAAATGATGACTTCAATTCGACAATCCACTTACATTTAGATTATACCAACAAATCTCTCTCTGCCCTTATGTGTCCTAATTGATTTTTAAATATCATTTCAGATTTCTTCATTTTCTTTATTGCAACAATTTCATTTGTACTCCTATGTCTACAGACTCTTACTTCACCAAAAGCACCTCTACCTATTATGGCAAGGGACTCAAAATCATCTACGGTAATCTTTTATCTCCTAAAGATTATATCATATTAACTTCTTTCTTAATCGCATTGCTTCCTTGTGTTATATTTCCTTTTTAATCAACTCCTACTCTATTGGTGTAAAATTAAGGCTTTTTAGTATTAGTTCCAATTGCTGCCAATCTGATATTTTTTCCTTCTCTTAAGTAATAAACATTTTATATTTTCTTTCTATGTAGGCTTTACAAGCATTGACTCTATCTTTGGTTTTATTACTGACTTTGATTTCTGCCATTATTTATAAGTGTTTTTATTGAATACTTATAGATAATTAATTATATAATTTAATTGTCATAATCTGAACATAAATGTTGTTTTAGGTTAGATCTATTATTTCTTTTGGAATCCTAAAAGAGATGAAGTTTGTTTATGCTCGTAAACTCTATCAAAGAATTAGTACGCATATTATTATAAGGAAATTCTGTCTTAAGATCTATTAGGAGAAGGATCTGTTCTTTGATTAAAGGAAAATCTTTATTCAAAATTTCTTTGAGTTTTTCTCTATGGATAGATAATTTAAAAATCAAATGAAAATTAAGGATATGAAGCCTACCTTCTGGTTGTGTTTGGTTTGTTTAATTTGTTATTGAGATAGATATCAAATTCCTATCTTAATCTTGGAGATGAATTTTTCGGTTCTGGTTTCCCATTAAATATATTGGTAATCCTTTTTTACATATCTCTAAGTCTATCCTACTGAATTTCAGCTCTACTTTTTAATAAATAGGAGTGTTTTGGCGGTGATATTTTCTTATTATAATTGAAATTATCCAAAAAATTGAGAGGGCGTTGTTATTGATAATTAGGAGGAGTCCCAGTGGTTTAAGTGAAATGGTTAATTTGGAAATCACCTTAAACATTAATATATTTGTTTGGTGAATTTCCTGATGCATAACTTTTAAATAGATCAGAGAATTATTAGGCTGATTTCTATTCAGAAGATATCAAAAGTTATTGTTCATTATCTAATTTTTGTTTTTAAAACTTTAACTGATTTGTTGCTTACTTTATATTTTAATCAACTTATGTCCAATGATTCTCGAATTCCTCTAAATTTATTGCTCCTGATTTTGAAGTGTTTAAGTATTCAAAAAGCTGTTTTATGGTTCTAATTATGTTATAATCAAGTTTACTCATCAGATTGAATATTATGATTTTTCTTTAACTCTGAGGCCAAATCATCGATTTCTATTTCTCCTGAATTATTAACATCCAAATCAGAAAATGCACCATTAATATCACTGTATTTCTATTGCAATGCTACAATGATCCCTCTCCATATTTTCAATAATTCTAATTAATCCATAATAAAATTTATTTCTGCAATTAATTGATCACAATTCTTACTGCATTTATATAATAGTATTAGATTACTATAAATCATTCACTTTCTCAATTATATATCAACTAATAAGAGAACCAACATGTCTTATATATATTTTGTATTAGTAAAAGGCTATAATTTAATTAAATAAAAAACAATCAATTTATTGTTATTGAATATGCAATAACTTTAAGAAACAAAAAAGAGGATACATGAGCAATCTTACGCCTAAAAAGTATCCCATCCTATCACTCCTGATAAGTCTCACACCAAATTAAATTAATCACTTTTCAATGCCAACATAGTAGCAAAAAAGTCTTGCTCTTTAATTAAAGATGTACATAAGGATGTTTAATTGACCATTAAAAAGTATGATGAATTCTTAAAACTTGTACACAATAATAACAAAATTCCTGATACTATCACAAGTTCTCCATCCATTATCAAACCTCATTTGATTGAGGAGACATAAGTACAATAAGATGATGATTAAGGTCTACTTAGTCAATTCAATAGATATGCTAGTGCCCAAGACTTAAGAAGACAGTCTCTGCCATTAGAACGATCTGAATTGAGATTATCAAGTTTTAAAGTTAAAGAGGATCTATTCCCTGCAGAAGACATCAGTCCTATCAAATAATAAAATAATAGCAATTTTGTATATCGACGAAACTCCTCTCAAAATTTAAATTCCCCTCCTCCTAATTAAACTTAATGGTCAATGCTCTCAGATCATTGTGGAAGTTATGCAAAAATACATTTGCGTAAATCTCCAACATCTCCAAAGATTGAAATTAAGCAATAGGACAAATCCAAATCTCCTTCTGATATCGCTAAGCGAAATTAAGAATGGAAATAAAGACTATAAGAGAAAATAAATTTTGAGTAAAAAAGAAAGAGTGAAAAAGAAATGAAAGATTGTACTTTTAGACCAAAGTTAAAAGAAACAAAGACAAGGGAGAAATCTAAAACAAAAATAACACAAAAAAGCAGGAAAAGTATAAATAACAGTTAAAATCCTGAAGTGAAAGAAATAATGCACATTATTGCAGACTTAAATTAATTTAGTAAATAGTTGAAAAAGAGATTATGATATTGAGTAAAGATTTGATTTAGAGATATATATATATACTATGAGTACAATGTTTATAAAAGAATTCATATAGTAATATCAATATTATTTTTCTATTTTCTTGGCCTAATGAGTGGTTTCAATGAAAACTTCTTGTGTAAGAAAGCGATGAATTCATCTTATTTTCTATTTTCCCTATTTTACTTGAATTTAACATCTTTTTCTTCTCTCGAGACACTTCTGGTGATTCTTTATGATAAATCCTTAATATCGCTTCTTTCTTTATCAAGTTCCTCTATAATTTAGTTAATCCCATATATTTCAGCAGCTTAATATTATTGATTAACTTTCTCAAATTTGGGTTTTTGAAAGAATTTTTAGACTTTGATATGTGCTGTGATTCTTTTTTGTTTTTCTTATGATTATTAAAAAGTTTTAAGATTGCTGACTCTCAAGACCTTTTAGCAATATTTTTCACTCCATAATTATGATATTGGGACAGAGTTGGTAGTGACAGCAGTTGGTAATTGGTATTCTAAATTGATATTATGTTGTTTTTGAAGAAATGTTTATAAAGTTAATTATCTTTAGTTCATTTTATAATTTTAATATCAGATATAACCCATTTTAGCAGCGATGTCTTCCTTTGTCAACCCATCTTTATCCTTGCTTGCATCCTAGATGAATTCAAGAATGTCAGCATCACTAATTTGAATGTCAAGATATTGAGCAAATACATTCTTTATTTCAGGTAATCCTACTTTGCGATCCCTAGATTTAATAGTTACTTTTACTTTCTAACAAACAATTCATAAATTTCATCTATTTCTTCATCTCTGCCTTTATTCTCAAACCACTTTCTGGAAATCAATTATATAACGTCCTTCAATGAAAAGCTATCTCGAGTTCTAAGAATAGGAGGAGACAATACTCTTCTACAACATCTCTTATTTCTTCTTCTATGTCTTTTACAGTTTTATTGATAAAACCAAAATTGCCCAATATGGATCTCATATTCTGACGATTAATGAATCCTGTTCTGGAGGGATCATAAAAATTGAAACAGTCTCTGATTTCTGATTCCTATCATAATTTTAATATGGTAAAATACAAGATACCATGTCATCAGGAAGTTTCTAAGTGACTTGTTGTTTGGGACCTTTGCTTTGATTTTTAGGGTTTTGAAGAAGTGTTTACTTTTTTTTATCTTATTTCATAGGGGAACTTATTTATTATTTATTTATTAAATAAATAAATAAAATAATCAAGTATGAATAGCAACAACAAATCAATTTATAAAAATATTGAATTTCAGGATGAACCCTATTCAACCAACAATAAATTTGCTGTGTATGTTCCAAAGTAAGAAATACCCAAATAATCTGCACCTCAATAAATGTTATCTAATTCACAACAATTACAGTCGCCATAAAGATAGATGAAAGTTGAGTTTCAGGATGAACAAGAAAATCGCAACCATTAAAATCAGATGGAGTAATAACAATTTGAATAGGAATAGTAATACTCTTAGAGGAATCAACCCAAAGTGGAAACCCAAAACCAAAGAAATGTAACTTAAAATAGATACAGGCTATCAAATCAAACTCCTAAGACTGCTTAAGACAAGCAACAGCACAAATTTTACAGTTCTACTCCTTCTCAAAGCATTCAAAAGCAAAGGACACTTCAATAATTCAAGGATAGTTTGTATTTTGATGAACGAATCAATAAAGTACCAAAATCAACAATCAGAAATCAAATTATAGACAGTATTGTTAGTGATGCTGATTTGCTACTTCAAAAGAGAGAGTTGATGACTTCCATTTATAAATTGAAATAACTGAATCTATTAAAAAACAAGGAATTTGCAGTGTAAAATAGAATTATCAATCTAGGAATCGTCTCCCAGGAGTTGGAAAATCGAGCTTCGTATATAATGATTATCATACCAAGAGCACAAACAATGGATACTCAAGAAATTTCGGTGGAGTATTTTATACAAGATGAATAATATATCTATTATAAATAAGTATTTTAATATTATTCAGAAACCTAATAGAGTGTGATCGAAGTCAGGTCATTGATCATTTCCTTATTGGAATAATATTAAATTATATTATTTTCTATCCAAATAGAGTTTGTCATAATTGAAGGATGGTCATCTTCTTGAGAATGATTAAAAAGTAAACAAATTGTAATTTCAGAATAAAAGATTTGGAATGTCGATGGTAATTAGTATAGATGGAATGATTTTTGAAGAGATGCGTGAATTAAATGAATTATAGGTGCGAAGTATGTAGCATTGTGTGAATTGATGAATAATTTTATTGTAGTTATATATGACATAAATTAAATAAAGATATATTTATTTTTAAAATGGTAACAAATATCACTAATAATCATGTTAGGGAGTTGACGCATATAAGAAGACAAGAGTACAAAGAAATGTTTAAAGAAAGGTGACCTCAACAAACCTTTATTTGAAATTGTTAATCAAGGTATTTTAATAATTGATTTAAATCCTAGCTATATAAATTCTTAGCCAGAAGAACAGATTCAAATTTCAATGCAACAGTCCTAAGAAGACTCTAATAAACAAGAACAGCCAGATATCCAATTAGTGTTAGCAGACTTGTTAAATAAATTAATACAGCCAAAGACAAGACAAGAACACTTGTTGTTGTAGGCACTGTCACAGATGAGTAATTATTTGTAAAAAAGCATTTAGTGTACGTCTCCTCACTGTTCCCAAGATCAACGTGTGTGCTTTGAGATTCACTGAGACAGCTAGAAAGAGAATTCTTGCCGCCGGTGGAAAGGTCTTGACATTCGATCAATTAGCACAATAAAACCCAACAGGTATATAAATAATTTAATATTCAAGGCACTGGAACAATCTTATTGAGAGGACCAAGAGTCAGAGAAGAATTGAAGCATTTTGGCAGAGCTTCAGGATTACCAGGATCACATGCTAAGCCATATGTCAGCCACACTGCAAGAAGAGGAAAGGGTGCAAGATGATTGTTCTTTTTAAGTACATTAATATATAAAAACATCGTAATCATTTAATCAAATATTATTCACAAAACTTGATTCACATCAGAAATGACTTTTCTTTTCCATGAGTCAATTAGAATAGTTCAAATTTGTACATTGAGCCTTTCAACCAGAGCTTCTCAATCTTCTTCATGTTTTGCATTAATGCAAAGTATTTATTTCCACTTTCTTGAATTTCATCAATTCTGAGAATCACTGTTTATGAAATTTTTGTAAATTTTTTATTCCAAATAGATCTTTCAATATTTTCCTTCCTTTTGGATTACAACTATTGACTTTGTTCTTGATATTCCTAAATATAGTGATTAAGAGACTGATGCAAAGGGATGAATTTATTCCTTGTTTGTCTAACATGTTGGAGAACTAAATGTTTGATTCTTATTTCTGGTAATTTTTGGAAAAAGCATTGTTAACTCAGATTTGCATATCTGCTCAAATGAGAATGAACTGATGAAGATTTTCTAGATAAAGAGATAACTTCATGTTTTTATTTTAAGTATTTCTTAGGAAACACTCTTTTAATAAGCTGGTAATTATTCAATTCTTTCCATAACTCTGGCATAGTATCATCAAGCAAATGATTCATTTCAATAACTCTATGTACTGATCTCTTGAATTTCACTAAACAATTCTATGCTTTTTGTATTCTTTGTCCAATCAGTTTACTTAACATCATTTTATTGTACTCTTCCATGTTTTAAAGTTAACTTTTCTTCTTTTCCAACAAATACTCCTCTCTAGTCATTTACAAGAAAGACTGAGTGTAGAATTTAACATGCTATCTTTTATATGCAGTTTTCTTTCCTTATTTATTTCTAATATTTTACTTTTTTCTTCATGAAAGTTGTTTATGATAAGTCTTCTTCTTCTTTGATGTAGTTACTTTATTTCAAAATCCAATATTGCACTTTATTCCATAGCCCTTCTTAATATTCTGTAAGGAATAACCAAGCAAATCGATTTTTTTTAAGCTATACAATACGTACCTCTCAATTTCTCTTCAATTGCTTCAAATTCCCCAAACATAGTCCCTTCCAAGATATTCAATAATAATCCCTTATCCTTTGTCATTATTCTTATGTCACCATCTAAAAGGAAGAAAATCTCACTAGAATTCTGGCCTTCTCTATAGATAATACTTCCTTCCTCTACAATCATATACCTAATATTTATCAATAGCTAGAAAGTGTTGTTGATATCATAAAGAAAGAATGGAATTTGCTTACAAAAATCTAACATTGCACTAATAGACATGTATAATTTTAAATTATGTGGTAGTTGTTTGGTCATTAATCTATATTCATCTGACCAAAAAGGATTATGAATCATATTATTTTTTATGAATTATAGGAATTTGTATTTTAACTTATCTGGTAGTTTTTTTGCATTTCCTAATTATTCTACTAAAAATAAAATCTCTTATTCCTAATTTGCTTTTGACTTTTCCATCATCAAGGCAAAATCTCCAATAGTGAATGAATAGAAGGCCACTCCGATTATCATCCACAATATAAAAAATTCATGTTCAGTCTTTACATCTCCATATCCTACAGTTGTAATAGTTTAGCTCGCCCAATAGATATTCGTTATGTAATCACCTTAATCGAAAAAGTGTTGCCAACATCCAAAAATATGGACTAATAAACATGAGGTGATCAAAACGTTTATTAAATACTTAGTGCCGGTCTTCAATTAAAATTCATCATGAGGATCAAATGTTTCTATTACTTTCACGTAATTCTTTTACCCCTTATATGTTATTTATCTCTTGAATAGAAAGTATTTGAATACTCTAATCATTTTAAAATACTTCATCTTACCCTCTACATGTCTAATAATGGGAAGTGCAGATACGATATCAAATAAGAACCATGTTTTTAAATAGTTTTAACATATTTATTGATAATTTAATATCAAGTTGTTGTTTTCATCAATATATCCAGTAATGAAATTCATTATTACATCTATTATAAACATAATATCGAATATTAGAACAGTTAACTCAAATTACTCAAATAAGTTAAAGCAAATATAAATTGGATAAATGATCACACTTAAAAAAGTTACAAATTCCACAAAATACTTCCATTTGATCACAATAATATCATCAGGATAAAAGGGAATCATTGAAACTCTATGCCATTATAGCGAATCCATTCTTTGAAAGCGTTCTCTTTTTGAATATTCCTTTAATGAGTTTATAAAACTTATTGTAATCCTTATTGTTGTAAAATACCTTTTTAATATGGATACATATTTCTATTGCTACTTATGGGCCGGAGAATCTCCTTCAATATTTTAACTACTTTAGACGATTGCCGTACGTGAATATTGATATGGTTGTGTTTCTCTTTATTTTTTTTGGTCTCTCATATGTTGACATTGCCATTTATCGATGAGAAATCATTGCTAATTCCAAATGCGGACTTTGTATGTTCGTCTGGAGATTTTCTATTAATTCTCGTGAGCTTGGTTAAACGTAATACCCAAACATTTAATTTATTAACTTTATTATTATTTTTAGATGCTTTCATAAAATTATATTCATCAATTATAGTATTATTCATCTTAGAATTAGTAAATAGAATTTCTTGAATTCTTAAATTATCAAATTTCCATCTTTACAAATTTGAAATCTGACCAAGATCACACAATTCACCAATAAAATGACTGTTATCAAAGTGATAATTATAGGATACACAAGTCAATCTACTTTTTTATGCTAAAATAGATACTGACTTAAAACGCTAATTGTTTTTAGATTTAAGAATTGTCCTTTCAGTGAAGCCAAATCTAATTAGTGTTGTTAATATTTCTAATTTAATACTATATTTTCTGTTATTTGAAACTTGTAAGCATCAAATTCAATGATATTCTCATTATAGCTTTCAGGGTTATAAAATATTCAACCCTGATAATCTGATGGTATTGTCAAGTCACAGACATACTAGAAATCAGATTTTATAGTATCTTATCTATGCGTAATTAAATAGTCTTAGAATTCTTCTCCATTCCATAATCTACTAGTTTTCCTTGTCCATTCAAATTATTTAAGTTATTTATAATTTCATATATGCAATATTTCGCTGAATTGGAAAATCATTTTTGTTTTTTCATCTCTTACCTTTTGTCTTGATTTAAAGTGATTCTACATACAAATTAAATAAATTAATTAGCCTTTGTATAAATACCTTGTCTTGTGGAATATATTATAAACCTGATTAATCCTTATTGAGATCCTGAATTACTATTAATTTATTAGTTAATGGATATTGTGTATGAATATTGGTACTTTTATACTTTATCATTCGTTTCCTATCTTGAGTTCTTTTTTGAAGAGCCATTAATTTATTTTAATATTTGGAATATAATGGGATTTTCAATTTGTAATTTCTACAATCAAGTAAAAAAATTAGTAAAATTAGTAAATCAATGCAAGAGAGACAAGCCTAATTACATAATTGGCAAAATCATGCTAAGAATTTTCTTAGGAGTCGAAATCCTCTATTATACTTTTGAGATTGATACAAGATTGAGTTATTTTTTAATTTAAGGTCCATCGTTAATTTATAAAAAATATATGAACATTAGTTTATAATCATTTTTCTACATCCATTTTAGTGCCTTTACTTTAATTGTTTTTATATTTCTTTGGTAATCAAATGATGTTTCTTTTTATTAATTAATTTTTTTAATTAATCTTTATGATCTTATTTAAGCTGATACAACTCACAGACTCTCAAAATCATTTGATGCCAAATAACTGGCATCTCTCTTTGATCATTCTCATATCTCATAAAATATTTAATCACTTCATCTAATGCCTAAAATATTGCAAAATAATACTCTTTCTGGGAGAGAAAACTTCTTTTCAATTAACACTTTCAAAATTACAGCCACTGGACCTGTAAAATCTAACTAAGCAACTTTAAAGATAGCTATTGAACCGTGAATAGGTGGAACATGCAACTAGAATATCAAATTAAGTGATTTACTTTATGAATAACACTGCCTATAATTTATGCTTCTTTTAGTGTAAAATCCTTCTCTAAACACAATGGGAATAATATTGATCTGAACCATGCTTATGGCTTATACATAGCTTTAATTAATGCATTATATAAGTGGACATTTAACCTTTTATCTTCTTGAATGCTTAATCTGATTGCAGGTAATATAACAGTGGAGTATAAATATTCAGTTTGTTATCTATCTAATGCAGATGAAAAGATTTTGGTAGCTGCAAAGATTGCTTGAGGTGACCATTCTGAAGGTTTGGTTAATTCAAACACTTATTTCCAATGTTCCAATTTGGGAATAAGATGGAATGGTTATGGCAATTTACCTGATCTGTATGTTTTCATTAATTCTGCAACACTAAATAATGTTAATTTATTCTTTACTTTTCATAGACACATACTACTTTTGGATTATTCATAATATTTTCGTGGTGTTTCTTATTTTCATCATCTTATAATCCTTTTTAAAAGTCTTCAATAATTTAATTAGTTTTAGTATCATTTCCAACCATAAATTATGATAAGATTTATTCATCTTCAGGTGATATTTTCAATGAATCAATAATGAATGTATTTGGTAATTCAAGCACATCATCTTGTTCTTCAATTTATTCTTGCTACTTATCCTTTGGCTTTCTAGTTTATTTTTATGTTTCTCGTTTGATTCTTCTTAATTCTCTCATCCCTTTCTTTTTTTCACCGAGTCTTCTCAAAAGCTTTCCTGGTTATTATGTTAATGCAGTGGCGCTGATAAAACCAACTTCTCTTATTTGATTATTTTAGAACTCCTTGAGATGTACGTAAGACTCTTTACTTTTTGGCTGTCTTTTTAATTACCATTAATTATATTAATATAAAATGTGAATGAATAATAATTTCACTTTTTCTTTCTAAGAGAACCATAAGTTTATTAAAATAGCCATCTAATTCATGACCTCTATGTAAGATACTCTCACAATATTTTTTGTAATAAATAATTAAGTTCTTTCATAAAGGATACATAATTTATTATATTATTATATTAGTATTAAAGGTGAATAAAAATTCACATCCCTACTATGAATACAGGGTGAACAAAAGAAAAGTATAAATGTAATCAATATTATTTAAAAAATATTATGTTTTGATTCATTTTGTAATTAGATTATTATATCTAATAGACTATTTATTTGAATTTATTCAAGACATTTCTATTTTACTACTGAAAGTATCATTTCTAATAGTTTAGATTCGCTTATTTTTAATTATATGGAGTAATAATTTTGATAAACTAACTTGGTGTATATTTTAAAGGAGGTAGGATAAATTACATTTTTGATTTATGTTTAATAATAATAATATATATTATGACTCAAAATAATGAAGAACTGCCTTTCAATCCATACAACCCTATAAAGACATATAGATTGTATTCTTCAAGGAGCCAAACAGCTCATCAACCTAATAGATAAAGTTCTGTTAAATTAGTATAGTAGTAAAATGTGGCCAGCAATCAATATACATAGATGGGAATTCATAATTATGCCCTATTTATCAGAAACTCAGAAAATAAAGGTTTAAAATCAGATAAAAATTTCCATGCCTATATAAAGAAATTGGAAGAAAACAGAAAATTGTCTAAGAACTTAATTTAATAGACGAAATAGCAATAAAAATGTGAATAAATGTAAACACAATAATATGAGGATGAAGCAAAGAAGCCAAGTCATGGCCCTCATATGAAAAACACAGCTAAGGATTAAAAAAAAGAGAAGTTTCAGCATCAGATTACTGAAATGATAGCAGAAATAAAGAGTCCATTCTATAAGAAAGGGAGATATTTACTAAATGAAGACAAGGATAAAGAGAAGAAGCTTGCAAAACCATTATTTTATGGAATTTAAAATTAGACTTAATCATCATAAAGGAGAAAACTTGTCTTTTCTTAAGTTGACATAAACAAATGTATAAAATATATAGTATATTATTTTAGTAAGATATAAGATCTTTTTTGATGATTACAATCCATTATAAAGAATTACAACAAGCCAATAAAGTTTTTAAAAAGAAGAAACAATTAATGAATCACCATTAAAGACAGAATAACAATTCTTTATTGAATAATGAACTGTATTAATATACTTTGTAATGTAAGGATGTTCATTGTGATGTCTTTTTTAATTCTTCCAATTCGAAAGCTTTCTTTATTGCTTCCTATTGATGTCTTGATTTTATTCCGACTTGTCCACCTCCAATAGTTCTTAAAAGTTCATGGTTTTCATTGTAGTGTTATCTCAAGTCACGAGCCTTACAATTTTATTTAATTTATTACTAAATTATCGAATTCTGCTTGATCCTCTTTTCTGACATCAGTCAAAGCTACACAAGTAGCTGTTTTTTAATGCACTAATGCTCCCAATCTAGCCTTATCTAAAAGTTATGGTAAACAATAATACTTTTAATGAAACAGAAGGGAACTTCTTGTCTTCTACATAATTGGGGCAACCATACTACTAGTTCAATTGGATCAACATCATAAGCTATTAACACTAATTTTGCTTTTTTTGTTTCAACCAATGTAGTTACATGATTAAGACCAAATTTCAAGACTTGTACTTTTTTTGATTCACCCTTTTGAGCTTATGCTTTTTATTCAGCTAATTTAGTAAGTCTTTGTTTCTTTTCAGTTTTTGTTTCTGGTGAGTATTTCTTTAATAAACCCAAGACTTTTGAAGCTGATAACATTAAATGAAAGTGATTTACATTAATTTTTATCTAATGTTTTGCTGAATTAATGAATAGCAGCAGGCACTTTGATTCTTTAAAGTAAGATCTTCTTTTATCTATGAAGTAAAATGTATCTTGGCCATCTAACATATCTGGATAAATCTCTTTTTGGTTAAACGTCGTTGCCAATTCTGAAATTTTTAGCATCTTTAACAAATAAGGGATTCTTTTTTCTGTCTGCAACTCTTTTTTATATTTTCTTAGCTTTTGATGTTTTAGCGGCTTTAGGCTAAGAATATCAATACATTTAATACCATTTAATATCTTTTTAAATTAAAAAAATATATATATAAATATGAGTAATATATATTCATACCTTTGAAGTGCTATTTTAGTGTGTATTTTTGGTTTCTGAATAGGTTCTTAAAGATTTAGAATATATATAAAGATGTATACGATTATTAAATAAAATTCTAATAAAAAAAAGATTGATATTAATAAATAAATGGATTCTAATAAGTTAAGAAGTTCAGGTTATCAAATCTCAGATAGAGTTCAATTTGGTGGTGTATTCGAGCCAGAGAAATGCAAACAGATAGCCAAAACAAGTGATGGAATTGTATGACGCAAACAAGGATGGGTATATCGAATAAAATGAAATTGCCATGATGTTATCAGATGCATATAGAGCAATGAATAAAGGGTTCAATCCAACTTCTTAGGATGTTTCAAATTGTTAGGCAATTTTAGATAGTAAGTTTATGGATATTTTAAGGGAAATCGACTGGTCGTGTTCACCACAGAGGATGTTGAATAATTGGTATAGAAGTATTTCTCTGGACAACCACCAGCTTAACCAGTCAAGAGAGTGCCAGAGAAGTTGTCAAGAATAGCACAAGAAAGATTGGAGGTGGCCAGACGTATCTTCAAGTTTGTGGACAAAGATGGATCAGGATTTTTTGACTGAGGAGGAAGTAACAGAATTGTATTTACGAAATATAGGTGCCAGAGTTATTGAAGGAAACTTACAAGCACATGGGAATGAACGATTATCAACCAACAAAGGAGGATGTGACCATTTGGATTCAGATGACTGACACTGATGGGGATGGTAAGGTGACTTTAGAGGACTATGAACAATTGGTTTTGGATTCATTGAGAAAACAAGGAATCAGTTTGGAATGATTTAATAAATAAGTAGAATATATATAATAGTAATTGCACTTCAAAGCAATAATTAAACTGGACTAATTACTGAGGGTGACTCTAAATAAGTATTGATGTAATGGTTGAGTTTTAATTTGCGTTTCTGTTGGAATTATTTCATTTTTCTGCATTCAACGTACAATTCTTACTCGGAGTAATTGCATTCTTCCAAAAATTACTTCATTTCGAACTCCTTGAAGAAGTTTTCGAGATCCAATGATCGATGTGTATTTGGCTTATAACTAAACTCTGGTAAGTTGACAATTTGAAGTGACATTAATGTTTCTGTTAAAAATTAATTATTAAATTATTATATCTCCAATTATGCAACACTCCTCCTGTTAAATGGATTAATTTATATTCGATAAAACTAAAAAAGATAACGTATATGTTAACTATATTATTAATTAAATATTTGAATTTTTTGTGTATATAGGTTATTCTTCATTAATGAGTACCTTGTCAACCATTTGTCAGAAACATATCAAACACATAGAAGGTACCATATCCACAAAAATACTTAGCATTCTGCTCGGATGATTGTTCTTTGTTATGTATAAACTGCATTCTCTATGATGGTCACAAAGGCCATTAATTTCAATCATTAGAAGATGTATCCTTATTCTCTATTTAGAGTTTACGAATGGAATTGAATAGATTCTACTCCATCTCTGAAAATGTCCAATAGAATCATCAGAAAGCCATCAAGCAATTTCAATAGTTAGCATAAATGAACGACCAACTCGATATCGAATACCAAAGACTCAACATCGAAATCACTAAATTTTTCAATTCAATTCGCCAATCCATTCAAGAACGAGAATCCAAACTGCAAGAACAAGTAAACCACTTCCCCACCTATCTCTTTAGTTAAATCAGTCACTCATCAACCAGAAATAGCAAATATCTCAAAACCAATAAAAGCTGCAAACACAACTCTAGGATATTAATGATTATTTGCAAGAACTCTCGGAACTCGATGAAAAGTCTTAAGATCCTATCAAGTTTCTATAAACAACCCAAAGTCGAACCAAACTCATTAATAAACTACCGAAATCAATAGTTACAATAGATTAAGCCATCAAATTTCCAGAACTAAATAAAGAACACGAAAATCAAAACATTATTAAGGTTTTGTCCAAAAAGACCAATTAATAATAAGTGTTACCTCCTCCACCTACTTAATAGACTACATCCACTCAATAAAAAATAGTGTAATCTATCAAAAAGACTAACAATAATTAGTAGTAACAATCTTATAATGCTTAATATCAATAACAATAATAGAATTAAATACTTTAACAGTAATCTCAACAACAAAAAAAAATGAATCAATCCAAAAAGGTACCGTTATGTGAAAATAATGGGCCTTGTGCTGTCCAAATTAATCTTAAAAAGAAGGTGGAGGAAAAATAAATTAATCAAGTGAGATTGACCAACTTTTAAGAAGCCAGAAATCAGATGAAAGAAAGAAATTATGAAAAAAGTGTAGAACGAAGAAAAGATAGAGATCATAGTACTCCTCGAAGATTATTTAAAAATTAATCAAAAGTTAGTTAGGATCCATAATCACCTTTTATGCATTAGGAAGACTCAAAATAAGAATTCAACACTTTCTTAAATTCAATACAAGATTTCGAACCTGAATTGACTAATGTTAGTCACATGTCTATGGATTTTCAATATATCACAATAGGCGGTTTTGTTGATAGTTTAAAATAAATAGTTGAAAAATATGATATTAAAACAGATTATGCTAGCGAAAAAGATTCATTAAAGAATAACAGATGTAAATTTGGAATTGCACATTTAATCAATGGAAATGTGTTATTAATGGGTGGCAAAGTGGATGGTGTTCGTATTGATACTTGTGAAGAGTATAATTATAAAGATAAAAAAATTATCCCATCAAAAATAAAATTACCATCATCCAGAAGTGGATTCGGAACATTGAATGTTAATCAATTTATTTATGTAATTGGTGGCAATGATGGTCAAGGTAAGTAGGATTATGTAATTTTTTAGAGAATTTAAAAGATTTCGACTGTTTTAATTAGATTGACAATAATTGGATTAAGTTCCCAACCATGATTGAGGCCAGAGATGAATTGGCTGTATGCATGTATGAAAATGCAATCTTTGCCATTGGAGGATTTGGAGGACAATGTAAAATATGATATTAATCGATTAGTCAACACTTGTCTCAAAACTGTTGAAGTGTTTACTTCAGGGAAATGGGGTCATTGTGCTCCTTTAAATATACCAAGAAGAGCCTTGGCAGGTGTTTCCTTACCAGATGGGATATATGCAATAGGAGGATTTGATGGCACTTAATATTTGAATAGTGTTGAAAAGTATGAAGATGGTAGATGGACCTTAATTGAATCTATGATCCATCCAAGATGCACACTTTCAGCATTACCAACTCCAGATAATTAATACATTTATGTATTCGGAGGATTTGATAATGGTCCTCTTGATTCGGTTGAAAAGTATAATGATAGATTTAATTTCAAGATATTCGGTATTGAGTGGCAATTGGGAAGAAATAAACTCAATGTTAGCTAAACGATTTATGCATTAAACTTTTATTACACTCGCATGATTCTTATAATAATATCATTATAGTTAACATTCTTATTACATTTTGAAATTGAGTTTAGGATATCTACTAATAAGTATATATAAATATATATATAATAATCATTTAAGTTTTTATTTGTTAACAATCTAAATCATATTTGTAGTTTAATCTATTTGCTTGGATTATTGCACCTAATTAACGATTCTTCTCTCTGTCAACATTTTCTATTATAATTCAATACTTTAAGCATAGAGATTAGAAAGCTTCATTTCCTTCATCGATTCAAAGGATTAATCGCAATCATCAAAAGCATACAATTCTGAAGGCTTATCAAAGTTTGAAAGCATATGATAGCTTTTTCTGCTTCTCATAACATTTCCGAAATATTCTTTTTAGTCTTCTGGTTTCTATTAAAATTTTTCTATCAACATCTAACCATGAATGTATTTAAATAGTTTCACATCCTTAATCGAAGGAGGAGCTTTCTTATTTTATAGGTTAACTTCAAACTCTGTAAAATACTTACGATGTTTTCTGTCCGAGATTATTTTAAGTTTGGCCTTTCGTTTCTGTTTCAATTCCATTGTCTATACTGCCTCTTGTTGCTATTTAAAATACTAGTCAACGTGATCTTGAACTTCCAAAGTGACTGCCTATTTCAAACAGTATTAGGTCTAAGATTTAATGAGTTTTTAGTTCTTATTAAATTTTAACTTAATTCCAGATTTGCTATAATCATAAAGTTTAGTTGGCTCATACTATCTCGCTCCATCGATTCGATCTGTTAACAAATCCTTTGATTTTATTTTGGCTATATGATCAACTATATGATTATTTAATTACGAGAACATTCTGCTTCCTTTCAAATTGGATTCGAGTTTCAAAGACTAAATTAAAGATAAATATAACTGCTTACTTCTCTTAATTTTATGTTCGAGTTTATCAATGTTCTTACTTTTGTGAATCTTCTTTCCACTAATTCCTTTTTTAATTGCTGCTATTCCTTTTGCTTATGGAATTCTTGCTCCATTTAAGTTAATCTTTTTCTCATTGTCACTACATTCATATCTTTTACCAACGTGTTAGCAGAGTACTTCCCTTCTAAGAATAATTGAAACTTCTATCCGTTAACCTTGTCATATTAGAATGCATTTGGAATATCAATTGGGCAATATTTAGTCATTTCATCGCTCTTCCATTTTCTCTTCTCCTTTTGGATAGACTAGCTTTCTGTTTATGGACTGTTTATTTCAGAAGGATATTATCTTGAGTTAATTGATGTTTGAAGATCAGATTCTGCATTATAGCATTTCATACCAATATTTTATAATTTACGAATATAAAAATTAAATCATCTATGTAAAATACATTATCAAAGTAAAGATTGTTAAACAGCACTAACAATTCGATATTTAATACTCTTAATTATAATTACCATTCAAAAGTAAGTATATATTTGGTTAATCTTAAATCAAGGTTATATTCTTTAATTTTTTGTTATTTTGAACCTGTTATTCTGTTTATAGAATGATGAATAAACCAATTAAATTAAATTTAATATTTGTTGAAGCAATTTCTCCATTTTTAGATTGAAAGGGGAGTAGTATTTTACAAAATAATTCATTATTATATAGATTAATGAAAATAATCTTATTTTTATAATTAAATTGCACTAATATTGAAATGCTCTATATAAATCTAAACTCTCTTAAAATAGGAGTTTGATATTTTATAGCAAAATAATTAATTAAAAAATATCCCAATCTTTGCATTATCAGAATGTGATTCGAAATATCAATATGAAATCATTATCATCTATTGGATTCTAAAATTGAAAAGTCTTTTTTATGAATTTAGTAAAGAACTAAAATTATATTCAACCTGAGTTAAATTGTAAACAAAAATTATAATTCCAATTTTTAATATGAGCTAACAATGATACAGTATATTACAGTAGTCCCAAATTAATAGATAGCACTTAACTTTATAAAATATCTCAATTAAGTGACACAAGTAAATATTGAATAGACATATTTAATTTATTATAATAGTAAAACTAGTGATATAATAAATAATTATTATTAACGAGAATGCCTCCTAAGCAGTAACATCTTAAAACTTAATCGTCAGAGATATCAAATTAGGCCCTTATGAATTATCTATCTAATCGTGAAGCTTTACATGCAAGAATATCGAATTCACCAACATTCTAGATGGACTACAAAGTATAAATTTTAGTTCACCTAAGAGCAAATAAATTGGTCCTTACTAATCCACCATGTTTAAATCGAATGCTTCATAGCCGTCTCTCAAAATCCCTTAATAATAGTACATATGGCTTTAGACGTAGATAAACCTTACGAAAAATATAACAATCAGATTTACTTAAATCGAAAGGATTCATGTCTCCCAAGATCACTAGTCAAGAAAGGGTGCATTAAAGGACACAACCCAAATCTCGTGGCAATCATATGAAAACTCAACCTCATTCCAATCAAAATTCCTAAACCAAAATGAAATCCATGGAAAGTGTTTAGGATGATTGTAAACTTAGTTATCCTAAACCTAGCTCCAAAACAACTGTTTAAAAGTCAGCAATACTCTACATTAGCCAAAGCAGAACAAGTCATCAAGTAGTAAACCTCTGAAACTAAACAGAAACAATCATCTGATATGTTAGCCAGATTAAATTTCTAAAAGTCCTTGATTGTGTCTAGTGCCAAGCATTAAAACATACAGTTTTTAGGAACCTAGATTTATTAAGTCCAAAATCATCAGAAATCAAATAGTGCGTAATTTATAGAGACTCAAAAATTACCTACTCAAACCTCCTCACAACCTCTTATTCAAATTCAGCCAGAAAAAAATAAAACTATTACAACAAGGTATAAATTTATATTCTATGTAGAAAATCTTAATAGGATTTCATTCAAATTATATTGCAATTTAAAACCTTCAAGTAGAAAATGTCTATTGATATCTCGAATAACAAAATATCATATCTATTGGAGTCAATCAAATAAGAGATTAATAAAATGTTAGCTGATAATGAGACTCTTTCGATAATTGGAATTAAAACCTTCAATATTTCTATACCTATTGATTATATCCTTTCTTCAATTGAAAGACCTCTATCTTTACTTTCCAACTGTCCTACCCATCCGTTAATCATAGAACCTATCTTACAAACAGAATAAGAAAATAGACCAACAAGAGTCTGTTTAAAAGATTTCGAGTTTATCAGATGCATAGGCATGGGTGGATTTTCTAAAGTATACATGGTTAGAGAAAAAAGAACAGGGTAGTTTTATGCTATGAAATTAATAGAAAAAAGCTCTATAATTTCATAGAATAAATAAATTATCATATAAAATGAAAGAGATTTGATGTGCAATTTAAATCATCCCTTTATTGTTAAAATATAATATGCCTTTGAATCGAGAAAATATTTGATATTTGTCTTAGAATATTGTTCTGGAGGAGAACTGTTTTTTTTGTTAAGAAAAGTAATCACTTCTATAATTTTTATAGGTGAAGAGGATGAGTGAAGAACAAGCATTTTTTTATTTTGCAGAAATATGCTTGGGTATGAAACACTTACATGATAGAAATATCATATATAGAGACATTAAACCTGAAAATATTTTAATTGATTTTGACGGACATGTAAGAATAGCAGATTTTGGACTGTCAAAATAATTAGATTAAGATATTGCCTATTCATTTTGTGGATCTCCAGAATATATGGCTCCTGAAATGCTATTGAAATAGGGACACAATCTACAATTAGACTTATATTGTCTAGGAGCTTTGCTTTATGAATTGACTACTGGATTACCGCCTTTCTATTCAAGGAACACTGAAGAAATCTACCAAAGGATTTTAAGTCAGAAATTGAGTTATCCGCCCTAATTGTAGATGTCCTCCCTTCTAAAAGACTTATTGAATGGACTATTAGCTAAGAATCCGAAAAATAGAATTGATAAAATAGAAACTCTACTGAAACATCCCTGGATGACATAATGGGGTGATAAAAATCTATACAAAGAATTATTGTCTAAAAGAATAGAACCTCCTTTAAAACCAGACTGTTTCTCATTCAATTTTGATGAAGAAGAATTTGGTTAAGGGGAGGCCGAATTCTTGCAGTAAATTAGACCTCTCCAATAAAATCTAATGGAGAATTTTCCTAAAGAAACAATACTAAAAAACTTCTATTATAATCCAAAGGAAACTAACTGTGCAGAAAGCACAAGAGGTACTAATTTAAGTACCAAAGTATAAGAGGAGCAACAAGGGACTCAGAGATAAAAAACAAAACGATTCAATACATATGACGATGATATATCGAATTATGTAAACGAATAAAAATTTTTCCTATTAAATTAATTAAGATTATAAACTGAGAATGAATAAAAGAGGAAGTCTGCATGATTAATTTTTGAAATAAAACAATTTTAGATTAAAATTTTTTATGCCTAATTACTTTAATGTTATATATGTGTACTAGATGATCATATTCATTATTGTCTTCTTTATCCTCTTCTTGGTTATTTTTATTATTTTTCTTCGACAACTGGTTCATCAATGGGAATATCAATTTCTAATCCAGCCTTTTCAAGCATTCTCTTGACATCTTAATCTCCTCTAAGGTTATCAATGTCAACTGAGGATTTCTCAGGAACATAATCCAATCTTCTTTCTCTTTCCTCTTCTTAAATCTAAGTTTTAGGTGTATGATTACTTTGAGGGAGATACCCTTAACAGATCCAGTCTAAATTCTCTTTAAAAGATGTGTTGCGAATCCAGCGATTTTATTTCTCAATTTTTTTGATGGCACTTATCCCACTTCTGATAGGATTTTTTTGTTGAAGTGAAAATCTGAGGTGAGTTTCATGTAATATTTTTCAATGAGAACTTTTGCTGCCTTCTTAACTGTCTTATTTCTAACTCTTCCCATGATTTAATTTGAAAAAAATTTATATCTTTAATTTATGAAAATAAATCACAGCAAAACAATAAATACAAGAAGATGTAAGCATAAATTCATATACACAAGTCATTAAAATGAGTATTAAAAAATAGGGTTAAAAAAGAATCTTGATTGGTAATTGACTTCTAATAATTAATAATTTATATAATATAAATATATGGGCAATTCTGTTCAGCACAAAAGAAGAAATCCAGCAAATTGTTTGGGTTGTATGGGTTAGGATAATGAAGGGTTTGATTTGAATGAACTTTAAATAGGACTCGATGCAGATAAGGCTAGAGGTTTTTTAAGTCATTAATGTATAGGTAGAATCACCTAACAATCAACTGCTTACTTGACTGAAAATGAAAAGAACTTTTTTAAAGCAGCATCAGGCAGAAATTTAGGTTTGATACGCTTTTACCTAGGCAAAGGAATCAACATAAACATTTTAGATGAGGAACGGACATCACCATTGTAGATATTGACTTAATCTTAATAGGCACATAGCTTGCAGATATGGTTCAATACAGGTCGTTGAAGAACTCATTAATAACAATGCCAATTTGGACATTACTGATATGGCTGGTTGGACTCGTATGTTATTTATCAATTTATTTAAGCATTACATGTGGCAGCATTCTATTAGAGAGCTTAAGTTTGTTAATTGTTGTTGAAGTCAGGAGCTGATTTTAGAACACGAAATCGTGATGGGAATCTAGCTCTAAGATTTGGTGAGAGACAAAATGACATCAGAAATCTTCAAACAATCATAGGATCAATTATAACATAATAGTGAAAGACAAGCTAAGAAGTATGATCCAGCCTAGCGTTAATATGAGGAGTACTTTTAATTGCTCAAATTAAAACGACAGTATCTATAACAAATAATGAAAAATAGAAAAAATAATGAATGCAGCAGTTTCTGTGAAAAAGTGTCACAAAGCAAAATGGTTAGTCCCAATTCTACTCCTAAGAAGTCGAAATTAAGTGAGAAAGAGAACTTAGGCATTTAAGAATCATTGTCTAAATCTAATATCTCAGAGCAAGAATATAAGGAGATAATTGATTTCAATAAAGAACTTGGATCAAAAATCAATAGGAACATGATTTCTCCTTGCAATTCAATCCCTCGGTTCTTTGATGATATGGTACTTAATTATGATTGATGATTAAGGTTTCCCTAGGTCAATTAGTCTTATGGTAAAATGCATCGAGAGAGAGGTCTACTTTCACTGAATAGGCAAAGTTCATGAAGCATGACTATAACACAGAGAATCTTGCAATTGATTTATTTAATCACTCATACTTCATGGGAATATCTTACATGATATCTACCTAAATTATTAGACCTACTCCTTAATCAATAATCAATTGGTTATTTCACAATATTGAATAGAAAAACAAGATCTAAATATCAAAGTAATTCTATTTTAAATAGTTCATAGATTATTGACTAATTTGAATCTCTAAGAATAATCGTAGATTCTGAAATTGTTTGTGGATAGAGTTGTAACCAATCAAAATTTAATTAACTCTTTGCATAGTTTGTTTAGCAAATTGTTAGTTCAAAATGACCCATATTTACTGGATATCTTGGTGAAGGAGTTTAGCAGAAGATACTATGAATTGAACTTCAATTCCAAAAGCTAGTCATTCCCCTTTAAATCTGAAGATTCTTTACATATGTTTTGTTTTGCGCTTGTGATCTTTGATATTGATAATACAAAATATGATAAAGATTATGCATTCAAAAGCTTTTTTTAGAACATTCAAACAATCAATAATGGTGATAATTTCAACTCTAAATTCATTTCTGAAATTATTGAATAATTACAATACAAGCCTATAGTGAATTTATTGGATTAATCTATTGATGAATTACTAAGTACTAAATTAAGTGCGTATTGCAATCCTGTAAATTTGATTAAACAAAAACAAGTATCATTTATTTCTTATTATTTAGACTCACAATGTTAATTGGAAATTATACTCAATAGGAGACGCATACCTACTCACTTCTGATGGATATTTAAAGATATTTGAGAAATCCAATAGTTAGATACAAAAAATGAATAATGAAATACTTATAACTAGTAAATAGAACAAATAGTTGTTGTATGCGATTTGCAAGGATGAATAAACATTCATATTTAAGTAGAAGAACATGAAGTTTAAACTAACCAATCTAAATGATACTTTTTGATCTATATTTATATGATGACAATTTAAATTAATATTACACGAATTTAAGTAAATTAAATAGAAATTGAAAAAAGAAAGAATAGAAAAATATAATATATATAATTAAAAAACGAATATATGATAATAATAGTGTTGATTAGCGCTATATTTTGTGCTGAAGTGAAGTTGAAAGTGGAATCGTCACCTAAAGATATAAGGAGAATAAATGGAAGAGCTGAATTTGATGGTAAGATTTAAAAATTTAATTAGTAATATAGCATAGGAATATGAAACATCATGTCAATGCGAATCTACGACTACACCACTTCATGTGGGTGAAACTTTTTGTGATCCTACCAAAGTTTAATTACATCAAGACTTTGCTGGAGATGATGGCAAAACAGCCTCTTTTGAATAGATTAGACATTTGATTGGACCCCTTAATGAATTATAATTTGGGGATCCTAATAGCTATCATTTTTCATGTTTAGATGGAAGAAATGAATAAGGAGTTTTGGGAACTCCTGGAGGCGATTCTGGTGAGTTCTTATTAGCTTTATAAGTATATGAATAAACAATTAATACTCCACTGGCCCAAGACACTGTGGATAGCATTTTCGCCAATTACTTATAGTTCATGAAATAGGATGGATTTTATATGTGCACAGATGATGACGCTATAAGACATTTGGAAAAAGAATTAGGTATGACTTTGACAGTTGATGCCTTGATTGATCCTCCTAATTCAGTACCTATTGATTTATATGTTAGTTTAAAGATGATCTTCTAACATCCCTATTGAAACCAGAAAACACAGGTTGTATGCATTTGAAGAGTATCTTAAAGAATCCAGAGAGTTATGACATGAGACCTGATTTAGTGAGATATTTTCTTCGAAGTTATTTCACAATCTTGTGGAATAAGAGCAACCCATTGCATCATAAATTGATACTTGAAGTAATGGCAGGTAGACATGAAGAGAGAGCATTTCTTGAAGTTAGAATCAATGAAGCATGTATAAGATAGAATATGGCACCCCTTTTAAGACCAAAAAGAAGAATAACTTTGGCAAGTGTTCCTTAAGGACCAACCTCAACTACTTTTCATGAAGGTGGAGCCACTGAAATATTTTAAGCATATGTTAATCATATTGATGCTGCATCTATAAGAAGAAAGGTAATAATTCTTTATTTAATCTATCATAGGAACTATCTAAGTTCTTTGCTGAAAACTCTAATCTAAATGGAGTTCATTTTGAAATTGATGTTATGCATCATAGATTAAATAAAAAAGGATTGATGTATTTAGAAATTACTGGATTAGAAGATAGCAAGATATTTACCATTTTATACTGTTACAATTGTTTGATAAATATTAATTATATTTAAATACATAATCTCATTATATTTCTTTTTCTATTTAAGTAAAATAGTCAGTAATCTTTTCATTTTATATCAACCCATTTTGTTATTGTAAATTACTTTTAAATATTGTGATGTCTGGAGAATTTCGAGCCAGCGTTTATTTTAATTTACTAATAATTTTAATTGTATCATCTGAGTTATTCGACCACAAAATTTGGATTTTTGAATATTTAGTTATCAATTCTAGTAATCTGACCATAACTCTTGTATTAGAACTATAGTTTTGTGATTGCCTTGATAATGATCCCAAACAAAACGGAATGTTGTCTGAATATTCTATCAATAGAAAGGGATGATCAAATGAGTTCATTTTCTACAGTTATTAATCCAATCTATTTTGATTTAATGATTCAATTAGATCTCCTGTTTCAACAGATTTTCTCTCTATTGCACAATTATTGCTCAAAACGATATCTCCCACCTTCAACATGACAGGAGTCAATTAAATGCCATGAAAGTACAATTTAGGAGGGACATCACATCTAAATTCTCTATAATCAACTAAAATTCTAGGTTGAAGATCTGATTATTAAAAAAACTCTTCTCCTTTTCCTTATCTTGAATTTTGATGTTACAATTGCATGTTCAATTTATGAATGGCATCTTCAGGTTTTTCAAAGGATCGTGAGAAACTTCTGAGATTTTCAATGATCTTTTCGAATGCAACCTCCTCATCCATTTTCTCTTTATAGTATTACCAAAATTCAACGCATTCATTTTACATCAATAAAATGGTTTCAACCTAATTTTGATTAATTAGAAGTTCTTTTAAAAATGAATGATTTGGTTCCATCATAATAATGTAATCAGGTTTATAAGTTTATTTAAATGTGTATCTCTAGCAATCATCAATCATATTGTTAACAACAATAGTCATCTTTGGAATTATTGTATCTTCTTCAAATTAAATAATTATTCCATCTTTGTTCACTTTATGACCACTCTATTACAAATCAAATTGCAACAATTCTTATGGCAATAGTTAATACACCTATTATTGAATGGCTTGGGATTTTTGAAGCAAGACTTATTCTTCTTATTCCAGAACATGTTCAAATAATTGTTCTAGTTCCTAATGGAGTAAATAGTTCAACAGGGCTTCTTCATCTTATTTAATTTGTTTGTTTTATTTGATTTATTTATTGTTATGCTTTAATACAATCTTCGATTTCCTCTCCTGTGCAACCTATTAGGATGCTTATTACTCAGAATTATTATTCAATATATTGTCAATTGATTTTCTTGCTTTCTATTCTAAGATCTTTCTTAGAAAATTAAATTGATTAACATAATTATTTTTATCTTTCATTCTGTAATTGGAAACTAGATATTGTTAAATCTGGGTTACATTTTCACTATTCTGAACCCAAATCCAGATTCTTATGTTTTCAGTTTGAGTCTAATTTTACTTTGATATATCATCCAATATTTTAATGAGTTATAAATATTTAGATTGAATTTCCATTTTAAAATCAATTTTAGTGTTGATTTCTTTAACTACTTCTTCTCCATTCTTTTTAGTAAAGGTATATTTGATGGGTTCCTGAATGCTAACAAAGGAGTAGACTCTCTCTTATGCTAATTTCTATAATCTTAATACTAATCCTTCAATTTCTGGTTAAGATATGTACCAAATGGAGTCGATTGGAGCATCATTGATTATCTAAGTTAATGTGAAATAGAATTAATAGGCTGATTGATTGATCAATGCAAAGAGCAATCTTCTAAGTTGAAAGATGTCTAAGAATATCTATTATTGAATGAGATCTATTTTAAATGATTGTCTTTGAATAAGAGCTTTGAGTTTTCTCCAATTCTGTTGGACGACCATATCGCTCGTTAAGTAGGATGTACCACATTGTCCATTAACTGCTTGGATGCATTATTTAATAAGGGAGATGACGATATCTTGGATATCTTTGATAGTTTTAGACAAATTAATTTTTATTTCACTCCATTTAAAGGGATGTGACTTTAAAGAGTTGACGATTTCAGCTCTGTTCATAGGCCAAGGGATTATGTTATTCAGATAGAAATTTTTGAGAATGGTAGGAGTGTTTTATTGCAATTGTAGAATTGCAGGTTGATTGGTAAAGGCTAGGAGAAATAGTTCAGGTTTTACGATTTTGATAAAATTGGTGATCCAACTTTCATAATCATACTGTGATTTGATTTGGTGAGTTTGTTGAATTATTAGGTGAGTAACAATGAAGGGTGATAATGTGTTGATTAGCAAATCTTAGATCAAGATTTAGGGAGTTATAGAAAAGATTCCACCTTATTTGTAAAAAGCAGCTCTTTTTTCAGATGGCTATTTAGTCAAGACTACAACAGAAAGAGCATATTCTTTGTTATTATTTAGTTAATTTTAGGTGACAAAAAAGTTAAGCTATGTATCAATAAAATCTATTTCATAATTAGAGTAATTGAGGAGGATGATTACAGATTTGCTTTTTTCAAGAAAGTAAGTCAGGAACAAAGATGTCAGGTTGGCAATTGATAATCCTGATGTCAATATCATGAAACCACCATTTGGGAAGGATTTGATGGAGTCAACTACATTATGGGTAATTTTGGACCAGATTTCTCGATTCATGTATTTAATTTATTAATTAAAGACTTAAATTATTTATGAAACTAAATTATTTTATTATATAATGGACCATGCACGGATTCTCAATTTTCTAAACTCTTTATAGAATCAGGATAGTACTTAATAGAGTGATAATACTCAATCTTCGTAGGAATCATTGAAGAGTTTATATGAGAAGATCACAAAGGAGTATTCATTGCAAAGAGCTCGAGTAAGAAATGATGAAATTAACAATCTTAGACTTTGAGCAGAGAAGAAAGGTTGGCGAATCATTTGACCTCCAATTCTCTCTCCTACGGGGAAATTGTAAGTAATATGCCTTAACTCTAAAGGAATTTAAATCCTTATCCATGGTCTTTCAATGCGTATCGCCAAAGAAAGGGGGAGTCTTCTATGATTTGGGTAGTGGCATTGGAAAAGGAGTGATAGCTGCATCATTAATGCATCAATTCGATATTTGTAAAGGCATTGAATGTCTGCATTCTTTGCATGAGCAGGCTTGCAATTTGAAACAAGAAGTGGAGAAGCAGAAAGTTCTTATCGAAGAGGAGATGGAACAGATTGGTGTCTATGAATATTAATTGCCCAAAATTGAGTTCATCAATGGAGATGTCAGAGAAGTATTGATTCATATACGAAATCAAGTTAGATTGGACTGACGGCACCTTCTTATTTGCTTCAACTACTTGTTTCGATCCGGATCTGATGAAGCAGCTAAGCAAAAAGGCTGCGGATTTGAAGGAGGGATCTTACTTCATTACTGTTACTAAAACACTCGATCCTCAGACTGGCTGGGATCTTGTTAAATCTATTAAAGTGCAATTGTCATGGGGGTTGGCTACGATTCACATTTAACAAAAGAAAATGATTTAGGTTTAACAATAATAAATATAATTATGAAATAATCTCATTCTAAAAAGAATCTAACAAGCAGTCTTTATATTGCCAACAATCAACACACTGAATTAATCGATTATCTCAAACAGGAAAATAAACAATTAACTGAGTAATTGAATGAATTGAAGGGCTTGCTCTAATTAAATAAGAAGGCATTGAGAATCATGACACCTCAAAATAACGATGAATAAAATAAAGCTTTATTGATGGTTATGAAAAATTTGTAAGAAGAAAATGCCAAATTGCATAATCAAATTGACAAACTAATCGAGGAAAGGAATCAAGCATAAAATTAAGTATTAATAAATTAATAAATCACTGAAGAAGCTTAACGACATGAAAAAGAATTAATCTTATCATTATAGAATAAAATCTAAACCTTATAAAATAATCTCAATAAAGCTGAATAACAATTAAGCAAAATGGAATAACTCAAACCTGAATACGATGAAATTTCAGGCATTGTTATCAAATACAAAGAAATTTGTGAACCTGATAAAATTGCTATCAAATTTCATAATCAAATTGAATTACTCACATCTCAACTAATTTAATAGATCAAGAAGAACAAACTCACCGAAAGTGAAAAACAAAAACTATAAGGATTTAATTTAGTATTACATTTTCACTATTCATCTAGAAACTAATGAGCAACCTAGTTCAAATGAAAAGTACAGCTATGACTTATCACGGCAACAAGCTCATCATTCAACAGTAACAAACTCAATAAGGACCAGAACAATTGATTAAATGTAACCAAAAATGTATACAGTAGTCTAAAACAACTTGTTAAATGTTATGAACAAGGAAGAAAATGAAGATTCATCCTAAAATGACAACAATTCATCCGTTGGCAGTTCACCTTTGATGTCCCCATTACCATTAAAACAAGAGAATTAGGTCGCGAAACAAATGAAGGAAATCCCGAAGTTAGATCTCACTAAGGCAAAATAAATACAAGAGATCAATGCTAAGAGACAGATCTAATAGATGTAGGATATGAAAAAGTAGATCGACCCTAACGTTGTTGAAAAAATTAATAAGTATGAGAGAATGATAGAGGAGTTAAGAAGGAACTATCAAAGAGAGATGTTGCTAAATAAGACTCTCGAAACTGCAAATAATGAATTGCAAAGAAATTGTGAAGATTTAGAAGTATGTCATTCATATTAATTTAGAGTTAAAAATAAATACTCATAAATTCAAATTTAAGACATCAAGAGAAATTACAGAAAATCAATAAACAATATTATTTTCTCCAATAATTTTACATCAATAATAAGGATCAAATAACTACCACTCAAAGTCACAATCGAAGATTTTCTCAAAGTCCAACTGAATTATCTTAGGATATGATTCTAGACACTTCTTTCATCGATGCGAATGGAGCAATAATTTCGAATGAAATACAAGAACAAAAATTTGTATAATAACAAATGCTGTAACAACAACAATAATAACAACAAATTTAGTAATTCTAATAATAAAATTTCTATTCTTACTATGTCCCTAATAATTTGGAAGATTCAAAAAAGTTCTTATTGAGTTTGGCTGAACTAATTTATTGCAGCTTGCAGGAAAGGATAGAATAATTGTAACAACAGGAATACAATTGCCAAGTAAATAAGGAACAGAGATTCAGATCTGTAAGTGATATAAACGATTATCAACGCACAGGACTTTAGAAATATAATTATTTTCAGCAATTATGATAGGTTTATTTCTCTTACAAAATATTATTAGATATGATGATTTAATCACTTCTTCCTGTAAATTGTAATTACCTATGATTAGAAATATCTCTTATCATCTTCATCGATTATAAACAAGCTCATCAAATTTTTCACACAGAATTTATCATAAACATTTCTGACTGATGGTATCAGATCCAATTCACTTAGATACAATCTGACCGGAATCATATCTCCCTTTTAAGGACATCCATCTACTAATTCGTATTTGACTATTGTCTTATTGTCTGTCTCAAATTAAGATCCTTATAGATAATATTCCTTTCTGGTAATCACTAATTATACATATTTTATTTTGATTTCCACCAAACACATATTCAATATTCCAGTCAAAACATCCTTCTAATGAAATCGATTCTTTGAATACTCAAAGTTAATATGTAATATATCTTCAATCCCAACCTCTTAAATTTTTGTGAATCAATACTTCCATATTTGTAGTCTATGGTTGATCCTCTTGTGGCTCTAAGATCAAAACAGCAAAATCTACTTCCTCTACACCTTGGCATACCATCTAGTCATAAACACTTTCACCTAGTATCTTAATTTCACTATATTGCCATAATAACTTTCATATGGCTTTTCAAAGTTTTAAAATTAAAAATTTATATATCTAGTCTTCAAATAATAAACCTTAAGGTTCCAACTCTCTTGATATTGACATGAAATCTGAACTTTATTTTTGATCATTGAGAATTTCTTTTATTCGTAAATTCATAATTCTTACCAATGTGTCCAGTCAATTCAACTCGGATTCCCAAATGCTTTATTTATTTTTAATTGTTAATCCTTACTTTAACAACTCCAGAGATATTATCATCACCCTATTTCATAAAATCAATCAATATCAATTACAATATAGACTGGTAACTTTAAAGTTCCTTATTAATTATCCTAAAATAAAGTGTGTTTGCGTGTCTCTATACCATCCAAAGTCATTTCAATTAAAGGTTCCCCTTGAAAGATATTCAGAAGACATGCCTAGAAAATGTGGAATTGAAATTCTTACCATTATAATCTAATTATTTAATTGTATAAAAATTTTAATCTATAATCACTAATTCTAATCATATGTAAGCATCTTTATAATCCATTATATAATACTTTTAAAATGTTACGATATTATAATTTGAATGCCAATTATCTTGATGTTTATCCCCACTTAATTTATATACCATATACTTACAATATTTCTTGCGAATTCATCGATTTAATTATTTAATAGTAATTCAACAACCTGGTTCTTGTTTCTCTTTACAGCCACATGAAGGCCTGTCTCTTGCAACTGTCTTATACATCATAATAATTACTCGAGTTCTTTATTATAATAAATGAGGATATTTCTTTATCAACTTTTTGAGCTCATCCACATTTCCATCTTAGATCTATTGAAAATACTATTCACTCAAAGGATCTAGTTTTGTTATTAACTTCATTTATAGAACTATTATACATTCAAGCTCATTCGATTCATTTTCTAATTCAAAAATCTTACTTTCTCTAGAGATTGCTCATTAATTATTTTATCTTATGAAATAAAAGGTTAATGCAAAGGAACCTTATAAGTTCTATCCCTTTTATTTGGATTACTTAAAATTGAAAATGTCTGTTTTGGTGGTAATTGCAAATCAGGTCTTGTTGTTTAAGGCTCTAATAAATGTTCGAAGTGGAAATGATTGTAAAGAGAAAAATGACTCGAGAATGATTAAACACTGTTTTAAGCAATTTTATTCAAGTCTGCTAAATCTTTCTTTAATAAATAATCAGCTTTTAAAAGTTATTCTTATTTTCTTTTCGATTGTACATCATTGAACTTTTTTAAGAACCCTTTATCTTTTTCAAACAAGTTACTGACCCTTACTTCAGAAGTATTGTTATAATGAAGTTAGCTATTTTCCTTTCGGTCAGTTAATGATGTCATATAATTGTCTGTTGTATTTTCGTTTTTAAGGTACTAAAATATATCATAGTCATCTTGTAATTCTTTAAATATTAGATTTTGATACTTTTTTTCCTTGAACTGAGCTTCAAGGATCGTGAAGCAGTGTGTCTCCTTTTAGGAAACTGATCATCAGGAACTGTATATAATTTTAATTTCAGATTTTTAGAACATGTTAGCATGTATAATTTTATTTAATTAATATTTGATTTATTATTTATCTAATAATTAATTAAGACAGAATCATATACATAAGATCGATTTATTTATCAAGGTAATCGATATTTAAATCATTCTTAGATATTTTTCATAAAAATAAATTCTATTTGTTTTCAAACAAAAAATATGGCTTTCATTATAATTCTGGGTAGAGAATAATATTAATAGTGTGAATTCAAATTTAAATGAAATCTAAGTCTAGTTGTGATCTGAAATTTTGAGCTTGAAAACATTATAATGATAATTGATTTCATAAAAAAATAATTTGAAATATAATGAATAAATAACATATTCCAGCAAAAGCCTAAGAAAAAATATTTGCTTTGATCCTGAAACGGCCAGAAAATTTAGTATGTGCTGATTGTGCAACTAAAGGGCCTAGATGGGTTAGCTTGGATTATGGTGTATTTATTTGTATGGATTGTGCTGGTAAATCATTGATAGTTATATTATTAGGTGCTCACAGAACTTTGGGTCCCAGCGTCACAAGAGTCAGATCAACCAATATTGATGGATGGTTTTAGGAAAATATTGATATTATGGAATCCATAGGAAATGCAACAGCAAATTCTTATTGGGAAAATACTATGCCAAAGAACTACGTGTAAAAATGATTGTTTATTGTATTATAGCAAACCAACTATTAACACAGGGTTAGATTCATTAATTCGTTTTGTTTAAGAGAAATATGTCAAAAAGAAATTTATCCCCTAGTAATAATGTTTGGATCCAAAATAATAATATATGTTAACCAAAACGTATTCAAATTTAATAACAATTTAGTACTGTCAAACCATTCTACTTTCAAGTTGAAACCAAGTAAGAAGAACCAAAGGTGAAACTAGGTGATTTAATAGATTTCAACGAGTAATCTGACATTTTTGGAGTAAAGGAAACTAAAGTTGAAATCATCCACGGAAATAACACCTAGTATGGAACTACTCATTCATTGTCACCAGAAAAAGATAAGAATGATTTTCCTCAGACTAAGTAACAAACAAATCATGCTATGCATTCATTGCCATCCTTGGACATTCTAAATCTATACAATTCAAATTAGTAATAAAAATAACAGATGCAATCATAACAAACAATTCCTCAAAAAAATGTTAATTATGTTTATTTGCAGAACTTAGGATAGCAACAATAGTAATATGGCTACTAGTAATTCTAAAATAACAATGCATATTTCAATTAGCAATAATAATAACAATAACAATAATAGTTTTAATAAAATACATTTCATTAGCAACAACCGAATTTCGTTTAATTATAATAATAATATAAATAAAACGAACCCATCAATATTATGGACTTGTATCATAGATGAAAATATATAAAGCATCAATTAATTAAAGAAATCAATAATATTTTATAATTATGTCTCAATTCTTCACCTATATTTAATAATTATTATTCAGTTGATTTTACATAAGACAACTTTCGATCTTCAAGCGATAAATAATAATTTTTGTTACCTATTACCTTTTTTCAATTTCTATCTAAAAAGTACATCATTAAATATAATAAATTCTAGACTTCAAATTTCTAATTTTAAACAGAATTTTTGGAATATATATATGAATCAATCTGCATTATTGACCTCAAATCATATATTAAGACAATTAGGCTCATTTTTTTATTAACTTAAATAGAAATTATGTTTGCTTCATTACAATCATCGAAGAACCATAAACTAATAGTGATTAGATTGATATTCTTCTAGAATTGTTTCTTATAATGATAAAAGGTATGATCAAGATTTCTCAATTGTATGAGTTTCACTAAAATAAAGTATAGTTTTCCTCTATGCTATTCAAAATTTAATAGTAAATACACAAAATTTATAAAATCTAGTTTTTATGAGTTTTGAGCCTTATTAAGAAACCAAGAAGAATGTTAAAGTAGCACCAATAAAAATAGTGTAAAATTAAAATGAGATGAATGGCTCTTAAAATCAGAATCCTGCATATTCTCAACTTAATTAAATATTCCCATTCCATAATAGATGCGCAAATTATAAATAATTTACTCCTGCTGTTACGATTCCATTAAGCTTTTTGCAATAACTCATTTAGTAAGCCTAGTCGAATAAGATATTAAATCAATTGATAGAACCAAAAATACCACTTGTAAAACAAGAATAATCAGAAGCTGTTAATAACCTCATTACATAAATATAATATTAAAAATTAGAAAATATTAAACATCAAGATGGTAATGCCTATGCTTATAATTAGAAGATACACAAATTAAAATGTATTTGATAAAAAGTTAAATGAAATTTATAATTGAAGATTTTGTATCCAAGGAAAGAGTGTAACTCTATTTTGCTGATAATGAAAATTTATTACCTCATTTCTGGAAGTGGATTAGATCTATTGAGTTAAAAGGGTTAGAAGAAATGTTAATTTTGTGTTACACAAACCCTTCAAATACGAAGAAAATTTAGGATGTTTTCAAATCACTTTTTCAGAAATTATCAATTGAGTTTTACTAAAACCATGCTTATGCTCAAATTTTAAGATCCAATCTCTAAGATAAAATTAGATATTTATCTGCAATTGGAGATATCTTAAATAAAATCGTCAAACCATAAGATTATTTCTATTTTAATAATGCATGATAGATAAAGATTTTGTTATCATAATAAATATATAAAATATCATTTTCCCTACTATTTCTCCTCCTCCTCCTCGCTAATTGGGAGCAAAGGATTTGATATCTAATATTCTTAAGTTCCTCTTCTCTAAAATATTAATGCATCCATAAAATTACATAATCATTACTGCTTTATTAATTTAAAGTCAGGAGAACATCCCTCAATTAGTGTTGATTAAATCTTTATTCCTCTTCACCACAATAATGCTGATGAGTAGTTGACTTAAAATAAGAGGTGCTTTGTGCTGCAGTATTCAATTACAAATCCCAAATTTCGATCAAATCTATCTATAAATACAATTAAAAATTACATTCAATAAATGAATATCATTTGGTAATATTGGTCCACTCTAAAAAGTCTTATCATCAATCGCCAATCTACTTGCCTGCAATTACTTTCCATCTATCCAAATTCTGTGATGATCATATCCACTGCCACCAATTCCCAAACCTGGTTATTTTGGTCCTTATTTTAATTGACTCTGAAGAGTTTGCGTCTATTTTTTGGTTATGATAGGAATCAATAAAGCAAATTTACTTTATTGTTAGTTGTTTGTTGAGAATATTTTAAATTTTGGGTGAACAGAAAATATGAAAGAACCCTTATTCCCTGAAATATCAGGTGACACTTTCCATTGAGAAGGTGAAAAATAGCCAAAGGTGTATTTATCTATTTTATCTGTATCTTTATCTCTTTAGAGATGTCGAAACAGAATAACATTTGGCCCCTTCATTTACAACAGACTGTTTCCTAGAACATTGAAATTATAAGTTTATCCACTTTCGAGTTCATATTTGTATACTTGATTTACAGCAACACATTTATAAAACCAAGGAACACTCAAATTAAGAAGAGCTTTATGAAATTTATTTTAAATATCATACCAATCAACTATTTATTCATTAATTCACTGGATTCTAATTTAGGTAATTAATTTTTAAGCATCTTATTAATAAACTTACCTGCTATATAATTCTTCACAATCTTAGAAATCTAAGGAGTTTCTTATTTAATTTTATCTATAAAGGCTTTATAGTTAAGAATTGAATGGTCTAACAATATAAAATTATTTACCTTAAAAAATATTATTGACTAATAAAATAGGAGCTTAATCATCGTCATGACATAAAATATCGCCTTTATCACTTTACATATTTATTAGTTCCTAATTTATTACATGCTTTTACTTTGAATAATTTAACAGCATTAGAATAGCTAATAGATATTTTATAAACATTATTAAAATTGAATGTGTCTTTCTGCATAATCTCAGAACTAGAAAGCGATACCAAAATAAATAATATTTAAATATCCAAATTCTTCAATTAATTCTATAATTTCATAGAAGTTCTAGTAAATAAGTCAACTATGCTTTAAAGAATATGAATTACCGACTATTAGGAATGTATTTAAGTCAACATAATTTTAACCACCATAATTTCTCATGAAGATGTATAATTTTTAGGCGAAAACAGGGTTCTCGGTAAAGAATACTTTAAAACCTTCAAAACTAAAGTATTGATCTGCTTTCCTTTAATATATTTTGCAAATACCCTGGTTTTTATTGGGTCATTTTAGAAAACTGTTTGATTGCATAATCATAATCATTCTATGCGAAGCCAATTTTCTCTTTCATTTCTCTATCTCTTGATCCACATCCCCCCATAAAAAACAATAATTAAATTTTATAATATATATATATTGATACTAATTGTAAATCTATTAATTAATTAGAGTAATCATCATCAAAATTAATAGAGAGTACTCTATGCCAATGACGAGCATCCATCATCCTCTTATTCTGGTATGGCTATACACTCATATATTGAATTATTACCATTCATGTATGAATTTACTGAGTTTTGTTTAGCTTCTTATGAGGCTTATTTGATTTCCATTTGAATAGAAGCAAAGGCTTTTGCTAAATCATTCCTTCCTGAAGTCATACTAAAATCAGTATAACATAATGGTTGCTTATTTTCAACTGATTTAGTCAATTTCTAATCAAATTCATGACACTAAGCTTGCTCTGGTCGACAAGATTAAGTGATTTATTAGTGTTAATGAGTTTAATACTATCCTGGAAGTGCTTTTAATTTCTCTCTCGACAATACCCTTCTTTTCTTGCTATAATATAAAAATTACATTTAAAGATGAGTCCCTTGACTGTTATGGTTATTCAATAGCATCAGCCCAAATAAATTATTTAGTGTTCGTTCCTGCACTCGATACTTTTTATTTACTGCTATTTCTTGATTATATCTCTCCACTTATTGTAGGTCTCCCAGAACTTCCAAATTACTCTTATCTTGCTATTATGATCTTTTTATCAATGTGAATAGGAGGTTTAGTTTACTTTTGAGGACTTTTCTAAATAAGTAAATCTAAATGATAGTTACAATTTGTTGCAATGATTATTAATTCTATGTGAGGTTTAACGATGCTTTGGATGAATGCTGACTAGTTTTAACTAGCTTCTATTCTTGATTTTATTGCTCAATATTATTCGCATTGATTATCAATCTTTATTTTTAAGTACCAGAAAAAAGTGGCTTTCTCGGAGGTAAAGGCGATTTGACTGTTGACATAGGTTGTCCTGATCCAGGTCTTTTTCTCTCTACCTCTTCTACTGCTTATTTAAATAAGTCGGCATCGGATTTCATTCTACCATTAGATAAGTGTCTTTTCACTATTGACATTATTGTGTATATATTAATAAAATAATTATTAACTGTTCAGATTCCTTTAATATTTGTTTAATAATTTTGTGAAATCTATCTACTTAGATGAATTATGAATCGTTCCCCTACTAAAATAGAGAACTTCTATCAAAATTTAGAGTTTTATAATTTTAAGCTTACTATTAAAATAAACATTTAATCAATTCACACTATGATTTATTTAATGAAATTAATAATACTGATCACACATATCGGTATGATTGCCAGGTATTGCATTTATTTATTTTGATCTTTATTTGCATCATTCAAAACAAGTGTCATTTAAGTTAAACTGAAGATACAAATAGCTAAAATAATGCATGGCCAAATCACAGTGATAGTACAGTCTGTTATTAGTATAATAATGTTGTAAAACAATGTAAAGATAAGTAAAGATGTTACCCAAAACCAATTAAAATAGAATTGTAATTGAATTAGAGTAGCCACTTCAGTGTAAATGATAGCTATGTAGTATAGAATAACCACAGCTACCCATTTCTTGGATCCTTAATTATCATCACACAATCCTGGGATGATGAAAATCAAAAATGACAACAGCATTATTTCCCATGCAAACAATGGAAATGCGATCAGAATGGAATTCGAATTAATAATTTCATCCAACTGCAAACATATAAGAAGGACAAAAATTGGTAAGAGTCCAAAAGTGGAGTGTTAGGCTATTCCTAAGAACACTTTGGCTATTCTTGGATATTGCTATTAAGCTAGTAAAATAAATATTCAGTACATAACCATAGACTAGTCAAGATCCATATAACAGTATCACAAATAATGAAAACTATTGCAATATAAATCCATTATATCTAGTACTCTATCCTGAGAGCCAGCATTTGCAATATTAAATATATTGAAAATGCTATCGATATGCGTATACACTTAAATTACATCTCATCAGACCTTCTTACAATTTCAGACTCTGATCCTTGATATTCATCTCGATAATTATCATCCATTATTCGTTTTTGTAATATAATATATTATTATTTATTAAACACATTATCAATCCAAATTATTCATTACCTCAATTTTTCCTACTTTTTCTCGCTCTCCCAATTTTATCAGTTTTTTAAATCTTATTGCCATGACAAATCCCTCCTCATTCTATTTTTAATTAAATACGATATGAGCAAAAAACAGAAATTATAAACTTCAACAGTTACCGATTTTTATTCAAATTGTACTTAGGCCATCAAATTTCTGTAGGATACTAACAAAAATCAAATTTGATAAGCTCATAGAAATATCAGCAATACAAAATATACAATTATATTATTTTATATAAATTGATTAATAATATGCAATAAACAAAAATTAAATAACAGATCAATTCACTTAAGTTTTCCCAATTCGATATCTCTCTTGCAAACTGGACAATGCTTTTCTCTGGATAACCATTCTGAAATGCATTCCTTATGGAACACATGTCCACACTCCAATTGAATTTCAACAGGACTTCCACTGTCTTCTAAACAAATTGTGCAACTACAATATTAGACGACAATTGGCATACCAATCATTTGTTTAGTTTTAAATGATGCATTGCTTCAGAAGCTTTTAGATTTAGTGTTCCACTAATCCTCGACTCACAAATCCCATCTACTCTTAAAGTTCTTATAATTATTCGTAACTCATTTCATCTAAGTCAACATTATTTTACATTCTATAAATTATAAGAACAAATTTTTACTAGTTCAATCGATTTTAAAATTCCATCTCTTCTTATTATTAAAGCATCAAGGCAAAATGGAGAGATTTCTCTTCTTCATTCATTTCTTCTTAAAATTCTTATTATGGTTTTTCAACTGAAATTGTCTCTTGATTTTCTTCCTCAATTTAGGGGGCTTGCTTTCCTTTTAGTTGCACTTCTAACTCTTAGATTCTATCCTTTAATTCATTAATGGTATTTTTCAATTCGTCGTTCTCATGGCGCAATTCATTTATTAAATCAGATTTCGATTAGTGTTTTTATTAAGCTCTTTAAACATGTTAAGCAGGCACTTTGAATAGTTTATCGAAGGTTTCTCTCTATTCTGTACTTGATTTCAATTGGCTAACTTTAATAGGGCAGTCCATCTCTAAAATGTTTTAACAATAAATTTATTAATAATTTAATCAAATTCTCATTTATAGCTTTAAATTGCATGAATTTATGATCTCATTAATTATGAATCAAATTTCATGGGACTGAAATTAAATTGGTAATTTACTCCAAAGGAATTTTTTTAATATCAAAATTGATCCTTTGTTGACTTGAATTTTATAATATTTATATCAATAAATTAAATTTAATCTAAATTTAAATAGAATTTAAAATGGTAGAAAAAATGATAAGGAAATTAATGAGTTTCATTACATCGATAAATTCTTTTTGGCTTTCCTTACATCATTGTAAAATACATCTTTTGGAAACTTTTTAGTAGACCTTACTTGATTGTATTGAAATCCAAAGGAAAACTTCATATAATCTTCTTCCTTAGCTAAATGAATTTAACTATTATTATAAAATTACATTTTCCATACTCAAATCTAATTAAATTAAAATCTTATATTTATTAAAATAATGATTTCTTTAATTGGTTAGGATTTGTGTTCCTTCTTATATCATTTAACTTATTTTGCTAATGATGGATTTAAGAGAGGTCATCCAAAGTAGAGTCCTAAAAGTTGGCCTAAGGATTTATTTCTAAATTTTGGATTTAAATACTTAGATAATTGTTAGCTTTAATCGAAAGTTATGGTTTTATATCAGGTTAAAAGAAGTATTTGTGGTGGCTATCCTAGATATCTCTTTATACTATATATTTTATCAATAAAAAACCTTCCTTAATTTAATTTAATTGTTCTGAGTCTATTAGCCTTACTTGTTGAAATCTTCTCTAGAGCATTCTAATTGTTTCTTGGGATTTCGATCTTATCTAACTTGAGATCAGATTAATTTACGTAATAATACAGAGAGAACTTTTGGGTAGATTCTCTTATTCAAGTCCATTGATCTGTCAATTTCTGTTTTAATTCTTTGATGAGAGTGTCTGGCCTTTTAAGACCTATTCAACTCATGAACATCAATGGAAGTTTGCAAATAATGAGTTGGTCTCATTTGATTGTCTAATTTTAGGAAATGATGAAAAACTTTGAAGGAGATGAATGTCCTTGGATTGGTTGGAATTCTTATGTGTTAGATTTTGATATAATTTTTGAGGCGAATCTCCACCTCTACACTTATGAGCACTCTATGTACTTCTATTATCTTTGCATATTACTAAATCCTGAGAATGTTTTTAATACATAAAAATAATTAAAAATTCACTATTCTTATTTAAGAAAAATGATAAAATATATTAAAAAAATAAATAACTTTTAAACATATGAAGAATTAATAGGAACGTCCAAATTTGTTTATCTTGTTTCCCTAATCATTTAATCGAGATGCCAAGTATAAGTATGTTGAAATCAATTATTCGCCTTCGTTTAGTGAGTATTGATTTCACTCAATTTTATAAGAATCACGTAATGTATGATGGAGACTATCCCTATATTCAATAATGACAGAGATCCTGCCTAACCAGGATTTATCCCCCTCATTGATTAAGTATTAACTATTTTAAAATAGCCTCTGCACCTTTAACATAATGATTAATATCAGATCCAATACTAAAAAAAGTATTAGGAGTTGACCTCAAAAAATAAAGTGCTTGTAATTATTGTTATTGATTCAGCACTTCCCCAAACCCAAAAGTTAGTCAAAATATTGTAATGTTTGCAAACAACATTATGAAGATTATTTAGATGTATTATTTAACTTGAAAATTAGCATATTAAATCGAAAACACACAAAACACAATTTACAAAAAATCTTTACATCAAAAAAATCATGTCACAGGCCAAAGATGTTAAAGAAAAAGTCGTACAGACAATCGAACAGCAAGAATCTACTGAACTTTAACCTAAGAAAATGAAAAAAACTAAACTATGTTGACTTTTTATAATTATTACTCAATTCCTTTAATATAGCTATTAAAATCTCACTGAGACACTCCCGTTAAGTCTTTAGATTTCTCTTTGTGATGATACTCATCCACATATGCAATTGTCAACCTTACGATTACTACGCCATCTGATACTGATTAGAAATTATTGAATATTAATTTATTATATTGAAAGGTAAAGATCCTTTTATGTATATGCTCTTTAAAAATTGGAAAATATTATATTTCTCCTTAGGAACTGCATTTTAATAATTAATTTATTAATGTTAAAATTCCTTGAAAATAGAGATCCTCCTAGATTTAAAAGAGGCTAAGATTTTATGCGTTTTGAAAGCAATAGTCATCTCCCTAATAATAAATAATTTAACAGTCCTCTTCATTAGGATGTACTTATACACCATGATAAACCTCAATATTATGTAACGAAAAAATTGCCTCCTGTTTCTATTTATAATCCATTAGTTTAATTGACAGACAAAGTGGATAGACCAGAATACATTATCAAATAAAAAGAAGTTTATCATCCTCGTTATATGGAAGAATATTAAATGAAGGGCTTCAGAAAAAAACAAGGAATTTTCGAATCATTTCAACACCTACTTAACAAAAATTAAATTCTAATAGAAGGAGTCCATTCTGATAAAAAACCTGTGTCCTTTCCTGTAATAAAGGAGGAATTCAAAAAGATTTACAAATCATTGAATTTAGATAGATAGCAATCCTCCAGGAGCTAAGATAGCTCAAAAGTAGATAAAAGCAATTAAGACACTAGCAGATCATATATAAACAGTTATAATAAGAATTACAATTATCATGTATCAGAATAAAGTAAATTAAGGACTGAACATAAGAGTATTCAAGTAAGTTTAGAAAAAATGAATGTATAGAAGAAAACTGAATAATCTAAAGAGTTTCAATCAAAAATATTGCATTCATATTTAATTAGATAAGAAGAAGAGGCAGAAAAAGAAAGGTAGATGCGTTAATTAAGTATTTTTGATAAGAAGATCAAAGAACTTAGAATACATTAAGACAAACATGGCAGGAGAAAAATGACAATTGAAAAGAAGTCTGATTGATTAGAATGTCATTAATAAACTCTACTTTGAAATAAAATTAATTAATATATATATTGTAATTTATATCAAATGAATACCTTATAGCCACCACAACCACAAATCCAATAAAATTAACAACCACAACAAATACTTCAATATCCAAATTATCCACCTTCAGAAAATTAGGTTAGATATGATCCAAGAACTGCAGCAACATTTCTGAATCCAAAATCAATTTAGAAAAAAGCTAAATTTTGCCCGATCTGTGATTTTCCTGCAAGCGTAAGAGTTGTTATAAATCCTTGCAGACATTTCATGTGTTATGAATGCTACTATATTGATGGCTAAACATTTTGTAAATTCTGCAATGATATTGTTGGTTCAGTCAAAAGATTAGATGACACAGAGAAATTCTATTCTTGCGATCTTGATACATGTTTTAAGTAGAATTTATTCTTTAAATTTAGATATTTTGAATCTGAATAATAATTGGATGAACATAACACATAACATGCTATAATATTAGGTTGATTTTATATGTGATATTAAAATATATAATTTTAAAGATTATAAATAATTGAATCATAATAAATCCAATTTCGGATTAGATCAACTAAGAAAATATTTCATTTTTATAATTAACCATTTTTTTTATCTCAAATTGACCTTTTTTGTTCAAATAATAACCCAAGACTTTGATCTGATGTAGATTTAAGGATGTAGTTCGATTTAGAAATCATATACTAAAGCCAACCTTTTAATTGTGTATCGACGGCTTTTAGTTGAATATCAATTAATTAGGATTGACCTACCCTATACATCTAATGATTCGTAATACACAAGAACTCTAATGGCTTGTATTGTGTATTAATAGTTCCAACCTTATCTTCAAAAGTTGAATCAAAGTTAGATAATATATTTGCAACGTTTCTCTACTAAGTATTCACATTTATTGATTCTCTTTTGGCAACTTACTACTAAAAGACTTTGTACAATTTGAAAATAAATTAATTCTGATTTCAATTAAATGAATTGAACGATTAAATTCATAAAACTTAAATAGATTAAAAAAAGTGATAAACTATAATTTAGCTAATCTAGTTTCTGCCTACTTCTTATTTAGTTTATTATGATATTAGGAAAAACCCTTCTTGACTAAACAATACCGCATTTTGAATAGCTGAATACTTTCATTTAAATAATTAAAGATTTTTTGTATATTTCAATAAGTGGAAAACAATAAAGATTATTATTAAATTATAATAGTAACCTACTACTTAAGATGAAATTAGGGCATTTACTATTTAAATTCACTAAAGTAAAATTAATTAACATCATAATATAATCATAAATTATAAATCGACTTATGCATTGTTTATGAACCATTTTTTATCTCTGACTTTATGAATTTTATTAAGGTCCTATTATATGTAATATAGGGTCTAACTCTGTTCTAAATCTAACGGTTACTAAGTTAAGGTGCATATTTTGATTCATAATAATTAGTTTAGTATCTATCAAATTTGTTTATATGTAAGCTTGGAAAAAGTGTTGAGTTTCTATGATTTCCTGTTATAGATGAAGATTAAGGTGTAGTTACTTAATAGTTTATCGTATATGCTTTTTTTCTTTGTACAAATTCTTTAACTTCTGCTGGTTTCCCAGATAAAAAGCTAATCATCTTCTTATCAAATTATTTGAATTATTTTTCTTTTGTTAGCTCTAACTGAGATTTAAGTTGTTATTTAATAATTATTTGCTTTGGAGGAGTCTTACAGGATGGAGGTCTTTCCAGATGATCATATTCTATGATGATAAGGATAATTCATACCAACCAAGGATTCTTACTTCGATAATTATCTTATGAGACTTGGCTTTTTAGTTGTTCTTTTTCTTTTTTTTCTCTCCAAAATATCAGCGAAACTTGTTAAGGCAAATCTTTATCCATCAATTTATTTATGTTATTCAATAGTTGTTGGAAGATTTTGGAATTATTTTGCTGTCATCTCGCCAAATTGATCACCATATGCTGATTTTCTTCTGCTCAATTGTTCTTATCTCATAAGAGTTATTTTTTCAATTGCCTTTTTTAAAGGTTTTAAATTAATAAATTTCTTAGCTTATAATTACTTCTCTGTAACTATTGGTGTAGGTTCATCTAATTCATGTTCTTTCAGCATTCTCATGGAATGCAATAGTGAATTCTTCTTGATTGTTTTTTTGAAATCATCTCTGATTTTTGTTTTTGATTCTGAGGTAATCTAATTTAAAACTAGATGACTCACTCTTCTCTCAGTAAAAGGGAATGAAGAATAGTCACTTTGTTCTAATTACAGATAAATAATTACATAAGTAGTTTATCATAAATTATAAAAATTAACAAATAAAAGTTTATTGATTATTAATATGCATATAAAGTTTTGTAAGATTGTCCTTTATTTATATACATCGATATTCTCAATAATCCTAAAACTAAGTCCAAATTATAAAAACAATCTCAAAATCCTATTAAAACTTATGGAAAATTATCAATTATTATGATTATTTCTTATTTGCTTATTAGGCTCAAAGTAGCATAATAATTTCTAATAGCTAGAAATTTGATATTTGTAATAATGTATATAAAATATTCTAAAGTTATGTAGGTTATAATTATGGATGTTATAATAGGATTTTAAAATCTCTCGCCTTGTAGTTGTTGTTTAAATGGTTACAATTTAATGTTTATTATGTTATTATTATAATATAATTAAAATATTCATATTAAAATATGAGTTATCCTAATATATAAGAGTTTTTAGATGACTTTGAAAAACAGAATGATTTATTAGGAAAAGGGACATACGGTGAGGTTTATAAAATGAAAACGAAGAGATGCATCAATCCTGATTAAGAAAAGCTTTAGGAAGGACAAGATGGTTATAGTGGGTAGTATTATGCAGTAAAAATGATGAATGCTAAGACAGAAAAGTCGTTTACAACGATATAGAAAGAATTTCTCATACTAAAAAGTCTGCCAAACTAACATCCAAATATCATTAAGCTTTACAAGGTAATATTAAATTAAATAAGTAGAGTTATGCATGGGCCAATCAGATCACTAAAAACTACACATTAGTTTTAGTTATGGAACTTGCCGATAAAAGCCTGATGAAGGAGATCGAAGAGAGAAGACAAGCTAACAAATATTTTTCTGATGACCAATTGCATCACATATTCTTGTAATGCATACAAACATTAAATGATATCAAACTGCATTCAAATATTTATCATAGGTATTTGATTGATCAAAAATAGAGATATAAAACCTGAAAACATCCTTCTAAATAAAGAGTAACAAATAATCATTACAGATTTTGGAGTGTCTCGAAAATTAATGAAGGAGAAGTTACCCACCATTAATGGCACATTGGTTGGAACACCAGCTTACTTGTCTCCAATATTATGGAAGGCTTTTGAAGAGGGGCAATTCTAAATTTCAAAAATTAATAAAATCACTCACAATGTAGAAAAATCTGATGTTTATTCATTGGGTGTAACTTTGCTATAGACAACTCTACTGTTGAATTCAGAAATATAAAAATTAAATTCTGTAAATTTACATAATTGATTCAGGGTGAACAAGGTTAGTAAGTAACTAAAGACTTGTTGAGGAATGTCTAAAATCAAAGAATTAAGTATATCCTTACAAGAATGCTAGAACATGATGAAAAATAAAGAGCTACCTACAATGAATTACTTTAACTATTGAATGAAACGATGCCTAAATAAGTAGGTTAGATAAAGAAGCCCATATTTTCATATGTTGAACCGAAATTGGGAATTAAAGAACAATTTAGTTTGTAGGCCAAAATTAAATTTGAAAATAATTGTAAAAAAGATTAACAGGAAACTCAACAAAGTCCATAGTAATTAGAATAACAGACAGAAATAGAAACCATAAATTAAAGTTAATTGAATTAATAAGAGTTAAATGAAAATAAAATAAAAGATTTATGAAATTTATTACATATCTATTTACATCAAATAACTATAATGACAGTAGTCCTCCGAATAATAAAGACCTTATGATTCTAAATCAAGATAATTTAAGATGAGTCTTTTAGTATTTTAGGAGAGACATAAACTATTATTTATATATTTTATAAAACATGATTTATCAAAATTAAAACCTTTTGAAGAGAGAATAGTTTATAAATGTAACATTTAAGAATGATGGAAATTAAAAAATCGATTATTAACCACTGATTAAAAGATCAACTTTAAGTATACCCAAAGGACTTATTGTTTAATGATGTAATTTGATAATTTATAAATTAAAACACAAATAAAAGTACATTAACTTCATTTTTTGATTATTCCTCTTCTTAAAAATTAAGAACGCATAATTTTTTATTTCTATAAAGTTTCATTAGGTATGTAACGATTATAAAATTAATTTACTTTGGAGAATTGTATTTTCAATTTCTGAAAATATTGAAACTCAAAAAATATAAAATGATAAAAGCCTATTAATGATAAAAAGCAAATCCTTGATAATATAAGATAGCTATTACATGATAATAATTTCTAAGTCCAAAAATTCAAAGTATTGCTCGATGATATTTACGTTCCAAGAATTCACTGCCAAAGTAGATGAATCAAATATTTCATTTTGGAACTGTCACACTATTAACTATAATTATATATACCAATTAATAATAATATATATCTTCAAGAGTTAGATTATCAAATCTACCTTCCGTTGTATTTAAAGTAACCAATATAATTTAAGATACTAATTTAAAATAAAAGTTTAATCCATGTCTCAAAGCACCATTTAAATAATCCGAACATAGTTTTTCTTAAGATACAAATATCTCATTCTAGCAAATATTTCCATTTAATATAATATTTTCTTCAACAAAATTAGTTAACTCAATATCCTTTTCTTCTAATTCATTGTATATAAAAGATAAACGATTTTTTAAATATTCAACATCAATTAAATTTTCAGAAAGGATATCATTATCAGCTATGTAGATCTCCTTAACTAAAGTCATTGATTCAAACATTTGAGAGTTTAAAAAGAAATTTTGAGCATCGAATTTGTGTTTCATATTAGACAATTCTATAAGGGCTAGAACATTAATGATTATTAGTGATAATACTAATAATGGTTATAGCATTAAGTATTGGCTAGTTAGAATATACTAAATAAAAATTCTGATTATTACTTTAATTCTTTATTGGAATTTTGATATCATTAGTGATTTGTAGTGTTTTGCAGATTTGTTATTAGTCTTATTTGTTTCAGTTTCTGATTGAGGAAATATCTAATGATTAATTGAATTAGATAACGGTTCTAGGAAATAGAATAAAATTGTACTTAGAGGCAAATTCTTAGTTTCAAAACAATGTATAAACTAATATCTCAAACCACTATAATACTAATTAACTTTAGACACACTATCTTTCTCAATTTCAAATATCTATTATTAAACGAACTAAATTAATTAACCAGATTATTCTTACGTTTTATTTATTTATCAACTTAAACACAATTAAAATATTTATAATTACAATTATAATACTAGATATTGTATGATAAGTGATTATTGTTATTCTGAAAAAGAATTATTGAACTTAAAGAAACTCAAAGTTTTTAGTCATTTCCAAAATTATTTAGGCTAAAGATTCCATTAAGTATGGATACACAATCTCCCTAAATTGATTTAATAATTTCAAACTTGAATGAGGTTCTGCCAATTATTCTTACTAGAATAAGATTAAATTAACAATATACGAATTATAGATGTCAATTATTGATTAGTTATTACTTTTATGTATATCGATATTATAAAAGCAATCAATATAACTTTGAGATTGATAAGTATGTTTTATTAAGTTCAATTGTTCCTTTACCAACAATTTATAATGATCATAAAATTGATCATTATTCACATTAGCAAATTCAAGAATTGAACCTTAAGTCTAATTATGATTAAATAATGACACATCTATAAATACATTATAGACTTTTAAAATAGATAATTATATCGTGAAAAAAAGGTTCAATTGAGAGATGTCTTAGTCAAATACTAACTTGGAATTCTCTGAATCTGCAAATATACAAATCATTATATAAGATAATAGAATCTGTAATAAAAGAAGTCTGCTATACAATTTGAATTAAACAAACTCATTCAAACTAACCACAGAACATTTATTCTGATCGTCCTTTAAGAAAATATTCTCATCAACATTAAGACTCAAATTTATTTATTAATTCTAATTATAAAAGTCTCCAGTGATTTATTCGTAGGTTATCAAAGATTTACTTTAATTGATTCTAAATGATTCATCCACATATTAGCTGTACGATTAGTTCAATTACATTTATATTTAGTTCATTGTATTGACACTGCTTTGTACTTATTTGAGTGATTGCCGCTACTTTATGACTAATGAATTCTAAATTATATAAAATGACCAATTTACATAGACATTTGATCTAAAATTGTCTTCGTAGATTTCAAATCTATTAAACTTTATGATTACATTCTTATCCATCAAGTTCCTCCTACTAAACTTAATTGATCCATCCACTTTAATTATTTTATTGAGATTCCTTTTACGATAGCAATATTTTATATACAATTTTTCTAAGTAATAACTTAAGTGTTACTTAGTATTTGGTATTGCGATTGATGATATTCTTCCTACAAACTGTAAATTCTTTTTAATAATTCAGGTTAGTTAATTTTTAATTAGCCAAACTTATCCTTGACAATTAAATGTCTTTCTAAATTTAAATACATCATAGACTTTTTCAGTTAAAAGTCTGACAAAATCTCTAATTTTTACTTGTGATATTCTTCTACCAAATCCTCAATATTCTTAGGAATTCTCAACAAAATTTAAGTATGTTCAACATTTACAATTTTCTAAAAATTGGAATGCTCAATACGTATTAATTCATCATCGATGATTTATAGATTTGAAGTAAACTGAGTTTGATCTGTTGTTTTATTGAAGTAATCTTTAAATTCAAAATAATTTTGACTATTTAACACGCATATATCTTCTAATTCCTCCTTTATTTTCTCTCTCTCTTTTTACTTTAACGATTCCTCATCTTATTATTTGGGTACATTTTTGAATGACAAGTTAAAAATTGACAAATCCTCTTAAGTAATATACCTTTGATACTTAGTAAAATTTAATAACTGTGGACAAATAATAAATACACAAACTTTTGATATTAGTAACGGCAACAGTTATACAGTCATTGAATCAATTTCCCAATCTTCATTTAAAATCAAATAATTTTATTATTATAATCTTATTAAGGGTCTAATCATACAAATAAACTCTAATTAATTAAACCTATTGATTTCAAGTTTTAAATATTTATTGGCTGGTATTATATAGTTTTATTAATGCTACATATAGACTTTTTTCCTGTTATATAAAGTATTACTTTTGCTTTGAGACTTGAACATGAGTAGTTAAATTTAGTGATTTCGAATCATTGTTTAAGGGATGAGTTGATAAATATTATTCAAGTTGTAATAGCCTGTTAATTCTTGGCAAGATTAACTTTACTTTAAAATGTTGCCATTAAGATCAGTATGCAAAATTATTGATGTTTTATTGAATGATTTATCTTTGAAGTACTTATTAAATACATACTTATCATCATCTGATTCTGAATCTTCATAGACGAACTCTTCTTATGAAGCAGTCTCAAAATATTGATTTGATTTGATTTTTTAGTTTAAGATATGAAGACAATACCAAGAATGATATAGTTGCCATTTTATCCTTCTATCTAAGTAAGATATTTTAATGATTTTGTCTCTGATTCTCGTTTCACTATTAAGAATTAAGTCCCATAAAGAATTGCATTTAGATATATTTTCATTGATTAAGTCGTCGTATTGAATCAATATGTCTTGATTGATTTAATTTCTTAAAAGATGTTTCCAAAATTATATTTTTAAATTTAGAATATCTTAAATATAAACTTTAATCTATTGAACAGTACTCTCCATTTCTAAAGCTCTTTCAAAATCTAGTTAACCATTATATGATGAGGTATTCTAATCCTGAATCATAATTTTGATTTAATAGATTATCAATCGTAACTGAAACTTTTGTAGATAATTAATTTTGTATTAATTCTTGAGTAAATTACTAATTGATGAAATAGCCAAAGATTTCAGATTCATATTGAATACAAGAAATCTAATATATAAAATGTGTATTTCAATATCAGTCGATGAAGTTATCAAATATTATTCATAAAGGCTTTTAATTTCCAATTTAGTATAAAGTTTTTTATTTTTTTTAACAGAATGTAATGATTTTGTAACATCATTATTTTTTTTAGCGTTGTAGATTACTTTCTATTAACAGTAACATCTCATCCCTATGTTTTTCCAATCATTATGATTATGAGATGTATTCAAATGATGAACTATCACTCCGAAATAGAAAAGCTCCTTCACTTCGTTCATATCATTTATCAATTCTGATAAAAAAAAGACTTTTCTCACTACATCTTTCGCATCTTGGCTATTCTTGATTATGAGATTCGACAATTTGCTCAAGACAACCTTTTAGTATGTCAAAATGAAAAAGGCTTACACAATCAAGGATATAATTAAGGTGTATTCTTGATCACTTAGGTTCATAAAATAGGCTAAGTAAGTATATATCATAGATATTGTAATACTTACATATAAGAGTGATGTCAAAACATACAGTTTTTGGATCTTAGATTAAAATAAAATGAGAAATATATCACCAGAGTAAAACTATTACAAAGTCACAAGGCTGAAAAGAATTTAGGCAACAAAGAAGATGACCTAGAGTCGATATTCATATTAGTACATTATTGTTCACAAACTAGAATTTGATGTTATAAACTATTCCCATCACTAAATGCTATAATCTGAAGTATGTCAAAGAATCATTGTTGTTGAAACTCAAAAAATCCATTTTCAGTTTATAATTGTAGAGTAATGTTTGTTGAAATGCTATTATGATGAAATTCAGTATAAATGCTAAAATTGAAAAGATTTCTAATATTATTCTAAAATATGAGTTGAGCCTAGTTGATAAATGCAATTTTAGGTTTATGTTTTCGAAATCGAACAAATATGTAGACTATATATAAACTATAGGAAAAATTAAAATCCATTAGTAAGCTTCTTGAATATGTACAAAAATCTATTTAGTTTTGTAAATTTACTTATGCTAATTTCATTAGGAATGTAGTGCGATCACCTTTGGTTTTAATCTAGAACCACAATATTAAAAATAAAATAATGATCAAAATTGGTATAGATACGCTTAATATAAGTAGAATGATGTAACTCTATAATGATTGGGTAATGAGTGCTTCAAGACTCAAAAAATTGAATGGAGTTAACAACCTTTCAATGACATCTGTATGTAAATCCTCAAAAGACTCAAATGATGCTTCGACCCTATAAATTTGAACTTTTAAATTACTTAAATAGCAAATTGAAATAAAACAGCAATGACCCTATGCATATAAAAGAAAAAGCTTTAGTGTATGAGGCTTTCTTTATATTTAGCAAATAATGAATTGTTATCAAAAAATTATCGAAATTCATATATATTAATATTAATAAGACTTTAAAAAATAAAAAGAGAGCATAATGAGAACTCAAACTTAAGAAAATATAATAATAATTTGAATATAAAATTATAATTAATTATGAACCCTCACTTTATTTTGTTTAATAAGTTTTAGCACCAGTTCATCAAAACACCAACATCTACAGTACTATCATTAATTCTCAATTGCAGTATTATTCAATTCATTCACATTGGAATGTAAAACAGATAAATTCATTAGACATACTCGCAACATTCCAGGGAGCTAATGGAATCAGCAAATGTTCAAATACATAGACATAATAGAATTGGCAAAATCTACTTAAATCCTCAATTTAGTAATATTTATTATAACATCCATAATCCCTATTCTCATAGTATTTTTATATTTTGTGATTTATTTTCACTACAATCGGCACCCTAGACGCAGGTAAGAAGAAAACACATTGGAAAAGGTAATTAAATAATTAAATAGCCTAGTTGTTTATCAGGTTGCTTACAATATAAGAATGGATATTTTTTTATCCAACAATTTAAATTCACACTTTAATTATCTCTTGCAAGTATTTTGACGAATCTAATTTTAAATAATTATGCAACTTTACTTTATTCGATGACTTTGCTATTATTATATTATCTATAATAATATTGATTGTATCCATCTTTATTTAATTTACCATAATTGCATTCATAAGAAATGACAAGTTCTAAAAAAAAGATTATTCATCCTTATACTTTAAGAATGGACAAATATATGTGATTATAAATTAATTGCTGTAAAATTTGTTTGCTTGTTTATACGAATCAAACAGCACTGTAGAATATGTATTATGTTTGTTATATCATTTTAGTTAAGCTTGCTAGTTTTTCATACTGTATTTCACTTAATTATGTGGATGTTAGCAATTACAAAATGGCCAACTTTTAATTAAGCATTTATATAGTACTGGTTTATCCTTATCATTAATATCAATCTTTCCCTATATGTTTCCTTTATGTTAGATACAATTTTTGAATATAACAACTCAAAAGGATATGGGTTGTACCATTTTATATGGATCTTGATAATGTTATTTTTTACTTAATTGAAAATTTCAGAAGTGTAAATGAAATCCCGGTTATTTTAGAACATAATTAATGAATAAACCTTACTGACTAAAATATAATCATTCGAATAAATGATTTCAAGAAGAGATAAGCAATCGAATATTGTTCTAGTCTTGGGAATTGTTAGATCACATCAAAATTCGAATTGCAAGAATAATTTAATTAAGTAAGATCTCAAGAGGTGTTATTGTACTATGAAAATGATTTATGACCCAAAAAAATAGAATGACATTAGAAATCTATCCTCATCCATCACTAAGCATATCAATATCTTCTCTAAACTTGTTATAAAATCTTGGTATGAATAATACATAAATGAAAATTAAAGTAATTATTCCATTCGATTGCAATACTCCTAATATTTATTTTATAAAATAGACTTATATGCCCAATCATTAATTGAATTAAATAAACTGAATACTTAATTGAAGTCTTTCAGTGATTAATTATAATTTTGTAATTTGTCCTTAAAAATTAAATAAAAAATAGACATATTATGCATGTAGAGTTATAAATAAAAGTTTGATTTTGAAGTTGTTGTGGCAATCGAAGAATCCATTAAAAGGATTTAGAAATCAATTATTTATATTCTGGACATGCAAATTAAAATGTTTAAATCCATAATTAAGTATCATGATATTAACGAACAATTGTTGATTAAAGATTTTGATTAAACCCTGAATAAAATTTAGGAAATAAAAATTAATTGGAAAGACATAACTAGAAGGCAAATTATTTAGAATGACAAAGTCTAATCGAAATCCTTCCTAAATCGAAAAAAAGAATTTGCCATTCTTTATAATTGGTTTCGGTAGAATATATTAAAGAAGAGAGTCAAACAATCGATATTACCTATAGAAGCTGATGAATTTATATAAGAAGAATCAGACTCAGATAGTGAGAACGATCACTTTTATGATCAATAGAAAATATTTAATCTGTTATCTGGAATAATTCATTGTAACACAAATGGAGAAATCCTAAAGTTTAGTTAAAATTGTTAAACTCTATATGGATAGCAATAGTTGAAATCTATATTTGAATTGATTCCTCATTCAATGCAAAGGAATCATCAAATAGCTATGAGACAATTTATCGAGAACGGCAAGAGAAGAAGTCTGTTTAAAAAATTAAAGATATTTTATATCAATGAAACATCAAATATAGTTTAGGCTAATAAATATCTAAAATGTATTTTAAACTAAAAAATGAGTATAGAGTATGTATGTATGATAAGACCAATAATTAAATTGACTCCAACTAATTTTATATTGTTGAATGAAAACTGGGAAATAGATTCTACAACGATTCAAATAGAGAAATTATTCTAAAAATAGAGTTGCCTATTAATTTAATGTCCCAAATTATTAAGATATTCTCATTACCAAGCGCTAATGAAGGACAATGATTATGATTTCTTTTAATTGAGGATATCACAAAACTAAAAATAATATATTTAAGAACTAACATAATATGTCTAAAGTTAATAAAACATATCTGTGTCTCATCAAACCAGAAGATATACGAATAGACGAGGCGATAATTTTAAGTATTTGCTAGATCAAGCCCTTGTCGATGAGAATGTAAGTAATGGGTATGAATTCAGTAAAAACAACGTGAAATTCCGCAAAATAATAGATGAAAATAATATCACTTTACATATAAGGATTCCATTGGATGAAAAATAACTCAATGAGGATTATTCAGAATTTATAAGATCACTTAATCAGGATGATTAAATGACAAAATCAATGAGAATATAGAGATTAAGGAAGATAGTAATCAGGAATGAATATGGCTTACTTAGATTTAATAAATATGAATTATTGAGAAGGATAATGAAATACAAATTATTGTCTTAGAAGAAATATTACCATCAAATAAGTACAATATCATTTTATAAAGAAAAGCTTTTTGAAGAATACTGTTCCAATACAAATAACCTGAATAAAGTGCTTAAAATCGAAGGTTCCATTCTCTTCACTACCTAGTCATCTTTTGACAAAACTATTATTATCAAGGTTAATAGATTTGAATTTTACGAGCAGGAAGCTAAAAAATACACTGTAATTTTTAAATAATTGTTCATTAGAGTTCAAGTCAATCTGAGAGAAAGCGAACTACATCGTCATAATCCACTTAATTTATATTAAGAAGAAATTCAGATATCTATTTTTAGAACTTCTTTTAGAATCAATAAAATAATATATAGACCTTGCCTTAAGATAATGACTGTGATTCAATCAGGGATAACATTACCAAGACATTGATTACTGAAAATGAATTATAAGTTGATTTTTCAAACCAAAAAGCTATATCAGATGATGGATTCTCTAAACAGAATTGGTTAATAAAAAATGAATTCATTAAGGATGATTTAAATAAGATTCCAAAAATGTTAGAAGAACTAACTTATATTAAATTATTGAATCGTTTTTTATTAATCAGTTTACTAATTTTAATAATAACTGAATATGTTTTTGGACCTTAACTTTATATAAGTTCAATTATTTAGAATTCATTTAACAAGGTCGAATTAGTTACATCATTTGTTTAAATCATATCTAAAACCTATAATTCAATTATTGACTTAGATCTATCTCTAAAAGACATTCACATGGCTAATCTGACACAGATAAGTAAGCTTGCCCAAAGCTCTGTCTCATAACTCAACGAATTGACCCTAGAAACTTAAGATTTCATTTCAATTTTCACTCAAAATACAGATTTTAATGAAAATATCTCCACACTTGATTTAATAGGAACTTTTAGAGCAAATGTTAATAACTTTTTACAGGTTACATTAAATGTTGATCCAATTACTCTAAATGAGACAATCTCTTTCTATAGAACTAACTTAATACCCTACTTTTATGTGACTTTGAACAAATCTATGGAAAATATTAACTAAGCCTTAGAAGCTAATTTAGAATATATTAAAGGGATTTTCTAGGCATTCCTACTCTTTATCTCATTATTTAATGGTACTATTATATTTTCAAATATAATGTTTCTCTTTTAAATGATCAAAAAAATTAAAGTATTTAATAGATATTTTATTCAAGTTATTACTGAGTTCATTTTCTATGATAAACAAATAACAATTTGTTTTGATATATAAATACTAGATATCTTTGAGACAATAACTGAGATTCTTAAACATCACCAATTTAAATGGTAAAATTGATTTCAATGACTTAGCTACGCAAAATCAAATAGAAAACCTTATGCAACGAGAGAATTTGGAAGTTGAACAGGATAAGGACTATTCAACTACCAAATACACTGAGTCATAACATTGGATTAGGCTAACAATAAAAGTGTTACTCTCTTATATCAGTATAATGACGATGCTTTTAATAATGGGAATATATTATAACTTCTACCTGCAATCAATTATTGATGGAATATCATTATTCATGTAGACTAATGCTTTTACTTAAAACCTACTCCCCTTTTGGGCAGTTGTTGCAATAAAGGATGCTTACTGTTTTTAATAGCGCTATTAAAATGAAATTAATTTAACTCAGTATCTTGAACTAATTAATCAATTTTAATCAATGTAGATAACCAAATCAGTTTATAATAACAATTTATAATCTGTTCAATCTCTATTTTATGGAGATCAATGCTAAAATGGAAACTTAAGTATATATTCACCCAAAACATAGATTTATCATCGTATGAAACATAGTAATGTTAATACTTGGTAAATGGAGCATTAACCAAAGGATTGATTGTTTATTATGATTATTTATATTAGATATCAATATCTTTGACAAATTCAAGTGATACGAGATTTGAGAAGGTATCATTAGAAAGGTTAATGGAATTCAGTGAAGTAAGCATTAAATATATTGGATAGTTGTAAGGCATATTGTTTTCGCTGCAAAATTTCGCAGTAATTGAATTTAATAAGGAAATCAATTCTAGATTAAGTGATTACATCTAAGTAGAGAAAGCATTAGTGTAAGATATATATATAATTAATCAAAAGGATTGTCTTCATTTCGTTAACTTGTTTGTTTTACTATTTAATAATTGAAAGTTATTTCCACAATATGATGGATTCTTAATACAGAAAGTTTAGATAGTTTTATGATCAAAACTATCCGAATAGCATTTTGCATTAGAATAAGACTTTAAGAGCTAGATTCAAAAAGTACGGAATTTTAAAGAAGTGAGATTTGATTATCATGTGATTATTTTATAAAATGTGTTCGAATAATGCTTTCTCTAACATAAAATGAAATAAATGATAGAGCTAAAGTTATTCAGTTACTCTCTATATTAATTATTGGTTTCTTAAGAGTAATCCTCTTCATTAAGAAGGAATTAATAATTAATATAATTTATATATACAATTCAAATATCAATAAAATATGATGGCAGCTCACAATCATTTTTCCTCTGAGATTGAACACTTTTCCTCAGTTATCATGCTATATTCATTCAGTTTGCGTATTTCTTCGGGTAGCGGGTTATTGGGATCTATAAAATCCAACTTGTTTGAGGATTCATAATGGTATAGGGTGATGCATAGAAACAATGAAATTAGACCTTGAATTAAAGTGAAAGTATACCTAGAATGGAATAGAAAAGCGACATGTTTTTATATCCAATTTGGGGGTCATCTGCAAATTCAACAATTTTGCCAGCGATTATAGGGAAAAAACATAAAGCAATTGACTCAAACATGCCAAGAATTCCAAAAGCAGTTCCCATATATTTTTAGTCTACAATGTATTACACACAAGGTATCATAACACATGAATAACATGTAAATGCCAAACCCTAGATAATTAATGGTATAGCAGCTATCCACTTCTCATTGCTGGCAACATGAACAGAGCCGAATAATATTTATGCTATGATAAATAGAAATGAAGTAATCATTAAGAAAAATCTGCGATGACCTACTTTATCAATGTAATATCCAATAAATGGACATAATAAAGCACTAAAAATGTAAGGGATTGTAATGAATTTACCAGCTTCAACAGGTTTAAATTAGAATTTCTTCTAATAGTAATCACTGACATCATCCATAAAGGAAATGTAAATTCCCAGACATAATGAACAAATTGCAGTTAGATACCAATACAATGCAGGGAATTCTCTGATTTCTTGTAATCTTGCCCTTTCTGTATGTAAAGTGTTTTATGTGATTTATTAACTATCATTTAAAGTGTCATGTGATTCATCATTACCAGAAATACTCGATTTCTCTTATTGTTCTTATTGTAAAATAGAGTCTCTTGATTTATCAAAAAACAACAATAAAATTGCACACAGGAGTGAAAAAATGCAAACAAATACACTCGTGAACAACGGATATGTAATGCTTCCAGTATAATCATAGATCATAGGCGAAAAGTAAGAGTTCAATGCTGCTGCTATTTCTGGCAATGTTACTATACAACCACTTGCCTTTTTATATTTTATATATAAATACTGTAGATAATTGGTGACCTTTAAACCAAGCTGTGATGATTACATTTTATGAGATAATCAAATTTTCACTTGATACACCTAAAAATACTCTTCCGAATAACATCAAGTGAAAGCTGTGATACTTTCCTCCAAATGCTATTATGGTTTAAGAAACGGTAACTAGGGATGCAAATATTATTATGCTCTTTCGACTACCTACTTCTAATTATACTTAATACCAATTCTATCTATCAGATATCCTCCAATTAAGGTGAGTAGGATATTTGGGAAGCTGAAAAAAGAGTAAAGATAGTTGAACTCTGTTAATGAAATATGCACTTCTTCCATTATTTAAGATTGCAATGCTTGTGGATTGTCAAAAGAATAATTGTTTCCGAACAGCAAAAGGGCTGATAAGATTAAGATTATCAATCTTGTTGTTTTTATCTTCTATTTATCCTACTTTTAATCCTAATCACCCATTTGTCAATTTATTAGAAAATGAATAATATTAAATTTATAATTCAGTATCATCAAATGATAATTACTATTAAAACAACCCTACAGCATACACCTAATCTCATTTCACCATTGTTATAACCATTCTTAATATACATAAATTTAAAATTTACTCAAATTCACTCTGGATAACATAGCGGAATTATAATTTCTAATATATATGTAATTTTTAACTATTTTTACTTCATTTTATGTTTAAGAAAAACAATAAGGAGAATCTAAAACCAATCACTTTGAACATTCCTAAAATGGCTTAAAGGAATCAACTCAACTCAAATAGCATTTAATCAAATGCTTATTTAGTAGAAACCTCCAGGTCTCCCAGAATTAGCTGTATTTCTTATTAAATAATTAGAATTATATCAAAAAATTTAATAGTCTATCGATTAAAAAGCAGAAAATGAATCACAAGATGTTGTTTCATTTCATCAACAAAAAATTAGAGAGAAAATCAAAGGTTACAATGAAACCCCTACAATCACGAATTCTTAAGATTCTTTTAATATTTGGAATGATGAATAGCAACTCGATGGAAATATCATTGAAAACTATACTTTGAGATTTAGATCATTTGATAATTTCATTTAAAATAATATTTCTTAAGATGAAATTGCATCAAACATTTTAAAACTATTAGGAATGAAACACAAAATGAAGAACTTAGGAAAGATCCCATTCTTTAAAGAACAACCATAACAATCGACCAATTATTTTGTTCCTCCGTAAAAAGCATATAGATTATTCAAAAAAAGACCCTTAAACTTTACTAGTACTTAATAAAATTCAAATCAAACTTTTTAATTAATCAATTCGAAGTCTAGATTAAACTCTTTGGAGATTTAAAATTTGAATCAAACTAATTAAAGATAGCTCAGTTCGCCTGATATATTGAAGATAAAATTTAAACAATTAAAGATGAAATGAAATTACATATATATATATATATTTAGGATCACCATTACTAAACAGTTTTACGCTAAAATCTTCTTATTTTAATTATCATGGTCTTCACATAATGAAAGAAAGTGTATTTATTTAAATACTCTAACTCTCTTTTTCTTCGTTTAGATGATCCTTTCGGAGTTTTCTCAATTTAGATGATTATGGCTGAAATATTATTAGACGGCATATAATCTTTAAAATTCATCATCTGATCAATATGCATACTAGTTTGATGAGTTGATACTAATAGTAAATCAGATTAAAGTTTGTTGAATGATGAAGAATTGAAAGAGTTATTTAATAATTAATTTTGAGATTTGAGTTCTTGCTATAATACTGACATTCTTTATTTGGGCATGTAAGCAACAATAGAAGGTCTAAATTGTGTTTAATGTCTTTTCTATTGAACCTAATTAGAGGAAACGAAATGTGTAGGTTGAACATGATCCTACTCACTTATGACAATCCTTGATTTTGGTTCATCGGATGTATATTTATCTTTTTCTTCATAAGTGGTTTTGTATAGGTAACCAGATAAATAATCAGAGATTTGAACTTTAGATTCATTTTCCTCTTAAAACGCTTTAATTGACAGTTCTATGTTTTTGTAGAGTTTTCTACAATTGGATTTATGAAATGACCTTTTTTGAAACACCCTTAAATTTTAATTCTCCTAGAAAGCTGCTGCTTTGAGTCTCTATTCTAAATTTGGTTTATAATAAAATAAGGGACAATCTATGATTTAATGAGTGAATAGTCTGCAATTCTAACAACTTGAGATGCACTTGGAGTAGTCAGAATTCAGTAGTATTTAATCTTTAATATTATGAAACCTTTGAAAATCCTTTTAATAATATTGAATGATTTATAGGAATTTATCCCTCTAAATTTTATAGAGCACTGCATCATTTAAGCACTTTGCAGAACATTTAGGATAGAGTCCAGTAAAAAAAGAGAATTCTCCAAATTTATCACCTTTATTTAGTGTTGCTAAAGTTTTGTTTGATTTTTCTTCAAATAAAGCAATCGATCCTGATTAAACAAAATATCTACTTTATTAAAAATAAATACAAACTAGAATCAGTATATTCATTTTATTAGAATACTATATCATTAGATGCTAAGTATTAAGTCTCCAGAAACCTTGAGATATCAGTCACTGCTTAGGTTGAAAATAAATCTTTGAGAAAAGTTATCTAATTTAGGATCTTTAATTAAATTGACTTTGTAATTTGGTTTCTCAAATCCTCTGGTAGTTTCTCCATTATATTATTAATTTCCTCTTGGCTCTCTAAATTTTCATTTTGAAATAAATGATGTTTTATGAAGTTCCTGGCTCTCAATTACAACTCCACTTCAACATTATTCTTATCCATGTAATCATTTATTCTCAGTAACATTTTTTTATATTAATACTTAGTATCTTATATATTCTTCAAGATAATTCCAATGGAGTTGAGTGAATATGCATACACACAACTTGATAAAAACATCATGATTATGGTGAATACTATTTCTATCCAATTCTAGGGTGTTATATCCCCATACCCAACTGTTACAATAGTGGTTGTAGCCCAATATATTGAATAGTTATATTTGATCATTATACTTTCGTTCTCTAACTCATATTTCTTCAACCAAGACTTATCTAAGAGCAAGTCACTCTTCTCTCCAACGTAGAACCATATACATGCCATTATATGAGAAAAAAAAAAGATTGTTATGACAAGAGAAAATAAATCTATCAAGTTCGAGAAAGATCCTTTGGAATAGAGGGATTCAAGAAATTTGTCAAAATTTGTTAAGACTTTCTTGGTTGTTACTATAATTTATATCATTTACAGAATTTCAAATATTAGACTCTCTTAAGATTTATTGAATATAGCTATCCAAATTATAAGACTTATTATATCTTACGCGCCCTATCCTTATAAATAATGCTTAACAATTTAACTTCTCGTATTTATGATATCTCCAAATGAAATGGTTGATCGATTTAAATTTACCAAAATCTCCAAAAATAAATACCAAATTATGGTGATGATTAAAAAAAGTGGAGATTGATAAGTGAAAGCGGCTTAAAATGGGCTTAGCCACAAAGAAATTAAGTTGATAATAATTCCAATCAAATCCCAATACATTAAAAGTTGACTTCCTGGTTGAAATATTTTGATAAATTTAGAATCGTCTCCATTATCTAATGAAATAGAAAGAAAGAGTACCAGATGATTTGCTTTACAGAGATGTGTGCTTAGATACGTACTAATCTTAAATTACCGATTTTAACTTTTCGGGTAGAATGTATGAGTTTCGAAAAAGATTTGTTACAAATCTATTGATAATGTCTTTGCTTTTAATTTGTTTCAAAAAGTTTGATACTTTTTCTGAATCGCTAAATTACTTTTTATTCTCTCCGCTTTTTGAAAAGAGTTTCTAGTAATTTAAAAAGTATAGTACTGCAAATGAACTATAATTAGACAAAGCTCTTGACTATCTTTCCTCATATTCTTACTTTACCTATTTGTTTGATACCTCCTAGTCTATTGATTCAGAATAGATGGAGCAATCCGAATTTTACTTTCTATATTATAAATATGATGGGCTTCTTATAAAAGCCGGTCCAATACTGGATCTTCTGGAACTTATATTTCTTTCACTTTAATTATTCATAATTATTTTATAGGATTAATTGTATTTGTTTGTTTAAATAAAGCATACTGGATAAATTTGATTTTTTCATCAATATCATAAAATGAAATAAGCAAATTATTAATATAGTATTTTGTTATTTGGTTAATTTAATATTATTTCAATTACAAAAGTAACCACAAATTAGTAGATCTTAAGTAAGTGTATATTTTGTCTAATGCACTTTAACAAATTTAAAGATTAATAAATTTATATTATAAAATGTTAGATCGAAGAAGTTAGAGTCCAATAGCCACAAGTCAAAGAATGGGAACTGCAAGAGCCATTTTCGATACAGGTCCTGAGCCAGAACCCACAAAGAGACTAACCAGGTCAATAAGAAATACTAGTACCGAACAAAAATAAGCTGAACAAAAATAAATGCTTTTTTAATATGGAGGAGTGTCATCCCTGGACATGAATTGTACATACAAATCCTTATACAGCCCCCAATGTCCACCAGTACCCAAATTAACAAGCAAACTATCAATCATCAGAGATGGACACCTACAGGACCAGCTAAGTCCATAAGCCAATAGAAGTGAATGCATAACCGACTTCATAATTTAATTACTAAAGTATCGATTATTAAAAACCACAGACCGGATCATTTATATAGACAGGTACTTGAACTAATTATGATAGCATATATCAACAAATGTATTAAATATTATTATCAATTAAGTTTAAGAACCCTAAGGTAGTGTGAAGAACTACTAGAGCAAAACAACTTATGAAGTTCCTAAGTCTGACCCAAAATATCAGATGTACGATTTTGATAAAATGGCAAAATAAGAAAAACCGAAAGTTTATGAGAAATTTGAACCTTACAAGTTTGAACCACTTAAATATGAGCAATTCGAAAAAATAAGGGATGTTCAATCTTCACAGAGATCAATACCATAACCTAATATTTCAATCATGTTTGGATTTTTATTAAATATGTAGATAAACTTCAAACAATCCATTTCCTCAAGACCGAATTACTTTGGATACTTAATTTAACAGATCGAGTATGAACTTGCCTTCAGAGTAAGTAAGTCTGAGTAAATAAAAAATCAATGAATCCTTCCGACAATAGGAAATTGTGATTTAAAATTAAAAGCCCTCTGAGCAGATATTATATAAATCCAACTATAAGGTACCCTCTGAACGTGAAGAATCTGTTAAGATGGAATACAGACCTACTACTCCAGTTCAGACTCAATCATAATAACAATAGTCTATAGCAAAATAGTCTGATGATCATCTCTATAGACAAGAACCAATTGAAATCAACTTCAAACCCAGTTATGGTTAGAATGTTTCACTATAATTTAGGCGAACCATAGAGGAAATATGAAGATGAGTATGCCATTGTAGAAAACGAGGCAAATGAACATGAATTCAATGCAGGATGTCTAATCTTTTGAAATATCATTTAAAATATTATTTATCTGCAGTTTAGACATTCAATTTTATTCTCATTTTGATTATTCAGGTAGTACTTTTGAATTCTTATTAATAAACCACTCTAATTTTGATGGATATATCAATGAAGTTTAAATAAAGCATATAATGTAAAGATGATATAAAATATAAATAATGTAACAAAGTAGTATTACTTAAAATTAATTCAATACTGACGATGTTGGTCCCTGGTCTGATATCAATCAAAATTACAAATCAATATTAGTGGAGTTTAACCAACAATAACCTACTTAGTATTCTGGTAAAGAAGAAAAGAACAAATTTATAACAACCAAAACTAGCTATTCAAAGTTACATAAACAAAATGCAACAACTACATGCAGCGAATTTCCTATCAGATGTATAAGAAATAGAGTCAAAAGCATTGATCAACCTTAGAGATAGCTCTTAAAAGTGACACCTGTTAAGCAATTTTGCGAATTCAGAATATCAAAAGAATTACTAATTTATCGTAATACAGCTGATTTTCCAAAGCATAATCTACCCAGAAATTTCTTATCTTTCTAGAAATTCAAAAAATCAAATGAAAGAAAAAAGACATTAAATTTTTAAGAAATTAATCCCCAATTGTAATAAATGTAAATGTAAATCAAAAAAATGGAAGAAATTATTCAACAATAAAAAAGGTATTCTAGAGAAATAGGAGCTAAAAGATTGTCGAATCCTAAATATTAGACCTTCCTAAACACTCTATACTGAATTTTGTAATCTGTGTTTCGAATATTATAAATATATAGATATAATGTAATTATGATATATAAATTGTGTATTTTGCTAGAGCAACTTTAAATTTTAAATAAAGTTATGATTAAATTTAATGATTTTTAGATAAAATTGGCTATAAAATAGGAGGGTTTCGTCTTTCTGCTTCCAAATGATTATTAAATGGTTTGATTTATATTAGAATGGATAATGACATTCTTGAGATTGATTAATTTATATTCTATATTCAGATAATTAAATTAATTGATAAGTTTTGGTTTCTTTAAAAAACTATCCAAATCATAGTTTTAATATTAGTAAATTAAGTTTATATCTACTATTATTAAACCCTCTTATTGACTTCCTGAAGGATCCTACAATAAAATAAAGATTGTAAATTATTCTGATACTTTTTATTTAGTAATTCTTTTTCATATTAATATTTTCACATTTCTTATATTTTTAATTTATCTAAAGAAGACAAATTCGTTAATTTATAATTGATAACTAATGAATTTAAAAAGATCTACTATAAAAGATGTTAGAATAAAACCAAAAGCAAATTAATTTATAATAAAAAATCAAAGATAATAAATTTAATAATACTACACCTAAAGTTTAATATAATTTGAACTATTATTATCTATTTTTTTATTCCTAATAGTTATTAGTAATCCCTCTAAACATATTTATTGAGAATCAAGGAATTTTACAAAAATGCGAAATTCCTTTATTTTCAAATTTGAATTAAATTTATCTTTATAACATACTTAATCTTTCTATTTATTTATGTAGAATGGAATTCTTTTAAATTCAACTAGGGTTATTATAAATGGTTTGCACATTTTGTTTTATTATATCATCTTATTGGTTTTTAACGAGAACAATCAAAAAAAGAAAAAATTATATCGACTAATGGTAAAAAATTTATGGTTTCAACCAATGATTAAGTTTTGATTGTATAATCATAAACTACACTTGAAATTGATTATTAATATTTTTATTAATTGAAGACAAGTGCACAAAAAAGAAGTTGCAGCAAAACCTAAGAAAAGCCACAAAAAATATATTCAAATCTAATTCAGCTTTTATAAATAACCATTTTTAAAATTATATTAATATTATATACAAGATTACTTTCCTACTGTGATTCTTAGAAACAAGACAAATATATATTAATATAAGAATACATTTCGATAATATATGTAGATTTAAATATTATAAATTAAAATCTTCAAAATAATTAGTTTAACAATGGATTAAATTTCTTATAAGGTTTTGTTAGAGTTGCTGTTCTAGAATAATTAACTCGATTCTCAGTCAAGTTCCATGTTAGATTTTCAAGTCTATTGAAAATCATAAATGATAATATTATAAAATTCTGCAAAATAGAAATGTTTTCTTGGTTGTGATATATTCGAAAAAATTCTTTACATTCATGTTTTTCTACTTGAACTTCTTTTGGAATAAAATTATTATTTATTAGCACCCATTTTGATTCGTTTTTTTCTTCTCTATAATAAGCAAAAAAATTAAATCTTCATCTCAATTCCAAGAAAGCATAGTTTTTCTCATTCTCTACAGTTTCTAGACCTATAAAAGGTACTTCCAGATCGAAAAGTAGTTAGAAATTATCTACAGGACATTTCTTCAAATGACTTTTTAAATAAACACAGAAGTTCTCTTATTAAATAATTTTATATAAATTTTAAATCAACTAATTTAGCAAAAAATTAGACTGCTTCGGGTATATCATCTAATATTAACCCCTTTATTTCAAATGGAATAAATTAATCCTTTATCTTGTTTTCCTTTTGGAATACAAATTCTAATAGAATTATTTGAATTAAATTCTAAAAGTTCTATCTATTTTTAATATTGATGAAAATTTCATCTTTTACCTCATTTCATTTTCACATTATCTTTTTATATTAAACAATTAATTTTAATATATTCTCTAATTCATTAAATAATATAGAAATTCCTAACTTTTCAGTAAATTTTCAGAGAATCTATTGTTTTTACATATATATCAGTTTGACACAATAAGCACACAATATATTTTGATCTGCAATTGAATAAATAATCAGCTTTTGTTATAAATATTAAACTTTGACTAAATATTATTGTTAATTAATTATATTTTATAATGAATAACTAGTAAATTAGGTTAAAAAAAGGAGAGAATAATGGGTTATATGACTTTAGCAATATATCAAAAGTAAGTAAAACAATCATTAAGGATAGAAGCTTTATGGTTGAATTTAATAAACAGGCAAATTAACTAATAAAAGATAATCAAGCCAAATTAATTAATAAGATCAATGATTTTATTAAAAGTTAGGTTTAAACTTAAGTTAGAAGTGATACTGCTTAAAAATAAACTCTCTTCACTAAGTAATACAAAGGTAGTATACACAGCTAATAATAGAAAGTACTTAGGTTAATTCCAATGTAGATAACTAGATTTAATTTACTAGAAAAGAAGTTTTTATCCTATTATTAATGATGTATTCAAACTAGATAGAGAATGATAATCAAATCATGAAGTAAACTGGATTTTATTAAATCAACATGGAATAAATCAAATAGAGCAATTCTTAATAATCTTATGAAAAGCTCAAATGCATTCATTCTTATTTTCTAAATTTTTTCTAAAAATTTATTCAGAAAGATGAGTCATCAATTATTTAGATGCAAATTCAAGATATAGAAAATTAAATTAGAAAGCAAGAATAAATAATGTTATTGTTGTAAACCCAGAGAGACAATCTGAAACAGAAGTTAAACAATTCCATGCCTAAATAATATAATGAAGAAGATGAATTAATTACTTTCATTAGAAGAACTGAATATAGAATATATGATGAAGTTTTTAAAAATTATAAAGATCCAATATGTTAATTTGATATTAAAAAAGGAAGATGCGAAGATATTAAGAATTCAATATTGGTGAATTTTGCAGACAAAAATGTTGGTGGTTTAAGTTTAGACACAAGAAATATTGCTTAGGAAGAAGTATATATAAAATACTAGATGTTATAGGTATTAATGTTAACTCACCCAGAAGCACTTATAGCTATGTTATTTATGCAATAAATGAAAGATAATGAAGCTATTTTAATTAGGAATGTTATTAAATATAATGATTATGACGGGTATGAGTCAACATTTAAATAGAAGGAAGAGGCATATTTTAAAATAAATGAACCTAGTTTAAAACAAAATTAGGCTGTCATAAAAAATCATATATTAGTTAGTTATTAAATTTCATATTTTAGTTTATGGACGCATTATATTATCAAAATTGGTAAACGCAGTTTGATCAATCGTTCATTTAAAGAGAATTACTAAAAGGTTATGTTGCATTTTCTTTAGCACTTGAACATCTAGAAATTGAAAATATTTCTACAGGTAAATGGGGTTGCGGTATTTTTCATGGGGATCTTACTTTAAAATTTCTAATCTAACTGCTTGCATTTTCATAAGCATATTAAGATATGATAAATAAGAATCAATTAGGATAAAATTAATTTTAAAGAAGTATCATTTTTAATTCATTTCATGATGAATAATTTGAATATTTGGTTTCAGAATAAAAAGCTTAGTTTTCTAAATAGAATTCGAGCATAAAATATATTCATTAATTAATTGAAGATTTGTCAAAAAGGGTCAATTCTAAAAAGAACAATTATGCGAAGAATTGATATATGATAGATAATAAATTGTTTTTATATAAATTTATAATAATCGGAAATGTGATAATTATTTGACTTGCCGATGTTGTAAACACTCTAGTTGTCTTTATATATCATTGCTGGAAATTGTAATATCGAATCATCAGCCAACTTGAGATATAGGGAAAGTGATTTAACTATTCAAAATTAGAATTTTCAAGCAATTCATTTCTAAATGACAATTCATATCATTAGGAAATCTATAGAATCATAGCTAAACATTGATATTATAACAAAATAAAATTGTAATTTATCAATTTAAATTTAATTCTATTCTTTTTCAATAGCCATATTATAATGCCAAAGTAAAATGTTTCATCCTTTGATTGAATAAAACTATTGAGTTCTTATTGTATTTGCAATTGATGGTTAGAAATGATTAGCTTTACTTAAGGTGCTTTTCAAAAAGAAATTTATTTTTTATTTGCATCAATATTCCACTATTTCCTTTAAATCATCTTAGAAAAATTGGTTAAATTTCTCAAATTAAAAAATCATAATAATTCAAAGTGTTTATCAATTTTAACTAATTTTGATTTTCTAGTGTCAACAGAACAATATCCAAAATTTCATTTTTTTAGTAATTATTTCTAGCTAATTCTTCTGTTTTCTTTCATTTAATCAATAAAATGCATTGTCACCATACCATTATAAGGCGGAGAAAAATACAAATAAAAAAGGTTTGATTATTGAAAAAATATAAATCTATACATTATATTTCTTAAATTAAGGACTCAAAAATGAATTAAATTGAAATTGATAGTGAAGAATTTCCAATTTTAATTTGGGTTGACAACAAAATTTAGAGTATGGAGAATACTTTATATCGTGAACAATTACAGAATGATTACTAAGGCTTATTCCAAGCTTTCGATAATATTGATGATGCTTTAAGAATATTATAAAAAATTGATAAAAGAGATGTAACTATTATAACAAGTGCAAAATGTGCTTATGAACTTGTTAAGCATACTAAATAAAACATGATAGTGTTTTGTGAAGAAAGATTATACCATTTAGATTTATTCATTAACAATTCCCAGATCAAGTCAATAGTTTCTGATTCATTTTAATCAGCTCATGAAAATGCTATCATGAGTATGAACTAATCGGATATTTTAAAAAAATTCCTCAACCTATTATCACCACCCTAACATTAAGCTACATAATATCAACATTCAAAAGATCATGTGAGTATCTAATTTCTAGTTGTTATAGAAGAATTAAGAAAAAACAAAGAACCTAAAGAATAAGATGTCTTTTCTGAAATAGAGTATATGCTTGATATTCAAAATATTGATGTGAATAAGAAGAACGCAATTTTTGAAGATTTAAAAAAAAAAGAAAATGAAAAGTTTAATCTTAAAAAGCAATCATTCGATTTATTTGAGAAATTAGTATATCTCTGCCGCAGAGAAGAGATTTCTTAAACATTTAACTAACAGTTTGCTTAGCATAATTATTAATAAGTGAAAAATATCATCTTATGTCTTTATTAAGGATTTAAACAAAATAATTGCAAAAAAGGTGAAATTAAATCTCTTTTTAGAAGCATATACTTCGATGATAAAGGAATATTTGAATAAATAATTAGAGATCTAAATTCTTCCAAAAATGAGGGGACATCATTATTCTGGAATACATTGACTAGCACATCGATGAATTTTGATATTGCACAAACTTTTGCATAGAATAATTTTTATGGAATAATTTATAAAATCGAATTAGATGAAGATGTTCCTCACCCTTGCTTTAAGTTAGAATTTATCACTCTCAGTATCCTTAAGAAGAAGTAATATTATTCCCATAATTTCAATTTATTGTTTAAGAAATTAGCGTCGGGAAAATGAATGATTAATAATTCTATTATGTATTTATCAAACAAGTAAAGAATAATTATGCATTTGCACTTGACCCAATGATGAGAAAGATTTATTGGGACTCAATAGTTGAAGAGAAAATAAAGCCTAAAATAGAAACATTGGCGAGTTTTCACGGTAAAAGAATTTTTGAATTGTTATCATTTTTTGTCGAAGATGTCTATGATAAAGAAATATATATGGAAGAAATTATATATGTTATTGAAAATGAAATGACAATTCTTTTTCAATAGGTGCAAATTTAATTAACAAAAATTTTAAGTCACTCTAGATACACAAATATTTTGAATCAAATTGAAAATCTCACTACAATATATACCTAAGTAATGAAAATTGACTATCAAAATTAATCAGTAGATTGCTTCTTTTAATAGTTTGAAGAACATATTGATAAAGTCTTGAAATCCTTAAGACAAAATATGTGCACTTTAATAATAAAGGGAATAATAGATATTGATTATTGGAAGGAATATTTGCAGAATTTGTAAAATAAATTTAAAGAAAAATAAAAGAAGGATTCAATCATATAAACTACTAATTCTTAGGGAACAAATAGTTCATTTTTATAATAATAGCCTGCTTATTAAGGGAATACTGCAGGATTGTCGTATCAATAATTAAAAGCCCAGAAAATAACTTCATTACAACAAGTATAACATACAAATGGTAAATTTGCATACGAAGCAACTCTTTCTGATGGGAATAAATTGCTGATGCATCACAATCCAAATAACAATAATGAACTAACATTTACTAAAAAAATTGATGCAACTGGGAAAAATGGATATTCAAATAAATGGGAAAAGGTAGGAGAACCAATTAAGACTAAATCAGTAACAGTTCAAGAAGTCTCACAATCAATAAAAGGTTAGAGCGAGAAATTTAACATGAAAGGTATACAAGCTTAAGAATTGAATTATTAAATCTAATAAGCCAAAATAAATGGATAGATTGGAGGCATTATTGCAGGAACAGTAGGAAGTTTAACAGTTGACTGTATTTTGGATGGAGTGGATCAAGAAAAGTTAGTCAAAGGTCTTGCTTTTTCAACAGCAATTTAAGGAGGAATTATATATGTTTAAAGTGTACAATCTTTGGGAAAATTTGTACCTTATGTTGGTATAGGGTTAACTACTTTGATGACTAGTATTTCTGTAGGTGGAGTAGTTTTGTCTGATTTCTTAAGTTAGAGTGAAAAAACCTATAATTCTCTATTTATTGCTCTAAAAACAGGAGGAGCTATAGGATTGGGTTACTTAGGAATTGAAGGTGGAATGGCTTTAGGAGCTGCAGGAGGTCCAGTTGGAGTTGTGGTTGGCGGTATTCTTGGAGGTTTTATGGGAGGAGCAGGTGGTAATTTATTAGCAAGAGCTATTGATTACTATACTTAGTTTAATTTAGAGGTCAAATTTACAAAGGAGAATAAATCTGATGTTAAGGATGGATTATTACTATAACCAGGTAGACGTCCTGAAATTAGATGGAGCAAAGTTAAGGAGAAGGTGAACAGCCTCATTCTAATTGCATAAACAGACTCACATATTGCCTGCTTAATTACAAATATTAATAAGAATCTTGAAGTAATTTATTCTGAAGAAGATATTGGAGTTTAATTTAATGAATATAAATATATAGGTCCTGATGATTCTTGTAAAACAATTGCATTTAGACTTCTGGCAACAACCGAAGAATATGTCAATGATGAAGAGATATTGTAACAATTACAATGTAATTCAATCTGTATTATTGATATTGCAACGGTTAAAATTAATTTAGGAAATTTAGAATGATTGTTTATTTTATTAATAAATTAATAGTTTATTTCATCAAAATACAATGATATTGAGAACGTTTGTACTTTCAATTTTATTGAGTTCTATTATAGCATGTTAAAAAATGTAATTTACTTTATTTTCTAAGATGTAAATTCAGAGGCTATATTCTTTTACTCATCATATTATCATGATATTTTATCATAATAGTACTAAATTCTAAGTCTTATAGAAATTCATATATGTATTTAATCGCTTCTTTCTAAGGTAAACAATGTAATCTTTTTCTTTGGATCTTCTGTAACATTAAAAGTAATCATAAATGAATTATCATAAATTTAAGAATTTTTGAAATCTTAAATTATGTATTTAAAATATATATAATTTGATATAATTAATACAAATGAGGTCAATTTCAATTATTCTAAACTTCTACTTTTAATATTTATTAGATTTGCTCTAACTGATTTTAAATTGTTTGAATTATTGTGATACCATTATTAGAAACTGAAATAGTAAATACATTAACCGCAGTCATTTGAGAGTTTAATAAAGCATAAATTGAAATAGCATTTACACTTCTTAAACAATAGTAATATAGCTTCTTTATATTACAGGAGCTGCACATAAAGAATTCAGTGTAAAGTTTTTTCTTTAGTTAATCACATTAAAATCGAATCTGAACATGAAGTTAAGTTTATTACTACACATAAAGTGTTTCAGTAACTGGAGTTGCGTAAACCTTATTAAGTTCAGTTATGACTACAGTAAAAATAGGTGCTGGCTATAAGGCATAATACTCAGTTTGACTGACTCTGACTGTTCTAATAATCCAAGGTAAAAAAGTTTATGTGATACTTCTATGGAAATAAATACTTGTAAATCTTAGTTTTGAAACATTATTGTCACCTCCTACCCCTAAATTAATAAAATGTATTTATACATTTGCCATAAGTGTAATAATTTGAAAATTAAATCCTCTTAACTCTAAGATTTATAGTTTAACCCCAAATCAATCCTTATAATCCAATAGCCCAATCTTTATCGCTTGGAAAAGTTAATGTTGGACTAGTATACAAATCACCATTATAGACTATTTGATTCTCTACGTCAATGGCATCATCAATAGATAGAAATATCTAATAGCCAAGTTTTATTAAATTAAAGTTGTTTGATTTGATTTAAATTACTACATCTTAAAAATTGATATTAACAATCTAAAGTAGGAATTAATTGATACAGATAGTTCAAATTCTATGGGACCAGTGTAACATAATGATGTCACATGTATGATTCCCTTTGAGAAATTAGGATTAAAATGAGGGTGAGTTATTTAGGTAGAAAAACTAGCACTTGATTAGGAAATATCATAATTGACTACACTTATGACTTGGATTCTTCTATCGTCATAGGCATACCAATTGAAGGGAGTATCCCAAACTCTGTGCTGATATAAACATCTGAGTAAGACTTTAAACTCTAAAAATAATGAAAAAATTTTTACTAGTTGTTGTTATTTCGGTTACTTCTATATCATAACCATTGGGTTAGTAATAATCATAATTATATTTGTATATTACAAATGCAACCTAAGGAGGTCTTTCAAATGTCCCAGAAAACGAAAACTCTTTCAAATAGTTTGTGTTAGGATATCCGAGAAATCCATCTTCATAATGGAATTAAGATGCGAATCCTGTATCATATGTGATGAATCCAAGGTTGGTTGCTATTAGTATGGATAGGAAAAATGAAAGATTATAATATTTCATATCAATTATTATTATTTAAATCTTAACCACAATATAAGACTTAAGAATTATAGTAAACTTCTTGCACCGCTAATACTTAAAGATAATCTCAAAAAATAAAATTGAATAAATAACAAACTCCAATTCTAATATCGAGGTGATATAAAAACTTCTCTTTAATTTATTAACATTTATACGTTATTTGTTTATTTTCAAAATCAAAATATACTAGTACCTTATACTTTTACGAAAAAATTTTACTTATTCAATCAACAAAAACATTAACCATTTTTTATTAGATATATGACTTATCTAAACTAATTGAAATTAATTTGTCGAGGCAATGTTTTTCACTTAATGATGAAGACTAATTTGAGGGGACTTAAACAGAAATTTCTTGTTTAGAGACGATTGAATCTAAGTTATTGTTTAAGACAACAAAGATTGTATATTATATCTTTTAGTGAAAGATATTATGATTATTTAAACCCCTTATGAAATATATACTTCTAAGACTTTTAATCAATAACTGTTCTTTTAATAATTATCCTAATAAATTATTAAATTAATAATATAATTGTATATTGATTGAATTGAGATAATAATTAATTTTTTTTATAAATGAGTATTGTATTAATTTATAGTATTTAATAATTTTTAATAGTAATACTTTTGTTTTATTCTAATCATTTTCCCATAATTATTTTTAAGGTCAGTAGTATTCTTATATTCATAATCAGTAGTCTATGCAGATATTATCGGATCAATATTGATTAAGCTAAAATGGCATTAAATTAAAGCAAAACATTTCAATTGTAAGAGGATTTATGGGTGTCTATTCTTTCATTTAAATTATTTAATTAAAGGCTTTAGTTTGATGATGATCTCTTTATGGATTTATTTTATAACAAAAAAAATTTTCAAGTTGATATTATAAGAAATGAAATGAAGAATACTCAGAAAATGCTATTTAATTTTCAAATAGGATACGATATACATAACTAAAATGATAAAAATAAAATATTTAGAAAATATTACAAAATATTGGAAAAAGCTAATCATAAGAAATATTAAAATTTTAATTAAATTTTGCTTTAGAAAACCCTTTAGTGATCATTAAGTAAATTATTTCAATAGATTGCTTTGATTATGAGAAAATCAGAATCATGAAAATAAAATTAACCTTATATATCATAATTTTTCATTTTATCAAATTCATAATAATGAAATAATCTTATTGGGTCTGGTTTTGTTACTTTTCGTTACATCTCCATAAATATTATTAAATTTTACTCAATAATTATCTAGGATATTTCAATCAATACGGCAAAAGATAATTAAAACATATGGAACCAACCGCATTTTATTTTGAAATCTTCGTTAATAAATTTAGCTGCAACTTATATATAAACAAAGGAGGTTAATGTAAAAATCAATACTGAACTTTAAATTGCCATTTGTATAACAAATGATCTTATAATTATAGATTAATTTTAATTAAATAAGATTAATTAAGGAAATCATTCCTAACTATATTATTTCTGAACTTTCTAAGAAAATCAAGATGCCTATGAAACATAATGAAACTCCTGTATTAAAAACTTCAAGTCGTTTTTCTTTTAACTTCTTAATTTTAATCAAATTATTTCCTGGGTATAAATTGTTTGAATTAAGGATAAAAATTATAGAAAAAAATACTAGGACTAAAACTAATACAAAAGAAAAATAACTCTGTATTCATTCTCAAACAAATATTTCAAGTAAAGCATTGCTTTAAAAATCAGATCCCATCCATTTACTAATAATCTGGTTCTGAAATAATTAGAAAGAATGATTTTCTTGGTCCCAATTGATAATAAAATCAAAAGTATATAAAATAAAGATTGGATTATTTTCCATTCAAGATTTGCTAATAAATCAGTATTTTATTAATAAAATTGGAATTTTCCTGAATCTTCTTTGAATTTATTGTAAAACAACACTCCTTATAATTACTGAACATTTAGTAACTCATATATTGCTTCAGTAGATAACAAGTCATAAGATTCAAAATAGAGAAGTAGATTATTAAGAAAATTTCACATGATGTATTTAAGATAATTTTGAAATGATAACAAGTTGATTATTTCTATTAAAACTTCATATCTACCTTAACAAATCATGAGACTGCATGCTCCACCGTATGAACAAAAAGCGTATCTATTCACCCTTTAAACGATCTCTGAGTAAATGTCTATTTTTCATCTAAATAAGTAGGAAATTCTAAGGTGTATTATATGTTTGAGGAAATATATAATCTTATTAATTACAGATGAGAAATTATCTATAAAAAATTTTGCAAATCAAACAAGAAATGTATAAAATTTAGATAAATCTAATTATACTTAAAATAATACTAAGCCCCTATTTGCAGAGGAGTTTTTAAAATAAGAGTTATTATCATTTAAAAATCACATAATAAATCCATTATTATTTTTTTTATATTTTGATTGAGGGAAGATTCGAGACAAAAGGTTGGAAACTTGACATTCTTAGTAAATATTCTAGAGAAAACATATAAATGAGATTGACACACATGCTTATAGAAATTCAATGATTATTGTTTGATCAGATGTTCAAGAAATAAACTGCCTGGATGATAAAATTGAATAATTCGTAATCAAACAATATCAAAATATCTTTCATCTGTTTTACAACACATTATTAAAAAGGATTCTAAAATGAGTATAAAGGTCAATATTGGAACAAAACTTAGAGTAAAACAAACTGATCCTATATAAATAGTTAATCCTGCTATCATGTAATCTAGAGGTATATTTTGATCTCCCTTAAAAGCATTCTATATTAATTTATTATAAAATACATTTGTTCCTGTTGATATTTAAATGAGATGATAAGTAAAACATACACAATATAAGTAGTGATAAAGCCAGACAAATACAATAAAAAGCCACTCTTCATTGAAAAGACAAATAAATATTATAAATATAATTAATTATGCTAAAGTTGATGTAGCCACCAATTCTACTTTATTTTATATAATTACTTTCAAAACTAAAATTTTGAATTGGAACAACTTTCAATATTGTAATGAATGATACTATCATCGTCGAAGTTAAGAGGATCGGATAGATTAAAAAAATGACTCTTTATTCGTAAGGGAAATATAGTGCCATCAATCCCAAAAGATTTCCAAAAAGTAATATGACCATTAATGACAGGACAATATATACTACCAACTTAAATGAAGTTCTCAATTTTTTTGCGCATATTGCAATATAAAATATTATCACTAGGATAAACCAGTAAAGTGTATAAATAATACCATCATCACGTTCCACTAGGAAATTCTAAAGGCCTCCCAAATAAAAAGTTAAAAAGGCTATAATATAAACAAAAATTAAATTAATTGCTTAAACATATATCATTTTAAGCAGAAAGCCAAGAAGCTAATTTAAAGTGTATTCAGGATGTTCTTCATCAAATACTATTTAGGATTTCCCTAAATTAATTCATTTCATTACAAAAAAAGGGTGAGATTTGTGCATCCTTGAATTTTATTAAGGAATCATTATTGTTAAAGCGTTCTGTTTCCATATCAAAAGTATTAATACAATAAACATAAAGTTCAAAATCTCGTATTCTTTATATAATATAATATTCTATATTAATTCAATATAAATTCTACTTTAATTCTATATAAATTCTACTTAAATTCTATAGTAAAAATGGAATGATCTAATTTACTAACCTGCTATCAATAATAGTTAAAAGAAACTTTATTTATTTTCCTTTTAATCGTTTATACGTTAATTCAGTAGCATCTCAAAGGTGATATCATGAAATTTTTGTTTTGAATTTCTAAAACAATTAATTCTTCCCTTCATAAATGTACTTTATTCATAAATCGATTTTGAAAATTAATTAGAATGTAGAATTTTAAGTATAGGTAAATTATAAACATAGAATTAAAACAGTTGAATTGTACAGACTTTTCAAGAATTAAATTACGCCATCTAAATTATCAATTAGAAATTAAGTTTTTACATTTTTTTAGTATAATACATCTATAGTATAACACATCTATATTTTTGATTTCATTATTCAGCTGTTGTTAACTTTATTGAGTGCAAAGAAATAAAATCCTTCTATTAATGTTTATATTCAAAAAGGTAATTTGGATTAATTAAATCAAATTAGAATATATTTATGTAAATTTATTTTACAAAGAATTTAAACCTAGTTTTTATTATGTTTTAATTACTGCTACCTAATTAAATACTTCTATGAGAGTAGATGAAACATGAGGAAATTATTAATTATTTCATAACAATGAATAAATTATAAATGATTACAATAATGGATATAAATTTGAAGTGATTCTTAAAGGAGATATGAAAGTACAAGAGGGTTAAATCAGAATGACCTTATGTTATTGATAAAACGAATCCTTCATTCAATGATAAAGATACTTTAGAGATATTCATCTAATGTATAGATTAGGATATAATAAGGATTGTCAAAAGAAATTATAGAATTTATGAATAATGAGAAATTATAAAATAATATTTTATAAAATGTAATATGGACTTTAATGCCGCAAGCATCCGGGTAATTAAGTATCTTTTGTGTGCACTAAAGTGAATTGCAATTACGGTAATCTTCTTTGCTAGTAATGTAAATGCAATTATCCAAATATAAGGCATAAATGGGAATGTTTAGCATAAAAATGAACACAAAAATTATTTGAACTAGCTTAATGAATTCATCTTTCAGTAGAATGGGAAAACAAAAACAGTTCTGATTCCAAATATTAATAGTACACTTTAAGAATTAGACAAAAGATTGAAAGAGTATAATGCTCTGATCGACAAAGAGGCTTAGGAGATTGTTTCTGATATCTCACAATTATTTAAGATATTTTATGAGAGTTCAGAGAAAGCAAAGAAATAGATCTAGGAGATAATTAGAAGTGATTTATGTGAGTAGCAAGCAAAAAATCTAAATTTCAAATAGCAACTACAAGAAATTCAGTCTAATGAATAAAAAAGGATTGACAATAACAATTATTTATTCAATACTATATTTTCTAAAGACCAAGATAAAGAATTACCTATATCTGAATAATCTTTGATTTAGATTATCAACAAGTATAAAATACTGTAATATGAAGAAATGGCAACCTGAACTAACTGCGATGTGACATTCTCAATTGCTTAAATAGCGTAGTTAATACATTATAACCAACGAGTAATAGAATTCGATACAAGAACACCTAGAATCAATAGTAATAATTCAATCTACTCAAAAATGACTTCATACAAAGTTTGAATTGTCTATTCTAGAAATTAACAGATCTCACATAAGAATTTCAGTCAGTCGAAGATATGAAGCGTAGTTTGTATTAATTCGGATCATTAGATGGATCTCAATCATTAAAATAATCATAAGTAGTTTAAAGATCGTTGGGTTCATCTTAGTTAATAAGCACTGGACACCAAAGTCAAAGATTCTTTAGGTTAGATAGTTAATCCTAAATTATGAGTGTAAAGACTCTTGAGGTGTTCCCTCCTTTGAGTCCAACGATCTAATAAATACTGAATAAAATAGGTCATTTGTCACCTCCTCAGGCAGATTCATTATTGAGTAATATCGAAATTGTGCCACCTTGCTAATTTCCTGATGGGATTATTTATGAAGGTCAGATATAGAACAATTAGAGATTTGGTTGGGGGAGAGCAATCATAGGACAAGACTATTACGAGGGATACTGGAGAGGTGGATTGCCTTTTGGTTTTGGGAGAATAATTATGGGATCAGGAGACTATTATGAGGGGACCTCTTAGAATGGTAAGGCGAATGGAAGAGGGTTGTTTTGTTCAGGAGGTTATTCGTATGAAGGAGATTGGGAGGATGATTTAAAGCAGGGGAAAGGATAGGAATTATTAAATGGGAAGTATGAGTATAAGGGAGATTTTAAGAATAATGTGAAATGTGGAGAAGGGAGACTGATTGATTTATTAACAGGGAATGTGTATCAAGGGGAATTTCAGAATGATTAGTTACAAGGATAGACAACTATTGAGTATAAAAATGGGGACAAGTATTTTGGACAAGTCATTACAGTGGATGGGCAGATAAAGAGGAATGGATAAGGTATCTATTTATGGGTGGACTCTAGAAAGTATGAAGGACAATATGAAAATGATTTGGAACATGGGGATGGAGTGTTTATGTGGTAAATAGTAGTTTGATAGTGAATTAGGCCAGATTAGTGGATGTATAAGGGATAGTGGTAGTGCGGGATGCAGCATGGGAAAGGAATTCAATACAATCCATAGGGGAAGGAGAGAGAGGGGATTTGGAGTAATGGATAATTTAATAAGTGGGTTAGTTGAAGAGGGTGATGTCTATTTAATATAAAATATTCAGTTTAAATTGATAATCTTAATATTTCATTTCTTGCCAAATGAGGTTTAGTTAGCCATTTCCAAAACTTGTTATTTGAAGATGTGGATCACTTCATCAATGATGGCGTTCTCCTCTAAAGTGATAGTTAAGATGAATACCATTTCTTCTATTCAATTCTGTGTCATAGAGTTCTCTCAACTCTTGTAAACTGGCTGTGGCAGCATTGATGGCATTTTATGAATCCTTTAAGACTGAATTGGCTTTGGCCTAAACAGCGAGAGCAGCTTGTTCTTACTAAAAGAGATTAGACACTACATAATTACCACGACTAATTTGTCTTGGAGTTGAGTCTTTCTTTAGATTTCATCTTACAAATGAACCTTCTCAGCTTCAGAGTCAGCCAACCAATCAGCTAATTGATAGTATCCGGCAATTTCATTTTATTCTAAAGCAGCCAAGGCTGTTTTCAATTGATCTTCCAAATCACTCAAGGCATTATAGACTAATTGACCAACATTGACTCCTGGTTGTCTGTCTCCTCCAGTTGTGCTTTCACTTTCTCCCAAAGCATGTAATTCAGCATTTCCTGAGGCTTATTCTGCAGCCAATTAGGCGAATTTGCTCATGGCATCTTGATTAAACAATTGACTGTATTGTTTCAATTTGTCAGCAACATTCTCGACTTTCAATTCAACCATTGAAGATGGAGCTCCTGTTAAGTATCCGCTAAGCATTTCCATATATAGTATACCTCAAATCATTCTTTAATATTCTGATGACTCCCAAAGCATCATTGTGTTATTTGATGGCTCTTACGAAGAGTCCATTAGAGAAACATCTCAATTCTTCTAATTCGACTTCTCTTCTGTCAATATCAGCTAATCTTTAAGTAGCCCAAGCAATGTAGTCTGTTGCTTCCTGAATAATGATATTAAGTGAATTACTCTATATTCAACTCCAATTTATTCTCTTCTTGCCTTTGCACTTGCCCAAGCCTTTTAGTTCAATTCATTGACTTTTGATAAGGCAGCAATTCTGGATTATCCAATTTCCTCGTCTGAAATGTTCTTCTCATCTGCAAGTCCTTATGCTTCAATGTTGCTTGTCTTTAAATCATTCAATAAATCATAGACTGCTTGTACAGCATCATTGGATTGTGATCCTGTCTTTGAAATTGATGGCGATTATTTTTACCTACAACAACATTGCGAAATCAATATCGAAGGCTTGAACACTAACTAAAGCAATCAAAGCTACGGTTATGAACTTATTCATCTCAATAAAATTAATAATATATTTCCACAAAAAACGGGTAAATAACTCAATTTTAAAAATCAAAATAAATACCACAATAAGAAGATAGAATATAATAAATATGAAGAAACAACTAATTCATTAAGTTTCATTCTATGCTACTCTAACAATAAGCTACTAAGGATTAATTATAAATGATTTTTTTTATGTTTTCCCAATCAATTTCTTCGAACCAGGAGAATAAGCTCGGCTTCCTCTAGCCTGCTTTTGAGATCTACTGGCTTGAGTCTACTTTTTCACATTGAAGAATATCGAATATCTATTGGATTCAGATCTCCCCTTGAACTTGTTATTTTTCTACTGGAGTTGATACTACAATAAAATCTGACTCAAATTGTTTTAAGGCAAATAGTATTTGAATTGCTAACTCCTCTCCATATCACAATTCAAAAACTGCAATCTATATTGATCTAACTCCTCTGTCATCTTCACAAAATCTAACTGCTATTCAATCATCGACTTGATACTATTCAAATTGTTGCTATTCACTAACTTAGTCGTTGTATTGTTTATCGAAAGAGTAATCTTATTTTGACTAGTTGTTCCTCCTCCACTCTATGAATCCTGACTGTTCCTTCTTCTATTGTTCTTTGTTGTGACATCCTTTATAGATTAAGATCGCTTTCTTTTTGAAAAGTTTGTGTTTTCAATCTCCTAATCCATTTGCATAGTCTTAATGGCTTGTGTCTACATTTGATGGGTATGATGAGAGTTCTGTCTCTGATTCCTTCTTTGCCTCATAAATCTCTCAGCCATCACATTTAAAGACTTGTTCTCTAGATTTAAGGTCTGTAAGTAATCTTTCTTGCCAGATGGGAACTCTTCCTTAGCTTAATTCTTCTCTATAGAATTGCTCTGCTAATTTGATAATTATTGAGATTATTCCTTCTAGTCACTAGATGAAGAGGATTGGGAATCGAATTCAACCCCTATGTCTTTAAGAAACTTCTCATGCTATTCCTTCTTTATCTAATTAAATCACTATAATAGAATACTATCAATAGGTTCAAGGCGGATCCTGATCTTAATTTGTATCTCAGAAATCGGGATCGACTCTATTTACAAAAACCTTCCTTCTTTATCAGTCTCTCCAAATCTGGCTTGTACTGTAAATAAGGACATTAGATGTAGGAGTGAGTAAACTCATTACAAAAATAGCAATTCAAATTGATAATCTAAAAGTTATTTAGTATTATTATTTAATCTTTGATGTTTGCAAACTTTTACCTGTCGTCCGTAGAATCCTCCAAAATCCTTATCATATCATCTCTTTTCAAACTATACACATGCGAGAACGTCTCACTTCTTGCCTACAATTCTCTATTCGAACCAGTAAAAAACTCATATTTACCAAAGCATTGTCCTTTCTCATACTAATGCACAACCTCATTATTTCTTTCATCAATCAACTGCACTCTCCCTTCAACAATTAAATACAATGCATTATTATCGAAGCTGTTTTAATTGTAGATTACATCCAAAGGAGCAAAATGTTACGCTTGCAACTAATACGCTATTTGTTTCTAGACCTGCGGAGACAAATCCTTCAGGAAAAAGTCCATCGACTTCAACGGTTTCTTTTAAATATCATATAGCAATTCCTCCCTCAACCCTGGAGACAATTTAGAAAGCAAACAATTCAACTACTCATATTTAAACATTACACTACTTCTTCGTCATTCTGAACGCTATCCTATTCAATGTAATATTTCAAATAGTTCCTCACTTTGCACTGCAATTGAAGACTCACTTAGTTTTTGTTCATATAAGAATTTATTAGCAATTACGATTTTCTGACTATCTAAAATATATCAATACCTAAATTTCTATTGTCTATCATTGATATTTTTCAAGATTATCCCAATAGAATTTAAAGAATATCCAAATATGATACTTGCGATGAACATTATTAGAATAGCACACAACATCTCGTATTGATTTTGTGGAGTGATATCCCCATACCCAACAGTTACCATTGTCATTGTAGCCCAATAGAATGAAAAATTGTATTGAATCCATGAAGATTGGTTGTCAACCTCGTAATACTTCATCCAAGACATATAACCAGATTTCTCACTAATCATCGATATCCTTGCCCAGATGCATGCACTGATATGTGCAAAGTATCCAATAATCAATAACACCTTGATCAAATCCAATGCATCCTACTGCACATCAAAGGACTCTTGTATCTTGTCCAAGATATTCATTATTCTTTTCTAATTTATGTAGATCAAGATGATTGCCAAAGTTATGAAGATTAATTCTTGCTCTTAGGCGTAATTTCTATTGTCAATAGAGCAAATTGTAAATAATGAAATAAGATCGGATGCAAATTAATTTTACAAATACTATTTTATTATAATCCCCCTATCATCTAAAATCTACCCTTAATATACTATGCTTTTATTCATCGTCATTAAGATATCAAATATTCCAAAATATATTACTATATTTTAATATATTGTATTGATGTGAACATTGTTCTCGAACACTACAGTAAATGGTCCCCACCAAGTTACATATAAAGTCTGAATAAATATTAAGAATTCCCAGAATATTAGAAACGGCTATTGCGAATAAAACAAAGGGATGAAATTTAGCTTACTTGTTTTCAACTTTTCATTATTATTTACACTTTAAGTATTTTGTTTATTCTGAAGAATGTATTATTCGAATTATAATTTCTTAAATTAATCTGCTAATAATTATGAGAAAATGTATGCCTTGGATCGAGTTTTTGTTATAAATTTTTACAATATTTTTTTCCTTCTAATTAAATGCAAAATGTTTTTTTGATCCTCGATTTCAGGAATGTATTAATTCTTCCTTTCTTACAGTAGTCTAATTTGAGGTTCCTTAACTTCATTGGGTTGGTGCTGAATCTGGCTTTTCTTCTCAGATGATGTTATTGGATTAGACAGGTTGTGTTGTGAGACCTACTCCTAGATACTGGCTTCTTCAAATGCGATTTCCTAATTTTCAATGTCAGGTATTTGCTTAATTCCAATTTAATGAGTAGGATGATAAAGATGTAAAGGATTATTTCTTTCTGTATATCTACTTGAGACTATCTAAATAAAAGGAATATACTTGATAGTGAGTGATTAGCGAAGAATTGTTGTTCTTCCAATTACAAATCCATTTTATATATATAAATCAATTTAGTTTAAAAAATTGTATTATATTCACAATAATTTGATATGTTTTTGCAACAATTATAAATTGAAAACCAAAGCAATTAAATGATTACTATTTAATAAGCACATTAATTTAGTTGTATTTGCAGCTACTGTTTGAATAGTAGAAGATGATAATACTTTTTTTTATTATAATTTGATAGAATCGTTATTGTGATCATAGAAATGATCTAATATTGTTTTATAAAATAAAATCCTCATTTCCTTTGCAAATGCTCAATTCACTATCACTTCCTATATCTTCTAGGATGGCATTAACCTTTTCGTTTGGTGTACCCTATGTAGTATTTGTGTATGTGTTATTGTTATTGGTGTTTTGATTTAAGTATATGAGGACAGAGTCACTGTCGACTGCTTCTATAATAGCAATTCCTGGAAGTTCATGAGTTATATCATTAATAACTAATTTGAATTTTTTTGATCTCAAATTTTCAATAAATTTAGCACATTGAAAGGGATTAAAATCTAGTTCGACTTCAGATTCTTATTTTTGAAACATGATCTCTTAAGAGAACTTTTAGGTATCTTTAATTGATTTTATTCTCTTTTTACATATTGGCTCTTCATCTGGATTTAAAGATTAAGGATATTTTTTAAATTATTTTTTGATAATCTTCCATTCTTCTGATATTAGTTGTGTCATTTGATTGTGAGTAAGTTCAGGTCTTTCTAGTTTGATTTCTTTCAATCTCAAATTATAATAGGCATTCCAATCATCATTTTTTTTGATTTTATTTTCTCTATTTGCCTCTTTTATTTATACTTGATTGGAAGCTTGATTTCCCATCTGTTCAAAAATGTCCTCAGCACTTGATTCATTAAACAGTAATTATGGATGATTACTCTCTTCAACTTTAACTTACTATTGTGAATGATAATAGAATACTTTTAATGAAGGAATGAACTAAAATTTCTTGTCTTTGTATAAATCGAATTAGCTACAAAACATTTCCTTCTATTTGGAATTTTACATTTTTTATTAATTATAAACTCACAAGGACTGTAATGGCTCTTAAATGTATTTAAAGTCAATATGATAACGATCATTATAAAAGACGTTAAATACATTAATTATTAAAGTCTGTATTTAAATTTGAAGTCGTGTCCAAACTTTAGAGTGTAAATTATTTATATTAATTGATATTTAAATCTCAACATATATAAATTTATAATTAAAATATAATTATTAAATTCCATAAAATTGATAGCAATTCATTTAGGTTTCTAGAATTGAACTTAATGAGAGTATTCTCTGTCATCTATTTCATCATCCACATCCTTTACATTGTTGGTCTTGTATGGATGCTTGATTTTATCCTTGATCTCCTCGTACTACTCATCCTCTTCAACTGGTTTGGGAATAACACCTACATAGAATATTTAAATGTACAACCTTGACTGATCAGCAAATCCTCAATGGAGGCAAATGTAATCTTTCTGAGCTTGTGAATGAAGGGAATATTTGAGACTGCCTTAGTGTCTTTATAAATAATGAAACAGGGACATTGGTCATCTGGAAAGTTTTCGATGCATTTGGTTGCTACCATCTTAACAAATTTAATCTCCTTATATTGTTTGGCTAACTCCTACAAGACTTCTATGAGTTTCAAAGATTCCACGATGTAATCTTAATAAAGGGACAGGACAACGAATCGATCCTTTGATGCTTCAGTCACTTATTTAACATATTCGTCTCTTGATATCTCATATACCTCGCCATAAAGCTTCTTCTAAGCCTACTCCATCAGTTGTTAGAGTCTATTTTTGTTGATGACCCATACCTTTAAGCTTTATATTGTTTGGTGAATTCATCATCATCAAAGAAATCCTCATCGCTGTCTTGCTTTTCATCCAACTTCTAAATTGCTTATTGGTAGGTTTCAGCAAGTGTTGTCACCTTCTCTCTTTCCACGTAATTCCCATGCTTCACATGGATGTCTTCCCACTATGTAGTTACGCCATTAGCCATCGATTATTAATTTTTATTATTAACCATAAAATTGCATCTCGCTTATGCACTAGCATGAGAATTATAATATATTAATGTATTAGTAATGTTCTATATAATGAATATCCATATTTCAATAGAAGGAATTACGATTTCCATTATAATAATTCCATTTCTCTGGATCCTATTGTATGTTTCCAAAGCTGTTTGGCACTTAATTTAACTAAATCTGTGGACCATTATTTTTCTAATCAATCGGAATGCCTATACAATACTCCTCTTCCTTCTCCTGTCCTATACGTAATCATTTAAATATACCTGATTCTTGTCTCTGTTTCTAATTATCCACTGTGTCAAACATATCATTATACATTGTATCTATACTATTCAAGGCATCATCTAACTCCTTATTGCTTCCTGGTTCAAAAGAAAACGGAGCTGGTTTCTTTGCAGGAACAACAGCCTTTGGTTTTGGTTATTATGCATATTATTACTATGGAATCTGATATCCAGGGTATTATTAATATTATTATTGAGGGTAAACTTATGGATATTGCACATAACCTTGTTAGGGATAAGAATATTGAGGGTAGGGATTACCATTGTTGGTTGGAATTTGCATTTTATTAAATATCAATAATATTGAAAACTGAATTCTAATTTTATATGTAAGAACACCCAGAATAAGGTGGTTTCTTTGCTCTTTTGCATCACAGCATAGTTACTGAATTATATTTTATGATTTCTGAATTTAGTTCAAAAGTGAACTTGAACAAAAACTAGTTCTATTTTTAAGAATTTGGATATTCCATAGCTAAAGAATTTTGAGTGTTTGTAATAAAGAAGTTTCAGGGTGTTTTAATTCTTTTAGACTTCTTGAAGTTATTGTAATTTGAATTTCATATTATCGTTCTATATATTTTTTAAAGCAGATAATAAATTTAGAAATATAAATCAAATTATGAATAAAAAAAATGGTTCATAACTTTGTTATATTTGTTATATTTGTTTTAAATTAAAGTATCAAGCCAATATTAATTCAAACGTGTTAATCTTCTGTTCCAGTAGTAAAAAGAATGAATTAAATAAAACACTTCAATTTTTAAATATCTTAATAACCATTATTTTAATTAATCATTTATTGTTAGATTCTTAGACACATAAATTTAATGAAAAATATTTATTTATTATCACAAGAGATTAAAGGTTTTTTCATAATTTGAGTAAATGTTATATTTTCTTTAAGTCTATATCAATCTGATCTGATAATGTTTTACAAGCACTATTTTATATTAGATAAGAAATTGTATAATAAAACAAAAAGGAAAAGAATCTCCATAGATTGCTAAGTTTCTTAAAATATCAAAACTTCTTTATAAAAGAATTGTAGCTGCGTATATTAAATACTAATCATTTCGAATATGCAAACTCAGTGATACACTGTCAGCTACAACCTAAGTTGAAATAAATTATTGATATCTTTTGAATGATCAATATTGTAATAAATGAGAAGGAGAGGAAATGCAATCACAAGGTAGATCTAGATCCAATTATTATTGTTCAGATGAAATCAATGAAATTAAGAGATTAGATGACAAATTAACACTAATCTGATTGATTATTATTATGCAGGATGTATTCACAGACCATCGTGTACTCTTCTTCTTCTCCTTCTAGGCTTGGCTCCTCCACAAGGACAATTATCATCACCAATGCCATCTTTCCATCTACAAGTAGAACCATCTTCGCAAGAGCATTCACCATTGAGATTATCTGAACATTATAAATGCATGTATGTGCATTTGAAATCTTGAGCCAATTACATGCAATCTAGTTTAAACTTGATTAATACTTGCATTCACCTAAGTTATTTATAGCAAAAGGAGGAGTGCTCCAATTATTAAAAATTTCTTCATAATTATAAAAATAATTCAATTTATTCATTTGTTTTATTATACTCAATTATAAATTCAATGAATATTTGGCAATACAATTGAATAAAGAGATCAATTAGGATTTCATAAGAATGGTTAAATATCATCTTATATTTATTCAAATTTGGAAAGATAACTTAAATTGTCTTCAAAAATGGTAGAATCCGATTCGGAAACAATTGGATCTATTTTAATAACTTTAATCAAAGCTTTAATGTCATAAGAAGGTATGAGAATATTCTAACATTGAATATAAGAATATATGTAATGCATAGGGAAATTACTATCTTCCATTTAATTGGATCTGGCCTTTGGAAATATTAGTCTTCTTTCTACATCATTTATATATAAATCTTCCAGGTTGTATTCTTTTAATATGTTTTTGACATAGATAACAAAAGTTGAATTAATAAATGGCTTAAGTGTTTATTATCTAAATTATTCCGCCTTAACATCCTTTATCCTTGCATGTAATGGCAATGCCACATAATCTCCAACCAAATAGGGGAAAAGCCCATTTTTAATGGCCATAATAAATTATTCACTTTCAAATTTCTGGGTTTATAAGAACTTATTATAGGCAGCACTTCTCAGCAATCTCATCATCAGATCTTTGACTATGGTGGAGTAGAAGGTGTTATCAAAAAGTTGAGTAATAAATGGAATAGGTTTTTAAATCAAATACCTATACTCTTCAAATTGATTGAGAGCTCTTTCGACAAAGAGATAGTTGTAGTTAGCGTTAATCAATACCTAAGCTATGGCATACTTAATGTAAAAGAATTCTAGATAAGAGAATTGAAGAGAAGTAAAATATTAAATCATCTCTTCGAAATTGATTAAACTTTCATAATACACCCCCTTAAGTAATTCCTACAACATATTATACAATTATTGTGGATTTTTGTTTTCAAAAAATATCTTGATTATATCTTAATTAAAGATATAATCAACAACATCCTTTGTTAGCTTGTCAACTTCAAATCTGTCAATCCTCACTACATTATTACCCCTGTCTCTTTCCCATCTATTGGTATATAGGATTTCTTCATGTGAAGCCTTTTTAGACGTATGTTTCTTAGAGACTTACCTAGGAATTTCATTATGTGGTTATTATAGAGTCGGCAAATGAATGTGATTTTCTTAGCACTCATCAGATTATTTTCTTTATTTCTGATTTAAGTCCTTTATTGAAATATATCTAGATTGATGTTCAAGTTTATCGCATTTGTAGAGTCCATGAAGGAATCCTAATTATTAGAATGCATCTAAATTGGATTGTGATTTCCCATGCTTAAATTAACTAACATAATTTGAATAAGGAGTGACTATTGATTTTTAAATATTGTTGTTTATTTAATCTATTGATTCCTGTTTAAATTGAGAATACTATTCTTTTTATAAAGTGGACAGCCTTTTACTAATTCTATTTTTCTATTGGTGATTATCTGATTATAATGTAGGCAAGAGAGAATGCAGATTGATTCTTTTGATTGCAATACTCAATTTATCGTCTTATTTTTGCTTTTGCTTAGCTCTCTCCTCCAAGAAATGTTAAAACTTTTGAACCACTTCCTTATATTGTTAAATAGTGGTTGCATTGTTACTAGATTATAACATATAAAAATTATCATAATTTGTATTTTTTCCTTTGTGATAAGTGTAAATTTCATTAATTTAGTAATTTGGTTCTTTCTATCAGCAATACCCTCTTATGTATCTAGTTCCACTAAGTATTCCAAATTTTACTAATTTGTTCTCTAGAACTTATCAATAAAGCAATTCCAATATGTAGTTTAAATGAAAATTGGATTTTGGGGTAAAGACCATCCTCACAACACCCCACCTTGGTTAGGATTATCAAATTCATTTATTTTCTGCTTTATTTTAAAGAACCATTAGTAAATTTTTATGATTTCTTAATATTTTGCCTAACTATAAAATTAGTTCATTTTTATAGAAATTCAATATATTTCAGAATCCTACGTCCATACTTATAAGTTAAGTACTCTATACTCTAGATATATATTAAATATTAATAGTGAGAAATAAACATCTAATAAATTTAATATAAAAATAACAATCAAAACTAGAGCATCAAAAACTTAATTTTTATTTACTCATATTGTGCGTTCTATCTTCTTCATTTTCCTCCCATAATTTCTTTATCAACAATTATATTTCTTCGTGACTGAGAATTTCATTTTCTAATTTCATTTTCCAATAATTTTCCTCAAAAAACCTACTATATCTAGATTTCTTAGATTTTTAAACTGTCGACATTCCTGCTTGCTCTTCGATATCAGATTATTGTTCAATCTAAGCAATTTTAATTTCTTATTTTTAGAGATCTGAATGAGGAATTTGCTTAAAGAACTTGGTAATTTTTATCGAAGGCCCTTCCAATTATTTGATTTTGCTTTGCATAAATTCCAAGACTTTCATTTTATCCTTATACAAAGGTAGGCCATTCCATTAAGCTTCGGCTTTTGCTCTCCAATCATCCCTAGCTGTTCCATATCTGCAAGAATAGCTTATATTGTATTTATTCTATACTATTTCATAGCTACATTTAAAAACTTTTCCAATCCCTTGTCTATTTAGATTTCTTCTATACACATTTTAAATTAAAAATAGCGGAAAATTATTATTATTATTAATTTAATTATTCATTTTATTTTGTTTAATAAATTTTTATTTCTACTTATTAGTCAGAATAATATGTTAAGAATCAATTACTTATGATATAAAATTATGAAACTCAATTGGACATAAGGATAGAATTAAGTAACTTATTGTTTATTAAAATATTGTATTTTAACAATTATAAATTATTAATTAACCCTTTAATTGTGATTCAAAGAAGATCCCTTTTTAGAACTATTTAGGTTGTTAATCACAATAATACCCTCTGTTGTCGAACAAGAAGAACTCAATGCAAAGCTTAAAATAAAATATGAAATATCCAAAATCATATGATGAATTCAATATAAATTATCGTATTATCAAGACTCTCTCACACTCACTCTCTTAAGAATATGAAAAATACTATAAAATTCATCGAATTAAATTTATCTTAAAATTTAAAACCTAAATTTGTTAGGATAATGAAATTATATTTATTTTATTAGAATTAAGTTAGAAGGTAGTTAGTTTAATATTTAAGATAATATACCCTGTAATAAAAATGATTATTAAAGATTACAAATATGTGTTATTAGAAATATGATAATAGATCTTTACACAAAAGTTTTCACCTTAAAAATAATAAAGTACATTCAAAACTTACATATGATTCAACAATCTCAAAATTATTTCTCTACATTATTAGAAATACAGAAAATACTAAGGAGTAAGAAAATTAAAAGTAATTAGATCCAATAAATCTAATATAAAGGTATTAAACTATGTAATTTGTAAAGTAATTAATGGGTTTTTAAGGGTTCCAATTCTTGTCTAATTAAATATCTCTAAAATTCTTAATGAATTATATTTAAAATTATGTGTGATAAATATAATAGTTTCATTTAAACAGATTAAAATTCCTTTTTCAAAATTGGAATCCGTATTTTCTTTCCAATTCTTCATTCATTTTATCTCTTTAATATACCTATTATATTCAATATTGACTTTTCATTCAACAAACTTGATCACTCTTTACATGATTTCAGCCACATTATCAGGTGTGATATTTCCTTGGCCACTTTTTTTAGAATGGACCAATTCTTTTTATCCATCTGATTTAAAAATGGTCACTTCAATATTTCCTGTTCTCTAATGAATAGTCAAATAATGATACTGAATCCGGTGAATTTAAAGTGACTTCACTTTTTGGATAGAGATGCTTCAAGCACACTTCAGCTAAAATAGCTTATGAACGATATCCTCATCCTGAACAGTATTCAATATGAGCTCTAACTGGCAGGGCAGGGTTTGCTTTCAATAATTCAACAGCTTTAGGAATTTGAGTGAAGAATTTACGCATTAAAAATAATATTAGTATAAAATGTATTATGACCAAGATATTGGTCCTTGGGACAATGATGAGATTAGACCAAGGTCACGTTGTAATAACTCACACACAAGCTCATTAAATAAAAATAATAGTGATATCAAAGATGTTCATCATCTAACTCATTAAATCAACTCTGAAAGGAGAAATGAATTACCTAGACTTAAATTAAGTAATATTTCCCCTCGAGTATTGACTAAAAAGTTATAAAACAATGAATCAGTGAGAAAAAGGGAAGACTGGTCAGAATAGCATGCTTTTCCTTAATTGCTCCAGAGGAATGCGTTATTATAGTTAAAAAGACAAAAACATCGACATACCGAGATTAAAGTGGTTTCAGAAATCGAGAAAATTATTAGGAGGAATCTATTTTACATTCCAACTCACAAACACTCAATTTTAGAATGAATGAAAAGGACAAAGAAATTAGTAGAGTCTTGGCTACGTGTACTATAATTCTTATATTGATAAATAGCTATTGCGTATTTTCCAAATTTATTACATTTTCAGTCTTTATGACATCTAAGTTTCATTAATAAAACAAATTTAATGTAAATTAATATATTTGATCCCAAAACAATTATTCTAAATATCAATAATACAAATTGTTTATACTCATAATTTGAATAATTGGTATTGTAATCTTATGCGATTTAACTATCATAGTTTATATATATCATAATATATTACGCGTTAATTTATTTATAAAAATTAGGAAAATGGAACAATTATTTTAAGGTGGTTGTCATTGTTGCAAAGTATTATTCGAATTCAATGGACCTCTTGAAATGGAAGTAATCTAGTGTATTTGTTCTATTTGTCGTATGAAACAAAACCATCATGTTCTAATTCCTCAGTCTAAGTTCAAGTTGTTGACAAGCATGGAAGAACTTAGTTTATACACTTTTAATACCAAACAAGTAAGCATTTAACTTACATTAAGGCTAAACATTACTTTTGTAAGACATGTGGAGTGCAATCCTTTTTTTATCCAAGATCTAATCCAAACATGGTAGCTGTAACAATTTATTGCTTGCAACTACCACAGAATGTCAAGCTAACCAAGGTCACTCAAGGACTCGAATAATCCATTAAAACCATGGTTCAGCCATGAAATTAATTTATTTTTCATATGGATCACAAATCTTAAAATTGTCAAATTCTCATTCCAATTTCATCGTAAAATAATTGTTCCCTAAATTCAATTGAGAAAATCCAAGACATTTAAGTAGAACATAATCTGAATTTGAGATTCCATATATATATATACATTTAATTTTTACTAAATCTTATGTTTCTACATATAATGGTATAAAATTAATTATATGGTCTATGAAACAAATATAGTAAATCTGGTACTTTAGATGTACAATTGAAATCTTATTTATTTGATAAATTTTTTATGAGAAGAACAGCTTTCTAAAATTAATTAGCACATAATAAATACTCTTATTAAATTATTTAACTGAATGAAGGAATAAGGCAGGTATAGTAAATTAAGTGAAGAGGAAGCTGCTGCTTAATTTGAGTTGAGGTACTGATTGTGATTTACTTAAGAAAATAATAAATTATGGGTAATTTGCTAGAATAATACGAGAATAGTCAAAAAAACAAAAAGACATCCAAGACACCTAAAGCATCAATAAGTTAGTAGGAATTCATTGTGTTCAAAGAAAAGAAGCCAATATTAAAGAATTCGAAGAAGGACTCCAAATAATTAAAACTCGTTAAAGAAGAGTCTCCCCAATAGAATTCCACTCCTTCACCAAAATCAGATGATGAATAAACACAATAAATTATGCAACCAATTCCAATAGCATAACCTCCCTCCATTGTGAAAAGTAAGAGTGCTAATCTAAAGAAAATATTATTGAAGGATATAGGCAATATAGATTAGGAAATACAAAAGTTAACTAGAGAAACAAAGGATTTCGAAATGGATAAATTAGCGAATAAATCATAATTTTCTTATTAATCATCGAGCACCAATAATGTTGCTGCAAGGAACAATCCTAGATAGAATTCATCTTCACAATAGCAACAATCAAAAGGATTTAATGAATCAAGGCAAAGACCATCAAGCAAGGAATCCCATATTTCAGACTCCTCATATTAAAAAAAGGTTGAATTCTTCAAAGGAGTTGTGAGGAGTTAAAGTTTAAAGAAGCTACCTCAACAATAATAACAATACAAATTTTCTTAATAAATAAAGGGATCCGAAAAAAAAAATAATCAATCTGTGAATAGAACAGTAACAATTGAATCAGAAAATAAAGAACCATCAACAAATAAGATTTCATAAAGCGAACGCAAAACTCAAAGACCAACAATTAATAGAAGCTAAACCAAATAATATTCTCCTTTGGTTGAGAAGAAGTCAACTCCCATTAAAACTATGTTGAAAGTATAATTTAATTCAATTCTTGTTGGATCCAATTCTACTAAAAATAAAAGTTCATCCTCAGCATGCTTTAATAAACAATAGGATTTTCATCATCACAAAGAATCATACAATAGTTAAGTTAATTTATAATAAAATGAGTGCGTCGAAGCACAAATAGAGGAAGCAGTTTAATTATACAAAAATCTAAAGTCCTTGATGCAGAGCAAATCCACAGTTTTATAGATTAGAAAAGATGGAAATTAAATTCCCAGAAAGACTGCTGATTTTTTTGTAATAAATGATAATTTATTCTTAGTAATATAAGGAAGTAGCTAAGCCAACTTAATTCTGATTAACAATTTTGATAATAAAAGTTTAGTAAATTTATTTCTTAGATTAACAAATGCTTTTGTTATACATAAAATTAATAAGGTATAATTCAAATTTTTAATGCTTTCATTGCTTCTTGTAATTATGTTTCCTTTTCTTTTCCTTTCGTAATTAGATGTTATCTGACTTTTTCATACTCATCAATGTCTTTTTCGTGAGATTTAATAATTTCTAAAACCTCATTTGCAATATCTTTTTTTGGTTTAAGAATAAAACTGTTAGTTAAGTGAAATCTATTACCATTTACCTACAGGCTGATAGGTCTTTTGTTCCTCAATACTTCCAAGTTCCTTCAATGTAATTTGACATTTCTGAATATTTTTTTTTAGTTAAGTCATTGAAGCCTCATATTGTCTGACTTTGGCCAGAGTGCCCATAACCTCCTTCTCCAACTCCATATATTACTGATACTACTACTCTTTCTCTTTACTAATGTGCTACATATTAAAATTTAATTTAATTTAATCATTATTGCGATGGTCTTTTAACAGTTCCAGGAACGATAGCTGACGAACGTCGTGCCTGTTTCACTGATTATGGATTCACGATTATTTGACTCGATTTCATCTCTTAGTTATCCATATTAGTATTCCTCTTGGTGAATTTGTGATTACCCGAATCTCTTTATTTCTCCTCCATAATGGGCATCATATTGATAGCCTTGTTGTTCATCAAAACACTACCTCTCTTACCTTTGTTTTTTAGGGGATCTTCTTAAATCAACCTTTTCGGAGGACTGCTTTTAGGTCTTTAGAAATCTTTGAATAATGGCACTCCGTCTTCTCCATATTCGACTTCCAATATCTTGTTTTCCAAGATCTCTTTGCAAGATGGTCTATCCTAAGGATTCGGAGATAACATTCTTTATAATAACATAGTAAGGGAATGGCTCGAATTCAATTCTTATTCAACTGAGACCCAATCGATTTTCATTTCCATATTTGCTTATTTGTTTGCAAAAAGTGGTTTGCCAATCAGTAAGTAATACAAAATACAACCTAAAGAGAATATGTCGCATCTCTCATTGTAGGTTTTCGTGGGATCTTATTCTGTCTCAAACACTTCAGGTGCCATGTATCCTGGTGTTCCAGTGTATTGATACACATTCAGTTTTTCTTAGACCACACTTGAAACACCGAAATCGCTAACCATGATGTTGGGTCCCATGTGAATCAATCCGTATCTCTTTAAGGGAACGAAATCTCTGAAGAGGATATTATCTGGTTTCAAATCTCTATGCATTATGTTCTTTTCATGTAATCCACTGAGTCCTTCCACTATTTAACGGAAGATCACCTTTGCCGATAAGAATGGCACAGGTCCATTTAACACCTTGAGTGCATATTCAAGGGAGCCTCCTCTGGCCAAATCAATTATGAGATAGATTTATGCCTTATTTTCATAAACTTCATGCAGATTTATTAAGTTTGGATGGTTGAGTTGTCTCATGATTCTGATCTCATTTTCAACTTGTTCCTAAACCAAATATTTTTTTAAAATACTTTTCCTTTTGGATCTTGAAAGAGTGTTTTCTTATAGAATGCTTTGGCTGCATACATTTGATTATCAAACTTGGATTTTGCTTCATAAACTGATGCAAAGGTCCCTTTACCGATTAATTTAGAAATGTCATAGTTCACCTAATAATCAAGCATATTTAGTTTGTTCCTCAAATTGTCAAACCAATACATCGATTGGAAGTTAAAGTTGTAAAATTCGTTAGCATCTGTGTCATCTCTCTCCAAAGTAAATTTGTATATTTAAGTGTGGAATTCATCACCCTTCATCTACTTCTAAGTCTGCTTGTTGGCTTATTCCGCTTTTACACTGAATCGCAAAGACTACAGGGAAACCTTATAAATCTTCTATTTCTACAAACTTAGTAATTGACAATTTACATTTATTTTGTAAATGTTTTCATCGCTGCATAATAGCAACAGAACCTATTTATGATTTGTGAACTTGAAGAATTCAGTCTTAAAAATGATTTGTTCCTTCGCTGGTTCTTATTGGCACTTAACAAATAATTTATTGACAGATTGCATATTAAAAAAATTAACCCATATATAAAATTGATACGACGAATATATTTATAATTCCCTAATATAAATTAATATATAATGATGAATTTTAATGAGTACGATAATTTTACATGAACTCAACTTTCGCACTACTGATATCTATAATTGTATTTTTCATATTACAAACTACAAAAGACACCCGTTTGAAGTTGCATTAATTATTGTTAAAACCAACACAGATTTAAATAATAACTAATTGCCAAACAAATAGTATTCTTAAAAATTTGAATAAAAAAGCAATAAAATATACGTATCTGTTTTAATATATGTATAAATTGAATAATGTAAATAACTTGCAATTATTGGGAATAAATATTTAAATTTGTTATATTTTAAGGATTTTCATTTAAATTCAAAAATTTATATATGTAAATCTCTCAATAATTATTTGGTACTATGATTATTTAGTAATTTCAACATTATTGTTTTTTACTTTCTCTTAATCTAAGATATAGAATTTAATATTAATGATAATCTTGAGTTTGCAACTAGTTATTTTTGACTTTAACTAATGAGTAGATTCAAGCTTTTTCGTTTTTTTATGTCTTATCTAAAAATTGTATCTATAATTTAATATCAATAGAGTATTTAATAATTTCATTTGAATTATTTAGAGGATGATAAAAATAAGGGTTTTTTGGAATCTTAAAGATATAGAATATAATATCGCCAGTATGAGAAATAGTAAATCAGTATACTTAATTTACAAATTTAGAAGTAGCAGATTCATAAAATAAATGAAGGGATTTAATTAATAATAACTTGCAGGCTTAATTTGAGGAATTTATAGAAAAAAATAAATAAGATCGAAACTGTTTAAAAATTTTCTTTAATTGAGAGTAAGGTTACAAATAGCTTCATAGATTAAATGAAATCTTAAATTGATTAGTCCTTTAAATACTTTTAATCAAAGTTTTATTTGATTTAACAATTTCAATATATCACATAAAGTATTTGATAAGAGGACACGCATGTGTTATAGGGAAACTACAATTTTAATTTCATAAATTAAGAAACTGAAGAACAGAAAAATTAAATAAAAAATATTTTAGGAGCAAACAATCAAAAAATTAAAGAATGCAAAATTAAGCATAATTAAACAAAAATAATAATTTAGAGGATAGAATCAAAGTTATATAAGAAAATCTAAAATTTTGATAACATTATTCATAACTAAATTAAATAAAATCATGTAGATTAAGAATCAAAATATTATAGGCTTTAGTCAGAGTAAAAACCAATGCTGAATAATTATAAATATATAAGGAGTAAGTAAAATTTAGATAAGTATTCAAATAGTAAAATATTAATATGCTAGTTGTGTTACAGACACTGAGAGGAGACAATAAAATACTGTAAGGAAAAGTTTATCGAATTAAAAAAAACTTAATAATATTAAGGTTGGTCGAATAGATATGAGGAATGCCCTTGATTAATTGAGTAACCAATAAATGAATTAGAAAAATGAATATATATGTAATTAATCTAATTTATATTGCGTGTATTGGAATTAGTTGTCTTTCATTCAAATTAAAAAAAGTTTCTTTTTAAAACATAAAATTATGGCTGAAGAAATTAAGGAATTTCTTAAAAAGAAGGATTATTATGAAATACTAGGAGTGTCAAAATCAGCCACTGAAGATGAGCTTAAAAAAGCTTATAGAAAACTAGCTTTGAAATTCCACCCTGATAAAAACTAAAATGAAGGAGCCCAAGAAGCATTCAAACGTGTAGCATAGGCATATAATTGTCTTTCAATTCCTGATAAAAAGAGAGTTTATGATCAATACGGAACAGAAAGACCAGAACCACAACGTTAGCATCACTATTAAGATCAAAATGGATATTATTACGAATAATTCAATGGTGATGACTTTGCAAATGTAGCAATATAATAATAAAGATTAGGATATCTTTAGGGCATTCTTTGGCAATCCAAGACCTCGTAATTCAAATAGACAGCAAAATAATGGATAAGGTAATATGTAATTACTTTAATTACTACCAATTATAATGCTGATTCTATTCTCTTCATCAGGGTTTTTGAATTTGTTTTAGTCAGCTCCTATCTATTCCTTTTAAAGGTCATATGATTACCCTACTGCTTAAACAACTAAAACGCTATAAGTAACATATTATTATAAACAAAGGTTAAATATTATGTAGGCAATAATTTCAGAGAAGAAGTCTCAACTAAAGAAAAACTCCGAGAACTTGAATTAGAAATTGAATAGCATTATGTAAATTAACTAAGACGGGATTGCAACAATGTGTTTTAGAAAAAACAAATGTATGAAAGCTATGCAAACAGAGCATTCTATCAGCGAGATCGTGATTCATATAGAAATACGATTAGAAGATTAGACTTTTCATCTTGTGAAAAATTAGAAGATCATCGCAAAACTATTCTTAGATTTGATCAATTATATTGATTTTTAATTAATAGATATCAAAAAAGTTTTAAGCAAATTCTCATTTTTTCTCATTAATAATTATAAGCAACATTGTGTCTATTTATGTAATTTGACAATATTTTATTAAATTTATTATAATTTTAAACAATCTTTTAGAATAAAGAGGTTAAAGTCTAAATTAACAAAAATTCAATATATTCTCATTCTATATAATCTTATTCGATGTCAAGTTATTAGGTAAGATATTTGATAAACCTTTTATTAAATAGGAAACAAAGATTTTAACAATTTTATTAAATTATACGAGCTGATCATAACAAGATCAATAACATATGATAACTCTCTATTAATTCAAAAACTCCTTCACTCATATATCATTTGAGAAATCCTTAAATAAAATAACCTTATTTAATGAATTGAATTGATTCTCAATAAATTAAGCTTCACTAAAAAGAATGATTATTCGAATTGCGTAATGTAATTTCATTAAATATAATATTATATATTTATAATACCAAAAATGGACTTTAAGCAATTATATGATGAAATGTGCCAAAAATACCAGTAAATGGAGGAAGAATATAATCAGTTTATTGAAGAAAGTCAAATTTTGGAAGATCAATAATAGAAGAACATTGAGACTTTAAACAAACAACTAGCGCAAACCTAAAATTAGTTATTGTAACAAAAAGAAGAAACACAAAAAGCAAGAGTACTAAATTATTTATCATTATTTTAGAATGAACTATAATAGATTCAAAATCAATTAGAAAAACAATTAGCAAAAAAGGAAGCTCAAATTTAAGAGTTTTAAAAAATTGTGCAATCTCTGAAAATATAGATCATCGACTTAGAAGTTGATTAAGATCTAAATAAAAATAAGATTAGGTATTCATATTATTAAACATAGGTAGCTGGAAGAAACCAATAAAGATTTAGAAATTAAACTAGATAAAGTTTTAGAGTAATTAGCAATGGCTTAAACCGATTTAGAGAATAACAAACTTCAATCTTAGGAAGAGATTGAGCGTCTAAGGCAAACATTAAAAGGTAAATATTTCATCAATCTTAGAAAATCAAGACGAATTGTTTGCAGCAAAAAGCTCTAGAGTTAGTATAACAACTTCAATTCCAGAAGTTGTAAAAATGCCTAAGATTGATTCTTTAAGAGCAAATGCAGCTGGATTTAACAAAAGTCTGACTTTAATATAAGCTTTGATTAAAGATCTTGATGATAAAATGACATTAATTAGATAACCTAAGCCATGAAAATTATTAATTTTTTGTTCTTATTTTATATATATTAGTTTTTATTTTATTAAACAATTTATTTAAATACATCCTTAAGTAAGTTAGATATAGTTCATCTTTTGTGCTCAAATTTATCTAAATTTTAAAAAATTTGATATTCTTATTTTATTGTTAGTGTTGTCCTTCTAATTATTATAAATTTGAAGCGTTAAAGAATTTTTTAATATTATTGGCATAAAATCAAATTTTGTTTAACAATTGTTTAAGTAAAGATTATTTTGGTGAATTAAATTTATTTTCTTTGCTTTAAATGAAGAGAATAGAGAAATCTACTGCAATAACGTTTTGCAAACTAGAATTTAGATCTAATACAAGACGATGCAGGACTACATTTGCTAATTATTATAATTTTTGGAAAATTTATTCGTGAATTTATAAGAATAATTTATATTAATATTTTAAACAAAATGAGTAGTCCAAAATTGTCAGAGATTTCTTAAAAGGAAACAACAAAAGAGAAATTTTAAGACTAAGAAAATGATGAAATTCCAATTAAAAAAAAAGTAAAAATAGAGGAAAAGCTCAAAATAAAATTGCCATTCGCTGACATACTTTCCTCCGATGATGACTCTAGTGATAGTAGTTAAATTTTAACTGGTATCAGAACAAAATTTATAAATGATGTTCCAAATTTTGATTCTCCTATTTTAATCAGAAAACCCGAAAATAAAGAGGATTCTTAATTGTTTTGATGAAGTGATTCCTTATTTGTATATATTTTTAACATAATGTATTCAACTAAAAAATCTAGTTTTCATACGTATTATTATATGATTAATGGAGGAAAATATCTGAAAAAATTATGAAAATACGTCATAAATTTATAATAGCAATATGATTTTTTTAAGCTCAAATATAATATGTTAAAGTTTAATTAATTTTTATATATGTATTTAAAATATACTTTCATTTTTTAGTAAGATCTGCAAAAATAATGACTAGTTATAGTCGAAAAATTCAATCAACCACAGCTTCATTTATTTTTTAATCGAGATAAAATAATCTAATAAATCTATATTTTATTAATCAGAAGTACTTTAAGATAATAATTATATTCCTCTTATTCCTTATAAAACTGTAGTTTTTAATAAGTAGAGTTTTTAGAGGACTATTATTGAATTTAGGTTCATTTAGAATGATATCTTTTATGGATATCTTGAGATTTATTAAAAAATGAAATTCTTCTTTGTGATGCTGAAAATACCTCTGATCAAATTTTATGAATCTTTCTTAATAATTAATGTCTTTAATAATTTTACTAGAGAACTAAAACTCCAAGAAATAAGGAATTGAAATATGATTAAATTAAAATCACTCTAAATCTATCATAATGGATAACTAAATTAATAAGATTCATTTGATCTTTTTATAACTTAATCATTATCACATTATTTTTTTCTCATATCAATAATTGATTTATGATTTATATTTAAGTAAATAAATAGTCACAACTTTAAACTCAAATGGATAAATTCCTTATAAAAATTTATAATAGATTGAAATTAATCTATAAAATAATAATATTTTATGTTAGAGTTTTCAAGCTACATCATCATCTATAAATAAAGCATGACTTAATTTAATTCTGTTGTTAGTTTCTATTTTAAAATTTATTGATTTATGATTTTTTGGTTATCACCTATATTGATTATTTGATTATATGTAACTTAACATTAAAAATTAGTTAAGTTGTATTCTTCTTATTATTTCTATATTTATGTTATAATGTTTATTCTAGTGAAATCGTATTTCATCATTGATAACAATATATATTTCATCTTCCATTTATAATGTGATAGAATTATAAATAAATTAAATTAATCATAACTTTGTAAATTTTATAATTCAATGTTTATTTAACAAATTCAAGATACCCATTTAGATTTATTGTAATATTGATGGGAATTTTTTAAATTGATTAGATTTGTATTATCTATGCTTTTTTCCTCTATTGACATATCGTCATCATCGCATTTTTTATTATTCGAAACTGTCCTGACTGCAGGTCTTTAGTTTTGCATTATAACATTGTTGCAATTTTACAATTGATTAAGCGCTTATCGAGAATTAGCTTAATTAAATCGCAAATTATTCATGTGTATATCTAATAGTAGTTCTAATTCTAAAATTGTAATTCTTTTAGTAGGATCTTTATCTAGCATCTTTTAGACAATTTTTTAAGTAGAAGAAGAAATATTCTACCATTCCTTTGATAGATATTGCAGATTGCATGTCTTATTTAATTCCAAAAGTACTAATTAAATAGATAATCGAAATTACATTCTTTATTCTAGGTACCAAAAGGGGAATTCCCACATAGAAGTAAATAGAAAAGTACTCCTAAGCTAAACATATCACAATTTTCTGTATAGGGAGCTAATTGGAAGAGTTCAGGTGCAATATATCCTGCAGTTCCAGAACCATTTAATAATTTATTTCTATTGATTTTCTCAGCAAAGCCAAAATCTATAAGTTTAATTTCAATTGGATTCAAAGATTGAAACATGATATTCTCTAATTTAATATCTCTGTGTACAAAGCCATGGCTATTATAATATTCATATATAATACTGATGAACTTCTTTGATTGCTAACATTATCTAATTGAGTATCTCTAAGGACATCAATTCATTTAACACATTTTATTGAAGGATTTGATACAAGGTTCCTCCAGATACATATTCAAGAATTAAAATGACTACATCTTCTAATTATATTATTTCAAATAGCTTAACAATGTATTAGGATTTTACTATTTTCAGTATTGAACATTCTGCTTAAATAAAATCCTAATTTATTCAAATATTTACCTTCATCTATTAAGCAGGTATTTTTGATTGTAGACTTTTAGAGTATACTTTGGCAGCATATTTCTAATTCTTGACTTCTTCTTGAGATTGTGAAGTAACAGTGAATACAGAACTGAAGGCTCCCTCGTCTATTTTTTCATGTAACTAAAAGAAGCCTTCAAAATTTGAACTAATGCAAAACTGAGCTAATCTGTTATACCAAACATTAATGCTGATTCTAAACTAGAAATTAATTAAAAATAATACGAGTTGTCTTCATTCCAAATATGAATTGAACAATTCTAAAATCTTTCTATTCGTATTGCAGATATCTTTTGCTTGTCTTCATTTTCCTCATTAGTCAACTCTATTTTTTTGAGAACAATTGATAGATCCAACTATATTTTCCCTTTTTAATTTGTGTCTAGGTATATAAGTTAACCTGTTTTCAATAGTATAAACATGTATGATTTTGGTATCTGTTTGTTCTTGCCAATTCTCTTCAAGGTCCCTTTTATTACTATTTGATTTTCATCAAAGAATAAATAGGGTCTCTTATCCCAAAATGGGAGGTTGTTAATATTCTCCGCTGTTTAAAAAATAGGCCAATCGGAGTTCTCCCTTTTTTCGATTTAAGAGTAATTTGTGCTACTTTACATGATTATACAAATAAATATAAATAATTATGAAATAGGCATATATTGCCCAATTGAATTGTACAATTTAAATTAAAAAGTCATTTTTTGAAATATACAGGCGAAGATCTAACAATTCTAGAGAAGGGTCCCATATATCCATCAAAAATGTAAGCCAATAAGGTATGCACATAATTTGTATGGCAAGGCAAATTCTCATAATACTCTGGCACCATTTTTCTTAGTAAAGGCAATCTAGACCAGGGAATCATGGGAAAATCATGATGTTCTGTATGATATCCAATATTCAGAACAAAGAAATTAGCCCAACCAATATAATCATATGTTTCCATTCTATTAACGAACTCGTAATGTTCTGCTATCAAATGAACTGCAAATGGATGCACACTACATTGAATAATATTGATACCTCAAACCAAAATAAGTGGAGAGCAAAAGCCAAATTAGTCCTTGTACCCCAATATAGTTGACAATCAAATAATCAACAAAAAAGACGGAGACTACATTAATTACTTCATAGGCGTTTGGCTTTAATGGTCTTACAATAACAGGCCTCAAGCCATAAAAGAAGGGGAGACAAGCCACAAACAAAAATTTAAGTATTGGTCCTTTAATATACTTTAACTCTAATCTTGATGGAAGATCTGGATCTAGGGTTTCCAAGTTCAGAAAGGTATGATGATCTGCATGATATCTAAACATATTTAAATATGTATTTTATACCTACCAAAAGTGATGGCTGAGGGTACTCCCTATCCGAAGTTTGCCCAAATTGCCATCAACTTATTCAAGAGAATACTTTCAAAACAGGTGAAATGGGTAAAATCGTGGACCAAAACATGTAGAGCATGACTCAAGGTTGCCCCAAACACATAAGCAGTTATCACAAACCAAAACCAACTTAATTAGGAGAAAAGACTTATGAAAAAGAATTACACCAGAACAAAGGTGATTCCTAACCAAGCAGAATTGATGTCATTCCCAAATAAAACCTATATTTCTGGGTGTTTTTTCAATATTTCTCTTCTTCTGACTGCATGAGACTCCTCATGACCTTAATATTCTTGAATTACAAATTACCCATAATATGGAAATAGGTTGTATTTTTTTCAAAATTGGTTTATTTATAAATATCTTCATTCTTCCATGAAACATCGTTACTTTTTTTAACTAGTCCTGGCTCTGTTAAATCTTCCAAAAGTCCAAATTGATTCTTTTTCATTTCAATTATTAATATTTTTAACTTAATTTAAAAAACAACTTAAATACTTTGAAAAGAATTCGGAAAGTCCGAAAAAAATGATCTCAAAATTTTCATATATAATTTGAATTTTAATGCTAAATCTAATCAGAAATTATTTGATTCTTAAAAATTGGTACAAATTATAATCGATTATATTTAATAATAATTTTACTATTCCTTTAATTAGAACTTAAAACAAACAAACTTTTTAATATAAATTCAAATTTATGAATTAACAATATCTCCAAGTCCCCATGGCACAAAGTAGATAGTCATTCACTAATGATAAGTACTAAACTACTTCCGGAGTGGTTTCGAGTGCTGAAAAGTAAATCTTAAATTTTACATTAGACGTGTGATTGAGATCAATTAGAGTACTAGAAAGAGTCTCATGTTCGAAGACAAGTAAATAACTCATCCTATTCATAGACGTTATGAGGAACTGCTGCAGGACAATAGAAAATTGAAAGAAGTGATCGAACAATTGGACAAGGACAATTAATAATTAAAGCAAATGTCAGGAGAAAATTATAATCTAAAGCAGAAGTACATGATTAACCAAGCTGAACTGGAAGCAGCTCAGTAAGAATTGGCAAAATTGCGCTCTTAATTGTTAATGAGAAATTCTTCAGATGCTGAATCATCTAGTCTAGTTGCCAGATACAAATAAGACATTTCTTCAATGACTCAACAATAGATCAAATCTTAATAGGGTATTCCATATCAGTTCTAATCATTTTAGAGATTACTCAACTCAATGCCTTGTTAACAGAGCAGAGAAAGCAAGTAGAAGAGTATTTGAGGATAAAAAGCAAATATGAACAAGATATATAGACTTATAAAAATAGGGCGTCTACCTTGGAATTAGAGATCAGATCTGTTAAGGAATAGAGGAATTCTACTACCTAAAGTGAAATTACTAGACTGATGTAGGAATTAGCCAGGCATTAATCTGAGGCTTAAGTAAGAACATCAGATAAGGAATTTTACGAGAGAACAATTTAAACCTTAAAGGACAAAATTAAAGAGATGGATAATGATATTCAAATATTAATAGAGGCACATAACTAGAATCAATTTAAATTGGAGTCAGCTATGGCAGAGTCGAAAGGTAACATGTAATATGAGATTGATCAACTAAGATAAGAGGTCAATTTCTATTAAACTTAATGTAAACAATGGCAGGAGAAATGTCAAGTGTTTGAATTACAAAAAGAAGAAAGTGAGAGGAGAATCATCTAAATGGAAATTAGAGTCAATGAGACCAAAAAACAAATAGAACTTCAATAAAATGAAAGAATACAAAGGGATAGTTGGCAAGTTCATACAATATAGAATGAATTAGAAAATTGGAAATAAAAATATATATAATTAGAAATTAAAACCAAGGATAGTGAGACTCACAGGTTAAGAATCAAATAATTAGAAGATCAGAACAATCATTTAAGAATAGAAAATGAACGTGTAAAGGAGGAATTGGACATATTAGTCACTGAATTCAAATCAATTTAAGAATAAAATAATGGATATAGATTGAGTATCACTTAATTAGAAAAATAAAGTAAAAGTACTGTAGAATTGGATAGATATAAAACGTAAGTTAATTAATTGAATTAATAAATCAACAATTATAAGGTTGAAATTAAACAATTATAAGAATAAATGATTGTGTAACAATAAGAAAAACGAATTGAGATTTAATCGTATACTTAATATTAATACGAAGCTGAAAATCATTAAAAGGAAATTGAAAAGTTAAGAAGAGAATTCAGATAAATTGAATAATTGTATAATGAGATGGAAGTCTAAGTCAAACTATGGAAAGAGAAATTCTATCATGAATAATTGCAACATCAAGAAGCTAGATAATTGTTGATTGATGTTAAGACCTAATATGAATCTCACACCTATATTCTCACTTAGACCGAATAAGATAAACATAGAATTCAATAATTAGAGTTACAATTAATTGAATTATAAGAAGAAGTCCGTGTTCTACAAATCAGAGAAGAAACCTATAAGGAGTAAATCTCAACTTACTCTGTAACTATAGAGAATATCAAATAGAATCAAGATCAATCTAGAAAGGTTAGGTAATTAGAATTGGATATTGAGACTTTGAAATCGAAGTGCCGAGATTTAGAAAAATAATTATTAGATAAAAGAAACGAATTTAATTTATTAAAAAGTGAGTGGGAACTAGATAAATAGAAAATTACAGAATTAAAGGCCTCTAATGATGTACTTCTCAAAAGGAAACCTGAGATAGTTAAATAAATAATTGAAACTCCTTCAAAATAAGAAAAATTAAAAATATAAGAATTGGAATAACAAGTATCTCTATTAAAATTACAATCTCAATAAGTGTCAGCATCTAAATAGGAAGTTATTAGAGAAACTATTAGGGAAACAGTTTAAGTCAGAAGTCAAGAAGATATTAAATTGATCGCTAATTTAGAGGAGGAATTATAATTGTGGAAAACTAAATACTATGAATTAGATAGACGAAAGAATTAAGTTGTTGTAGAAACTATAAGAGAAGTGTAATAATCAGAAAGTGATAAGTTGAGAATCTAAGAACTAGAACATTAGGTTAAACAATCATCAGCAAAAAAATAAGAAATTATTCGAGAATTTATAACTCAAACTGTTGAAGTTCCTGTAGAAGCAGATAAAATTAGAATTTAATAATTGGAAATATAAGTAAATAATTTAAGATAAGAGATCTATTTATTAAATTAAAGAAAATAAGAAGTTATAACACAGCAAATCACTGTTGAAGTACCATCCTAAGCTGATAGATAAATAATCTAATAATTAGAATCTGAGATAGTCAAATTAAAGACATAATTGGAATTCGTCTCTAAAAGTAAATAGGAAGTTATAAGAGAAATAATTACTGAAAGAGTTGAGGTCCCTTCAGAATCTGATAAATTAAAGATCTAATAATTATAAACCCAGCTTTAGCGTCTACAAAAGGACTATTAATACTTAGAATTGAAAAAATAAGAAATTATCAAAGAAACCATTACTGTTGAAGTTCCCTCTTAAGCTGATAAATCAAGAATTTAACTTTTAGAATCTTAGTTATTGTAAATTAAGAAAGAATTGCAAATAGTTTCCTAAAAAAAATAAGAAATAATCACTGAATACATAACAGAGAGAGTTGAAGTACCTTTAGAATCTGATAGAATCAAAATTTAATAATTGGAAAGTTAATTATAAAAAATATAACAAGAGTATTATCTATTGAATTAAAAAAAGCAAGAGATAATAAAGGAAACTATAACAGTAGAAGTTCCTTAATAATCAGATCAATTAAGAATATAATAGCTGGAGTCATTAGTGGTTCAATTAAAGTAAAATATATCAATAATACAACAATAAAAATAAGAAGTAATAAGAGAAACCATAACAGAAACAGTTGAAGTCCCATCATAAAAAGATAAGTTAAGAATTTAATAATTGGAATAGGAATTACAAAGATTAACTCAGGACTATTACTAACTTAATTAAAAGAAACAATAAATTATTAAGGAAACAGTAACTGTAGAAGTGTCTTCATAGGCAGACAAATTTAGAATCTAATAATTAGAATCATAGGTTTAGTAATTAAAGTCAGAATTACTAATAATTTAATAATAGAAGCAGGAAGTAATTAGGGAAATAATTACAGAGAGAGTGGAAGTGCCTGTGGAATCAGATAAAATTAGAATAAGATAATTGTAGGATCAGTTTTCGTAATTATAAAGAGATTATAATTAATTGAATTTGAAGAAATAAGAAGTCATAAGGGAAACTGTAACAGTAGAGGTGTCTTCATAAGCAGATAAATACAGAATTTAATAATTGGAGTAGTCATTGCAATAAATGAAGATGGAGTATTTAAATTTACAAAATAATTATGAGATTGTGAGTAAGAAAAAGTAGGAAGTGATAAAAGAAGTAATTACTGAAAGGGTTGAGGTTTCTTCTCCTGCAGATAAATAAAGAATTGCATAATTAGAATCCTAATTAAGTAATTTGACCATGGAGTTATAAATAATATCTAAAAAGAAGTAAGAGACTATACGAGAAGTGATTACAGAAAGGGTTGAAGTTCCAAAGGAGTCTGATAAAAGAAGAATCATTGAATTAGAACAAGACTTAAATAAATTACAATAAGATTATATTGCATTAAATAAGACTAAATAAGAAGTAATCAAAGAAACTTATACAATTGAAGTACCGTCTTAGGCTGATAAATTCAAAATTCAATAATTAGAAATGTAGCTTTCGTAAATAAGAAGTGAATATTAGGTTTTATAATCTAGAAAAGCTGAGATTGTCAGGGAAGTAGTAGAAGTCCCTGTTGAATCTGATCGAATTAGAATTAGATAATTAGAATAATAAATTAGTTCATTATAATAAGATTACTTTTCCTTAAATTAAAAGAAATAAGAAGTAATTAAAGAAACCGTGACAATTGAAGTGCCTTCAGAGGCGGATTAATATCGTATTAGGTAATTGGAATAGCAATTATCTACATTAAGAGATAATCTTACTGTTATTTAGAAATAAAAGCAAGAGGTTCAAATAATAAAAGAAACAGTATAAGTCAGTAAGTAAGAGGATTTATTTAAGATCTAAAATTTAGAAAGATAGCTGCTTTAATTGTAAAATGAAGTGTAAATCTATGAAAAATAATTAAAAGAATATTAGAACTCTAGCTTTGAGTTGGAATAAGAAATAAAAAACTTAAGGATATAACTTAGGACTACTTAAAAGTCTAATTAGGAATATTAAGAATAATTAACTTCAATATAGATAAAAATAGAGGAAGGGCAAAAATCAAAATAAATTTAATTTTAATATGAAAGAAGGGAATAGGAATTTATCGAATAAATTAAGTTGTTGGAAAGAAGAAATGAGGAATTTAGACAAGAAAGAGAAAGATATTCAGAATATGAAAGAAAATTGAATTATTACAAGGAGGAGTAGTTATAAAATGAGAAACTAATAGAGAGGCTTAAATTAGAAATATAAACTTAAAAGAAATAATATGAAGAAAGAATAAGTATTCAAGAAAGCTAATTTAAGAAGGAGATAACAATTATTTAAACTTAGTAATAGAGTAATGTAAATCAGAGTTGCAATATTTGGAGAACTCTAAAAATAGGGAAATTAAAGAATACAAATAATAAATTGAACTATTGCAGAAAGAAAATCAAAAAATTATAGATCAATGAGATGTAAAAATGAAGAGAATGAATAATGGAAGAGGAAATTTATTGCATTGTCAACTGAAGTTAGCACTACTTCTGGAGAATTTGAGTCTATAAAAATGTAATTAAAATCAACAGAGTAAAGTAGAGATACAATAAAAGCTGAATTAGATAGAGTTAATAAGATGTATCCTTAATGTTAAAATGAATTAACATAATATAAATCAAAAAATAATGAACTTGAACTAAAAATAAGATAATTAAATCGTGAAAATCAGGACTATTAAGATAGATATTAATCTATAGATTTTGAAAAATTAAATCGATTAGAATTAGAAATTAAAAGGAAAATTGAAGTCATTTAGCAATCATAAACGCATATCAGAAATTTAGAAAATGAGAAGAAGAATGAAACAAAAGTTAGAGATTTACTAAATTAGTTATAAGAAAAAGAACTTGAAATTGAATAATTGCATGAGATGGTTCAAGAATTATCAACAACAATCAGACAATTAAGAATGGAGCATGAATCGATTTTAGAGCAATAAAGCAAACAATAGATTATCATAAGAGAAACATAAAAGTAAATTATTTGTGTATCTATTTAGTAATTAAAAACTTGTTGAATTAGAGACTAGAATTGAAGGTTTGAATGCAGAAATTGAAAGGTAAATGATGCTCAAGGATTAAATTTAACTTAAACACGATAAATTAATTGAAAGAGTATTATATATATATTAATGATTAGGCAACAGAATACGAATCAGAAATTAATATGTTAAGGAATGAACTCTCTAAAACCCAAAAAAGATTAAGCTCAAATAATGCAAGCAATGCATATTTTGTTTCAAAAACCTTTGAAGTACAAAGGACAGGAGATGTTGCGAATAATGCAACAGGATTGGTTTCAGGTTTTAATTTTGAGGACTCTAAAAAAATTAAGTCAATAGTGAACACTGTTTAACACAGATCTGATGTCTCTAATTACAGTTCAGCAGTTAAAGAATCCTAATATTCAAATAAATCACCTTCATAAGCTTAATCATTTAATCCTCTTCGATCAGATGTATATCTTATTATTTAAAGTAGATAATCAAACAAAAAGCGTAATATTTTCGAACTGAAGAGTACCAAAATATTTGATTTTATAAATATTTGAATTAACTAATTATGATTAGGAATAATAATTAAGAGATATTAAAAGTATCTATTTTGGCTATGTTTTAATCATATTATAATTTGACAGTCTGAGATTTAGAAATGTTGTTATTTGATGAATAACTCCAAGAATAAATTAAAGGCTTATTATATTTATGATATCATCAATTTTTCCCAATTAATTATCTGATGTATTATTAAACTATGTAAATTTTTAATCTTTATATTAACAGAACTAATTCAAGAAATGTTTTATGATTACAATCATAATGGATTCCTATTGACTATTTTTATATGCAACGTAACAAGCATAATCTCTTTATTATTGATTATCCTATTTTACATAGTTGGAAATGGTAGCAAATACTTAATATAAAAGTATGCTTATTAATCAAGCTTATAGATTATATTTCTTCTAAGTGATAGTTTTGCTCATTTTTTTTGTTCCATAAACTATTGGACCTTTCTTTTACTCAGAAAAAATTGATAGTGCTGATTCACTTGAATATTGTTAATTTTCAAAAAAGGAAGAGGAAATCAATTAAGAAAGTAATCCTAATTAGTAAAACTGCATGACAGATGGATGTAAAATCAATATAAATATCAATTAGATTGCAAATTTTAAGGAATCACTAATAATGGAGCTTGGTTTGCTAGTTCTTTATTCTCTTATTTATCTTGCCATGCAATCTCTGAAATAATTGTAAAACAACGCTAAATAAAAAAGAAATTTAGTAAATACTTAATTCTTATTGTTGTTCTAACAATTCTATGCAATTTTGGTTCTTGTTTTGCTAAATTTCGACATTATGGCATTAAATATAATAATGAACTTATTCTATATATTTGTAATTTAGATTTGGTAGATGGTCCATGGATGATATGGTGGATATTTTAATTAATGATAAATCTGGTTGTGCTAGTATTTGGATTAATCCAATATAAAAATTTGCGAAATTCAATACTATAATTATAAATAAGACTACACTAAAATTTGAATTCCATAAAAGCCCTAAAGATTTAAATATTGCTCATTTTTGTAATTTTATTTTGGACAATTAATATTTTTGTAAAATTATTTGAAGAGTACGCTTTAGAAAATTTAAAATGGAAACCAGCCTAAATAATATTATTTTTGTTTATGATTCCTGTTTAACTATTGGGATTATGCTATGCACAATTTTATTTTTATAGTTTTCAAGATCATCTATACCAAAACTTGTCTCCTTGTTTTAGGTTTTTATTGAATATTCTAGTTCAAATTAATTTTGTAACCTTTTATTTTTCATATGTAAGAACTTTAACTAATTGTTTAGCAAAGAAAGAAAGAGATTAGCATGGAAGATGATAAATCTTCGAGCGTAAGTAATGAAGCATCATTGATCTATAATCAAAATGAAACATCAGCAAATTGAGTTACTAAATCAATTTAGAACTGTGATCATTAATTTGTATTTGGTTTTTTGTTGTTATTTTTCATTCGAAATTAGTTAATGTACAAAGATAAAAAAGCACACGTTTTTAGAAGAGATATAAATAATTTGTTTAGGTAATGAGTTTGTATAATAATCACATATTAAAATCTTTTTAAAATATAAAAAAAATGGTCAGCAGATTAAGAAAATGCAGAAAAATGAGAGGACATGTTTGCCATGGTTATGGTAGAGTTGGAAAGCATAGAAAACATCCAAGTGGTAGAGGTGTTTCAGGAGGTTTGACACATCATAGAATCAATTTCAATAAATACCATCCAGGATATTTCCAAAAAGTACATCTGATTAGTTAAATCATAGACTGGAATGAGACATTTCCATTTAAAAAAGAATACACTTCATAAGCCAGTTGTTAACATTGACAAATTGTGGTCACTTGTTACAGATGAAACCAGAGAAAAATATTCCAAATCTAAAGATAAGGCTGCAGTGATTGACGTTACTAAGGCAGGTTATTTTAAGGTCTTGGGTAAGGGAAGATTGCCAAATCAACCAGTTGTGGTCAAGGCTAAATTCTTTAGCAAAACTGCAGAAAGAAGAATTAAGGCTGTTGGTGGAGCATGTATACTCATTGCCTGATAAATTATTATATACATTAAAAATATCTGTCAATAAATAATTATATTTAATGGGTAATTGCTGCTCATACTAAAATCCCCCCGCATATCTTAGTAACCATAACACGCCTGATCATTTGAGTGTTGAGGAGAGTATTCATTAATTAATCAATGCTATCACTCCTCGAGTATATGAAACTTAGGAGTAATTTATTATTTTGAATCCATTAATCATGGCTACTATGGAAAAGCTAAAAAAGCTTGTTGTTAAAGACTCTCCTCATTTCAAAACATAAGATTTGACTGCCTTAATGGGAAATAAGAAGGGGTGTTATGTAATAATTATATACATCTTAAGAGATTAAAGAATGGGACTCTGTATTCTGGAGATTGGCTGGATGATATGAGACATGGCTATGGCAAGGTTTTGAATCTGGATGGAAGTTTTTATGAAGGATTTTTTAAATAGGATCAATATTATGGCATTGGAAGATTGATATATCATGATGGAGACTATTATGAAGGGGAATTTGAAAGCAATCTATTTAATGGGTTCGGTGTGTATAGTTCTACCTTTTATTATGAAGGCGAATGGTATAATGGAGAAAAACAAGGTCAAGGCAAAGAAATATGGCCCAATGGCATCACTTATCAAGGATAATTCAAGAGAGGCTCGAAAGAAGGCTAAGGCAAGATGATATTTAATGATAACTCGTATTATGAAGGAGAATTCCTTAGAGACACTTTTAACAGTATGTGTAATTCCTTTAATCTAAGATAAAGGGACATTCTTTTGGAATGATAGCAAGAAGTATGTCGGCGAATGGAGAGATGGAGTCAAAGAAGGCCAAGGGTCAATGATTTGGCCTACTGGATAGGAGTACAAAGGAGAATTCTTACAAGATGAATTCGAAGGCCAAGGATAAATGACATATCCAGATGGAAAGGTTTTCATTGGGTATTGGAGATCAAGTCGATAAAATGGAGATGGCGAAATCTATAAAAATGGATAACTGTATAAAAAAGGAATTTGGAATATGGGTACTTTGATAAAAGAAATTAAAAAATGAGATTTTTAATCTAAATTTTTTTATCCTAATCATAATTAATTTAATGTAGAAAATTCCAGAAAACATTGCTGCCTTGCCAACAAATAAAGACCTAACCTTCAAAGTTCACATCACTTATTGTGGAGGATGAGGATACAAACCATAATATAACCTAGCTGCTTCCTATATAAAATAATTATATCCAAAAGTCCAAGCCTCTGGTAAACCAAGTGAAAAAGTTACAGGTGAAATGGAAATAACAGTCACCAAAAATGATGGAACTTCTTTATTGGTTCATTCTAAATTGAATGGCGATGGACCTTTCAATAACTAATCAGCTTAAAAAGCCTTAGAGAAGTTGATTGCATTTGTTGAAAAATGAAATCCAATATAAATATGATAAATAAAAAGGAATGATCGAAATTAAAATGAAGAGATTAATTCAAATACATTAAAATTGATCTCTGATAATGATATGATTTTGATTATAAACTTTTTTGTTTATTAATAATTATTCAATTTGTAATTTATTTTTTGATCATTATTTACATAAAGAACAAGATCAATATATTATTATTAGTTCTTTATTAAGTTTGATACTCTGTAATCATTAATATAATAAAATGAAGATTTTTTTTTAATTCTAACAAAGTACAAGATATTATTGATGCTTATATCAAAATTTATTGAAAATATTAACACATCTATACTAACTAAACTTTTTACTTAATCAAAGCCACAACATTTAATAAATTGAAATAAATGCATAAGAAATTGATATTTTGTATTCTCATTTAATTTTTATGCCTTAGAGTATTATTATTTATAATATATCCTATGCAACCAAATTTGCAAAATTAGAAACTGATTATTTACAACTATTTAATCAACAATTTGATACCTATGTTCATATTGAGGTTTTTGAGAGAGGAGATAAGATGATGATTGATAAAGAATATTTGGGATACTTAAGTATATGTTATTTCCATTTTTTTCTTCATTCATTTAAAAAAATCAGGCCAAACACATCTGATATATTTATAAAATTATCAAAAAGTGATAGAATTTGTGTATTATAATCCTCTACAATTATCGTGTTTAGCTAAAGGGAATATAGAATATTAAATAATGAATAAATATTAAAATTATGAGATTTTTATTTTGTGGAGACAGCAATTGCCCAGAATGGTTTTTGGCTGAATCAGCACTTCTGACAAAAATTGTATTAGAATTAAAATATAAGGATAGGCTTCTGTGAAGATGAAATTAGTGACCTAATATATTCTATAGAATATTGTCGAAGGTATAGACACTTCAGCTAAGATATTTAAGATGCTGGAAGGATCTGGTTTTAATCAATAAGAAATCAATTCAACTATTGCTTGCGTATCATTTATCGTTGAAAACTCTGCCAAATATGATGTTTCAGAATAGATATTAATAAAAGAGCTAATTGATTTGGGTCTGCCAAAAGAAAACTGTGAATAATTGAGCAAGACCTTTAAATAATACAAAGACAAATTACAATAGGTCTATGAAAACTAAATAATAAAAAGTATTAATAATTATGATTCTCAAAGTTGGAAAGGCTGTAGAGTTTCATTATGGAATTAGTAAATTTATAGTATCAGAGAGTGTGGTCCCTCAAAAATAAATCGAGGGGAACAGATATATAGATACAAACATAACGTTCCAGCATGACAATGGGAAACAAGAATGTTGCCAATTTGTTATGTTTCCTGAATAATTTGAAGATATGCTCAATAGTTTTAAGAAAGCATAGAAACTAATGATGCAATTGTGATTGATTTTACCAAATATTTAATAATGATATTGAACTCATTTTCACCTTCCTTATCATGAAACCATTTATTTCTTAAAAATTATTATCCATTTTTCAATAATGGCATTTTCTTGATCTTTTTTAACCTTTGCTTGTTCTTAATCGTTTCTCTTTGATTCTAAGTAGCTTGAATTCTCTGCTAACTTTTTCTTGCTCCTATTTGTTTGTAAATTCTAAGAATAAATTATTGCATGATCATTGAAAGTATTGTTACAAACCTACAACTTTTCTGCTACGTTTTTAACTTAAACCAATTCAAATGTGTCTCAGTTTATATTATAATCAGCGAAGTCTTAAGTTTTAAACATAACCAGATCTTAGTTATATATGCAATTCTTATATTTTCAATTTTTTGAGTAAGTCAATATATATTTACTTAAATGAAAGGAGCCTTGCATCTATAAATGAATTAACGTAATATATTAAAGATTCCTTTTCAAATTATAGACAATATTTACTAATATTTAAGTGAATAAATAGAATTAATTTTTTAATTAGAAATTAATTTATCAACTTTTAAATCTTAAAATATGTTTATTGTAAAAAATAGGGGTAAGAAATAAAGTATAGATGGATGAAAATTGTAGAATCAAAGCAGTTCAGATTTAAAAAATTTAATAAAATATTGATCAAGCAGGAATAAAGTGATTCTAAATACCTAATGTATTTTAAAGAGATATCTGCTGACGTTTTTTGACTAGTTTTTTAATATACATTAAAATAATCAGAAATCTTATTTTGATTTTATAGTAATTAATTAGAAAATGCAAAAATATGTATCAATAAAATACAAACTAATTATTAAATAGCAAAAATAATTAAAAAAAGTTTATACCATTGTTACTCATAATTGTGTTCCTGAAAATTTAATGGATAATTTAAAGTAAACAACAAAGTTTTTGAATCAAATCTATTATTTGGAAGAAGTTATGTAAGAAGGTTTTTGCCATTAAGACAGGAAATAAGAGTAAAAGGTATGAAGGTTCTTCTAAACAACAATAAAAGTCTTTATTATTGATTTTTTTTTAATTTTGAATTGAAATGATTAGTAATTTAAGTTTAATTTATCATAACTTATTTTTTTTAATATTGAGCTAAATGTTTTAACAATGCATATTTTGCATAATGCATTTTTAAATGAATTACTTTTTAATAGATAATATATTCAATCACTATCAGAGGATTAATCCTTTGTAAAATTATTGCAAAAAATGTGTATTTTGATAATATTTTGAATATTTTTTAAAGTAAATTAGTCTGATCATGCATATTATTAAATTAGATACTTCTTTATAAATGAATTGCGACAAATTCAAAATTAATCAATTTAAGATTATATAATGAGAATTAATATAAATAATAAAAGGGCAGATAGGGAGAGTATGAATAAGTATGAGATCATAGGAGTTGTTGGAGAAGGAGCTTATGGAATAGTTCTGAAATGTAGAAATAAAGAAACAAATGAATGTGGTTTTATATTTGTTTGTATATGTTACAGTCGCAATAAAGAAATTCAAAGAGACAGAAGATGATGAGACAGTTAAGAAAAGTATATAAAGAGAGGTGAAAATGCTGAGATTGCTAAAACATCCAAATATTATCTAGCTTAAGGAAGCATTTAAAAAAAAGGGCAAAATATTTCTGGTATTCCAATTCGTGGATAGAAACCTATTGGAGCTATTGGAAGAAAGAAAATAATTAGACGTATGAGAATGTAAACACATGATTAGTAGGAAAGCATCAAACGAGTAGTATTCTAATTAGTTTTGGCTATTCATGCATGTCATTAAGTTGGGATTGTACATAGAGACATAAAACCGGAAAATTTGTTAGTTGATAACGAATTGAATATAAAATTGTGCGATTTTGGTTTTGCCAGAGTAATGTTAATATTAAATGATTTAGACAATATAATGTCAAGAGTAGTTAACAGATTATGTGGCAACAAGATGGTATAGATCTCCAGAACTATTGATCTCAAATAATTATGGTAGACAAGTGGATATCTGGGCAATCGGATGCATAATGGGAGAGTTAATAGATGGTTAGCCCCTATTTCCAGGTGAGAATGAGATGGATCAATTGTATTTGATTTAAAAAATTATTGGGCCTTTGACTCAAGAGTAGATGGAAAGATTTTAAAAAAACCAAAGGTATTTAGGGATGAAATTTCCAGACATAATTAAGAGTGAAACAATAGAGAAAAGATATTAAGGCAAGATGTGTAATAAAGGTTTGAATTTTTTAAAATCTTGTTTAATAATGGATCCAAATAAAAGGTTGACAGCCCTTGAATGTTTAGAACATTCATATCTACAGGAATTTTGGAACAAAGAGATTGAAAACAGACCAAAAAGCAATTTCCAAAGAAGAATTAGTTGTGAAAGGGATGATTCCAAACCAAACATAATTAATTAATATGATTTAGGTGACTCGAAACCAAAGAAAATCTTAGAAAAGGCTATTCCATAAACTATTTAGAATTAAACCTTAATTTAGAAATAAGTTTATAATTATAGAATTGGCGATGATATATCAGAATTTGGAAAGGAAGGGGAGGACACTAAATCTTAAATGCATAAGACTTTCAATTAGTCATTTAAAATAAAGTTTAATGACACTCTTCCATAAAGTAGATTAGGATCAGAATAAGATAAAAGAATTAATCGTATCATTGGATTGCCTGGAGTTAAAGATGATCCTAAACAGCAACATTAACATATCTTAGAACATCAACCAAAATAATAATCTTCATCTATTACCAAATCCCCACAAAAGAGAAATTCTATATAATAACCATCTTTTCATGTCCAAGTATTTGTTATGTTATATTCATTCTCAGGGCTAGTATAATTTGTAACCACAAAAACTGAATTTAGTCTATAATGCCAATACATATAACTATTCAATAAAAAAGTCATACATCTCTAAAAAATGAATTTTATTATACTATTTCATTTTCATATATATAAAGTAAATCATTAACTCAGAATGTAAGGAAGTCTCTCATTTAGATGATAGAACTCACTTATAGAGCAGGATTTATAATAATTTTAATTAAAATGTTCGTTAATACTCCTGATCTGTCTAATTGTATGAATTGCATTATAGCTCCTTTAAACGGAGTTGGAGGAATATACTTGGGAAATATTGATGCTGCGTAAAATCCAGATAATTTAATTAAATATTAAATAGGGGCTGTGCTTTCTCTTATTGATTATCAAGTATCAATCAAAGGGGCCTAAAAATTAGTAAATAATTCAAATCTATATATATAGTGGATAATGGCAGAGGATTGCGATGATTTTCCCTTATACAAATATTATGATTAATCTATTAAATTCATAGACCTTTAAGCTCTAAGAACAAATGTGCTCATTCATTGCTACAATGGGATTTCTAGATCTGCAGCTATTTGCGCAGCCTACATGATGCAAAAATATTAATTGAGTCTTAATCAAACTTTGCATCACATTTAATAACGTAGAAGATTAGTTAGTCCAAATCCAGGTTTCATTAAATAACTTCAAGACTTTGAATAGAAGTTTAACCCGAAGGAAAGAAGAAAACGAGGTTCAGTATATATGGAACCCAGTACTAAATCACGTCGCAGTTCAATTGAATTTGATGGCAATAGAATAAGTTCTAATTATATTAAAAGTTCGATAACAAATTCAATTCTAAATTAATCCAATTAAAGGGATAAATTAACTGATTTTACCCATAAATTAAACAATTATATGCATTAATGGAAGATAAGAGAAAGAGCTCATTGATTATTAATTTATTTACTATTACATAACATTTAATCCAATTTAATACTTAATAATCTTTTTATTTTTGAATAATGAAAAGTTATTGGAGATTATTTTAAATCTATAAATAAATAATACATTAATACAAATTATAAATCTTTATGATTCTACATAGCCTTTGGAATTCTGGTTTTCAAAAAGGAAATAATTTTTAATAAATCAGTATCTTCAAAACATAATTTGAGTCTTTTAATTAAAATTAATATGTTCGAAGATTGGTGTATTCATAAATTAAAATACGTTACAAAAACTAATTCCTATTTTATATATTAGAATATAATAGATTAGAAGATATTTAGAATTTAATAATATAAAGAAATTGAAAAAATAAATTATTTAAATAAAATTAAATGAATTATTCCGCTTTGGCTAAAGAAGTTTTTGAATTTTAGAATAAAGTAAGATAAGATCCATCACTAATTATTCCGGCTCTAGAAAATAGGCTCAAATATTTCAAAGATAAAGTCTTGCACTTACCTGGAACTTAAGCTACTAATACAAAGGAAGGAGCCAATTCCGTCTAGGGTAATGCATATAATATCTTTACATAGAGTGCATTGATTTTCTAAAAAAGCAGAAACCTGTTGGACCATTGACATATGAAAAAGGGTTGGAGGAAGCAGCCAGGGATCATGCAGAAGATTTAGGTATTACAGAATTTGAATCTAGGAACTAATGGTTTGACTGGACATGAAGGAAGTGATCATTCAACTACAAAATAAAGAATAGAAAGACATGGTTAATGGAAACCAGGGACTATTGGAGAAAATATCAGTTTTGGAAAATCCACAGCTGAAGATAGTAAATTATAATATTTAAATTTTTAGTTGTTATATAATTGATAGTCGATGATGGTGTTCCAAGTAGAGGGCACAGATCTAATTTCTTTGAACCTGCTTATAAATAAGTAGGTATATTTGGAGCACCTCATAAGGCCTTTAAATTTGTTTTCGTTTTTGATTTTGCGTCAAAATTTTCATAAGGAGGTAAGCCAGAATAAGAAGGAGATAAAGAGAAGGAGAAAAAAAAGAAATCAGAGAAATAAGAGAAATAAGTAATTAAACAGAAAGACGATGATGATGATGACAAAAATGAAGGAAAGGAGAAATTGATACCAGGTGCAAAGAAGGTTTAAAAGAAAGTTAAAACCACAGTCAAAGGGGGTAAAAAACATATTATAACCACCAAAATTTATACTATGAATGATGGTATAGTTTAATATTATTTTTTTCTTCATTTTACCACCTAAGAAGTAGTCACTGAAAAAGTGGAAGATGCATGATTATGAAATAAAATGCATAATGATGGGTTAATAAAATTTCAATTTATTTATTGCCTATTACATTTCTTGTGAAAAGTTCTGGCTTCTTTGTTAATTATCTAAGCCTAAATGAATTGGTTCCATCATTTGAGATGTTAAATGACGTTTCTAATAACATATCTTTCTATTTTTCATAATTACTGGTAAAATGTAAGAATTATTTCATAAAACTTTCCATTTACAAATAAGACATATTAAACAGAAGTGGAGTAGAATTTAGAATGAATAAAAAAGAAAATAAGAAAAATTTATCAATCTGGAAACCTAATTAATAAATATAATAGTAATTAACTATGTATTCAATCTAATCAGGGTTGATCATTCATCAATTTTTGGGTCTTAAGATCCTTTTTTTTCTTCATATAATCCTGTAAGTTTCCATTATATATCTATTTAAACAATTGTCGATGATTACTGAAGTTCATATTTATGTAAGGGGAATGTTATGGTGTCTTTTCCACCATCTAATTTAATTATTTAATACTTAATGAGATGTATTCAATTTGGTACCTTTATCGAAGTATTTTTGCCCTTCTTCACTTTTATGTGGTTGTGTTTTATTTCTTTGTCTTACTTAAGCGTAAATAGCTTTCTAATTACTTTAGTACTCTTCATTAAAGTCTGTTTTGATTGCTTATTCTATATTTCTTCTTTACAAAATTTTATAAGGTGCCTGATTTTTGGAGTTCTTTCTAGATTGAATTCTGGATTTGGTTTGTTCTATTTATTATTATTACTTCTGATCAGAGTTATTGGATGTGAAGATGCAAGGATAATCATAATGTTTTTCTTAAACAGAATTAGTTTTTTGTCTTTAGTTTTCGATTTGAATACTGACTCGTTTGGATTAAACAGATAAATTTACTTTCTTAAATCTTTAGGAGATCTAAGTTTTTAAATAAGGGGAATTATCTAATCTGGATCTAATCGATTTTTTAATCTTATCAATTTTATCCAGAAGAGGTGATCCCTATTGAGAAGGTTAGAATTTGGCAAGAGTGAATCTTTTTTGGTTAATATCAAGTTTTAGATTTCCGATATTTTAAATATTTTAAAAAAAGCTTTGTCGATGAGTTGAATTGTATTTTTTTTATAAAAGGAAATATATAGTGGTTAAAGTGTTATGCTTATTTGATTGCAATTGGACTATTATTTAATTTTGTTAATATCCCATTTCTATCATCTTTTAAATGACGTTTTAGTCATTCAAACTTAGATTCTTGGTTGGGATTGAAGCATGTAACTAAAAAAATGGATGTTACTTTATTTATTCGAAGTTATATCGTCTGGTTGGATCTTTAACTAGAATTTTGGTTAACATATCCTAGGCATTTTTTGATAGGTGTTCTGGTTTTTCAAAATCGCTGTTCTTTATCAATTCATATAATTATTATGTGTTCTCATGTTCAAAAGGTAGATATCCACATAGCATAGCAAATAAAATTATGCCACAACTCCAGATGTCACTTTTAGTTCCTTCATAAGTTTTACCAACTTGTTAATGTAAATTAATACCAAGCATTTCTGGTGCAGCATAACAAGGTGATCCGCACGCAGTTTTAAGATATTCACCTTTAGTTTACGAGATGAAACTGAGTCCAAAATCTGCAATCTTCAGTTATCTATTCTCATCAAGCAAAAGATTTTCTGGTTTCAGATCTCTGTGAGTTATATTTTATGAATGTAAATATTCTGTTGCAAAGACTAACTACTAAAAGTAGCGAACTGCTATATGCTCTGGCAGGCTAATTTCATTTAGGATTCAGATTACTATTTCTTCTTTATTATGTATTCATACAATTCTCCACCCTTTACATATTCCATCACGAGATAGACACATGACTCAGATTCTAAGATCTTGTTTTGGTTATGATAGAATTACCTCATACAATTTGATTACATTAGAATGACATACCTTTCGTAGGATGGAGATTTCCCTTTAAACTCTTATTAAATCACATTGATTTTCTATTCTACTTTTTTCGAGTATTTTTATTGCTACCTTATAATTTTAGGTTCATTCTTACATATTCGTCAGCAATAGTATGGTAACCTAGTTTGACCTTGCCAAAAGTTCCTTAGCCCAATGTGCGCTCTTGTTGAACAAATAAATTTACATAAAATATAGTTCTGCACTTATTTATATCCTTCCTCTTCCATTATGAATTAATTAATAATTAATTTAACAGCATCAATAATATGAAAAAGCAAACCAAGAATATTTGACTCCAACCCTGAAGAGACATATATGAATTCGAGCATGCGAAACTTAAAAGTCACTGAAGAAATTTTAAAGTAAATTATTTAAAAAGGATTACAAAGAAATGATCAATCCAATATTATAATCATCAATATATAAATTTGATAAAATATCAAAAGCATCTGTCTGCATTTAAATATTTATTTTATTTATGAATTAATATTTATTGCAATATCCTAAAAGACTAATACTAATTTATTCTCAAAATAATTAGAATTTCATTAAATGTAAGCTATTCAATTGTTTTCTCACATATTGTGGCATAATCCAATAGGATATGAAAAAGAATAATATTTTAATACTTTTTATAAATTGCTTTTTTTCACAATTTGATAATTTATGATTTGTAGAAAATAGAATTAGTGTAAAGGGAATTGCATGAAAGATACTTTTGAACTTAAGCTGAATTAAGATGATTTTTGATTGACTTTTTGGATTTCTCTTTTAATTAAATATAATATTACAATAATCAATACTAATTATTTTTTTAATATATGGGTAAAATAAAGAAATTTGAGCACAAACAAAATAAATTTGAGTAACATGTTGAAAATCTCGACAAAAAGATATAAAAGAAGGATAAAAAAATATAGTAAGCGCCTAAATTATAGCAAAAACGAACTACATAAGAGGAAGCACCAAAAAAAAAGAATTTATTTGCATTAGATAGTGATAATGAATAAGAGGAATAAAATGTAATTAAGAATTGGAAATTCACTCATAATGGTTAAGATCTATAAGAAGATTATAATGATTAAATACCTGTGAGTTCGGATGATGAATTGCCAAAAGGGTTTGTTAAAAACAATCATTTTGTTGGATTCGATTAAAATCAAGATAAGAGAAAGAGCAAAAAGGAAATCTATGAGGAAATAATCTAAAACAGTAAGTAACGAAAAGCTGATAAATAGAAATTAAAGGAGGGCAATTAAATTAAGATCTTATAACTTAATGAAGCATTACCCTAAATTTTGGATATCCTTCCAATCAAGTAATCTAAGCCGTTAGCACCAACAAAGGAGGGTCTAGATTATTTTGAATTGATGGAGACATTTAAAGTAGACCCAAAGGTGTAGATAGAGAATGCAGTTTAATCATCAGAAAAGGATTAAACTAATTACATGAGATAGAAGAGGGAGGAAGCAAAAAAGAAAAAAGTTGAAGAAAGTCGTAAGGAAATAGAAAAGGATTCAGATGATGAAGATGAAGATGAAGTTGAAAATGATGATTGTGTTAGCAAATAATATAAGAATGCCAAAGAGAAAAAAATGTTAAAGTCATATAAAAAAGTGGAACATTTGTCAAGAGTAATGGAGCATTTGAGAAATGTTCAAAATAGAAAGAAAACTAAAGTAGTAAATAAGGGAGATTAATAACATAATGAAGAAGAATAGGATGAAGAAGATGAAGAAGAGGATTTAAATGAAGTATTATCGGAGGATTAAGATGAAGAAGATAGTGAAGATTATGAAGATGATGAAGAAGGAGATGAAGATGGTGAAGAGGGTGAAGAAGGCGAAGATGATGATGAAGAAGGTGAAGAAGATGAGGAGGATGAGGATGATTAAGAAGATGAAGATAGTGAATCTGAAGTAAAACCTGTAAAGTAAAAGAATGAATAAAAAAATAAATCAAAGAGAATTTTTAAATGATTGTGCTATTTTATGTGATTATGAAATTAACGATCTTTCATTTATAATTATTATTTGAATTTAAAATGAGCACATATTGTCGTACACCATTAGATTCAGTAAGCTAAAACAAAGAATATTTTACTTCTTAATCTTCTTCTAAGATTATATCAAGTTCCATTAGACAATGTACATCTACAACAAACTTAAGTGTTTCTTAAATGAAGAGATCCATGTAAAAAGTTGTGTTTAGTTGTGTTTAGGTCAGGGAACAATATTTATAGTTCACAAATGAACAATCCACCTCCAGCGAGATAACAACTGGGCAAGAGTCTGGACATTGTGTGTTTTTTGATGGCTTGTGAAATTGAGAGATTCGTGGCTGAAAATGATAAATTGAAATACAGAATCAAAGAAATGGATGATAAATTGCTTGATAGAAATAGTTATGAAAAGTAGATCGAAGATTTATAGGCAAGACTAATGTAATTGCAATATTAGGAGAGTGTGTTTAGGTAAAATTCGATATTATTATAAGATAGGAAATCGAAATTACAACCACCCAATATTCAGAAGAGATTGAAAATTGGAAGATAAAATATTACACAACTGAGGAGAACTACAAAAATGCCAATGAATAATTAAAGTAAACACTCATAACAGGGAACCAGTAGCACTAAAGAGAGATTGATGAATTGAGATCTTAATTGGCATCCCAAAAATAAATTAATGTAGATAAATTCAATTATATTATAAGGAGGGAGAATTATATAAATTGAGAGAACAATTACAGAGCAAGCAACAAGCTATTGAGTACTACTAAGTTGAATTGAATTAATAAGAGTCAGATTTACAATTATATAAGCAATAAGGCAATAAAGTAGTTGAATTAGAAAATAAGATTGGAATGTTGGTTTGTGAAACTGAGAGATTGAATACATTGTTGAAATAGAAGTTGGAGGAGTTGGAATTGTCAAAGCAAAGATATTCTACTCTCATCCAGGAATCAGAGAAATAGAAATCTGAATTTAGGTCACTGTAAAGTTTTGTTGATAAAAAGTAGAAAGATTATGATCAATTGAATTAGGCTTATGTCTTATCCTCAAATGAACTGATAAAATATAAAGATTAGGACTAGATCATCGATTAAATGCAAAATAAAATTAATCTCCTCTAAGGGGAGGTTGATAGACTTAATTAAGTTTTGAGAGAAAAGATAAAATAAGGGGAGGAATGGAGATAAAAGTATTTTGATTCAGAAAATCAATGTAAAGAACTGAAATAAAAAGTGGGTAAGATGGATCAATTATAAATGCAATTGAAGGATCAATTTGATATGTTTTAATAATTGACCAATAACATGGAAGATCAGAAAATCAAGAATAACCAATTGTAATAATAAAAGTATAGTTTGGAGTAAACCAATACTGATTTAATAAATAAAATCCAAGTATTAACAAATGAAATTGAACGATTAAACTCTATTTTGAGGTAGAAGACTTAAGAATTAGACGACTGGAAATAAAAAGGATCATATTTTGAAGAAGAATTCAAGAATAAAAACAATCAATACAATGATAGTCTTAATAAATTAAGTTGTGTGACTTAGGAGGTTGATAGAATATAAGAATAACTTAAGTAGAAATAAATTGAGATACATAGTGTATAGATTACCAGAAATTAATTGTAGAAAGATTTAATTAATTCGGATTCAATTAATTAAACAATCAAAAATTAGGTTGAAGAATGGAAGAGAAGATATTAAGATTTAGAATCCGAATATTAACAGTCTACAGTAAAAAATAAAAAATTGGTGGAATATGAAAATACTATTGCAATGTTAACTTAAGAGATAGAGAGATAAAAGATGTTGTTATAAAGTAAGCTTTAGGAATTTGAAGAATAAAAGAAATAAATGTTTGCAGAGATTCAGAAAGGGAAATAGAATTTGGCATTGAAAACAAATGAAGTAGAAGAGTGGTCAAGTAAACATAGAAAATTAGATTAAACTTATTTTGAATTAAGTTAATCATATAAATAGATGGAAGAGAAATGGAAATAATCATTAGTTAGAATAATTTTACATTGTTCAGAAATAGACAGATTGACTTAAATTTAATGTGAATTATGTGATGAAAATGAATAGTTAAATAAATAAATCACACATTATTCCAATTAAATCAAATCAAAAGATGATCAATTATATAAATAATTGGATAAATACAATTAATTATAAAAGTAGCAAGACGAGGAGAAGAGCAAAAGATTAGGATTAGAAACTCAACTTGCTGGTTTAAAGATGTATTAAGAAAGTTGTGTCATCTTGGAATAGAAAATATCAAGTTTGAATACAGAAAATTTAAGATTGAACGAATAACTCAGATTCAGAAATGGAGAAGTAGAAGATTATAGAACTTAGATTTAAAGATATGAAACCAAGATTCAATTAAATAGTTAAGAGTTAGAGAGAATAAACTAGTAATTAAGGAAGACATTTGCAGAATAGGATGAGATGAGAAAGGAGAAGGAAAAGTGGGAAGCATAATATCATTTATTATAGAGACAATATGATGAAGTGAAGTAGAAATTGAATCAATTGGAAATTTATAAGACTAAATATGCTGAATCTGAGAACAGATGTTCCATGTTAACTACTGAAATTGAACGATTGAATCAAGTGATTACTAATAAATAAGACGAAATAGATTAGTTAAAAAAGAAATGCTTTTAGTTAGAATAATAAATCATCTAGTTAAAACTATATGAAGAGAATGTAAGATAATAGAAATATTTAATTTAGATACGAGTACTGTCCTAAGAGATTGATCGACTTTAAGGAATTATCGATACTAATGAGAATGAATTAAGACAATGGAGATTACAGTATGCTGATGGAGGTGCTTAGAACAGGAAAATTTAAGATTTGCTCTACCATTTTGTAGTATCTAATCTTGTTTAACATAGATGCAATCAGTTGAGATAGAGAGTTTGAGAGCTAGAGTTTAGGAGAAGGAGAAGGAAGTGGAGGAAGTTAGAAAGAGCAGTTTGGCACCATATAGAAGATGAGTAGATGATATCTTTATGTTATATTATTAAAACGAATATACTTCATCTAAGACATGCAATTAATACCATTAAAATATGTGCAAATAGGTACACGATGTCTATGTAAATTATCATTGATCCAATGATGTAATCGTCAATGGACAATTTATGGGTCTAATTAACATAATTTATAAATATATTACACTTCCCCCCAATATTAATTAAGTATCGTATATTAAGTACGCACCAAACAGAAGGCAACACAGTAATGAATAGATTAGATTAATAACATTCTGATAGTAAACACCAGCCATTATCCCAAAAAGCAGTAAAGAAGTAACACACATAAACAAAAGAGCTCCTTTTGTAGTGTAATCTGACTTTGTTTTGCAGGTGTATAAGGTTAATCCTATTACGGCTGCCAATGATAGACTGGCTGCCATCAAGACAATGAATCCTACATAGGGACACTCATAGCTTACCTCCATTTTCACTATATTTATCAAATACATAACTGCACAAACTCGATATTAGATAACCTTCGCAGAGAGTAAATATAAAGAGTAAAATGAAGTTGTATGGCACTCTCCAAGCAAATTTGGGAATGCAAAAGAGGAGCAATTCTACAAATATTGATATTGCTAGAGCCAAATAGGCATATCCAGTATTTTGCAATTAGAATCTCCTATAATCAAGTGACAAGTAAGAGTTTAGACACATGATCATGGTTATAAACAATTGTATTATCATAATTGCATAGACCTTCTTATTTAAAATATAATACTTTTCTTATGAACCCAGTTCTCTCATTTCCAATAAGTTATTTATAGGTTTCGTTCTTGGCATACCATCTAGAGTCAGTATGAGAATGCGTATCATCCTCAATAGCCACTTGCACATGTTAGGGATACTGCATTCTCCCTCTCGGTTCATTAATTTTAGTGGCCATGTATTTCAACTCCCGATGATCCTTTTAAGGCTCTGCATGATACTTCCCATAATCTATTGGACTAATTTGGTCATCTTGCTAATTTTCAATCATTGATTAATAAAATATTTTAATATCAAAAACTAATTAACCCCTGTATCACTATTCAATTTGAAAAACAAAGTTTTAATTTAATTATAGTCCTGATTTTAGTGTACATTTTATATGAAAATTTTACAAAATTCCAAGACTCTAAAAATTTAATTGTTTAAATCATTTTCATTATGCTTCAATTAAAGTTGATCATTTTCAAACAAATCTATCCCCAAGCTTTAGGCCATAATATAATTTAATGTTACTCCAATTATGATAAGCATAAGAATAAATTTGATACAATTCGAATAGCATCTAGAATTAATTTAATTTATTTCCATTACGACAAAATATTAAATTTTAAAACATTATCTTAATCAATATGACTCTAATCGTTTTATAATACTTTCAGCATTTAACAAAATGTAGATTGTCAGATGGAGAAGAAAGTTCGCATTTATTTTTGATTTCATCTATTGTATAAAAGATACAATATATTTTATCATTAAAATATGTCTACTCTCTCCTTTTAGATTACTGAATCCTCTAAAATGCTTGAATTTACAAAGATTAAGATAAAATGTTATCGTTACTAATCTAAAATGTCTATTAATTAAATAAAAGATATTCGAATTGAATTAACTCTAACTGAAATCTTTGGTTATAATTCGAGTTTAAAATCACGAACAAATCAGATTTTTCGAGATGAATCTACTTATATATATAAATTTTTGATTGGTGATAAATTTATTGATAAAGTAGGAGTTTATGGAGTTACAATCCAATTTACTTATATAATTAGAGGGATTTGCACGGATTCAATATAGTTGGCAGAGTCTTGATTTGATAAAGCGAATAAGTGATACAAATGGAGGGAGGGGAAATTGTTTATAACATTAATTTTCTTTTTAATTATTTGAGTAAAGTCCGTTTTTATTAATATTAATAAAATAATGAAAGCTATCCTCATATTAGGATTATTGGTTTTTGGAATTTCTGCAGTTGAATTAGAAGCGGGAGTGCCAATTTTACTAAAGGAGATCAAGGCAATCAAGACTGATCATACTGATTTCACCTTTTTATTAGATTTAGAACTCAGTTAGGGAGGAAAGGTCTCAGAAGTGGTTGCTTTGGTTGGCGATTTGTTAGAATAGATGAAGAGAGATCAATTAAATGATGATCTTGAGTATGCTCATGTATATGAAAGTGTATATTTGATTAGAGAACAACAACACTCGGATTAGATATTGAATGGCTTGTTATTGTTTTAAGAAATCTTACTAAGGAGAGACAAGATAAAAATAATTAATTGAGTGAAGTAAATCAAGTTCTGGTGGGTTTGTAATTGTAATTGGATGCACTCACCGAACAGTTGAATATATTGAATGGAAAGGAAGAGCAACTCAGACAAACCAGAGCCCAAGAAGCTGCCTCTTATTAAGCCAGATAGGAGAACAATAGCAAAGTGTTAGCAGCCTTGAATGAGATAATTCCCAAGTTATAAGTTGCCGTGTTTGATTAAGAAGGAAAGTCTTTATTACAAACAGAACAATTTGAAATCGTTGAGAAAATCAAGAGAGAACTCGGACACAATCATCCAATTGCAATTATGGTAGCTTTGACAACCAAATTCGATGTTTCCACAGTCAAAAGAATCATTGACAAGTTGGAACATATTAGAAATGCAGTAGTCGCCTTGATGTAATAGGAGGACGAACAAGAGACTCAAAGTCAAGTATGCTATTGATTTAAGCAATTTAAGATCACTTTCTAAACATAAATCCAAGAGATTGCTGAATTGAGAGAGAAGTTCTCCAAAGATTTCGAAGTCACTTCCCAATTGATCAAGAAGAGAACCAACGATAAAGTAAGAATGAGTATATATGATGAATAGGTTCTTTTGGAGAAGAGATTGACCATCATCAACAGGGATTTGAGTTTGACTGAATAATTACTTATCTAGACTAGGGAATACAAAGAATAGTATGACGCTGCTTATGCTGTAAGAAAAGGAAAAAGGTATGGACATTATTTAATGTTGCTAGAATCTCTGAAATCAAAACAGTTCAATAGGCTTACGACTTGGTAGACAATCACGCTAAGAAACACAAATGATGATTCAAAATAAAATATATTTTAGAATTATGTTGATAATGAATACTCTCTTCTAATCATAGATAATAATAAATTTTAGTTTATGTGTTTGCCCCTAAAGTTTATTCAATTGTTTATCAGAATAAACTGCTTTTGCTTTATTATCTTGGGGATTGTGCTGATCTCTTAAGTGTTTGTGACTTTGAGTGATGATGTGAGCAATGACAGCAACGTATTCAATCAAGAATTATTCTTAGGGAATTGTATTTACATTTTCAGTGGGCATTGCAGTTATTATAGTGGGAGCATCTGGCCTATTAAGTTCATATTGTCCAAACTTCTGTATCATTTTCATTTATTCTTGCTTCATCATTTTTATAGGAGTTTTGACAGTCTATATAACAATCTCATTAACTATTTTAAAAGATTAATTGTTTAGTAATAAATTCGATTGTAAGACCTCCGAATTACCAGCTGCTCAAAAAACAAAGGAGTAAATATTATGGGCAGAGACCCAGTTTTGTAAACATGATTGCATTTGTTACATCGAGAAGATCCAAGACTGGAATTCAGACTACTTGGAGAACAATAGAATACATTATACAACAAACAAACAAATGAGCGATATAACCTCTTATTAGAAATGCAAAAAGTGGATTAAAATTGAAGGGGCCTCCTCTTCTTATATTGCATTTTTAGAAGAAAAATATCATTGCTCAGGATGGTGCAAGCCTCATCCCGTTTACTTATTTTCAAATATCAACAATGGAATCCCGTATTTTAATATTTAATATAAGAAAAGATGCTTGCTATAGATATTTTGAGTAGGAATATGAGTATTACGTGAACAAGTCGTACATTGACTACCTAATAGTGGATTTTCTGTACCTTTTCAATTTATGCTTCGCCATTTGCCAGTGCTATTAGACAAACAGATATAAAAATTCTAGAATCTATCCTCAGATACTTTATGAATTGGCCTCGTAATGAAATTCTAAACTGTACTAAATAGATGAAATACGATCAATGATTTATTGCATTAGGCTAATATCTTTTTAAATAATATTATTTATTTATACAAATTATTAACCTAATGTATTTCTATGAAGGTAACCCCATTTTGATTGCTCAGTTTTCTTGCATAGTCATAGGCTTATTGTCAGTTGTTGGAGTCATCATAGTATATTTATTAGGACAAGGCTGGAAATACTTCATTGCTAAGTAAATATGAAAACTATAACTAGCCTCTTCTTTACTTAAATCGTTTGTATGCTATTTTTCTATGTACCACAAGTACTAACACCATTCATCTATTATGAGTAAGCTAAACCGGATCGCCTAGATTGCTAACTCAAGACTGATCAAGATAATAACACTTAAAGTTGCATTAATGAAACATGTATAATTGAGTATATATTATGTAAGATTGCGAATTATAAGGGTACCTCGTTAATTCATCCTTTTTGGCATCAACCTTGATTTCGTTGTATTCATGCTATATCATCAAATCAACATTAAATCCAAATCTTAAGTTTGTAATAAACACAAAGTAAATTTATTGGATACATTTTGCAATTGGATTCATTACATTTGCCATCTGCTTGCCTATGCTCATAGGGGCAAACTTTTAGCATTATGGCACTTCATGGAAAAAGCAACTTATCTATTATGTCTGCAATCTGGAAGTTAGATCTGATGATACATTTACTAGAAGCTTGTTCTGGATGTAATCCTCAATCACAACCATACTGCTTATTGTTAGTTTGGTATTTCACTTTTCAGTGAGAAGTTTAAAATCGAAAATAAGAACCAATCTTACCGATGAGTTTGATTAATGCTCCTCATTAAATCTCTATATTTTACCTATTACTTTAATAATATTATGGACAATTAACATGGTGGAGAAACTTATAGATTACTAAACGGATTGGATAAGGAATTGTGGATACTTCCTATAGGTCTTGTGGTTCATTCCATAACTGTTACTAGCACTACAAGGATTTAATTACGCATCACTGTTTTTTTATGCGTTCCATCAATAATTAGTGCCGAACCTTCCAAGATCATTAAAAAGCACCTATATGTTCTTTGCAAAGTTGAGCATCTATAATTTGATATTTGGAAAAATCAAAGTAATTAAATTTAAATGATTTTAGGAATCTAAAATACTAAAAGATTCTCTACTAAATGATACTGATTCAGCAAGGGACAGTACTTCATCGTATATATAAAAAGACGATTCTTCAACAAATCGATGATGAATTTTATAGATACTATTTGGATATTCATATAAATAATATTTTTTTTATATTTTCATCTTTTATCTATATTTCTGTATGATATTGTTTAAAGAGGGAACAGTTAATGTTAAAGAATTGAATGCATTACACAGAAAGTCTTGATTAATATTTAAGTTATGTTTATTATTTTATTTACCCATTAAACGCATAGTGTAATTTCCCATAATCTTTATTGCCACTAATTTTAATGCACTTAATTACCATTGATTTGACAAACTTCATAGATTTCTGTGTGTTTCATCTAAATTCGAGCGTTTCTCGGAATAGAATGTCATAGTTCATTAGATAGAATATCTATGTTAAATAAATTTTGTTGCTTTTTAAGTTTTATAATAATTATAAGTTTTCAACTTATGGGTTTGTGTTAAGGGAAGAATGTGTATAAAGTTGAGAAAACTATTACGAATGAGAATACTACTAACGAAAATCTATGTGTGCTTGATGAAAACGTAATAAACAAAAGTGAAATTGGAATATCTTAATTGCCCAATTTATAAATAATTTCTTAAGCACCCTCGTGCGTAAATTATAGCTGCATTTAGAATGAATTTAAATTACCAAGTGGGGAAGGATATCTGGAATGGACTTGTAATGACAAATTATGATTTCTAGATGAAGATGGTACTAGATATGAAGGACAGTGGAAAGATAAGGCTCCTAATGGAAAAGGTAAACTGTGGACGGCCAAAGGCGATATTTTTGAAGGGCAGTTTGTTAATGGGCAACTAAGTTAAGGGAGTCATTTTTAGGTTAGTGGGAGTTCCTATACTGGAGAATTCATGAATGGACTATACCATGGCTACGGTTAACTAACCGAGTAAGGAATAAATTGAGATAGGTTTAATGGTAATTCTTACACTGGGCAATTTGAAAAAGGAATGAAATAAGGGAAGGGAATACTGAAGAGAAAAGATGGTACTATGTATGATGGAGAATGGAAATAAGATATTTAGAGTGGGTTTGGTTTATGTGTGTGGGAAGTTGATAAAGTAATTGTATTAGTAAGATTTTAGAGATACGAAGGGTAATGGGAGGAGAGCCTTATGCATGGACAAGGTACGTTTTGTTTGAAGGGGAGGAAATACGTTGGACAATATTACTAGGGATAAAAACATGGGAAAGGGACGTATTACTGGAATTCAAATACTTATTATGATGGGGAATGGTAGCATGGAGTTCAAAATGGATAAGGAATTTTGGTGAATAATAAATAGGTTACGCAGGTAAATAAGAAATCATCATAAGTATTTTATAGACTGGTGTTTGGAAGGATGGTGTGTTTTAGGATGCATAGTGAAAAATCTGATTAATTTTGATATACTTTTAAATTATAAATAAGAGAATACAAAATTGATTGATATTAATTGGTATATAATCAGTTTTAGTGTTGTTTCTAGTAGAAATGTGTTTGGCATTAGAGTGACAAATCTTGTTCATCCATTAGGTGTTATTTAAATTGCTAGAGTCTTGATTTCAGTCTAGAAGAGATACACACTAATAAAATACTTTTTAATTAAGCCAATTTTGAGAGAGAGCACTCTGTCTAATTCATCAACATAATCCTCCACAATAGAATTAGGTTGGTTGTACATCTATAACAGTTTCATGTCTTCCTTAGTTAGGTCCACCAAATCATCGATGTGATCTCGATGAGCAGTTTTTAAGGCTCTTTCTTCTTTCAATATTTTTTAGATTAATTCTTCGTGTTTATCCTTCAGATTAAGGTTCTTATTTGGCTCATGATAGATGATTTCATCTTCCTCTTTTTCATCGAGTTCAAATAATTTAGGAGGTGAAATCGATCTGGGAGCAGAAGGTCCATCAAAAAATTGATTATTCAAATTGTATTATCTTGGAAGCATCAACTCTCTAGCCAATTAATCAGCAGCATTGGAAGATTGTGGTGTTCGTAATTCCTTAACCTTTAAAACTTATGTATGTATTATACTCTATCTGCATATCTCAATGTATTCAAACTATGCTCAGCATCCTTATGACAAGAAGATATAGTTCCAATCATAAGAGTTCTACAATTCCCAGTAAAAGAGTCCTTAAGAACCTAAGTTAATTTGGAGCCTCTAAAAGGAGTGTGATTTTTATTCAGATCCAAGGCTCGGATGCACTCTTTAAGAGCCAAGAGAGACTTATTGATCTCAGCTCCATCAATCCTGGTTTGTCTATGATGCTCTACAACATCTGCCCCTCTTTCACTTCCTGCCAAATCGATGAATGATAACTTCCCAATCATCTTATTTGATTATCTCAGATTAATTTACAAAATAGCATGTGATCTTGAAGAGTCCTGATTCACACTATTCTACGCTGTAACTCTACTCTTGATTCCCATATCCACAGTCTTTAAGAATTCTTGGACATGATTGACTTTGCATTCTGATAATCCTGCAATGATGACTTAGCCTTTCGCATCTTCTCTGGCCACTAATTGTTAACGATCATTTAAAAGATCGAATAACTTAGAGCAATATATTTCATAAAAAGAGACACTTATACTAATGGAATTAGGAACCATTTAAAATAGATCAAAAGCTGCTAAAGTATATATCCCAACTACATTCTGATCTCCTAGCATTGTGTAAGTTTTCCCTGACCCTGTTTAACCATAAGCAAAACATGTGATCTTAGTTCCATTAATCGCGGCTTGTACCATAGGTTAAACAAGAGATTTATAAAGTTCTTCATTACTACAAAACTGATCAATTGCTGCATCAAAATTGAAAGTGAACTCTTCCATAAACCTAGTTAAATCTACTTTGACTCTAACAACAATTCTAGACTAAAGAAAGAATACCTAGGTTCACGCAAGATTACTGTATTTCCCTAAACTTCTACAATATCTTTTTGACCTTCCTTTACCTCTTTTTTCGATAATGGTCTTTTTCTAACAGCCACTATAATTTTAGGAGCTTCCATAGATTTTACAATATTTTATAAATAATTTCACAATTTGTCATCCTATCAAATTTTCTCAATTTCGTTGATCCATCAAATCTACAACCACTCTTCTTTGAATTTGAGTCAATTCTCCTCCATCGGTAATGAAATCAATAAGAAAAAGAGTTCATTTATAATATATTCAACTTTAAAATGACTTGATTGTATAATCAAATCAAATATTTGCATAGTTTATTAATTTAATTAATAAATCAAAGGGATGGGATCTTTGTTGCCTTTGAAACCAATTTTCTTCAGAACTTTAATAACATCTATATTTAGCGAATTTTATAACCATTAAATAATTATGTTCCTTTAAGTTTGAAATGATATTTTAATGTTAACAATATTGTAAGATACTTTCTTTTATCACAAATAATCATAAAATTAGATAAATAGTATTGTCATTGTCCTTTTAACTTTAGATTAAATCTAAATTAGTGTCATATTTGCACTACTTGCAGTTATTATTAATTCTTTAATCCTTTCAGTGATAGTGAAATTTTCTTTTTTGTCCAATTTATCTATATCGCCAATATGTAACCATTATCTGTAACCATATGTCCTTATCAATTGTATTTTGAACAGATTCTTCATCTTAATATTCCCCTTAAAAATGTTCCTTCTTCACATCTTTGTCTGATTAATATATTTTCTACTGATTTCTTCAATAATTTAATCAGATCTTATTATAAAGAAATTCTAAAATTTATAAAAGTGCAAAGGCTTTTCCAGTATTATAACTCGACCACATTCAACTTCAACCCAAAGTCGAGGAAAGTTCCCTCTTTTCCCATATATTTTGCCCTTGTAATATTCGATTTCATTAAATCGTAACATCTTATAGTTGCTATTTTTTTATTTTTATTGATTCTTATAACTGTTATAAATAGCAACTTGCAAGTTGTGTGAATGTGTACTACCCATAAAAGAAATGAACAATTGACAAGTATTGAACCAATTTACCTCCATTTCACTTATTTCATTAGCTATTAATTTGTTTTTCAACTACAATTCTACATTATATGTCCTTGTATATTCTTATCATCAATAGAAAGAATGCAGATACCACTTATTATTCCTCTTTAACTTAAATATGTTATCTTGCTAATTAAAAACACTCTAATTTAATTATTCTGGAAAAGTAATTGAGTTTCATCATATTTCACTTCCCATTCTAGAATTACCCGCTCTTGAAGTCAAATCTATTCTATATTTGATAGTCCATAATATATATTATAAGAATCTTTTTGGTTGAATGTTTTAAATAATATGTTTCATCATCAGATATGTACACTTACTCTTCCATAAAGATTTTATTACATACTATTTCGCAATTAATATTACAATTTATTACTTTAATATAGGTTATATAAAATTAATCGAATTGCATTAAGATTTTATTAGGCAACACTTATTACGTATCCATAATTTAATGACATCATTTTGTTGATTTCATAGAAAATAATAAATTAATCAGAATTTTATATAATAATCAGAATTTTAATTAAATGTATGAATTGTATGATGTGTACATCTTTGTAGAATATAAAGCGATTTCTATTTTCTGGAAAATTTAATAATTTATTTTTTGAAAATGAGCAACAATGATTTATGTGAAACCATAGTTAATCATGCCAATCGCATCTACTAATCACTTGCCAATCTCAATCCACTGTAAAATGAAAATGGCGACATAAGTAATTCTTATCATATTATCATTTTAGCTAATCCATCAATGACATCCACAGGCCCATCAATTCAAGGATTGACCACAATTTTGGTGTTGTTGATGCTTACTTATGCATTCCTATCTTTTATCTCTCCTAGAAAATAAATTTTATCTGAAAAAGAATAATACAATAGGCAACAATAAAGCTAACGATGAAGATGATTGAATAATTTGTATATTACTAAAGAATGATATAAAGATCTTTAAATTTATTCTAAATTATAAATCAATGACCTTCTTTTCCTTCGCTAAAAATTTATAAAATTCCTATTTAAATTATTATAAACTTTATAATTCATCCTTTATAAAATTTCAAATATTTTGTATTTCTCTTATTTTTAATAACTCCTGTATATATTAATTCTATGAATAAACCAGATATATTCTTTTGAATAACTTCATTTTAATATTTAGTTTCTTGTATTTCTTTATGTTTGTAATCATTCTTATCATTTATATATTGAATGACAAGCTTCAATTTATTATTTTATATAACAATGAACTTGTAGATTTCTGCTTATATTTTAGTATATTAATTAAGTCTATAGTTGAGGGATTACTTCATTGAACATTGATTTATTCAACTTTCTCGGTTTTTCTCTATTCCCCATCTTTTTTATTGCATCGCTCATAACAATCAATCAATCAATTCTTTTATTGCAATTTCATCATTTTCTTAGTCGTTTTTATCAATCCTTTGATTTAAAGATAACTTTCTCAAAAAACTGCTCATATTATTAATACATCTTTCTTCTAAACTCCTATTAATAACCTCTTTTTCTCTAATACAGTAAATATTATACCTTAGCCAATAAATTTAACACCTATTCCTTCTCAATGCCTAAGGTGATGTTCTCCTCCTTTCATACCTTTCATCATCTTATTTTGTCTTTTCTTTCAACTATTCAACATCAAAAAACTTATAAATTTTATAATTGAAAATTCTGAAATAGAAAAAGACAATTTTAATGGTAATATATATATTTATTAAACATTATATTAATCATGCAAGTCCTTCTTCTTCTAATTTCATTGGAATGATTTCGCTATTTACAAATCGTGCTATTTCTCTGTAATTGTAATATCTCATTAAATCCTTTAATTACTAAATTTATAATAATGAATGAATACTTCTGAAGTCTTATCAATAACAGACAACATCATATCACAAACTTCAATGTTCTTCTTAATGATTTACTTTTCCCTCATAGTCAACATAATGATATGTCTTCTAAACTCCGGAGTGGAAGGATCATTCAATCTTCTTTGATCATCTTCAATAGAACTAGCAAAATTAGCCAATTCAGAAACTAGTAATTCTTTAAAGGCCTTGAATGTAGCCTTTTCTAAGGCAATAGTTTTTGGTGTAGTGTGCCATCCTGGCCAAAATTAATTGTAGTTTTCAACATCTTCCTCCAATTATAAGAAATCATCCAATTTAGATATTTAAGCAAATCTGACAGTAGCCAATGCTTGTCTGAAAGTGTCGTGATCAGTTTCATTGACTAGTCTATTTCCCCAACAGATGTTTCCTCCAGTCAAATCGACTTTGAGATTGAACAACCTGTCATTTCTATCCAAACAAACATCAAAGTCAAATTGATTCATTGGATTTGTCAGACTGGCAAAACCGTAATTCATAAAAAAGTATTTGTTTGACCATTGACCGTAATTATAAAATAGTTCTTCTCCTTTTTAAATATTTCTGACTGCCTACATAAAGAATCCATCTGCATCTGGAGAATACCCATATTACAGAAATCCATTATTGTCGTGATTGACGAAGTCTAGTCTAAATGGTAATATATACCAGCCAAAGGAACCAATAATTACTGTTATTCATTCTCACCTATGTAGACAGGGAAACTACGAGATATGGTGAGAATTCTGAATTTAATGAAATCATTGTAGGTATATCCGTATCTTTAGAATTCTTTCACGGCCTCCTTCAGATTATCGTATTCCTCTCTGAATATTTTTCTTTGATTCATGACTGTGAATAGAGTTGGGGATCCCTTCAGTAGTGCATCTTACTCTGCATCAAAGTAGGTTGGAAATCCACTCACGTCTTTTGGCAACACGTCGATGTAGGGTTTCCAAAAGGAATTTTGTCTATTTGAATGGAATACTCCATTTACCTTCTATTCTCCTGAAGTAAGTGATTAACAAAGTAGGTCTGGATGTTGTTGGGGATGTAGTTGAGTTGAATCATCTTTCTGTTGATGAGACAACTCTTCTTGACTTCCTCCAATGAAAGATAGTGAGTGCGAGGAATGAAGAGTACCCACTCTCCTTAACGAATAAATTGAGATGCCCTGAGTGTCCTATAACCTTCGCTCTTGACTTCGATTTACACTTTAGAGACTTCTGCTTTGCCATCCTTCAACCACTAAATCAGGTTTCTATAAGGATCCTGCCTATTCAAAATAGAGTTAATACTGGGTCATCATATGTTTAACGTTTCGACTTAGTCTTTAGTTCATATTCTGAATCTTCTTAGGCCAAGGATAATGAAAGAGCGATTGCCAGAACACAGATTTAAAGTAACATAATTATTAAAATATTCTAGAAACATACGTATACATTTTTAATTTATGTATTTCCAAATTGCGTTATCTATTTTGATTCTCTATGCTCAAGCAAAAGAGGAAAATGATTTACACGTAGTCTTTGACAAGAATTCCAAACAATTCTTCGATAAAAATGAAATCTCCATGATCTTCTTCTACACTCCTCAATGTGGCCATTGCGAAAGATTCCAGCCTGAAGTCGAAAAGGCAGCCAAGCAATTAAAAGAAGAGGGCTTCGTCTTTGCCAAAGTTGATGGCCACAATCATAAAGACATAGCCAAACAATTCGAAGTCAATGGATTTCCTTCTGTGATCTTGTCCCAGGAGCATGGCAAAAAATACAAGAAATTCGAAGGACCCAGAACCAGTGACAGTGTTATCATGTGGATGTATGAACAACTTAATCCAGGCACCAAGGAATTGACAACCATCCAATAAATCAGAGATCAGATATCCTCAAGCCAATTGATGTTTCTCTACATGGCTGAAAACCAAGAGGACAGAGGATACAAAAGATACAAGGATTATAGTCATGCATATGGAAATCTGGAATTCTATCACACCTTTATCGAAAATGTGTAATAAGAATTAGGGTTTGGTCCTACTGATTCTTTGGTCGCCTACAAGAAATATGACAAATCTCCAGTCGTTTATCAACCAAAGTAGATTAAGGTTGCTGATTTAAAGGCCTTCATTGAAACCAACTGGTTCCAGAGACTCTAAGAATATAACGAAGATGTTGCCAAGAAGATCTTCAAACAAGACAGATCCACACTCATATTATTGGTTGATGAAACACAAATGAAGGACAGAAATGCTCATGATGCACTCAAATCCATTAGTCTTGATCACCCTCATGAAGATCACCTTTTGTTTATTAAATGCAGTGTCACTAATCAATTGTTCCCTGAACTCCAAAAATAAATCGGTGATTTCACTGGAACACCAGCCCTATTTGGTCTACAAAAATACGGAGTCTATAAATACAAATTCAACTCAGCATTTACTAAACAGAATATAGACTAATTTATTCTTGATTTCAAAAATGGAAAAGCTCAAAAACATTACAAATCTTAAAAATTGGATAATCCAAATTATTCACAACATGTTGAAATACTCACAGGCAATTCTTATTAAAAAGTTATCAACTCACCGGAGGATTGGGTCATTTTTTATTACAATTCGTATGACTCTGAACAGTAATCAATCTATTTATTCTAGTCTATCCCTCCTACCTGAATTCGCTGAAATAGCCAAGTTGATCACTCAAATAAGCAAAGTCAAATTTGCTGTTGCAGATGTAACTCAAAATGAATTCAGTGATTTCTCAGACCCCACAGATATCTATAAGATCAGATTATACAAAGGAAACAAAAACTACGCCAAGTTCATCCAAAAGGTTAATAAAATACAAAGGGAAAGATTGATCTCCTTTATTAAGGAACATTCAAATTATGAATTCCATGATGATAGTAAAGGAGGACATCATGATGATTTGTGAAATAGATTATATATATATTGATATGTCAATTGTTATTTAATATATTTAGTATAACCATAAACTTCCTATTTAATTAGCTCTAGCATAATAACAATTTAATGTAATTTTCACTTTAAACTAGTAGATACGATGTTTATACTCAAATTCATTAGCTCTTTCAATTGAAATTTATGTTAACAAAGAAAGAGATTTCCAACATATATCCATCAAATATATAAGTGAGCAATATGGTTGTATTTGTTAGAGAATTCAATGTTTTTATTTATAATAATTAACTAATTTAGAAATTATATTTTTAGAATTATTTTTAAAATACATGCAGCAAAGAATTACTCCTCGATATTTCATCAACAAAACTATATCGAATATTAATAAACCTGATAAGTAATATTAATTCAGAAAGATAATTGGAGAGGGTTATGAAGGTTATGTATTTGAAGCTGTCCAGATTCATTAAATGAAAATTGAGAAATTAGTCGCTCTTAAATTGCTATTTAGAAGAAGTTAGAATGAGATTGATATAATCAATAAACTAATAGAGAAATAAACCCATAAACACATAATAAGGTTTTTTGATCATTTTGAATATGAAAAATATTACATAATTGTAATGGAATTAGGTACTTTAGATCTTTATAGATACATTCAATAATAATAAAACTTTTTAGATTCAGAAAAGATAAACCTTTGTAAAAAGGTAATTCTGTTTGCAATCTAAAGATTAGTTACTGTGTTCAAGAATTTCATTCGCTCGGTTTGATTCATTGTGACATCAAACCTGAGAACTTTTTATTAATTGATAACTCATTCAAGTTATGTGATATGGGGTTTGTGAGAACTTAAAATTAAGAAATAATATAGAATATTGGAACTCCAGCTTTTTAGGCTATAGAAATGATTCAAGATAAAGTGATCATAAATAATAAAGTGGATATATGGTCGTTGGGATGTGTATTTTATGAAATCTTCACAAAGGAGTAATTGTTTGAAGGTACTTCTATATAATTATGTTTGAAGGAGAGAAAATAAGAGATCAAATAATGAATTATGGAGTTGATTAAGCAGAGATATTAAATAAAATCGAAAAGATCGCAATAGACAAATCTGTTTTATCTTTAATGAAATAAATGATTCACCCATCTCAAAGTGTGCGTCCAATGATAGATTAGATAATAAAATAACTTGAAGAATTATGTGAGCAAAATAAAATAAAAGAAAACAAATAGGTAGATTGGATAGATTGATATTAAAATATTAGATAATGTTTTATGTATTATAGGATTATAGTAATTAGTTAGTATAGATATATTATATTTCTTAACATAAAAATGAAAACAATATGATTTTCTGAGGATAACATATCAAATCGAAATAATAATATTAGTAATTTTAATAGTTATAGCGGTTCGTGTTATGCAATTTAATTGTATAATATTTAAGATTATGATTATTATAATTTTGACAGGATTTTCGAATTAACATTTTAATTCTTTCAACAAAAATTTGGCATTTACTGAATAATGGTCAACCTTTATATATTGACAAATTTTTGATAATCAATAGATGCAATACTCAATTATAAAGACATTACAGGAAAGTTATAGTATAATGTGTAAAATGATTATGTGAGATCTTTTTGTATGAAATTTTAGATAGAAAATATATTCAAAAATTTATTAGGGTTCTCATAGTTCTTTCAAATGTATCATCTATGAATAAGGTTTAAGAAGGAACTAAGTAAACAAAATGAATAATAATTTGGCTGTTCTCGAATAGTTTTTACTTAAAGAAGGTAATTACAATTATCATAATCAAGGTGAGCAGTATTAAATAGAAAATGTTAAAAATCTATTAATATATTATTATGAGTTTATTACTTTTTGTTAATTTACTAAGTCAGTGGTTAGCTAAATTAGATCATTATAGAAATTGGAATTTATTACATTGATTATATTCGAAATCATAAATGCTCCTTCTAATTCATTTTATGTTGGAACTGCCCTGTAAGTAAAATTGTTTATAGCCATATCAACTTAAATCAAGTTTTCAATATAAACCAATATAGCTTTCAATCCATATTTCATATTCTAATTCATGATGGTTGGACACAAATCCTTAGATTTTTCTTTTAGATAATCTGGCAAAAAAGTGCACAGATCACCAATCTGAACGCTGTCATAAAATTCAGTAAATGAATCAGTCACAAGCATGCTTCTATAGAATATATAAATTTACTTAGAGAAATCAAATTCCTACGAGGTATATTTCAAAGTGTTAGCCAAAGATTCATTTATGTAAAACCACATTTTATCAAAGTATGCTGCATCTAAATATATATAATTTTGTCTGCCATAGAGCACTTCTCTTTGTGCAAACATCAAAGGTATATCCCCTCCTAAATCACCAATCTATTTTTTGAAAAGAGATGTCTTAGGATATTTATCCAGATACTCCGAGTATTCAATGAAATTGATTATACTATTCAGAGTAACGAATGCATATAACAATACTGATACAAGTAAGAATCTCTATATTGGTATTTTTTTCTTTCTCTAACACTTAAACATTCTATTTCCTTAATCTACTTTATTGTTTATAAGCTTTTCTTCCTTTTCATCCAATTATAGATTATAATTAAAAATGTATGAATTGTCATCCAATAATTAATCCAATAGCAATTTGCTTTTTTGGATCTCCTTTTAAATTGCATCCTCATCGTAATATTGACTCAACTATAAAAATAGCATTAGTTTTTTATTTATTAAGGTCCTAACAAAAAAGTTAATCATCACGATCAAAATTAGAAATATCTACTCCAATAAAAAAAGAGTTTTAAGTTCGTCTTAGAAATTCTCACCACGATTTAAGGTTTCTGTCATGATATCCTAATTTAATTGAGTCATAATATCTCTCAATGTCGGATAATTCTTAAAACTATAAAACACTTAAGGACTATCTGGTTTAGCTTATTTTTCATATACATAATTCATCTTTAAGATGTATTAAAAGCTTAACAAAACTGAAATAGCAGTTCTTAAAGTCATGTTATACTTTTCAGATTTATAGGAATCCAAGTAAGCATAAGATTCTATATATTTACTTTAGAGTAAGCTTTACAATTCTTATCGATTGAGGACAGATTTTAAATTCCCATTCAAAGAATCAAATCCCAAACCTAAATTGGAGGTAGCAAACTTTGATACTGTGTTATATTCTTCTTAAGTTATAATCCCATTAGTCTTTTAAACATTATAAGTCCATAAATTCCATCTAGTCACTACGAACATATCGAGTGGCTGAAAAAATAGATTTTTGATTTCCAACAAATGAATATCATCTGCAAATGCAACCAAATTCAAACTCGTCAAATGCTAAGATATATTTAAATATTACAATTATGACAAAGAATCCTTGTACAATCAAACATAAAAGAAAAAGGAATATTACTAATTAATGATACCTTTTCATTGGGGTATGCTTATTAAATTTGTTGTAGAGGTCATATTTTCGAAAAAATTTAGAGTTTCTCAACATTTTAATCGAAGATACCTAAGATTTATCTTCTCTATCGAATAACTCATCCTTTTTTAAATCGAGAATCTTTTTATGTATTCTATCATTCCCTACTATTGGCATTGATTTGATGGATTGTATCTTACTATTCTTTTTATCTTGAACAATTAATGGGTTATTATCAGGCTCAGTTTAAGGAGAAACAAGTTATAATTGAAAATTATCGCATTGAATTTCATTTTAGATGTTCTCCTGATTAAATAATTTACTTTGTATAAGCAAAGTTCTGCCCACTATTTCTTCACTTATAATATTAGCTTGAAGTAAAGGATCCCCTTCATCGGCTACACTAAAACATTAACTAGATTTTGATTCAAATGTCTTGATTTCTTTCTTGGTAGAACTCAAAATATTTTATTAGGTTTTAGATAAATTTTCCAACTGAATAATCATATATATCATTTTATTTTCAATCATTTTTAAATTGATATTCAAACTACAAAAATAAGAGATATCTTCTTGTAAATCAAATAATGAAGATTATAATTTAGATTGATTTATTTATACATTTTCTAAAAAACAACTGCTTTTAATATCTTGTAAATTAGGGAATATTTAAGTAATTTGCATTCCTTTTTGAAAAAAGTCTTAATATTTACTAGTTTAACTCACTTTATTTGTTATGTTAGTAATTAGGTATTTATCATTTACTATTATGGTTAAATGCTCTTGAGGAATCTGAGTTATAAGAGATATAAAATTTAACTCATTAGAATAAGTGATGTCGATCGCAAAGTCAACAGAATCAATAAATTAACCATGATTGATGTAGTTTTCATTTTGTTATCTAATGTATTTAGATTTCCCAATTTTTATGAATTCGTTAACTATTTTATCATGCCATTCTTTTATGCCATTAGGAATTAAGTCTGCCAATTATCTATTACAAACATAGGATGGTGCATTACTAGAAACTTTACTCATTTATAATTCTTGATTTTCATATTTGGTCACAACGTAAAACATATTCTTATTAGGTACATATTCAGTATAACATAGCTCGGTAGATTTCTTAGCATGGATTATTATATCATTGGCTTCAAGGAAATCATTTAATATTTCTACATAAAAGAAACAAATTAATGCTTAAACTATATTATTCGGTTCCTTTAAATAGTAGTTGTCTATTAAATGTTTTAATTTAAGCAATGACTCAATATATGTGTAAAGCTACTAAAATTTATTGGTTTTCCAATTTTACAATAATTGTATTTTTTGTAATAGTAATTTCTTAATATCATTAAGTATTATTATATTTTTAATATCATTTTAAATAAGTTTTTAAGCCAAACCGAATGACTGTTGAGCTTACGAAGTTATTTGAAAGTCAGAGTTTATTTAATTTACACATTTCTTCAATAGTAAATTTCGCTTCAACTACCTTACAAATTGATCATCCTTAACCTTATTTAATATTAAAAAACACTCATAAAACTTTCTTTATTATAATAATATAGATGCATTAATAATTTGATCGTCGCAGAAGATATAGTCAGATAACTTGAATGTTGTCACTATTCTCAATACAAAAGGTATAATTATTAATGAGAAGGAATTCTCATAATGAATAAATTAAATTATTCCAACATATAATGTTATTAACTAAATTGAAATCATTACTAATCTAAGTGAGGAGTTTCTCTAATTTTTAAGCATTATTAAATCCAACCCTGATATGGCTGAATTCATAATTGCTAAAATTTGAATAATTCTGAGATGATATTATAATTTATAGAGAATCATGAGTAAAATGTTCATAATTGTCTAGAGAACATAAAATAATGTTATTTCTGTTCTTTAAAAGTTTTTAGTTTCTATGTTGAGTGTTCCCTAAACGAACAAAATTTCAAATATGTAAAAAAACAATATAATTCCACCAATGATTTATCCTTAAATATCATTAAATTACTCAAACACAAAATTCATCAATCCCACTTTCATCAAGGAATTTATTAAACTTACTATACTACCTCCTATAAGGTTTGGTTTAAATATATAAAAAGAATGCAAAAGCACGAACAAAATCCCAAAAATGTAAAAATCTGGTATTTAAATTATAATGGATGGTCTTGCAATTAATGCTAAAATGTACAACCAAGAAGAATGATTCTCGTAGTATATATATGACATATTCAATAGAGAGGAAACCATAAAAAGAATGTTTGTAAACTTCTCTGGCAATGTATAAGCTTTATCATCGTACTCTAAGTATTTTGTCAGTAATTTTGTCATGAGTGCATTGACTAGGATCATTTATTTATTTAATTTATAGGAATAAAGGGATTTACATTAGCAGTCTAATTATACTCATTAAATACCCTATATCAAATTTTTATAACAATTATTTAAAAAATACACACATTAATTACATAATTAATTATTGACTCTACAAATTTTATATTGAAAAATGTAGGATAAATTGAAATTCTAAAAACCAATAATGGTATTAATAATATCATTTTTAATTTATAAAGGTTCTCAAAATTCTTTCAAACTAATCATTTGTAAAGAGAGAATAACTTGGTAAAATCTAAATAAACTACACAATTTATTTTGAACTATTAATGAATTTTATAACCAATTTTGGTGTCCATACCAAAATTATCATTGAAACTGACACTATATAACAAATGTTTATTATCTAATAAATCAATAAAAGTATGTTTACATAAAAAATTTGTACTAATTAATTGGTTTGATCTTTTAGATCCTCTACAAATTATGTATTTACTTCCTTAATGATCTAAGATAAAATAAAAACTCCATCTAATTCATTTTATACAATGGATGATCTTTGAGTAAATTTGTTAATTTCAATTTCTTTTGCAATTAAATTATAACTGTAAATTAACACCGCCTTTAAACCGAGTAACATATTCTCATTAAAGATTTAAGGGCATAAAAATTAACTTTTTTCCTTCAAATTAATGGGAATATAGTCACACAGATTTGATACTTCTAGTTGTTTGTAATAATCCTCATACTTTTTCGATATCAATATTCTAGATTATACAGAAAATATATACTTGGAAAAATCTCTTTGATATGATTCAAAATCTGCAGTATTGTTCAAAGCTAATATAACTCTTTCGTAAATATCATCAAAATCTTCTTAAGTTAAATAAATTATCCTATTCCTTTCATACAATACTTCACGCTATGCAAACATACATGGAAAATCGACACCCAAATTAGAAATTCCTTATAAATAATAGGTAGTGTCTGGATATTTTTATAGAAAGTCATTTTATAAAAAATACATCACAAACTGATTCAGAGAAAATATAATATATATTGCAGATATAATTATACTGTACTTAAATACAGAATTGTTAGAAAACTTTTAAAACTTAATTTTAGTTTAAATGTTGCTATTTGAAATTGATTGAAATTATTATTCCTTAAGCTCCATATTTAGTCGATATTAAAATTTAAAAGAATTATCTATCTTAATTTTACTTAAACATTATTAATATTTCCTAATTTCAAGTTCTAGCTCCCTCTCATCAATATATTACTTGAGATTGATAAATTATTTTAATCTTTTATCAATTATTAGTTACAAAATCAAAATTAAGAGTAATAAGAATAAAAGCAAAGATTAATTAATTGCTAGGATTGTTTTAATGTTTCCTTGAATCAAACTTGCCCTAGTTTGTGTTTATGATATTACATCTAGATTAAGTTATTAAGCGATGTCATTTAATACCTTATAGTTCTTATAGCCATAAAAGGCTTATGGAGAATCTAAAACAACAGTTTTTTCAATTTTATAATTCATTTTAAGTGTATATTAAAAATTCAATAGAACTTAGATTGCTGTTCTTAAAGACATGTTATATTATTCATCTTTGTAGGAATCCAAGTATTGATAAGCATAAAAATGTTTACCTTACAATAATGTCTGTAATTCTTTTTTGTATAATACTGATTCTATATTTGAATTCAATTAATCATACCCCAAATCTAAGTTAGATAAGGCAAAGCTTGTTCTATTAGTATACTCTTCTTGAGTAATTAATTTTTCGTTCAATTGATTTTTATAATTAAATAATGTCCATCTGGTTACCAGAAATAATTCTATAGGTTAAAATATTAAATTCTTAATTTCTAATAAATTGATGTCCTCAACTAATGTTACTAGGCTCATATTTGATACTTACTAAATATATAATGTATTAATACAATAATCATGAAAATAATTTGAAATAAACATAACAGAAACATTATTGCAATAATTAACTTATGTAGTCTGTAATGAGGGATGTATTGTAGAAATTTATTATAAAGCTCATATTTTCGATAAAACTTAGAATTCCTTAATAATTTCATTGATGAAACCTAAGATTGAGCATCATAAAATTAGGCATGTTGTTCTTCTTAAAATTAAGATTTTTTAAATTGAGATTTAAATCTTTTTGCAATTCTTTTAAATAGGACAAGTGATACTTCCTCATCTCGAGGTGTAATGATTTGTTATTATACCATCGATTTTTCGTCTATGTTTAAATAGTTTTGCTAATAGTTCCTGTTATCCTAATCATCTTAAAACTCATAAGGATCCTCAATAATAGTATTTTCTAGTTCGTAAGGAATCTTTTCAAATGTGTCCTTTTATACAATATGTTATTCTGTAAGTTGACCTTCATTTTTTTTGCTTAACTATTTTTTAAAATTGTCAAATTATATAATCATGTACAACATCATCTATTTATTCATTCTAACAGTGATACTAACATCACAATAATAACTCATTTCACCTCTTTTATCAGTAAAATTTTGGGAACTTAAAATTTGATCAGAATGCATCACCATCATGTTTTCTAAGTAACAACTCTCAGTTATTTGAGTGACTGAAGGTATAAATTTATCAATCTGTTTGCCTATTTGAAAATATTTACTTAAATTGACAAATTCACTAAAGTTTTAACTTATTGAAGTAATTTAATAGTTTTGATTTATTATAACTGTTTTTGTTTACAAAAGCGTGGGCTAGAATAAACAAACAAAATCGACTTCATCAGTATAGAAAATATCAATTGCAAATTAAACATTTTCGATGAAATTCTCATTTGTAATGTAATTGTTAAATAGATTTCTAACATATTTCGAATCACCATCGGTTACAAATTTATCAACTAGTAACGAATGCCATTCTCTAACACCTAATGGAATAAGATCATCAAGGGTTTTATTGCAAAAGGTTTTTGGTGCATTACTAGATATGGATTTAACAATGAGTTTATTATTTTAGTAATTGGCAACTAAATAGATTAACTTAGACAACATTGAATCATTAAATTTAATTTACGTTTCTTAAGACGTTGAAAAACTACTTTAAATTTATTAAGCACTAAGCAAATCATTCAATATCTCTGCATAAAAAAAGACCTTTAAGGATTAGATCATCATGCTATTCTATTCACTATGTAATTTTTCCAAATGCCGACTGATTGAGTTAACGTTGTCAGTATAATTCAGTAGCTATTTGAAATTGATATCTTTAATATTTTGAAGCAAATACAATTTATTTTCAATCAAACTGTTCAATTAATTTGATAGTATTGTGTTTTATTCATCATTTTTCATCAGCTATTAACACACTCCCTTTAAAACCTAGTTAGGCTTTGATATTTTAAGAATTATTAAATCGATACATAATTTCAATAATTAATCACATTTGGCCTTTCTCATAACCCCTAAATCCTTTAAATTGTTTAAAACTACAAAACATTCAAAACCCCTCCCTTCTTCTAACAATAAAGAAGCCTTTAAAATTGGATCGTCAACATTATGATTTGAGAATTATTATTACAGTATAATTTTTAACAATAACGGCAGCATCACTAATGTATAGGAATGTTAATAACTAATAAATTAAATTATTCCAAATACAAGTGTTGCTAAATGAGTAAACGCCATTATCTTTCTAATTAGACTGTTTCTATAGTTGTTATAGGAAATAATTAAAGTTAACTAAAAGCATGATTTAATTAGAGCTAATATTTATATTAGTAATTAATTTAATTTAAATAACTAAAAGTAAATCAGCAGAATATTTAATATAAAATCTATGATATTTAAGTAATTTGAATAAGAGACTTAAAAATTAATGGTATTTACAGTGAGTGTCCCTTATATAAGTAAAACTTCCAAAAATTATTATATGACAACAAATAAACCAATAGAAAATCCTAGATTAGCCTACATTTCTTCAAGTAAAAAATTGAGAACTGCTGTTTTCAATAATGAATTAAATAAACTAATCAATGAAGTCCCATAGAAATTTTGATTGAATAAAAAGAAAATCCATAATATACTATAAGTTAGCATCAAGTAGTCCAAATAGTCGATATTTATTATTAATTAAGGTCTAGCAATTAGTACCAATATGTAGATCCACGATTTCGCATTCCTTTGATAGAGATAGGAGATATTAATGAGTGAGTGTTACAACAATAAAATATTTACTAGGTGTTCTGGTAGTTTGTAAGCCTTGTTTTCAAAGTCTAAAAGTTGAACAAAGAGTTGGAAAAAAAATAAGTTTTTCTTAAACATATTAATTAAGCTTGATTAATATTGATTTGCTCAATTATAAACGATATTAATAAAATGGTAAATTTATCTTTAATTTATATATAATATCAAATTGATGTATTCACTCTTCAGTTTATGTACCTTACTGGCCTTCGTTATGTTATTCTTCTTTTTGTTCATTGTTACTTTGAGTTTATTAATTCTCTTATTAATAACCATCTTATTTCTTATATAAATTAAATCTATACATTATTATTTTATATGTTAGATTGTTCTGCAATTAATGATGTGTTGTTAACGGAGTGAAACGTTTTAGCAAATTGCTCTGGCTATAGTCTAGTGGCAGCAATCAATTTTCCTTTAACATCCTTCTCCCTTTATTACGTTGCCTATAGCTTTTGCACAATATGCAATTCCTAAATCTCTAATTATTTGATATGTTTTTCTTTTTCTTCATTTTCTTGAATTGTTTTGACTTTTAATTAATCCTGTTCCTATTTTATTTTGATTTTTTTTTCATTTAATTTCTCTCGTATTAGAATTTCTGATAAGTTTTACTCTTGCTTCCTTAAAGCTGCTTTTAACTTCTAATTTTCTTGCCACTTTCTTTGTTCCTCAATAAATTTAAACTGTTCATATTATAATAACTTCCTGTAATTTTATGCTTCATCATGTTTATATTATCTGAATTCTTATTTGACTTTTTTCAATTAATTTCGTTCTATGGTTGTTTTTATGTAGAGTTCTCTATATCGATCATTTCCAATGGACTAATCTATTAGATCTTTGGAATCATTCTATGAATTTCTATAATAAAGTGCATTTTATTGTAATTTTTATTGCTTCTAAAACGAATATTGCTTATTTTATTACTTTCAGATGAGCTGCTACTTTTTATTGATAAACTTCAGATGTCAATTATTCTGTTTATTTAATTCTTTTGATTAATTTGCCTTCTTCATTTCGAAGTTACCTTATTCGATTCTCCACACTTTATGCCTACAATTCTAATTCTTTTTTCCTTCTTTTCACTTCGTTTAATGTTACTTCCTCAGAATAATGAAGTGAATGAAGTTGTTGACTCTAAGATATCCTAGGTAACATCAAATAAATTTTAATAATTGTCAATTTAATTCATATGAAACAACTCACTTATTATATAAGCAAAAATAATAATAAAAAGTTCGTTGAGATGAAAAACATATTATCCAAAAAGCATTTCCCTTAAGGGCATTTTTCTTAAGCTTCCGCATAATTTAAACTTAATTAATGCTAATTATACATCAAACCACCTGAAAGAAGCCGTATCAATAAAAATGTAATACTAGAGAATGATTGGTTAATAGGCTACGAGTGCTGAATTGGGTTTGGCTAAGCAAAATAAGAGTTAAATAAGAATCAATTAGTGCAAATACGAATCATCTCTTTAAGATATGTTACCAAAGAGAGACGATATTTATAAGTAAGAATTTAAATAATTGAATCTTAGATATAGAAGAAGGCCTTCCCCAACCAGAAATCAAAGCAAAAGAGACCTATTAAGTCATTCGGTAGATTTTATTAAGCCTCCACATGTCGAAAGAGATTGTTCGTTTAATAATTTTCATAAGAAAACTAGTTAATCTGGATTTTATAAGAGACCCTAAGTCTCCATTTCCTTAACCAGAATGAAAGAAAACGAAGCTGCCAACAGAATGTTCGATTATTCCAATAAGGAAAATGAGATCTACAACCTAATTAGTAAGCAAATACAGAGAAATCCAATAACTGGCAATGGATTGCCCAATTAGTGTAAAACTGGGATAAAATGCAATACTTCAAAGAGATCTCATATGGATGAAATTCTATTCTAAGTAAGTGTATAATTAAGGTTTAGAATAGGGATTTGAATGGGCGAAAGAAGTGGGATATTAAATTGTGATTTAGTTTTAATTATTTTGGTATCATTCAATTAGTTCTCTTAAAACATATTATTATTTGTCATCTAGATTATCTAAATATTATATTAATTAAATTATGCATAAAATTCTGTTCGAGAATAAGCTATCTACTCAATCTCCTTTTAGTCCTTTTGGTTCTTCCAAAAACTCAAAGCCAGGCATAATAACAAAGATAAAAAATAGGATTTAAGATCTGTTCCAGCCCTCCATCAAGCCAGCAAGTTCAATTTAACGGATACAATGCTATAATGATCAAAATTTAGATAAAGAACTATCCTACTAATTTAAAAATAATCTTGTAATTGTAGATCACATTATACCTAACAAGGAGTATATGCCCACTTTAAAACGCAAGTCCTTATATCCCTTTGATTAATATCTCAAGGAACTTGACCAAAATCAAAATTAAATATCTGACGAAGCCATTATCAATTAATAGATCTAATAAAAAGATTAGGAACCCCAGCTTCCAGAATCCAAGCAGCAAATGATGTTTAAAAAAAATCATGCTAAAAATCAAAAATCAAGAAAAATGGAAGGTAAATTTTTGTTTCTATTTTCAATAGGCAACTCATAAAAAAGAGACTTTTTATTTAATAAAAAATCCTTGAATTTAAATGATGAATTGAAATAAGAAAATTCATCAGGTTTCCTGTCCAATCATTCAATTAAAAAAATTAAGTGCTCAGACAACACCATCGAAATTGCAAGTCCTTCTTAGAAAGAGGAATAGTCTAATGGATAAATGTCTCAAATAAATTAATTTGAAATTTAATCTATTGCAATCATTAAATAAAATTAACAAATTGGTTGTCAATAATTGAGTGATTAAAAAAATAGGATTTCTGAAACTCAAAATAGACATTCTTGCAACATCGTTAACTTCAAATAATTTATTTAAGAAAATTAATATTTTTCAAGTTCTACTGGCACTAATACAAAGGGAGAAACTTAAGAGGCCATATTCAATATGGAACATATTTCCTTTTCTTAAGAAACTGATTCCTCAATTTCAGAGGATAAATACTCTAATGATAATTCTCTTGAAATTTAAAATAAGCTATATTCTATTTTTCATCCTGATTTTGCCCAAAAAGGAAATGTCAATTCAAATTAAGATTTAGAACAAAATAAAACTCCAGAAGAACTTAAAAATAATCAAATTTTAGATAAAAATTAATTATCTAATGACATTTTAGAATCATCAAAGTAAATTAAGAAATAAAGAAATTTGAGATTATAATCCGAAATTATAAGTCTCTCAATCTAATGTAATCCCTAAACTCAAAACAAAAACTAGAATTAAATACTGTAATCTGAAGTCCAATTTCAATAAGATGAATAGAAATGTTAAACTAAATCATTCATTACATCATAAGAGAATTCTTGCGATAATCATAGCACTCAAAATGTGTTCCTATCTAATCCATCTTAGAAGTAAGATTAAGAACAAATTGTAAAAGAGTAAAACAAAAACTAAATTTAATAATAATAACTACAAAGTGAATCAATTTTTTAGAAGGAATTGAAGTTCATAGATGATAAACTTGATAGTCCATAATCTTAAAATACCTTATTGTCTATGAATTGTGAAAGCACAATAATTAACTCCAATATTATACAAGAAAATGATAAACCAAAAGAAATGAATATGAAGTCTAATTAGATTTTAAAAGAAAACAACCCATTTTTAGAAACTATTTCTAATATTAGCTAAGACTAATTCAGTTAATATTTTTAGTAAGCTCTGTTAACAGGAAATTCTTAAAATCATTTAAACTAACAGTAAATTACTAAAGATCAAAATCAGAGAGATTTATTTAAAATGCAAACCAATAATTAGCTTTTCGATTTTAATGTACTTGTAGAAAATTAAGATTTATAAGTGTAAAATGATAATCTATTTGCCTAATAGTATTATGCTTAAAAGAACGATTAATGCTAGAATTATAATAAAATGGAAATCATAGATCAAATTCTATTACCAGATTAATCTAATTTAATCTAACAAAATATTTATCAACAACCATATTAAATCTACTATTCACCGCCTTTTGATTAGAAATTTTACTGCCAACCTGCTACCTTTTAGTAATCTCAACCAAGTATTCCATGGGTTGGTTACTAGTCACCTATTTCGTAATAGACTCCTTATCCATAAATGCAGTAATCTTCATTTCAAATATCAAGCATTAATCTATTCTAATCAAATTCCTCTATGGTCAACTCCAACCCAAACTGTTGTTAAGAAGAAAATCCAATCAATCATATCTATACTAAATAGGATGTACTTTCCTTTTTCCAAGATCCTAACAAGAAATAAGACTAAAGTAAGATATAATCATTAAATTTAGATCTATTTACATTAGATTCCAATTAAAACAGTAATACTTAAGCCTAGAATTTAAATAACAGCTTTACCAGGGGATATAAAAAGAAGCAACGCATTAATAATAGCTGAAACGGTTTTGAATAATGAAAAATATATATATAAAGGATAAATCACTTATATTCATATATTAATCCTTATTTTGCTTTAGTTTCATAAGCAAATTCTCTTAAATAATAATTTCTCAGTAAATTTTCCTATTTATTCTGTAATACTTTATACATCATAACAAAGACGATGTCTTGCTTATTTAATAAGTAATTCACTTAAAATGCTATTGTTTTTGGATTAAGTCAATTTTGTTTGAAATAAGTTAATTTATCATTTTGGATGTATTATATAATTTAATAAATGTCTGAACCCTATAAAAAATAAAAGATAGACTCATTTGATTATTATGACCCACCAGAGAATTACCAGCCTCCTGTACAACAATTGGATTAGAGTAAGGTGATTGAAGGATATAAAACTTTGATTATGCTGAAAAACCATATGTTTAAAGTGAATCTATTGCTATCTCATGAGGAAGAGAGTTCAACAATAGCAGAATTAAAAAATATCAAGGATGAATTGGTATTAGCTAAGGAAGCACAAGAGAAGGAAATCGCATCTTTATAGAAAACACAGGACAATTTATTTAGTGTTAATAGACTCAATGGTGAGGATATTGATAAATTGGCTAAGGCATACCATGAATAGGATAGGAAATGGTATAATGCAAAGCTTATTTAAATTGATACTGAAGAATAAGAAGCAGACATCCAATTTATTGGGTATTAGGAAGTCGTGAAAATGCATGCCATTTTTATTAAAGTTCAACCTATTCCGGATAGTAAATTATTTACAGTGGGATAATAATGTGAAGCAATATACTCTTCAGACGGGCGTTATTATTTGGGAACAATTGAAAAAGTAACAGAAGAAGGGTATCACATAAGATTTAAGAAAAATTCAAATAGAGAAATTGTGCCTTTGATTTATTTAAGGGAAGCTAAGAAGTAGTTGAATGATTCTAAAAAAATGAATTTTGAAGAAATGGATGAATTTTAGGTACCTGAAAATTTAAAATATCTGCCTACTGATAATGAATAATAGAGATAAGCAAAAAAGAAGAAAATCAAGGCAATGAAACAAACATTTAAGTTGTCTAAAATTACTAAATATGCTCAAGAGAAATAATCATCTTGGCAGTCTTTCAGCTAGAAGGTTTCAACTATCAAACCAGATCTAGGTCAGAAGGCAGAAAGCATTTATAGACAAAAATGTGATTAGTTGAAGGAATGATAAATAAATATATATATAATTTGTGATTAATCAAAAATACTTGATTCATAGATATAAACACTAGTTCCAATTCGCATGAATGAACACATCCATTCAATAATTGGGATGATTGGAGATAGAAACAAATATCAAGTTGCAATAATGCAACAATTACTAAGCTAACTGAGCATGATTTAAAAGCCAAAAGTAGTCTAAGAAAGCAAAAATTGCTAATAAATCTTAAGGATTTTGGGTTCACAACTTTTAACAAGAAAAGAGATCCTGAAATTAAGAACCAATAAATTAAGGAAGAAACCTAATTGAATGAGCCTTTCAATCTGTTTTTTGATCCAATGAATTTAGATATTGTAATTATGCAGAAACAAAATAGGTTTTGGGAAATACATCTAACACTTTAATAGAATAAGATTTCGAAATTCCAAAGCCTATGCTTATATTAATTATAAAAAGAAAGTAAGACAGGGATGATTAGTACAATATATGATTTAGATTAATTGACTAAATATATTATGTTTTAATCATTCTACAAAATCAAATTCATAGATTTATGGGGCATTGACGGGTGATCCATCTATCTCATACAATAATTTAGTAACATTTTCTTGGAGGAAGTTGGTTTACTTCTTGGATTGTCTCATCTATGGAATGATTATCTAAGTGATATAAATATGGAGCATACTTTGTTCTCGTCTACAATCTGGTAATACTCCTGTAATTATCCTATGATGTGTTATAATTTCAATGCCAATTATTCTGAGCTGATCACTGATTTGTTCTACCCATATTTTTCAGCCACTCGAGCCAATGCTTCAACAAATTCTTAGAAACTCATCTAAATCTATCTATCTTAATTGATTTCATCTAGTACGAGGGGCACACTTAATGCAAATGCAATCAATACATTTCTCTCTGCATTGACATCATTAATCAGTCCAGCTCTATTGAATAATTCTTTAAAGGATTGAGGAGATGCAAAAGTCTTATTGGTGAAATAGTTTAATGATCTCATCTATACACATTCTTGATACAACTACCTGAGAACCGATGAATTGTTTGAGATCACTCTGTTGCATTCCATACTCCAATAGTACACATCTCGCCAAGTCTGAGATTCTTGAACACTCTCGATTTTCTTCTGTAATCCATCTACTTCGTAAACCTTCTACAAGGCTTCAATTGGAGTCATCAAAAGGGGTTGTTTGCAATATTTGTCCATAGACATTCTAACTAAAATTTCAATAAATTGATGTCTTAATAATGCGTGAGAAGTGGATGTTCTAGTTTGGTTGATGTATTTGGATGTAGTCTATCTAAATGATATATCCAAATCTTTCAAGAGGTATGACTTATTGTCAACGAAAGAAGACTAAAAAATATCAGTGAAGACATTTAAGGAAATACTCCAAATATCACCACTTGGTGAATAGGCACTATAATGTCTATAAGCAGACACCAAATCTCGATATATTCTATGTAAATACTATTTAACTTAAATAAGTTGATCTTACTCTTTAATTAGTTTGGTTAATTGTGAGTTATTCCAATCCCATTCAAAACAATCTGAGAATTCTTAATCTGAATCCCTATGACACTCTTTAAAGAAATTGTCAGTCTAATCAATATTCTCATCGACTGTATCATCAATAATAAGATCCAATATTCCACCATAGTCCTTTATTCTTGGCTTGCAATGGACACTAGGCTCATAATGTAATTCATCAAATTATTGTTTGGATGGCAACATTATCTAATTGCATTATCTGGGTCTTCGAAATGTTAAGTGTTTCTCATTAATCATATAGAACAACACTTTCTTGTTTTATTCAGCTTTGGGCCAATCAACAATGTCATATTAACTGCTCACTTGAGCTTATTTTAATAAAGGACTTGAAAAGAAGAATCGAATTGGCTATTTTGATGGTACCATTCTTTATACGTACCATATTTTGTAAGAATTAGATTTTCGAGACATTGGGGATCTTTCTCTTTATTCATCATCCATGAGTTCCATTTTGATTGGAGCATATCGTTCATGACTCAAATGGATGAATAATGGTTCTCTTTTGATGTCCAAATGATTAGGTTACCAGAGGAATGTACACTCAACCCATCCATCACATATCCAACACACTTCATTATAGAATTAAGATTGTCTCTATATCTATTTTAATCCATCTATTCTAGGTATTTGAAGTGCTCCAATAATTTCTGATTGATATTCTTCATTTTTCTTCAAGATGACATCCTTTTATTCAATTGTTTATTTGGTGATATTTAGAAATCCTAGATGGTCAATTGAACTATGAATATTGCCTGAAAAGTGGAATCCATATATCGTATGGTTGTCTTCAAGTGATTTTGCAATGGCTTCAGATTGGGATTGATTAAATTGATTATTGGAGAGATCTAAATGCATAAGATTACAATTCTTGGAAGAGAAGTAATCTGGCCAAGTTTAATAGGGTAGCTTATTCTTTTATGGAGATTGAGCATCATCTTTATATCTGATACCAAGAGAATTGAATGATAAATCTAATACTTTGACATTGTAATTTATGAAAAGTGCTGCTATAATATACTAGCCTCAATCATTATTTATAATAATATACCTCCGATTTGATGGATTCGATTCCAATGTAAATAGATCTCACTGAGAGTAGCATTCTTTTACAATAACACATTGAATTCTGGCATAGACTTATCAGTAATTAGATTATGAGAGAGATTGAGTTTCTACATGATAGTGTTCTCTTATAACATCTTGAATAGTTATCGGCAGCCATCATCATTGAACTTGTTGTTCTCCAAATTTAGATACTGCAATTGACCATATCTTGTGTTTAGAGCCTTTACAAATTCGTGTCCTCCTTGACCCAAACTATTCCCTTACAAATTGAGACCCTTTAACTTCGTAGGTATCAACTAATTCAGACACTCACTCGACCTGCTAGTCAGATTGTTGTTTTTCAGGTTCACTTATTCATAATAATCCAGAGTCAGTTTCACTCCTGAACACAACACTTTGGCGTACTTGTCTCCCATACAAAAGTTGGATGCATCAAGTACTTTGTTGTTGTTTGTATTCGTACGAATCAATCCAAGAGTTCTCGGCATTAGTTTCTATTAAATGCTTAAAAATCAATGCTTTACTTCTGATTTCGAGGATTCTGCTACACTGCTAAAAAGAGACATTTTTTAGTTCTGATACAGAGTCTTCTTCTGTAGAATAGTATCTATTTTCTTATAGATATTCCTGAAGGTTTGAGGAGCTACTGAATCAAAGGGTTTTACATTGTACGCATTAAATTCAAGTTCATCATCTTAAGTCTGCATTTCGTCGAATTCCATTAAAGAGGGAAATTTCTGTTTAACCTTCTTGATTTTGACTTTACTGTTATTCTATGATCTCGATGCTTTCAACCCTTTTAAATGTCTAAAATTGTCATTTATGGGAGGTATTAATTGTAATGGAGTGAATTTTGATTGTGGTTCATATTAAAATGGAGCGTCTCTCTTGGTTAATGAATTTTCAATGTAAGGCTATCCTGATTTTTACATGAAAATTTAATTAAATATTATATATAATAATCAATCTTCTTCTTGTATAGACAATCCTTATAAACTAGACTTTATGGCAGATAACTATTTGGAATTTACTTAAGGATTTTTCTCCAAGATCGTTTGGCAACGTCTCCAAATTGTGAAAGCTGCTTTTGGTCTGTTAAGCAACTTATTGGCATTAGCCATTTAGTTTAAGGAGAATACTAATTTAGCATGTTCTTGACCGCACAACTTCTCATAGATGCAAAGAGCCTTCGAGTGTTATTGTATAGAAGAATCATATTTGCCAATATTGAACAAAGCACATCCTAGATTGTTGTAAGAGAGTGCTTGGTATTGATTGCAAGGACCCAACAGTACTTAACTGATGTCTCCGATCAATTAGAAGTAATACATGGCATGTTATTCCTGCTTAATTAAGATGAGGGTACCTTTTTGTAGGAGAGCAAGAGACGTCCCTTTTCATTGATTGAATCTATGGTCTCAAAGTTGTGCAAGCCAAAAGCCTTGATCTTCAACTTATAGGCCTAATCATGATACTTTTATGCTTCCTGCACTATATTCTAAATAAAATTGATTTTGGCAACAAGTTCCATAGCTATAGCAATGTCAGGATGATCACATGGCAATAACATCTCTCTTTGCTGCAAACAACTGACAACTAATTAACATTTGATTTACGTACTCCAATGCAAAATCCAGTCCATGTTTGCTTCTATCTGTGTCCATGTACAGTCGAGCCTTAAGAAATAGAATGTTGGTTTTGAGTAAATCATTGTAATGAGATGGACTGAGTAGATTGGCCAGTTGTTCAGCTTGGTTGATGGAACTTTCAGCATCCTCATAATTACACCAAGCTCTTTGGGAATTTGCAATATTGATGAAGATCTCAATTTTGTAATGAATGAGAGAATTAGGCACGACATTCAAGAGTCTCTTTAACAAATGAATGGAGTCTAGATATCTGATCTATATAAGAGACAATTGTCCTACCTACAAAGCCAGAATTTGATTCTCTAATATGTGAGGATATTCAAGATAAATAGGTTCAGATTCGCAAAGTCTTTCAAATGATAAAATGCACATTGCACACACTCCTTAGAGATATCCAATAAACTCAATTTCAATGCCACACTCCCATACTCAGTATAGAAGGCAGCCAATAATTCTATGTTGCATGATCGTTTTTGAGAACACTCCAAAAGTGGCATCATAAGTCTCCAGATCCTTCCCTAATTGCTTGAGTTATTCATATGCTTTTCTGTATTGACCCTTGAAATTTAATTCCTATATTTATTTTAATGATTGTTCGAAAACATTCATTTTCTTTATAATTAAAATATTGTGTTGCATTTCATTACTTAATAATTAAAATATTGTCAATCAATGTGAACAAGCTCCCCTTATAAGTGAAATCTATCTCCGCACTCAAACCAGGCCCCTTAATTGCCAATTCGATTCCCTAATCCAAATACTCCTCAGCAAACCTTTATAACTTCCCATAGATCGCAAATTTGAATGGCAATTCAATACTGGGTTGAGCAAATCCCAAATCGTATTCCAACTTATCGATTTCAACCTCTGCATGAGCCTTCTCTAATAATTAAAGATATATTAAAATTTGACTCAAATATTTCTCTTACAAAAAGTAAGGCAAATTCTCTTGTTTACACATCTTGAGGTTTTCCAACAACTTCACAGTGTCCTTTTGAAATTCAGCCTTACCTTGCACTTCCAAATTCATTTGATAAACAGCATTCGAAATACTTTAACCCAATTTCTCAAATGACAAATCACTTTCAATCTATAATTCCACCTCTTCCCTTTCTTATGACTTCTCCATTGTCTCTCGAATGAATTAACAGATCTCCATAAACTCCTACTGCTCCACTTAATTAGCATATTTAAAAGTGATGTATGCATATTGTTCATCTACATGATAACTGAGAGCAAAGGTGGGCTTCAAAAAATCTCGAATTTACTTCCTAACTTGGTCTAGATTCTTTATTACACAAACGATGTCAGAATAGTGTAAGTACTCTTGCACCTCTCCTTGAATTCACTATCGGCAGTTTTCACATCAATGTTGCTCTTCACCTTCAATTTTATCACCATCTCATAATCCTCACTCTTCGTCTAACTGTAATTTAATCTCACACTCATGTTCTTCTCCTTCACTCTTCCCAACACTATCTTAAAATCATACATGTTTCCCTATTGATTCATTAATTAATTAACTGATTCTCAATTCAAATGAAGGCTTTCCGCTATTAAGTCACTCTCAATATCAGCAAAGTAGAGCTTTCTGTTAAATTTCCCTGTACTTTACAAGTGATGTGGAAACGAGGGCTCAACAAATGTTTGACTAGAACCAAAGAAAAAACCAGAAATATTTTCATTGTTAATGAGGTACTCACACTTGATTTCAACGTTGGTGAGAACACCTAAAAGAAGACACACTTAATTGCTCTCCTGAATGTTGATGGCCAATCCAAACTAGCTGGAGTTGTCAATTTTAATATCAATGAAACCATGCCCATCGAAGGACAATGCGCACTTAATCTAGAACGAAGTCCAGACCCAAATGCAAAAATACACTTTACCTATTAAGTTGTTAATCTTGGGGAAACTGACCTCAGTGATAGTCGTGCCAGTGAATCATTTCATCAAAAAACTCTAGCAGAATCATTCGGTTTCGAAAAGGAGAATCTCATTCATCATAAAATTCTTAGTCAAAAGAAATCTTCAACCCAATTAATATCCACTTACGAAGTTCAACTAACCAAAGAGCTATACGAAAAGAGTCTCAAAGATCTTGATCAATAAAAAATTAAAAACTCTTAACTCCAAGACCAACTCAACCAATTACAAAATGAAAAATCAACATACAATGATGAAGTCAATAAATTGAAAAAATAAATTATTCAACTTAAAAATGAAAACCAATATTTAGAAGAATAATATGAATCATCAAAATAAGAAATTACAAAATTCAAGGAATCGGCACATTAACACAATTAACTTCAAGTCTAAACTGAAAAATTGAAGAATGAAATTGAAAATTATAAAATTCAAAATTCCGTTTTAGAAAATAAATACTAATAAGCATTCAAGAAGGCTAAACAATTAGAAGAAAAAGTGCAATTCTCACACTTTAACAAAATTGAAAGGTCAACAAACACTTAATTTAGTGAAATTCCAGAATATGTGTAATAAAATACTCAAATTACACAATTAGAAGAATAAGTAAATGAATACAAAAGAAAAAATGATAAATTAACATACGAGTTGCAATTTACTAACAATAAGTTCAAGACCTTAGAATAAGAACTATCCTAATTTAAATGTTAGGTCATTCAATATCAAACTTAATTAACCTAGTTCAAAGATTAATGCAATAGATATGAAACTGAAAATGCTAAACTAAAGATTTTGATCAAACAGTTGGAATAAGACTAAAATAACAAGGAGAAAGTGTAAAACAGGAGTCAAAGTGATTATTAGAAACAAATAGATTCATTAAAGGATCAATTAAAATAGAATACAGACAAGGTATTACATATCAATAAATATTACATTTTAGTTAGAGTAAGTCAAAGAGAAGTATCGATTAGCCAAGGAGAAAATAGAAAAATAAAATGATATTATTGAATAATAGAATGATGAACTCACGATGCAAAACATGACATTTCTTAAGGAATTGCAATTAATCGCAAAGAGGTAGGAATAATTTGGAATTGTTTGAAAAATTTTTACTTTTAGTTATTTTTGTTTTATAAATTAATTATTCTTTAAATATTTAAGATAAATATAATTGAAATGTAATATAACATATATTTTGATGATTTATAATATAAAAATATTATAAAAAATCCAAGAAATAAGCAAAAGCAAAAATTTTAATTATATTTAATACAATAAGTTCAGTATTAAATCTTTTTCTTTTTGATTATACTCTTGTATATATATTGAATCTTAGACAGTTACATAAAGGAATGTATTTTATAATTGCTAGTTAAAAGTGATTTGTTAATATTTTGAATGGGAATATGGAAAATCATAAAATTAATGAACGATTAATATAAAGGTATGTTTAATAAATATATTAATCATTTTAGACTTTGCCATAATTCAATTTATTCAGGATTCCTTATTGAGAATTCCATGGCCATCATGAAAAAATAGAAAAATTACTAATTCAATGAAAAATTTTAATTATAATATAATTGTTAAGGGTTTCTTTGTTTAGATCATAAGATAACTATTAGAATGTCTAGATTTATATAAATAATTTGCAAAAATACTTTAAGCAGTCCTCTATCATTTTCTTACAATAATTATTGGAAAATTTTTGGTTTTATTGTCAAATATTATGATCATATTCTCTTTGTCTTATTATGGTATATACAAGTTATTTAAATAAAATGGAAATGAAAAAAGAATAGAAGAAACCAAATAATTGGCAGAAATCAAAAGTCTCCAATATTAATAAATGAGTACTTAGGAAAAAATAGTATAAATATACTACTTTGAGAGGATTAATAGAAGATAGAGATAATCAATAGGCTAATTTTCATAGGTCTATGGTAAAAGCAAATCCTCCAATATTTTAAGATATTTTTGTTAACATTAATATACAGGTTTTTAAAAAAGATGAAATATTCTTAAAATTGAAAGACCTGTTAAGTAGAATGATAAATGAAAGACTTAAGAGATTTGTTGTGTTAGTGATTAGCTTAACAAAAATATATAATAGAAATGGCAATAGGGAATTAGGTATTTAATGCAACTACTTAGGATTTCATATGGGAATATTGAATGCTTGGATAGAGTGCATGAACTTGCATTTTAACTATGGGATTAGTGGTGTTGAGTTATTGAAATTAATATAAAAGAGGGAGAGAACCGCCGTTTTTTAAATTATGAATATTATAACAAGTTTAATCATTTTAAACCAAAAATTCAAGTATATTATAAAATAATAATTTAAATTTCAAACACAAAAATGCTCATTTAAAATTAAGAATTTAGCGGCAACACTAAGACTTAAACCTTCACTCCTTTATCTAATTTGTAGACAAGTTAACCAGTTGTTTAATAGAACGAATGCGATGAGCCTCTTTTAAAACAAAACCCAAATAGATTTGTACTCTTCCCCATAAAATACAATGACATCTGGAATATGTATAAGTAACACAAAGCAAGTTTCTGGACAGCTGAAGAAATAGATTTATATTAGGTATTCTATTTAATTAATAAATTTTAGGATCTTAAAGATTGGGAAAAACTCACTGCCGATGAAAAGCACTTTATTAAATATGTACTTGCCTTCTTTGCAGCAAGTGATGGTATTGTGAATGAAAACTTGGCCCAATAGTTCTGTACAGAAGTGCAAGTTCCTGAAGCAAGATGCTTCTATGGATTTTAAATAGCTATGGAGAACATTCACTCAGAAACCTATTCACTTTTGATTGATACCTATATAACCGATGAAAATGAGAAGAACTATCTTCTCCATGCCATTGATAATGTGCCTGTTATTCAAAAGAAAGCAATGTGGGCAATGAAATGGATTAATAATAATGATTCATTTGCTGAAAGATTGATTGCCTTTGCTGCTGTTGAAGGCATCTTCTTTTCTGGTTCATTTTGTGCTATATTTTGGATCAAAAAAAGATCATTGATGCCAGGACTCACCTTTTCAAATGAATTAATTTCAAGAGATGAAGGTCTCCATACAGACTTTGCTTGTCTTCTTTACAAACATATGATTAATAAGTTGAGTATTCAACGAGTTCATGAAATCATTTCTTCTGCTGTTGAAATTGAAAAAGAATTCATCAGTGAAGCTTTACCAGTTGAACTAATTGGAATGAATTCCAATTTGATGAAATAATATATTGAATTCGTTGCAGATAGATTGATATTTGCATTGGGAGCTCCTAAGATCTACAATTCAAAGAATCCTTTTGAATGGATGGATATGATATCCTTATAAGGTAAAACTAATTTCTTCGAAAGAAGAGTTGGAGACTACCAAAAAGCTGGAGTTATGAGCAAAAAATAAGATAAAGTATTTACTATGGATGCAGACTTTTGATTCATTCACACTAATTTTTAAGTTATTATTAAATTAATAATCATTATCAATATAAAAACTCTATAAAATGAAAATTTTAAACAAAAGAACTCTCATAATATTAATATTATTAAAGAATCACAGATAGAACCTAATGAGGATTATTTTAGTTAAATACTGTATTATTCTTATCATCCATTAGCAAGTTTTTATATTATGATAATTATCTATTTAAAATATACTTAAATTAAGTAAATATTTATAAGGGCTATTTTGTCTTCAAATAACCTATTTTATATTTACCAATTGAATTATATAGGATTAAGAAAATATCAAGATAGGTTCTGTTATTCTTTCGGAAAGTTACTTATTTTCATTAACCTGGCTGATGCTTTTGAGATAAGCATAGTAAACTTCTAATTTCAATTCTCTAGATTGATGCCTTTAGTAATTATTGATAAATAGTAATGATTATAGCAACTTCGAGAAATGTTAAATAGATCAAAAAAATGTTATTAGCATCAACATTAAAAAAGAATATTAAATTATAAAATTATTAATGTTAATTATAGATAAAATTATAGCTATATGGTAAAGCATCACTTTTGGAACTAAATTTGTTCTGATAACCAGCACAATTTGTTGCATTCTTGATTTACTGACAAATGATTCACTATTCGATATATTTGTAGACATCCCAAATAAGACTATATATTAAATCGAATTATGGAGATTACTCATTCCATAATTCTTTCATGGTAAGCTTAAAATCCACTAAAATAGGCGATATATATAATATTACAATAAGTTTACTTGGATTTCTGTTTTGTGCAATTGAAGTTGAAAAAAGTTATGGTACCATACCATTTTTTTGTGACATATTCTTTAAGAATCTGATCATACAAGTATAAAAAATCATAATTAGATTATTTATGTTTTGCTATGCTTTTCGCTTTCATATTTAACTTTGGAAGTCCTAGATACTGAGTCTTTTGGCTTTTGGAATATCACATTTATTTACATGATGAATAAGTATAGTCAGACTTATAAATTTAGAGCACTAAGTGATTATGATGAGCCTTAAAAGTTCCTGTGCTTTCCATTTTCTCTACAATCAAAATATTACCCGCCTGCTTTCTTCTTGATCATGAATATAATTGAGTTTCCTAGATTAGATCTAATAGCAGCAGCATTTTTTGCACTTATCGAATACCAATTATTTGATGGTTTCATGATGAAATTATCTAAGGTAACTTATTAAATTATAATATAAGGGGTTCGTTACAAAGATAGAATATTCCTTCCCATTTAAATTCTTCTAATCCCGATAAGATTTTATCACATGCGATTAAGTTAATCATTCATTTGTTTTGGATGAAGCAAAGTAATCCTAATACCACTTAGAAATTGGAAGCATTTCAACTACAGAAGCTAAAGAGTAAGATTAACAATAGATTTGACACACAATATTTAAATATATATTATACCAATCTATCTATTTAATATACTTAATGTGATATAATGTTCTAACACTCATTTTTTGCCTCCGCCTCCAACATTAAATTTGAAGAAACAGATATCTCCATCTTCCACAACATACTCCTTACCCTATTGTCTATACTTACCTTCAGCCTTGACTGCTGTGATAGTACCCAAATGAACAAAATCTTCATACTTCATAACTTCAGCACAAATGAATCCCTTTTCAAAATCTGTATGGATAACTCCAGCAGCTTAAGGAGCCTTGGTTCCTGCTCTTATAGTCCAACATCTGACTTCATCTTCTCCAGCAGTAAAGAAATAAATCAAATCTAATGTTTTGTATCCAGTCTTGATGATCCTTGGCAACATTGATAATTTTTATCTCTCTTATGTTATGGTACCTGCTTAAGTTCTTAATTTAGAATAAAATGAATTACTCTTCAAAAATAGTTTTTTCTAAATCTGCACTGTATGGTATAATATCTCCTGGACAATTGGCATCAACCCAATCCTTAATACCTTTCAACCATTTATTCTTTCTAGTCATAAAATCTGGTTGACTTAGGTTGACCAAATAAACTACATTCTTTGCTGTAATGAAATAGTATTTATTCAATATTTCAATTTCCTTGAAGTTCCAATCTCCTGTTCTTACCCACTTCTTGTTGTCCAACAACAATTTGACTTTGTCCAAGACTTCCTTCTCTTCTCTAGCATCTTTATTGTTGTTTCTCTTAATTACGTGTTCTGTTTCTGCCAATCTATTGTTACAGAATTCCAAATCCTTCAACAACAACTCAGTAGAAATGATATCCATGTCTCTAATGATATAATTGTGTATTCTACCTAATTGGATCAACTGACAATTCAGTATGACAAACATTCTCATCTTCGAATGCTCTAACTACGTGATAAATTCCATCGCATTCTTTTATGTGTGATAAGAAAGCGTTTCCTAATCCTTCTCCCTTATGTGCTCCTGGTACCAACCTATTTTATTATTCAATTATATCAATACCCAGCAATATCAACAATGCTCAAAACAGCTTGAATCTCACTTTTTGGTTTGTGAATTTGGCATAATTTAAGAAATCTTTCATCTGGAACAGGAACTTTTGCATTGTTAGGATCTATTGTGCAGAATGGATAGTTTTCTGCTGGAACATTCAATTTACACAAAGTATTAAATGTGGTTGATTTTCCTATATTTCATAAAATGCATTCCTTACCCACATTAGCCATACCAACAATACCCATCTTGAGAGTATTACTAGGTCTTCCTAATTTATTCTTTTTTTCTTCTTGTTATTCTTTTTTAGGAGGCATTTAAATCTTAATATATAATATAATATTAAACTCATTATCCTTTCAACTACAAATCGGATTAGGATTGTTGTTATTTTAATGAATTTTGAGACTTTTTTCCGAAAATTAGTTTGGAGTCATAATTACTCTTAAACTAAATCTAAGTAATTGATTTTTCCTTCTGGAATTATATGCTACTCTTGTAAGCACTCGAATTAAATTAAGCCCATTAATTTTGGGTCTTTTCTTATGACACTCTCTAAGAATCGAGATAGAGAATCCCTGCCTAATATTCATTCTTAAGTTTTTCATTATCCTCATTCAAGAATATTATTTAACTCTTGAGTTAATCAATTTATTTATCCTTTCTATCAATTTCAAATTTGTGTTGCTTCTATAAATAGTTGTATTTCTGCTAAACTATTTCCAATTTCTATTTCATCTACATATGTTATTCCTGCATATCAGCCAATTCTATAACAGCCTTCTGTTCCCGATGATTTGCTTCTTGAACTTATTATCTCAGATTCTAGAGCACTTCTTTTTTGATTTAATAAAAATTAAATACATTCTCTTCTTTAATTCTATTCAAATAATAAATCTTAATCTCTCTTCACACTCTCCAGTTCTCCACCCTTCTACTTAAGTTCTTTCATTAATTTATTAATGTCTTCCTTATATTTCTCCTCCATATCTTTACGCCTCTCGTATTCCTATTGCAAACTCTAATACTCCTCTCGAGTAACTTAAAAACTTTAACCAAAACAATTCTTACTCATCATCATACTCTCACTTTAATTAGTTGGCCTGTTTTCTTCGCATTCTGGACCTTCTGACTTCCAAATCTTAAATTACATAATTTCATACATCATTTCTCTTGATATCATATTAGAACGAATTAATACGGTCATCTCTGACTTCATAAGTCGAATCCCTTTGAAACAAAGCATTTATTTGCTCAACAGACATATACACAGGTTGATTATTCATATATTAAATATATATTATATAAAAAATTTGTATTTCTGTATTACAAAAAGTCAAACAACAAATTTATTATTGTTAATTCTCTTTTAATTTATAAGAAATAACTTTAATATTGATTTCTTCTCTAGCAAGCAACTGCAAGCCGTTACCTGCATCATATATAAATTAAATATAAATTCAATTATCAAGTTTTAAATGTCATAATGAAGCGTTCGTATCATCAAATGGAATTAGTTTGTTGAAATAAAATACCAAATCAAATGTTAATGGAGTAACTAACAAATGTTATTCAGTGTACTTTATGAAAAAGTTCTTTGAGTACAATTGCATAAATTATTATTTATTTGATAGCTTCAACTGAAAAGCTAGATAATTATCGAAACTGTTCACATTTATTTCGTTAAATATATTTTAAGAGTACTCCATATCTTGAATGATATTAAATACTTGAATTAAAAAAATATTCAGAAATTATGAGTAGGTCTTCAATTTTATTATCTGATAACCATTAAAATTTAAATTCACTTTCCCTGAAAATACATAAGTGTTTAATAATTTTTTCAACACCTTTACAATATTTACAGTCTTTATTTGATATTAGCCTAACATTAAAATCGACATGACTCCAAATTTAAATTACAAATTAAACAGGGTTTTCTTGCTTGTCATAAATTGTTCCACTAATTGCTTTGTCACAAACTAAGGAACCTATTTTTGTCTCGTATCCAGTCTTGAATTCTCCAAAATTAATATCAAACTATTATCAGTGTTGAATTAAGAAAGCCTAATCTTTATTTTTGTTCTCTAAACCATAGCAAGACAAATTTCCTTTAGATTGGTTTAATCATCTATTATCCATTTCTCTAAGGATCTATTAGAAATCTTACAATTTCTTATAAAGTTCCTAATATTACATCCAAAACACAAGTCTTGGTTGAATCCCAAAAATTAATTGACTTGATTAACCTAAAGAACATCAATTTAAAGCTTCTTCTCGTTGTAAATAATCTTTGTAAATGGTTTATTTATTAAGGTTTGCAATTGATAGTTAATAGTATCTTCTTTAAAATTCAATAAGAATTACAACCTTTATGCTCTATTGCATATATATAACACACTTATTAAAAATATAGCTGTAGTTATTGTAAGGCCTAAAGCTATTAAATCAAATTTCTTTGCATACAAACTGGTGACAATAAGTCGAAATATCAAATGAAATATAACAGAAGGACAACTTAAATAAAAATCTGTCGAAAAATAGGTTATTGCTTGAATTAATGACAAGCTACTTCCATATAAAAAGTATTCTTAGCCATGAATATTGTCTGCAGTAAAATTCAACTATAATAATAAGATATAAGCATTTTCAATAGTCATCATTTTTTATGTTAAAGTCTCCTTTTTATAGACAATTACAAAGCTAAATATGGATATTCCTATAAAAGCAAGATTGATTAATGGTATTGAAAAGGATTCCCTGACTGTTACTAATATTATCTCGATTGTATTCAATAATAATGACATTAATATTAGACCGTAATGGAGAGGTTTGAGCAATTTGTAAATTGATTCTTTTTAATACTTTAATTCTACATCTGCTGACTTAAATTCCAATGTATATTTATTCATTTGGTCCATTTTTTATTCTTATTAACACAAAAAATTATTTAATAGCGTCAATAAAATAAACCATAGTGTCAAGTAGTAAAATAAAGATTTGAAATATGTTTAAATTACTTTGTATTTTATATTTGAATTACATTAGATTTTTAAAATTATGTTAAAAACAATAGCCATTAAATGATTAATATTATTTAAAAAAAAATTATAGAATTAGTATTAAATTAATCTTAATTATATTTGTATTTAAAGATAGAATAATTTACTAAGGTATTTATTTGGCTAAATAAAGTAATGCTCTTCCTTTAGGATGCAGTTTTTACTTTAATTCAAGATAACAGATATGTGATTTTTAAGAAGAAATTTTGAAACAAATTATAAGTACTAATGAGTATTTCAGTAAGCACAAAAATATTCAAATTGGCTTAAATCTCACAGAATTTTTTATTAAAGTTTTTCTGATTTCATACAATATTATTTTAAATCAATTTTATCATTTTTGATAGCATAGTATGATAATACTAAAGGAATTTAAATCAACAGTTTTTATTTTTAGGAACTAAATTAAATGGCTTTAAATTTTGTAAACAATAAAATTAATTAACTAATAGTTAAATATCCATCAATCTACAAAGAGATTCCATGTTAGATAAATAGAACTCTATAAGCAGAAAAATGCGTTTTATTTAATAGATGTGGTAAAACCATAGATCCACTTAAAAGTACACAAGTTAAAAGAGTTAGAATACCAAATAAATAAATAAAGAATTTTCTATTGATACAACGGATTAAAAAGGTTAAAAATTTTTTTAATTTAGAAACATATCGTGTAAACTCCTATATAGTATTATTAGAGTCTCAAAAAAAGTATTTTGGAAAATCTTAGGAAGGCTTAAATATTTTTAACCAATTATTATTTTTATTTGGTACAAATCAATCATTCTCTTAAAATATGATCTCAAAAAAAACACATTGTAATATCAAAGCTAATATCAAAAGGAAACCCAAATTTCTAGGTACAAATATATTACTCCACTAATATCTTTTTCTTTGTTTATAATCTTTAAGATGATCTTTAATGCTCAATAAAAATGACATAGATTCTAATATTAATTCTATAATTGAAGGGTCAGTTTAATTGGCAGAATTGATAACGCTGTTATATCTAAAATACATAGATTAGGCTTTCATTGAATAAACTAATAATGAAATGAAAGCAAAAGTTAACATTAGAATTTAAGAGGATGATTATCTTTTCAATTGATTTTTAGGATCCTAAACTTAATATTCTTTAGAGGGTATTACTTATTCTTTAAAAGACCAATTAATTAAAATATATATAATTATTTATGCAAGAGTGGTGTACAATAGAGTCTGACCCAGGAGTATTCACTGAGCTCATAAATGCAATTGGAGTTTAAGGGGTTTAAGTTGAAGAGATTTATGATCTAAATGATGAATAATAGATGGCCTAGATGCAACCCATTTATGGATTCATATTCTTATTCAGATGGACAAGCAAAGGCGAAAAAAGAGAGTGTCTTAAAATTTATGATCAAGATCTCTTCTTTGCCAATTAAGTCATCTAAAACGCATGTGCAACTTAAGCCATCATCTCCATTTTATTAAATTCCCCTTAAATTGAAATTGGAGAAGCGCTTAAAAATTATAAAGTAATATACTATTAAAGAATTCAGGAATTTACTATTGCTCTGGATCCTAAGGAAAGGGGAAATTGTCTAGGAGGTGTTGAAGTGATAAAAACAGCTCATAATAGCTTTGCTAGACCTGAACCCTTCATTTTCTCAAATGAAAAGAAGAAGGCCAAAGTAAATGTTCTAATTTTTATTCTAGGAAGGTGATGATGTCTTTCATTTTGTTTCTTATCTTCCCTTCAAAGGAAAAGTGTACGAATTAGATGGTCTCTAAGAAGGACCAATCTTGATTGGTGAATATCAGGATGATTGGATTGTTAGAGCTAAAGAAGCCATCTTAAAAAGGATTTAACATTACTAAGAAAAAGAAACAGCTTTTACTTTGTTAGCTGTCAATTAATGCAGAAAATTCAAAGTACAACCCTATCATTCATTTAGGCAAACAAAATTCTATCATCATCGTAAAATGAAATATTATTGATTCTCAAAACCTTAGATTTTATGGGTGTGGATTTATCTGAAGAATAAAAACAATAGTTAATTGAACTATCAAATTAATAAGTAAATTTGAATACTATGCAAGAATATTGAATAAGAACTGCTCCAAGAATCTAAAGAAGAATTATTAATTAGATTAAATAATGCCAATAACAGAATTTAAGAAGCTTAAATTATTCTGAGTGAAGAAAATGCCAAGTTTTAAAAATATAAAGTATTTTCTCATGTTATCTCTTTTTAGGAAGAAAATTCCAGAAGGAAACATAATTATATTCCATTCATTTTGGAACTTTTTAAGATGGCTTAAAGAAAAGGTTAACTTGAAGGATTGTTAGAGAAAGCTTAACAAAAATAATAATAAAAGTTGCAGCAATAACCAAAAAAATGATATTTTGAATTTTATAATATGAGCAATATATATTTTGAAAATTTATTTTGATTGCTTAATTTTAATAATTTAATATTTCATAATATATCTAAACACTTTTATTTTATATGCTAAACAAGTATTAATATCAAATAAATTTATTTTCTCTTAATTTTAGTTTGACTTTGTTAATTTAATCTTAAATTTAATCCAACTCTTGTTCAAGCTATTCTCTTTTTCTTCTTTCTAAAGCACTTTTTGAGACATTGATCTTTTTATTTAATTCACTTTCTAATGTTTATTTTTTTATAGTCAACTCATTCAGCTAATTAGTTAATTATAGTTCTAAATCTTTCTATTATTAAGTGCGAAAATCAGATGGAAAATTTAATATTCCTCCTTGGTTATAGGAGATTTATTAATTGTCTTATTTCCCATTTTATTATTTGATTTACGATTAAACCAACATCTGATTAAATTATTTAAGACTGTTCTATTTTTTAAATTAAGTGTAAGCGTTTATTAGATTATCATTCTCTTAGAGTTATTCATGCTTTGAACCATTCTAATTTACATTCTGAAGAATTTATTGCTCGCTATTTGATTAATTACTGTAAGCACTACTCATCATGCTTGTAGCTTCACGGAATTAAAATTATTAACTTTGCTTTTTCTAGATTTATTAATACTATTCAAATTGTTATAATAATGATTTAAACTATTTATCTAACATAACCTAGAAGTAAAATAAATAGATATACATTTTACTATGAGACATTTCTGGCTTCTTTCTCAAGAAGATCAATTCTGATATAGGCTTCATTCAATCTTAAATTCGAATCTTCTAATTTCACTTCTGTTTCTTTGACCTTTACTTCCAAATTAATGCATTAATTCTTATAATAATTAACCTGCTATTTGGCTTCATGAAGTTCAATTAATTTGGAATCATAATCTATAGGAACTTAAAAATTTTAGAGATGCTATGTTATTTATTATTGCAATTATTGCTAGATCTTTTATTACATTGATAGAAGTTATTATTATTGTTATTGCTATTGTTATTAATACTTTTGACTTAGATTTTGTATTTCATCCATGGCTTGCATGTATTTTTCAAATATTTCATCCCTTTCTTATTACAAAAGGTTGAGAATCTTATTATATTTAGTATTGATGAGATTGATAAGAATTGATTATTCAAGAATTTTCTCATCCCTGATTTTGATATCTTCATCTTTATCTATAACCATCTACTTTAAGTTTTGAAGGTTTTATTCGTAAAATGAGATCAACTAAATTTGAACAGCTTCCTTATTTTATGGTTTTGGTTTGCTCTCAGAATTCGAAATGGAATTGACACTCAATTATTCAATAGGTTCGGTAACTTGTTTTTATCCACTAAAGAACCTTCTTTATTATTCAGATTTTTTGCCAACTTTATCAGAATAGATTTGAAATAGGTTATCCATTGGTTTATAAGGAGAAGAGCCTCCTTGACTTAAACATTCAATATAATTCCCATCAGCATCATCCATTTTGAATTTTATTTTATATAGATAATTATATAATTAATCTCTCAATTTAACAGTGTCATAGATACAAATAAAATCAATCCAAATTCTTTGGCTTACCATATTCCCATTAACCCTCTCTTCGAACTCCCTCAGCATTAATTATTATCCCTTCTCCATGCTATTTGCCATCTTACCAATATCCCTCATATCTTTTCCCACTTGCCCAAGTAAATACTCCATAACCATTCTTTTTATCGTCTGAATATTCTCCTTTATAACTCTTTCCATCCTTCCAAATACATTCTCCCTAACCTTTAAGATATTCGATAATTCAAAATACCATGCATTTTATTATTCAACCACTATCCCTTATATTGTTTGCCATCTTTCCATGTATAACAACCAAATCCACAAATTTCGTTATTCTCAAAGTTCCCTTCATATTTAGAACCATCCTAAAATTGCATATGTCCTAGTCCATGTCTTTTACCCTCTTTGTAAGTTCCTTTATATTCAGTACCATCTGGCCATGTTTCTTGTCCTTCTCCATCTTAAAGATCGTATTTCCATTATCCTATATATTTAACGCCTCTAAAATGATTGAAAACTCCATGACCATTAGCCATATCATTTTACCATTCTCCCTCGTATGAATCACCATTAACATGCACTAACTTCCCTATGCCTTACGCTTTGTCCTAAACAAAATCTCCTTCGAAGTAACTGCCATCCTTCCAAGTGAATTTGCCTTTGCCATCTTTTTTCTAATTCAGCCATTCTCCCTCATAACTAAGCTAGTTCATAAACTCTACATATTCCCCGATTTCATTATGACAGGAGGTAATTGAATTCGGCTTCCATTATTTGATTTTGCTACTTCATCTCTAAACTCTGGAAGTGGAAGGTTATCATCTTATTTTAGATTATAAAACAAACCTTCTTAAATATTTTTCCATTTCGAAAACGATTATTATTCGCATTTATCATCCTCTGGTTTATCAGTCTTCGCTTGATATACTTCTGGATTATTGGATTCTTGATCTTCGTTGAGATTATCTGGCTGTTAATGACATCTACAAGCATTCCCCATTATTATATTTCGCTATAAATTATTTTGAATTAATTTTACTTAACTTAATTCCCTTAAATTATATTTACTTTATTACTATAATTGTTACAAAACAACTAAAATACTTTTAAAGTTGAAAAATCCCCTATCAATTCTTAACAACCCATGATAATACACTAATAATTTCTCCTTTTTAATTATCTACATCACATTTACTAACAAGAAAAACTCTGTATGAATTCTGAAATACATATTAGATTTAACTATTGTCTAATTTTAAGAGTCGATCTTAATTATTTGATTGGCAAATTTCAATTTAAAAGTTCTTTTAGATTATAATAATTATATGTGTAAAACGTATATTAATTCAGAAAAATGAATTTGTACATAAAAAATTTTCTAGAAAAATTTTAATTTTCAAAGCTAATTTTTAACTTGAATAATGAGATAAGAAAGAAAAGCAAATATTTAATTAAAAAAATCTTGTAAATCAAGGGATTGCACAATGAATTACGTTGACATGATTGGTTGAATATATATTTAAAATTGGATTTATAATTAATTAAATGAAACAATAAGCACAAAGATATTCTGTGAAAATACCAAAGCATGATGTTATTGATAAGAAAGTTTACTATACAATCAGTATATGCAACTTGGAAGGAGGAGAACCTAAGGAGATAAGAAAAAGATATTCAGAATTAGAATCCATGCATTAAAAAATATTGGAATGGATTCAAATATTTAAAATAAAAATCCCTTTGATTCATTTTCCTAAGAAAAAATTCTTATTTCATACAAATTAGTGTGAGGAAAGCATTATTAAGCGAGTAAACTTTAATTGTATTTTAAGAGTGGAGAACTATAATAATATCTCAATGAAATACTAGCGTGTCCAGAATTGCATTGCCTAGGAGTTATTGAAGAAATGCTTCCTAAAGAGCTGAAGCCGGATGCACAGAAAAAAAATGATAAACCTGTTGACAGAAGATGGCAAGAAATTCAATAAATCAAAGAATCCTACTTAGCAAAACACGGCGATTCAATATTGTCCTTGCCCCAAAAAAAAGTTGAGTAACAAAGCAAGTATATACACTAAATATTTTTAGATAGTAATATAGTTTTAAGTTCGAAGATCATTTCATTTTTGATGATTCAGCCCTATACACGATTTAAGCAACTGATACTATTACAAACAAAAGTTGGAAATTTACTTAACGTTTTCAAGACCTAAGAGATTATCATAGACAATTGAAAAGCATTTAGCTTGATTTTCCATTGCCTAATTTTCCTGAAAAAAAATTAGTTAACATCTGTGATGCTGCTGATTTAAGAGGTAGAAAATCGTAGTTAGAAGACTATCTTAATCGTATTTTCAGGTCTCAATTCAATTCTATAATAGCTATCAAACAGTAGTTGAAAGTGATATTATGGTATTTTTCATTGCCAAAAGCTAACTTGATGGCAATGAAATTGGCTGTAGATCTAAGGGAACATCTTAAACCACCATGGATGTAATTATTAAATAATATCTCAAGAACTCAAGTATAAAATCTAAGAGCCAAACTACAATTGAACAATTTGATGATGATCATAAATAACCTCGAAAAATAACATGTTGAATTCTTTTTTTTTACTAATATGAGTTTAAATATAATTAATCATTCAAACAATTTAAAATAATAATCGTTCAAAAAAACTACTCTAACTCGCAGCATTTTCAATTATAATTTTCATCCCATACAAGGCTTTTTCACATATAATTCAAGATTCTTTTTAATCCTGAAGTTTCTAAACTGATAAATTAATGATGTCAAGTATTTTGTATAAATATTAATAATAATATAACTATGAAATTATCATATGCACTTTATAATCACTTATCATCTTTAAAGGTGTTTGAAATAATTAAGCAAGCCAATAAAAACCCCATTATTTTAACAGAGGCCTAATAAAATTTGATCGAAAATGGGATTGCAGTAGCCAAGTTAGTTAAATCAATATATAGTTTAAAATAAGAGATTTCATAAAGGTATTAAACATCAATTTAATAAGAGCTCTAACTCCTATTGCTCAATTAGATCAACTTAAATAATTAACCACTGCATCCACAAAGTTATATAATTGGAATATAATCATAAATGCAATAAATTAATTGTAAATACCTAATGACATAAACAGTGACATTAAAAAGTTAATATTGATGGGGGATGTGTAAGTAATTGAAGACGTACTTAATTAATTGTTTGACTTTTACTTAAAGTTGCAATAAGCCAGATTGAGTAAACCTAAAGCATCTCCAAACGTCAGAAATAGAATTTTATCTGAATAATAACCACAATCTTAAGGATATAATCATTTGAATCTTAGCTAAACATAAGAGTAAATTTAAATATCTGATTCAAATATTTTAGAATACTTTACATCATTATTGTCAAAATGGTTGAATTTGTAACACAAATAGGTTATTTCACTTTATGCTGAAAATTTCAAATTTTGGGCTTAAATAGTTACCAAAGGTGTTCAAAGGGTTTATGAACCAATAATCTCCATTTACAAGGATGTTTTTTTGTCAGTTGAACATCTATAGAATCTAATCTCTATGGAAAAAGATAAAGCATTAGGATTTTCATTAAATCTCTTAAAACCAGGATTGGTCTCTAAATCACCTGAAGTGTGTATTGAAACAATTCGAACCCTTGGAAATTTTGTAATCTAAGCATATAATAATAAAATCTCATATAAAGAGGATATATATTAATGGTATGTTGAATCATGTTTTTAAACAACACTTCTATCAATTAAAAGACATCCATAATTAGTCGATTCATTGGTAGATTTAATGATATTATTTTGTAAATTTCATTTAGTTGATCTTTTTACTTCAATTCTAAAATAGCATAGTGCAAATAATATAGAGTTGCTAATTAATGTAGAAAAGCTGTTTAATTCACTCACACCAGAGTATATTTTAGAAATTTAATCTATGGGAATAATGCAACAATGGTTAGAATAAGGTCTGGAGATTCTTGAGAGTACGAATACTTTAAAATCAGATGAGAACATTTGTATTTTAAGGCTCATTCATAATATTTGGTTAAAGAATTAATATTAATAACATTAAGAAAGAGTGCATAATGCATTTAAATTAGGCACATAAGATCCCAGGGAATGCGTGGCATTATTTTCTATTTAATTTTTATTCTCTGCTTTAGAGTACTTTGGAAAGAATAAAATTCCTGAAGCTCCAATTTTGTATAAAATGTACACATTTATTGTTATATATAGAATTGCTATTTAGCTTGTCGAATTAACAAATGAGAATTTAGTCCATTTTATACTTTAGAATCTTTTGATAGTTTTCTAAATGATCCCTTCAATCCCATTGTCGATAGTTCTCGATCCATTTATAGTAAATTTACAGGAGAAAACATATCCAAGCTTGGTTGTTTTTAATTTCATAGCCAATGTTGCTAATAATTCAAATTTGACAACTAAATCGCAAATATAAATTATGGATTTATTATCTAAAATAGCTATTTATGATACTTTGCATTATAGAATAGCTTCTTAGATATTTCTTTAAATGGTTACTAATACTTAACATACACCAAGCACTTAAGAATTTATATAAAAATTTGTTAAAATAAGTCTTGCCGTGTACTTTTCAGTTCATAAGAAATCTGATAAAAAGAAGCCAAACCAATAAATTGTGGATAAATAAAGAAAAGCATAAATAATTGAAGTTTTAAAAAGTATAATACAAATTCATAATGAAAACTTTAATTAAGTCATAAAAACAATGGCAGGCCATACTAATTTATAATTTAAGTTAATCTCCAAATAAAATAAAGGATTGTAAGTACTTCTTTAGTTACTTGGTGATTTAAATGAAATAATGCAATAAGTAGAATTTGAATATCAAGAGGCCTAAACTAATAAATAAGCCTATTCAGATTCGTCTGTTAAAGAAGTTCAATAAGTTTAAGGTAATTTAAAGAAATTCTCAAAAATCAAACTCACTAAGGAGGAACAATATCATTTGGCGAGATTGAGAATGCCTAAAGAAACTGATCCTAAAGTTATAAATGATATTTCAACTATAAAAAAGCAATTTTAAGATAAATAGATGGAAAAAGAATTGTCAAAATTTACTTAAGAGGAATAATTGAAATAGAAAAAAGAGAAATTAAGGAAATAATTAGAGAAAAGATAGATTGAATAAGGAATAGCATCTTTGAATCAAAAAGATGTAGCTGTGAAATTATTATTTCCTGATGGTAGCAGATAAACTGAGTTAGCTAAAGAGAAGAAACATGGGTTAGTAACATTTGATTTGCTAGATTTAAATTTAGAAGAGGAAATAGAAAAATTGATGGTTGAATAGATTTTAAGAAAATATAGTAAAGTCTTTAGATATATTTTTACAAAATATGCTAACACTTGTCTATAAGGAATGAAATAACCTAACTCTTTTGATAAATATCTTTAGAGGACTGAAAGCATAAACATTGCAGAAATAAGTAAGTTTGTTCATGATTATGAAATTGCTTTATCGATTGAAAATGTTTAGGCATTAGCAAGGTAAGTAGGAACTCAAATTCTTCATAACAAAACGGAATTTAAAGAATTTGATTAGATAGGGTTTAATTAATTTGTAATTTAATTATCCATCGTTCTATCCAAGAATAAATTAGCAGATACTCAAGCGTATTAATGTTTAATCAAATTTATCAATCATTTAAGAAATGTAACAGCGGCTAAAGGATAGAATACAGCCTTATTTGATGATCCAGAATCTTAATACTTTATGGAGAATGATGTACGTATTCTTATTTAATTAGATAATCAAAGAATTTAATCAATAATTGCTCATAGATCCAAATTATGAATTGCCTTAAGGATATAAGAAGGTTACTACTTTTGAAATTCAATTTTCATATGAAATCCCTTTTCTAGATGATAATGTCCAAATACCTTATTAAATTCTTAATGATTTGTTGATAAATGCATTGGGGTAAATTCAATTTTAAATTTAAAAAGAGTTAATATTATTGAACCAATATCCAAGAGAGTAATGGTTTTTAAGGCCAAACCTGATGCCTTTGGTTACATATAATCTAAATTGCAATAGGAACCTGCAGATGAAGAATTCAAAATTAAGCATAAGAAGTCAAAGGAAGTGAATACAAGTTTACAAAAAAAAAAAGTCCTTGAAATAGAACCTAAAAGGGAGTGGTCATTGAATATGAAATTGGCCATTGCTAAATGCAATCTCAAAGATAAATTCATTGCTGAAAATGTCGCTAATTTACTTGATGATATGCTGTTTGCTATTGAGCATAATAAATAGTAGGCAACAAGATAAAATGAAATTATTAATAAGGTTAAAGAGGATAAAAAATAATTATTATTAGATTAGGAATAATAAGAGTAAAAGAGAGAATAGCTGAGAAAGCAAAGAGAAAAAGAAATTAAAGATAAATTGAAGGAAGAAAAGGAAAAACAAAAGCTTTTACACCTATAAATTGAAAAAGAAAGATTAGAAAAAAACAAAACTGAAAATCATTTGAAGAAAGAATAGTTAGATAAACGCATGAGTTACTTAACTGAATAAAAATTAAAAGTAATAAATTTATTATATGATTAGATCAAAGAAAAAAATGATAAAGAAAAAGAAGATCAATTAAAGAGAATTTTGGAGGAAAAAGATAAATAGGAAAAAGAAATTAAATTGAAAAAACACAATTTTTAAGAGTTCAATTAAAAATAAATTAAAAAATTAAAAGAAATAATATCTTAGGGGTAGAATAAGTAATAATAATCAGAAAAAGAAAAATAGGATCAATAAAAAAAATAATAATAACTACTATAATAAGCAAGATCAAAAATATTAACTCAGAATCAATCAAGAATCTAAGAGTAAAAGACATTAGAAAAAGATATAGAAAACAAATTCAAATCAATATCATATCAGAAAATAATTGAAAAATATTAATTCGGATTAAATTCTCTATTCCAATTTTTAATTAAAGAAACCTTTCTACCGATTGGTTAACCATCTTCAAGAGAATAAATTAGTTTCAAAACCTTTGCTTGGTTCACAGATAGATTTAATTTATGTCCTGAAATCGTATCTAAAGATGATGTTCTTTAACTATTTAGATATTTAACTAAATCCAAAGAGGTAATTGATGGAATACCACTAGGGATGAATTACGATGAATTCCTATAGGCTTTGCATAGAATTTCAATAAAAGGAAGCACTATATTTAATAAAGTTGCTATGAATATAAAATAATAAAAAGGAAAACTTGATATCAAAGAAATTAAATAGATTGTTGAAGCAGAACAAATTGTTGGTTAAGAACCATAAAGCCATTCACCAAAGGCAGAATCCATAGTGATGGACACTCCTTTAAGAAATAAATCGAAATCTAATTATCTGGAGTCATCGAAAGTCTTGAAAGAATATTAACTCTTTTTCCAATAATCAAATGAATAAACTTTTGAATCATTAATATTGTACTTAGATGTGAGCAATGATAAAAATTAATTAGATTGGCGATTTAGAAAAACATTAGAGGAAAAAAAGGTACCAACTAGATTGAGAAAAAAAAGTAATTATAATATTTAATTTTAGTTTTGACCGAAAAGCTTGGAATTTAGAATTGATTAATGAAATTTTATTAAGTGATAATTATATCTATCTTTAGTTATAAATTGGATTAATAATAAATATATCATCAAATGAATCAATAATGATTCCTAGTTTTTGATTAAAGTTATTTTGTTAATAATATTATAAAAGTACTAATAGTAGAATTTATAGAAATTCTAAAATAATGGGTAATTGTCTTTTTTAACATTTTACTCTGTCTTTAAATTACTCTAAGCATTTGTAATAACTTATTAAGCAAAATTATATAATATTTCTAGTTCACTTTTTTAGATAATATTCAATATCTTCCATTCATATACAATTATTTTATGACATTTTTCACCTTTCTATCAAGAAATTCTCTTATCTATAATTCTAATCATATTTTGATAATATTATAATGAGATAAATTATTTCAGATTAGTTTACTTTACTTTTTCTAACTAATAATATTTATTTCGCTTTTGATGAAACTATTTTATCAAATGATAAAAATGATAAATTTTTATGGTTTGAATTGAGAAACATAAAACCTACATCTATTTTTTTTAGTTTTATATATAAATATATTTAATTTTATTCTATCTAGATATATTATATAATTCTTTATGTTTTTTTACTAACATTTCATCCATATAATTAATACAAATATGAATATATTGCCTACAAATGGGAAAGTTTATTGATTGAAGATTATTTTAAAGTATTTGCTCATTGAAAACAGAAATCCTTTAGAATGCAAAGATTATTATTTTTATTGTATCTAAATCTAAACAAAAAATGCTGAAAATCAAAACAAATCGAGTATCCATGTAATAAAAATGCTTTAATTAAGATTAGAATTTGATTAAACTATTAATTCAAGACAAATCAGTTCGAAGTAACCATTTATGATAAAATTATTGATAATTAGATTTTTTTATAGAACAATTACATGATTTTAGTAGCAATTAAAATATAATAATTTTGGGAATGTGTATCTTTTAATTCACAATTTTCGATTGATATCAAAAAGTGAGCAAATATTTAAGGTTTTCTTCTATATTTGGCATTAATAGTAAGTATCAATTTAGTAATAAATACTATTCTATTAAATAAATAATGTAAACACACACTTCTTAAATAGGGTATTGATTGATTCAAATAAATATACAATTTATCTTCAAGTTTGAATATTAATTTGAATCGAAATTAGCATTATTCATGTAAAATAAATACTCATGGTTGCACTAATAAGGGCTGATTGATTGAATTGAATAATGAATAAAAAAAACGGATTTATATTAGTTATTAATTAAATTAGCATGAAGTTGGTCGTCTTGATTCTGATTTTAACAATATTTAGTACCCAAGGTCAAACATCTCTTAGAGGAAAGAATAAATTTGGTATGGTTGGCCATAATTAAGACTAGAGTAGAGCGATGAATTAATATAATTGAATAATGAATATACCCCAGAACTATAAGAATATTCATTATTTGCACAATTAACCAAGCCGTTATACGAAACAGCACCGATGGATGTTATGCTACTAAACCATGAAATGGAAATATCGAGAATGATGGGCACTCCAGGAGTGACAAGTATGAAATATGTACTTGAAGAATCACCCTTTAGTCCTGCTTGGTGATTAGAGTAAAAGGAGTTCAATTGATGTTTCCTATTTCATATAGAATCATATAGTAAAACAACTTATTTTCAAACTGCATTAAAGTCAGTTTATAATAATATTTATTACTTAAGCCTAGAATTATTGATTCCAGATAAATTATCAACTATAGTAATAGCTAATCGTTAAGTATTACTAAAGTAAAATAGGGCAAGAGTATAAAAATGAATTATGAATTGATTATAAAATAACTAACTAAGCTCACAGTTATTACTGTATTTTTAAGAAAACTAGCTGATTATTTCAAAATTATTTGCAATTAAATTCATAAATTATCTTAAATAATTAAGTTTGAGTAGATTATTGATTGAAATTCAACGCCTTTCAAAATAATACCAAATTTAATCAATTTTACCCCTGTATTTCTAAATTTTACGGATAACGAGATTATATAAATTTGAGTTCTACTTTAGAATTTTAATCCTTTCATTTATCTTAATTTTAATAAAATTAAGATAATACTGGATAAATTATTGAAATAGAACACTTTTTAGGTTAATACAAAAATTAATCAAAAAACACCGAATGAATTTTGGACCCTTGATGTCAAGAATAGAGAGGTGAATATTTAAAAATTAAATTATTAAGATTCAAGATAGGCTTTAAATTTGGAAAGTCTATAAAATAGTAAATGATTTGATGTACATAAATGTTCAGGATTGTGCATGGTTATAGATAAATAAATTTCTTTGTTTTTTGTGTATATTTATTGAATATTTAAAATGAATAATAATATTAGATAATAGTTAGCAGAAATGAATAAAGGAATTGATAAAAAGAGAACATCTTCATTTAACAAATAAACAATCAGTTACACACATGAGAGATGTGACACATAACAAAAGAAATTTTATTGTCCAAAGTCTAAAAAGGATGTGAAGAATATGATAAGCGATAATAAATTGAAATCTTCATATGAGAATACAACTGTGATGATGGCATAAAATGTTTCATTGAAAAATGTATTCAATGAATTGGCTCATAAATCTGCTAAGAACTATATAAAAAAACACATGAAAAAAACACCTAGCACTTCTTTACATACTCCTGCTGACTTTACCATTAGAAAAACTGAATAGTAATCATACTTAATGAAGCAATAGTAATCAGTTATACATTAACAATCCTAATAAACTTCGTATAGATCTTTGTTGTAACACAATAAGCGGAATTAATGGATTGATCTAATTAATTAAAAGAGTTCAAATTATATACAATCAGATCAAATATCGATAACTGAATACAAGTACAAATAAGCTAAATATTAGAACACAATTGGATATCATGACGACGAATAATTTAGATTGGAAATATCCATACACATGTTATAAAGAGTCTAGATGCAATGGAGAAGTGTTTCACATAGAAAATTTAGAATTTGATTGTTGGAAAGAACTTTTAATGAATCGATTAAAATAACGCTAAGCTAAATGAGTGTAAGTAGTTAATTTTGGATCAACTTATTCTGAATTATTTAAAAGAATTTTTATTCTGATATTGTGCAATATATAATATTCCCAAATCCCGGATTTAAATTAAAATTTTAAATAATTAAATGTCTGACGACGAGAATCAATTCGAACAAGGAAATGCTGGATCATCTCACACCTACACAGAAAGTGCAGGATCATTAAAGAAGGGAGGATACGTCATGCTCAAGGGACATCCTTGCAAGATTACCGATGTTTCAACATCCAAAGCAGGAAAGCATGGTCATGCTAAAGTAATTTTATCATTCACATGTTTAGGCATCCATTGTTGGAAAGGATATCTTCACAAATAAGACTTATGAAGATTCAGCCCCAACATCTCACAATATTGATGTTCCATTTGTCACTAAAAAAGAATACACTTTGATGGATATCCAAGGGGATGGCTTTGTCATTCTTATGAATGAAGATGGATCAACAAAGGAAGATCTTAAATTACCTGAAACTGAAGATGATTTCAATTTGGTCAAAGAAATTAGAGAAATGTTTGATGCTGGCAAGTAAATATTCATATTATATCCAGGGATTTGTTGATTTCTGTCCTTTCAGCTATGGGAGAAGAGAAGATTGTAGGCTCAAGAGAAGCTTAAGATAAGTGATTTACATTAAATACATTAGTAAAATATTTTATTGTAAATATATTCCATTTACCACATCTTTGAATAATCGATGCATAAGCACATTTCTACTCTATTCTAAGTTATGCTGAAATATTGAACATAAATCTTACTATTCTCGCTTTAGTAAATCTAAATCATAAATTCAACTAAATTTCTTTTTGAAACTTATCTTGTATATTTAGAAATCTCCTTAAAATAGCCTTTATTTAGAAAAAGAAACTTTTTCAAAAAATCCACGTTGTTTAAACAAAACTAAAGATCATCATTATAGTACTAATAATTGAACTACTTCATTTTTCCCTTTAAAAGTGGCTCTTTTATTATTAATTCCTTCTTATGCAACCTAATGCACAGATATCTACTGAACTTCATATTGAGTTAAATATAGAATAAACTCTGGGACACGATAATAACAAGAACTAAAATTGGAAAGTTTTGACTGTGAGATACAATTTATTCAGAACTTCAAAAATTACACAGTCCAGCTACATCATAATTATCAACAAGAATATTTTAATTATTGACTTAAATATTAGTATTATGGTTTCAAATCGTGATGGGAATCTCCAATGTTATGGGTGAAGTATTATCCTTTTAGGATCTAATTTACTAAATATTTTATTTAAAAGTATAAATTTCTATTTTTAAGTTTATTTATATAATGTTCTTGATAGAAAAAATCTATTAATTAATACAAGGATTTAATTATATGTTATCTTCAAATCAAATTTAATATGCTCTAAAAGTTCCAATCTTTTTATTTGATTTCAAAGCTACCTTTTTTTATTTTAAGGGTATCTTTATGATTTTCATAATTATTTTCTTGTACCCTGTATAAAAATTAAAACAATCAACTCACTAATTTTATGATTAGAACCTGAAAAACCTCACCTAAAATTAAATAAATGATGTCAAAGCTTTAGGGACTTATTTAATTAATCACTTGCCAATCGGAAATAGATGGATTGATTTTGAGTCTAAAGACAATTATTTGTATATTATTATTAAGAATTGTATTTCTTAAATATATACATAAAAAAGATAATCATTTTAATTTATGTTCATACCATTTCCTGAGATGTAAAGATTTTTGTTTAACTAAATGATTAAAAGTATATTTTCCAGTTTCTTTGTATTTATTTTTATAATATTTGGTACTACTTATTAATTCAAGACCTTTGAGTACATTATGAAAATTATTATGCGGCATATAATCTTAATAAATTTTGATCTAATCTATATTGATATGATGGAATTGTAGCTTGGTTTCAAAATCTTAAAGCATATCCTTGTTTTATTCCTTATATATAGACTCTTCGCCTTATATCAGAAACTTGGAAGGTGTAGTTTTCCTTTTTTCAAAATTCTCTCTAGATGGCAAAATTTAAATGAGTTTATCTGATGGGAGCATATCTTTTTCAGATATAACTGTATTTGATATTGATATCATTTAATGAGGTTTCTTAATTGACTTTTTTCTATAATTGATACGACTGTTATAATCAGGAGACATATATCTAGATTATTCATCCTCTGAGTTGATTTAGCATTCTGATTAAAACTTATTAAGAGAATCCTGAATTGTAGTTAACATTCTTCTTGTATTTATTTTATCACCTTTTCGAATATATCCCATTCTCTTTTAAGGGTCCTTCTTGATAGAATTTTTCTTTATCATACCCTCAAGATCAGGTTGATAGGTTAGTAATGGACAATTGATATTGAGATGTGTGCTCCTATTACATTGATTACAATTGAGTAATATAGAGTTATAATTTGAATATAATAGAATCTTATCCTTGATATGATTAAATCTTTCCAGGTCTTTTTTATCATCTTTTATTAATTTTAGAAAGTTAGATCTATGAATTTAAACAACTTCACTTTATGTTCTACTGAAAGCACAAGTTTTAGTTGGAAATCCTGTAAAGAATTAGTATTCTCCAAAAGTCTGTCCTTTTGTCAATGTTTATATAACTTATTGGCTTTATTCTTCACAAATATCAATAATTCCTTCCTTTACGAAATATCTCTCAATAATTAAATATATTACAAGGATTAATCATCAATTTCATATTAATGATATACATATTCCTCAGGCTGAAATAGTAATCGATTCATTTTCTATGTCAATGCTTGTTGAGTTATTTTACTAAATTGATCTGAAAATAATTTAATAGATTTCAGTATTTTTTCAGATATATTTTAGTTCAATTCAAATCTTAGGCCTTTTGGTAATTCAGAAATCGTTTTATTTATAAATTCAATCTTTTCGTAATTCATATTAGTCATTTTATGTTTCAAATAATTTCTAATTCTAATCTGTAAGGAAAGATCTACCTAATTATGATTCATGTAATTATCCAATTGCAAAATTGACCGTCTAATTTTGTATAGAATTAAATACTTACTTTTAATTCTTATTTTGCTCATATAGATTTCTTAGTATAATCCCTATTGAATTCATAGAGTAAGCAAATAAAAAACTAGAAAGTAACATCATTAAATTAACAAACAGCATCTCCCCTTAATTTTCAGGAGTAATATCTCCATACCCAACAGTTGTAATCGTCATAGTTGCCCAATAAAATGATGTATTGTATCTGATCCACACCTACTCGTGTCTTATCTATCTTTAAATTAGCCAAGTGTGTGCATTTTCCTCAGTAATAACTCCTACGTAATGAAAGAGACAGGCCATAAAATGGGCAAAGAAATAGATCGATAAAATTAGAGTTAATAAATCGGCTGCATTACTTAATGTATGTTTTAGATAGATGTTCTCCATTTTAGTATTGGTTCTCTTTAATTTTATAAGTACTATGATGTTTTGCAGGATCAGCAATATTTATTTGGATGAATTGAACTCCTTGAGGATGTTTGGATAAATACCAATCCATAACATCAACGACACAATCTCTAAAACTGCTTAGTTGTTCATGTATTACAAAATAATTTACTTTCGATCCACTATCACTTCTCCTTACTCAATGTATGCTCGATTTACGGCTAGGATGTTATCGATTATCAAATGAGCAATGAGTCCTATTATTATTTTTGGAAATGAGTATTCATCGAATGAAAAACTTAATAAAAATGGACAAATCCATAGAGCCAGGATACTTGCCAATAAGGTTATTAAATCCCACAAATACAAGAAAGGGCTTTGGGGCAGTAGAATTGCTGGCTTTAATTTAGATGAGCCATATTCTATCTATTTATATCATAATAAATACTCTACAAGAATCTAAATATTTGAGGTTAAATATATTTTTCTTACGATAAGATTTTTGTCTTCAAAGCATTAGAAAGTATATATGAATTCAAAAACAAATTTTATTTGAATTTTTATATTAATCGATTTTTTCTTACAAGTCTTGTAAAAGCCTCATTTTCATCTAATTTATGAGGTATCTTTTACTCTGACTTTATCTAATTATTCGAGGGTGTATTGATTATTCTTGTTAGTTTCTATAACCTCTACTTACTTACAAAAAAACGATTAGTTTAAATATGAGGACTTTCAATTGATCGCATTGATTCTTATGACTCCAAATGTTGTTTCTAATATTGAGTTAAATCAGGAATTTGGGTAATTTAAGGACCAAAGATCTGTTATTCTAAATTAATTTGATCTTCATTCATTTATAATTAAAGTTATATTTATATTATTGCAAATGATTGACAAAAATAACAAATTACGTAATCCTCAGAATTCAAAAATTCCCTCAATTTGTTTTCAATTTCAAATCTCTCCAAATTATGGATATTTATTAATATTTTTAATAATTCATTTCAACTCTTATCCAATTTAATAGATGGGCTGCTCTATAAGAAAAGCGAAACCAAGAAAAAGAGACGATATAGAATAAATAGAACAATTGATATAATCAGATTGCTTAGGTTTGGAGCAAAACTTTCTTCTAATAAAAAATCCAATTGTTATAAGAAGAAATTGTAGTAAAGAAAAGCAACAATTGTCAGATTCAAAGCCAATATGATTATTTCATTTATATTCTTATCATTCTGTTTACATACAATACCTATTAAACTCATAATATTAGTCCTAACTATAGCTCGAACAAAATAAATCAAATAAACTTTATCAAGAATATCTAATAACAAAATATACATTCTAACTCTTAAAAATCTTTCCCTCACTTATAAACTTCTTCATCATGCTTCTTTACATTAATATTAATCATTAATATTCCTATTTTTTTTAAATCAAAAATCTTTTTTTTGAAAACACCCATCAAATCTTGACAATAACCAATGAATGAGACCAAATAATACAAAAATCAAAATAATTATTGTCAAAATTTCAAAAGTTTGATCTGTTGATAAATAAAAATTTAACGATAACTATATAAGATTTAATAAATTATTAATTGGCTATAAGTATTTTAATATATTAAATTGATGATAATTATTCCTTTACAATTATGCATTGATGATTTTTCATGCTTGATTTGTTAAAATAAAGATATCGATCATATATTTTACTTATGATATATTTGGGATATTTTAATTAGTAAATAATTTAAAAAATAAATTATACTAAAATAATTTATGCTTAAATCGATTCTAAGAATTTCATACAAGATTGGAATAAATTCATGTACTCTTTTATAATAAATAAGAATTGCAGTAACTACCTGTTTATTCATCAGCCATTTAAGCCTTATTTTAGAATGAATATGCTCAAGCTCAAGAATATTTATTTTAATTGAAATAATAAGTAGAAAACTTACAGGACCCAAATGCATCCCAAGAAGTTTTGGATTTATTTGTCCAATTATACAAGCAAACCAAAAATTATAAAGATTTAATATCCATCTAAGAGGAACAATTTTTTACTTATTTGTCAATGAATTCTATTTATAACGAGGATAATTCAGAATCCTTAAAAGAGTTGTTTAGATCTTATATCGAATATGATCCAAAGCGAGGCCAAGCAATGCTGTCATTTTTATAAGAGAAAGTTGATGATATTATCCCACTTGGATTTTAGAAGGAATTTTACACATATGCAGGAGTAAAAATTGTGAATACCTTTAGACTTTAGAATTGCTAAATAAGAATTATGAAAATTCCTAGAAATTGTTGGTATCTGCACAGGATTCGGGAGCAAAGGGGAGTTTGGCAGGTATATGTATTTACTAATTTAAAGGAATGTGTTTGAATAATTAAGTAATTTTATCTGAACTCAATTTGGAAGGGGAAATTAAGAAGTTAAAAGGAGATTTTGATGCCTTCTGTTAATAGAATATTAAGAATCTTTTAGATGCAATCATGGCCTTTGAATTGACTACAGTAGAAGAGAATAAAAAAGAGCTTTATTATTTATATAAATTAATCGATTAAACAGAAGTAATTCTTAGATCTAAACAAGACATACATTGATAAAAAAGAAATTAATGCGATAATCAATGGAACTTAGATAGTAAATCCAAATTCTTATTCAGTAATGTTTAATTTGATAGATTTGTTAATAAATCACTAATATCCAGATGTAATATTTAATCATTAAATTCAAAAAGAAAGCCACGGCATGGATCAAAGTTGTTTTTAAGAATAAAACACAAAGTCCAAATTTAAATATAATCAATTTTGGAAGATCCCTGTTGCAATATGCCAAAATTTCAATGATTGACAATAAGGTCAATTAGGCTGAAACAGTTCTACTTGACTTCTTGAACTCATAACAACCTAGACTGTCGTTTTTATAGATGATGGGTTTAACATAATATAGCCTTTTATTAAAGACAGAGAACAGAGCGTATGAGGCAGATTGTAAATAAAATGTTAAGCATTAGAATATGAGAAGTAGGCATTGAATATTTCATCAAAGATTAGTCCAACATCATATATTAGAGAGTAAATTATATTATTATGATTATCATAACAATTATAATGTGTTAATAATATGTATAGTAGATAAAATAATACAAAATTAAAGTATCAATCCATCAAATATAATATTTAATTGATATGAACTAATATTGAGTTTAAAAAACCCATTCGGCTTTTATTTTTCTTTTGAGTTTCTTGCTTTCTTTTAACAAAGCTATGCTGATAGAAATCAGTAAGCTTAATTAAATCATATATGTAATATCCTATCAATGATTTGTAGAGCAACAAGAAATCTGAATGCTGAGGATTCCAAAGATCACACTATCCCCAAGGATATTGTCTGCCTTAAATCTTCTTGCCTTATTCATTGTAATACTCATAGGTAGAAGCAATAATCATGAATGGAGAACACTGTCCAAATTCTCCATATTTTAGTTATTATTTAAATGACTCATCATTAATCTTGAGACAATCATAGAGGTCAATTTTGAACTCTTTGAAGATCGTATTGTATCTTAGTTTTAATTCAAGAACTTCAGATTTTGTATATTAATCACCTCTCGCCAAGATTGGAATAACATTTACTAAGTTGGATAACTTTTGTAAATATTGGATGTCCTCATTAAAATAAGCTGGTCCGCTCAGAAAGTAAAGACATAAGTGAATCTATGGAATAGTGACACAATTGCTTACTCTTTCGTCATTAACTAAATTGGACATTTAAGAATATAATGTTTTGTTGAGATAAGCGTACTTATTTCTTCTAATTTATGTTTTGAACTTTAATAGGGATCTCAAAATACCTTTTAATCTATTAAATGTCTAATATCCTTAAACCAGTCTTTTTGGTTATTTTTTTAAAAACCTTTTGCATCAAAGATGTTTAAATAAACAATTTGGTTATCGTATTCGATGATGCCCATTGATTCCTACACGTTGTTAGTTTCAGATCTGTTTCCCTCATATTGTCTTGAAATTGGTTTCTAGATATTGTTTTTTAGGATTATTACTTTATTGAGTAAAGCATCAACGAAAGTGGATTTTCCTGTTCCAGATTGTCCAGCAATCAAGAGGTTTAATGTTACTTGACTCTTCTAGGGTCCACAAGAGAGTGAGAATTGGTTTTTGTCAATGTAGGATTGAGCATATGTGCTTAAAATTGATGGATCTTATAACTCCTTAATTTCAATTTTTGCACTTGGAATCCTTATTTCTTCTTATGAAGAGATAGGAAAAATAGATTTCCTTCAAGATTATTTCAAAAGTTACGTAGTATGACTGTTATCAAAGTCAATTTTTTTACAATGGCTTTGTGTAAATAAGAAACGTTATTACATCCAATTACACTGGAGATGTTAATCTTTTGTAATAGAGTTTTGTGGAATTGGAGAGGGACTTGATATTAGATCAATCATTTTTATTGAGTTTTATTTTATTTTCAAAATAACAATCACATTATAAAATTTACATAAATGGAGGAAAATCTATGATAATGAATTCGGTTTATTTTCTACATAATTACATACTAAAATATTTGATGAGATTGCAAAAAACTGATAATAAATTTAAATGAATTATTAGTAGTTGATTTAATATTAACAAAAAAATAAATGAAAAAATTGTAAGTTAATTAATAATGAATTGAGAAAACAATTTAATTTAAAATTTCTTAATTTTATTATTAAATCATCAATAATTTCTAGTTCGTTTGATTGCTGGCTATGATTTGTCAATGGATTGTTTTCTACCCCTTGTCTTTTACTTATCATTATAGATAGATGTTTTTGCATCAATTTCATAATCCATTCTATCAAATTTCTTCTTCCTCATTTTATCTGTTCCATGTAACATTGAATTTAGTTTTGGTTATCCTTTGTGTTTGAATTGTGCTGGTTTCAACTCCTGTTAAATAGAACATTTAGTTTTTCCAGTGTAAGGACAACAGAATTCTTAGTTGCATTAGGATGGTTGTGCCTATAATAAGTAATAGAAACAATGATATCTATATTTCATAGAAATTGGTAAACTCTTATGATTGGGTTTATTTATTACACACTCTAAACACAAATACTCCTCATTGTCATGATAAAAGTATAAGAATATTTCATGTTCACATTTGGAACATAATTAAACCTCTTTACAACATTCAACTAATTAAGATGACGGCGGATCTATAAGGTGCAATTTTCTATTTTCCTAATCAAAGAAATTTTAAAGTTCTAATTAAATTCTTTCAATTGTCATTTAAGATAAGGATTTTTCATGTATATATAAGTCTAACATCAGATTCTTGTATGGAATAACAGTTCTGTAATTGATTTCTTTATTCAATTTGTGTCTTTCACTCATGGCTTCAAGGGTCATATCATCCAAAGCAACTTGATTCCAAGCAGTATTAATTGTTTATCCCAAGGATTTCACCCAATGTAAACAACCAGCACCCAATATAACTACATCTCCTTTCTTTTACAAGGTGTATCGAAATGGTATTCCATTTTTCAAAAAGAATTCTGGTTCCTTAAACCACAATCCTTCATTCTTAAAAATATCAGTTTCTAATAATTCTAAGACTTTTTATCTTAATCTTTACACATTTTCATTATCCACTGTAATCCAAATACAATCTGCAGGTCCATGATTGATATTGATAGCATTTACACTAAGGTTTTCTTAATGTCCTCCCGTCCACACTCCATCTGTTTTAATATATATTTAAGGTATATTGACACCATCAATCTCCTATCTTAAGTAGCTTAATCCGTCATTATCCCCTTGAGGTCTCAAACACTTTGGTAAGAACTATTTCAAGTGGTTTATCTCCTTATCCCAACCTTGCATATTCACATTGACAGCAAACAACCGTTGATCTGCTTATAATCCTTCTTTTCTTATGAATTTTGTTGGATCATTAAGATAATCTATATAATCCATAATCTTCATTCCCTCCAATTGTTAATTTATTCGACATGGTGAAAATGAATCATATCCAGGTTGTTATACTCTGATATCAGTATATTAATTTCCATGATTTTATTTAAGAGCATCGAAATTAAAAAACACATTTATCATTTCTAAAGCTTTTGGGTCTATTGTGAGTATGCTAATTTGATGTTTTAACCAGGATAAAGACTTCTCTTCATAGATTTTTAGCATTTCACTAAAATTATAATAGTACGGTTTGCCTATGCAAGAACCATCAACCATCGATTTGTATTCATAGGCAATCACCTTGCTTTAATAAAAGGTCACCCAATCATCTTCTTTTAAATATGCAGGCAAATCTCTTTGACAATAAACCTATTTTGTAAAATTATATAAATACCTTCACAAATCCTCCATCCTTCATAACTTAATCATACACCTGTTACCCATTTGCATAGAGCAAGTTTCTCTCTTGTAAAGAGAGTGGCAGATTATCCAATAAATATTTTTGCATTCTAAAATTTATCCTTACCAAATAAATTAAATGTAATAATGATTTAAAATATTTGAAATTAATAAAATTACATACTGATCTCTTCCTTATAATAATTTACTCAAAAAATCAATTGTTTTATTTAATCCACATCATTAATAAAAATTTTTGTTTTTTGTTTGAATCATACTTCAAATAATTTTATGTTGATATATTATATCAATCAATCATGATAATTCAATTAAAATCAAATTTTGATTTATCTCATTCTTAATTTATAAAGTCCATAGTCTCTGAAAATAGAATAATTTAGAAAGGAGTATATATTATAAAGTTAAAAGAAAATAATTGTTAAATATATAAATAATTTTAAACCCTGAGTCAATAATTAAATTCAATTAAATAAAGAATATTTATCTAAATTTATATATGAGTTATTTATTTTGCTTCACTTTTCATCATTCTCTACAAAATTAAATTAAGTGCTTAAATATCCAGTAATTAGTATTTCACTAACTATAAAATTGAACTTATTCAATATCAATATTCTAATAATTCGAATCATTTGTCTTAATATTATCACTGTATTTGATTTAATATTATAATGTATAGATTTACACTAATTCATAAATTTAGAAACTTTATTAAAAATGATTATTATTCATTATACGAGTTGTCAAATATTAATATTTTTTAAAATTTGATTCAAATTAAATCATTATTCTATTTTCTTATCAATCGCATATGACAAACTCTAAATATTTAAATCCCTTAATTTATTGAATAAAGTGCATTCAGCATGCGATATAAGATAGAAAAATACGAGTTATATAAACAAATACAATATACACAAAAACTATTCACAAATACAAAGGTCATGCTTGATAATCTGAATTTAATCTAAATCTCACTTTCTTTATACCGTTCTACAATTTGAAAGTATAGTCAGATATATCTTCAAACTAATGTTTTATAGGGGAAAGACTCTTAGTTTGATTTTCTGCCGACTCATTTTGTTGTTTTTCATAAAATGCTTCCATTGAGTTCAGTGACCTGACATATGCTTCTTTACTAATCAATGTGCTAGTATGCAATAAAGTTTTAGTCCATTCCTTTGTGGTAGCTAAAGAACCAATGAAGCTTTGCTATTTCAGAGCGACATGCATTTGATTTTTTAATTTAATGTCATCTTTTGTTTTTGGGATCAAAGGAAGAAGTTCCCCATATTTTATACACAAAGCATCATTTTCCTCTCTATCAACCATTATATTACTAATTGAAGAATCCATTTAGAGATTTCAATAAATTCTGTTTTTTTAAGTGAAATATTATTTATTAAGTGGAAAACAAAACTTAAAATCTATTAATAATTTCAAAAGTGGCTTCAGTAATAATCCGTAAAACTGAAATTCAAAGGAAATAATAGTGCTCCATATCGATTTTATTATTATTATTTAGGCAACCACACACCAGGTTAGTATTTCTTGATGATTCATAATTGAGCTTAAATACTTAGGAGGCTCTTCAAGAACGTAGAATAAAGGAAAAAGTCTCAAGTTTAGGCTTTGCTGAAGCATGTTCAGCAGATATGAGGTGTATATTTAGTAAGTTTTGCTTCTCTCTACTTTATATTTATAATAAGTGTATAAAAATTAAATGGTATATGATAATTCAATTTATGTTATTTTAATGCATATTAACACATAATGTAATTCAATAAGATAATTAATGACTCTTTATAGATGTCATATTTTTAAGTTATATTAAGTTTAAAACATAGAAACTCCCTGAGATTGTTAAGAAATGGATATAATTATGTTAATAAAAATTATTCCTAAGATTTTATATCTCTAAACTAATACTATTTGATTATTTGCTAATCTAAGACAATATTACATTTAAATAATAATTATTTTAGAATGAATTGTAATAGTTTATAAGATATAAAGTAATAATACCAATTCAAATTTCAATCACTTTTCAAATTCCTCAATTAATTCAGAGACTATGTTTATTAAAGTTGTTTATTTTATTTAATATGCTTATACTAAAATTCTTATTAAAATGGCAAAATCAGTTTCATCAAAAATGCGATTTTATATTGCTAATTGTCGAACCCATTTTTTGATTGGATATTAGGGTCCTTGTAAAGTTTTAATACAAGCTTCCCAATCCACTTTAGTTTTGGTGCTTTCGGGTATAAATTTACTTAATTCGATATTAGGTGGGGGTAGAAGCTTTGTATAAAGCATCTTTTCTTAAGTTGACTTCGATTTGATATTGTTCAATTTATTTTGAAGAGAACTTATATTAGTTGGGGATGGCAATCTTCTGAAGAAGTAGGATGGTTCTTTTTTATTTCTGTCTGTCAAACATTCTTTAATGGTCTATAGCTTCTTTTTGTGTATTTCCATATGGAAATCATGTATGTAAGGTATTTTTTAATTTTCGTTCTTTTTGTCAAATTAATTTCTAAGATCCAAATTGATTTGTCTTTCTTTTATTTATTGTAAACATAATCGATGTCCCCATAATTGTGATATGATGATCTATCGACCTCCCACATTTCGAGTGTCGGGAGTGAATTGCATACGTTAATAAATATTATTAATAAATAATGTCTAATTTTTTATTCATAATTATATTGTCATAATAATCTCAATTATATTCATGATTTGTACATTAATAAGGTCTTTTCGATTAGCTAATAGATTCTTTAGCCGAAATCGGAGGATCTTATTGCTGTGATCAGATATTAATCTTATCTCAAAATGTCTATCAAAGGTTACAAAATATTGTGATTTGACATAATGATCATTTTCTTCATAACGTAGTTTCCAAATGGATTGATCGATAAATTCACAAAAATGGTTCTAATGAATAAATAATTAATAGTACTATCTGTTGATTTAGGACTTAGAAATGAGTATAGACATGATCTGCTATTTGACTTCATTTGTAGAGGCCTCCACAACCTTTTCAACTGTATTGCTAGCATATTTGTTCATACACAATTTCTCAAAGTTTGAGAGTACAAAGTTGACAACAAACTGTTAATACTGAGTGTTCTTAATGGCAAATTGTAAGATGTGATTTCCGAATTCTTATTAAGACAAATTGTATTGGTGTTACAAACAAGTGGTCATGATCTTATCAGTTTGAGTGGGAGAAAACAATTCAAGAGCCTTCAACAATATCTTGCATCCATATTAAGATGAACATAAGTATAAGGTTGAGTCTTCGATTGGTTATAAGAAAAACTCGATCTTTTCTTTCTGCAATACTTCCAAGCATTTGAGAATCACATAGTTACCACTTGAGTCGTAAAGTAGAGATTTCACTTAGAGTTTGATTGAGTCAATCAATTGGTCTTGTAGAGACTCGTTGTTGTAAATGATTTCAATAATCTTCTGAATAACTCTACATCCAAAATTATTCTTCGACAATTCATAAGCATGAGGTCTTATCTTATTAAATAATCTCAACTATTGAATTGGAGTTCCTATTGGATAATAGACTATAAATCAATACCTTTTTCGAATATCTTCTAAATCACATAATTTCCAAACACATCTTTTGAAAATTGAACACACGATCTCTCGAGCTTATTAAAAATCAATTCTCTTTGATCTGGTTTCCCATGCTCAATTATCTTCTGAACCTTGCGTGACAACAATTAGTTACCACACATATTGTCCTAATTAAATAAACATGAAATCATACTATGTCATTGGTCAATTGCATATCATCATTTATCTCATGCAAGGGCTGTCTTTCTTATTAATATCCAGTAAAACCTAATCCATTCAATGGTTAAGAATAATTAAATCCAGGCTAATAAATTCCATGAGGCCTCAACACTCCTGGAGAATAGGGGACTTAATAATCAACCATTCGATTATGAGGTTTATTCAAGTATCCAAAGTGTTCATTTCCAATTTTTCTGCAATTGATCGAACTTTCCTATGTGGAAAACGAGGGACCATCAAAACTTATTGAGACACTCTATCTATCATCTTATCTCGAAAATTTGAAATGATTCGGTGGATACTGTGGATATACAGCCTTATTCGACATCGGACTCTGGGCCTAATCGGATCCCAAAGACATATGTTCGAACGATCTGTTGAAACTATCGAAATATTGTTTTTCTGAAGTAGAAGCCTACATTATATGAATTCAACACTTACATTCTCAATAATGCTATCACTTTCGAACCCTTAATTGCATAAAGGACTGTTGTTATTAGAAAAAACTTCTTCATAATCATCATCTAAGTTAATCAAAATAAAACTACTTCTTAGAATAGATCCTAATAAATCATCCTCTGCTTCATATTCTTTTGCTGACATATTTAATTGTATGATATAAATATTACTAAAATTTTATGAAATTCAAGAAAAATATAAATACACTAATTTCAGAATTTAATTATTCATCTCTAATACACAATTATTAATTTGAGCCTCTTTCGCAATATTATCCATTCACACTCTAATTCACAACACTCAATCTCCAATCAAATACAACACAACTTAATTCCATCCTCTAAGGAAATATCAACAGTTGCAGATAATCGAAACTCCAAGTGACCATATTTATATAATACCAAAACCAATGAGTTTATTGTGCATTCAAACTAGATCAGATAAGATTGAGAACTTGGCTGAGATATTTAAATGTTGATTGTATATAAACTAAATAGGAATAAAAAAAATTAATTGTTTTTATTATGTAACCATATTTCTTCCAGGGTGACCAATCGTTTGCATATCAACTAGATTCAGATATCTAAAGTAAAGAATTTAGACATTTCTCAAGAATACATCCCATATTAGAATCATAATGAATTCGCTTATCTTTCCTAGTTCTCTTATCCTCCCTCATTCCCAGGATACTCTATTGATTGCTTTCCTGATAATGAAGTCATACATCACCACAAATACAAAAAAGGCAAGAAGACCAAGTAAACCTTCAATCACTATACCAAGAAATACTGATTCTCAAGGATTACTTCCAAAAACCCTTGAGTTCGCAAAACAACAAATCGAAGAGTCTGCCCCTCCTTCTCTAATTTAAAAAGATCAAATGTACTTCATTCCACTACTTATACATAGTCCCAAATAAATCACTCCTTACTCTATTTTCCATTGTCTACAAGGAGCTCCTATCCCTAAATTACAATCTGACATCATTTCAAATTAGGAAGCACAAGGGTCATAGGAAGGCTCCCAGCAAACCTAAAAGCAAAAGGGGCAACATCAATTGACTAAGAAACCAAAAAAAGAAAACATTAACACTGGACACTGGTCCACAGAAGAGCATACAACTTACATAGGCTTTCTTCAATAGTATGAAAGTATTATGACTTCTTCTATGATGAAAAAAACCTCGAAAATATTCAAATAAATGAGCGAACTTATTGGAACGAGAACTCCTAGCCAATGCAGAAGCCATCATCAAAAATTTAATCCCTATGCTTTGAGGGGTGAAAATGGAAAGCGCTTGCCTCGGAGTGAAAGAAGCAGAGCTGGAAGAAAGAAGAAGAATCCCTCCTGTGATATTCCAAAGGCAGGTAAGACCAATCCATTAATATCATAGAGGAAGTCAATCTTCAATAGCATCATTTTGATTAAGAATAATTAATGATGATGTATGATAAACAATTACTGCATCCTATACCTTATGAATAATGGAACCCATATTATGAAATGCACCAACCTATCAAAAAAGAAGAAGATTAAGATCAAGAAAATAGTTAATAAATTCAATTACAAATACATAATTAGTAAGATTACGAGGAATTCGTTAGACTCAATTATCAGAAGCATTAGATGAATATTGATTACATAGAATGCCATAATTCTATTGTCAATGAATATTGAGAGAACTATGATTACCAAAATTGTTATCTATATATATATTTATTAATTTAATTGATTTGTAAATTAATACTAAATTATTTAAGTTTGAAATTGTTGATTTATGAAGGAAAAAACAATATCAAACATACCAAAATTTAAAAAGAAATTACTGGTGCAAATCATGGAGTTTTCTCTTTAATTTAGAATCTTATATGAAGATCATATCATCAAAATACCTCCCCTTTTATTTTCAATTACTATAATTATGTCATACCTATAAGAGATTAGTTTTCTCTTTGAAAATTATTACATCACTGATAATGGATCGTTTAGTTTCATGAAATGCCTCATCCTCGTGGCTGAATTCACTCGACCTTATAAAATTCTAGATGAGAACTTTTATCGATATTCCTATTTTATACCCCTAGCAATTAATCTAATTTATTATTCCTTGGTGCTTAAACTATTTATAAATCACAAATATGGGAAATCCAAGTACCAAAAACTACTAGAGACATTTTATTAATAAAATAGATTTTTTATTATTTTAATGACAATATTGACTTTTATATAAGCTTTTCACTTTCACCTTGTCTTTGCTAATTTGATTGAACTTAGTGTGGCTTCTATTTCACATAATTCATAATTGAATGATGTCAATGTAGGAAATCTTATTTTTGCCATAATCACATTGATAATTGTAATCCTGAATATGATTGCCTAAATGATATGCAATCTTGAGTTCAATTAAATAACTCAACAAAACTTCGGTGTATTGCAATAAAGTTTCAGCTTGTATTGGTAATAGATGTCAATATTGCTAGTGATTTTAATAAATTAATTAAATGCAGATCATACAATTAAGTTTTATTTAATATTTACTTTGTTAGCTTTAAAACTGATTTTTTGTGTTTAGTCATAATTATTGTATTTCATTTCATTGTTTTATAAAACATATGTTGAATTAATTGGCCTAACCGCACAATTAACCATTTTGATAATTTTATTAATTTTGTAAATTCAAGAAAATGATTTCGATCGCAAAGATTCCCTATTATTTATAGTCTCATATCCATTACTAATTCATATTGTCTTGAATTCATTTCAAGAATTTCACGAGAAGATTTTATTAAATAGAAAAAATACATTAAATGCTTATTAATAACAATACAAAATAGCTGAAATATTCTTAAAATTCGGAGTAGTCTACAATTCTCACATAGAGAATAAGCAAAATATGGCATTCATATATAATTTTTAATTGATTCACAAAGAATCTTGCTAATCTAACCTATGTTATTGTTAAACTAGTAATTTGAATTTTGAATAAATTATCACAATATTTTTGAAGGAATAAATTCAATTATTTGGAGAAGTGATTAATGAAATAAAAGATAAGACAATTCGTCAAAGCATGTTTTTACGTTATTTATCCTTCATCAGTTATCTGGGTTTCAGCACGAAAGCTTTTTAATAATCAAATGTTTAGGTCATTCATGAAAGTGAAATTAAGTATTATATTTACTACTCTTTAGTTCAAAATCAAATATATATAACAATTAAAGAAGTGAAAGCAATAAGGTCGAGTCCAGCCATAGTTTAGATTAGAAAAGCCATTCGCAATAAAGATAAAGGAATGAATTAGAGCATGATGAATTTACGAGGGTAAAAATTATGAATTTAAGCTTCATCAATTAAATCAAGCTCAGGATGCTCCAGGATTCTATAAAAAAGTCAATGAGCAATGGTTTGAGGAAATAAAGTATAATGCAGGAGAACCTTGAACACGCAGTAAATTTATTTTTAATGTCAGAAACAGCAAACAAAAGATTGAAGGAAAAGATAATCACAAGTTTAAATAGAAAGAGATAATATTTTAATAATATCTTATTAAATACTGGATCTGGATCTATATTTTCAAATTCTAAAAATTTGCTAATTAAATTTAAGAAAATTGAAAATGAACTACTAAAATTATACGATTAATTTCCAAGCAGAAAAATGTAAGCTTTGAATACATTTTTGTAAGCAGAATTAATGAACAATTATTTTTCAGCTTATAAATTGACAACAGTTGCATCTATTTCAGATGAAAAATTACTGAAGATGTAGTCATAAATATCGATCGATTTATTTTCTAGCAAGTTAGATTACATTATCTTTGGCTTTGATAAAAAATCTCATTATTTATAAATGTAATCTACCTCAAATTTAATTCATTAATTTTTTGGATACACTCAAGAGTAATTTAAGTAAATGAACTTCATTGAGGCTATTTTGCCCTAAGGATTTGATTTGATTCATTAGAAATTAATCTAAAATTTCTTGTAGAGTGGAGAATCTAAATTTTATAAATAAATAAACTTAAGTTTTTGTAGAACTACCCATAAGTGCATAAAACCAATTGATTTCTTTTTTGATATAAATTTATCAAATTTTGAGGATCTGACATTTGTTACATTCCTTTAAGATACTTAAGTATCACCTGCTTATATTTTATGTTGTGAGAATTATAAAATATAATGTATGACTAAAAATATAGGCTAAAGATTAGGTTATGAATAACAATACCATTAGAACTTAATTGATCTGTTATTTAAATAATAAATCAACAAAGTATTTCCAAGATTTCATAATATTTATGAATCATTCTTGTCAAAAACTTCAATTCTTCAAAAAGATGTGTAGGATTAAAATAATTTTGATGATAAGTAAACTAATTATGATTAAAGTGATGCTTAAATTTAAATGATTGTTCCAAACCCCAATATATTTGAAAAGAAATAAAATATAAATTGGGATTAAAATGAACATACTAGTTAATTAACAGCAGATGTCGTCTTCCATTTAAGAAATGTCAAATAGGAATTGTTTTCCTACCTTATTGTAGAAATAAGAGATGTTAAGAAATATCTCTAAACAGAATTCTCAACACCTTTTTAAACTGAAATACCCATAAGTACGAATAATAACTTAGAGTATCTTGCTTAATTAACTGACATGGATAATAATTTTGAAATAATCGAAGATTAAGAAAGTTTTTGTCTGAATCCTCCTAAGGCTCTAGAACTATTAGAGAATTACGAAAAAGAGGTAAATCATTTTGGATAGAGATTAAGAATTAGTTAAAATATCAATAATTCTAATTCTCAACATATTTATCCGAATATTTCAATAGCTTTAGCAAGTCCAAAAGACAGTGCCTCAAGGTTAATTGAGGAAAAGCAGGATGTGTCTTTATAATAGATGAATAATACCATTTCCAAAAAAAAAGACAAAAATCGATAACAATACTTTTCAGCTTTAGATTAAAGGGAAGATTAAGAGTCTAGTAATTTTATTAATAGCATCATTTAAAATAAGCAAGCCGATCAAAACTAAGATTAATAATTAGATTAAATTGATAAGGATTTACAAGAAAACATTAAATAATAAATGCAGATTTAAAACTTCGTAAATGATCCAAGCCTAAATTAAATAAATGGAGATGGCTCTGAAACAAGTTCATTAGCAGGAATTAAGAAATCCAGATTTTCCAAGAGATATGACTTAATTTAAAAACTCACAAATTCCTAAAAGTTTTCTCATAATTTCCTCAATATGAAATATATGCTAACTTTAATGTTTCTTAATTTCCTAGTGTTTGGATCAATCGAAATGTTTTATGCTAATTCAGACCTACCTTAATTTTTAAAAGAAATCGATCTGCTTTAAATAAAAGCCAACATAGTTGGACCAATTGACAATTATATTGTTGGCTAAAATGCTGTAACAAACTATGCTGCTTTGTTTTAAAGAAATTATTTGACAAAAGAATTAGCCTTTTAAGAAGCCATCTATGCAAATAATGAAATTAATTATACATTTTATGAATTAAAGACTAGTTTTGAGAACTAACTCTAGAATCCGTATCTTGACCCTTTTTTTGAAGATAGATATGTCATTATCTAGATGGCTGATTATCCTAAAACAATAGAGTATAATATTAGGTTGAGAGAAGCAATTCAATTAGAGCTGGAGGCTTCATTAAATTTTATTAAGACTGACTTTTTATTTAATGATAAAATCGATTATACCTAAGGGTTTTTTACTTATTTATACAAGAATTTTATTCCATTGAGAGAGTTGTGTCAATAGTTAAATGAAGAAATGTTAGATTATTCTACAAATAGGGCTACTTAAGTTTCTAAGAATTGGTATTAATTATTAATCCCGATTGTAATTATAGGCGGAGTGCTTCTAATTGTGTGTATATTGTTTTACAAATATTACCTATAGCAATATGATGAATTTTTGGAATTGTTCTCATATTTAGATACTGTTTGGTTGTAAAGGGATGTAGATAGATATAGAGGTTATGCAAGTTTGTTGATGAAGGATTCGGATGTGTTATTTAAATATTAATTCGATCTTGATGCAAAGGAAGTCTTTTTGATTAATGAGGAGACAAAAAAGGATAGGATTGCTTAAAACTAAGCATTTTAGAGAGATAAATCAAATTAGCAAGGAGTAGTAGTATTACAATAAAAGATGTAATAATTGCCTTCAATTTTTTCATTTGCTACGATATATGGGATTTGCTTTGTGTTTTGCTTTATATCTAATTCATTAGCCTAAAATTTCTATACTAAATATCCTGAATCGACCAGATTTTTTAATTTGTTATCAGATCTAAGTATGGCCAGCAGCGGAGTATTTTCAATGAGGGAAATCAGTTATACTATTTAGGCAGAGGAAACATAAATTTATTTCTTTTCAGATAAAAATGCCACAGATTTCATTAACCTATTTATGACGCATATCAAAATAATTGACACTTTTTTATAGGTGTTTCAAAACTTTGATTCTTCACAATATATAACATCTGATTAATTCGTCACTGACTTCTATAATTTAATGGTTAAAGACATTTGTATTTTTTTGCCAGATGTATAAATTATCTAATATTTAGTATAAGCAAGAGACTGCTCAATAACATTGTGATTCTTCTTTAGATGGAGTGATGCGTAGAGGCATGATAGAGACCTTAAATAAGGTGAGAAATAATGTTATGAATGAATATGAGTCAACGAATTAATTTAAAATTGAAGTCATAGATTTACAATCTGACTTAGAAATAGGATTAATTGCTTATGATGATTTGAATAGTTTGAGAGATTAGTTTTAATAATAATTGACTGATACTACAAATTAATTAATTTCATAGTTGTTTGTAAATATTCATTTTTATAGAAAAGTTTATAAATATTTCATTTATTGTGATTCTTTTGACTAGCATATTGGCATTGTTAACACTTGTAGAGAAATACTTTAGGTGGGAGTTTAATATAGTAAAGAATTTTGTAATCTTGCTTCCACAAACTTCATTATTTTTAGATGTGCAATTAGATAGAAATCTAAGATAGATGGTAGTCCAAGATGATTTAATATGATTTATTTTTCATTCTTAAAAAAAAGTTTCATTAAACTTTTTATTATATTCTATCATGCAATTATAGATTGAATTTTATATTTTCTTTTGAATACTTCTTCATTAGTATAAATATACATTATAATAGAGTCATTATTTTTAAAATTTACTATAATCATTTGGAAATTATTAAAATAAATCCTTTTATAATTGCAATATGATGTTCTTGTTCATTTTATGTACATATGATCACACACTCATATAATAGTCTATAAGATAGGCTTTCTGTCTGTGATAAAGTATAAATGAATATTGTTGGTATTTACCTTTTCTTTCTGGATAATTTAAATTTATCTTGTTATTATTGGATCTATAAATCGTATTATATTTAGTTATAAAGCACAACTTTGCGTTTTAAAGATTAAAAATTTCTTAATACAATAATTTCATTAATTAATAAAAAAATGTAAAGCAGAATCAGAATAATATCTTAGAACAATCAAACCAATGATGAAACAATTTCTTATAATGAATAAAATGATTTTAGTGTTGTATGTTTGGGCAAAGCTTCATAAGAGTAAATGCAGGGGGAAAAATATATAGAACCAGAAAATGATTTTCGGCAATTTACTGATTATCAGAACTCTTCTAAGTCTTGGAAAGATGATAAATTTCAACAATAGTAGATTTTGAATCAACCTTAAGCTTAAGATGGTTCTATGCAATTTAAGCAAATATAAGTAGATAATCAAAGCAATTAAAATTCTGGAGCAATACTTATGGAGACGAGTTACAATCAATATTCAGATAAACTTCCTGATTATATCTCTCATTATGATTGTCAAATATCCAATACTCAATCCTAATAATTAGACTAAATGAATCCTTAATATGGAGATTATGGAGCTGTTGAAAACGTACTTGTTTAAAATTACACTTTTGATGAAGAGACTAATCAACTCCAAGAATTAGATATTTTTTAAAGATATTACAACAATGAAAAATGTTCCTATTTGCTACCAATTACTTAAATTTAAGCAATTTAATTGGAAGAAGATGGGGTAAAGTATTATTCTATCTAGATGATTGACTATAGCCAAAATAATTTATGGGATTCAGATGAAGATATAATTGAAAATAATTCATAGGAAATTATCAACCAAGAGAATGTAAAAATCAAAAAGAAAAAAACTAAAAGGGGAAATCGAAAAAATAAGAATAAGAAAAAAAACGAGGCCCAATAAGAACACCAAAAACAAAATGAGTAAGAGAGTGAAGAGGAGTAAGTTGATCCAGAAAGTACCAATCAATTTGATAATGGAAATATTGAATAACTTGATGATGCTGTAAGTGAGGAATTTAGAATTAACATTACAAGTTTTTTGGAACAAATTGAAAAGTCTAAAATAAGTTTAACTTAAACTATGTATGGGAATAAGGACAAGTCTATTAAAATAATTGAAATCAATAATTACTAAAATCAAATTTAAAGGTTGTGCAATCAATTTTCTTATCTTAAATACTCTCAAATTGCATTGTCATTATTGTTGATAGTCGACTTTTAAAATTGTGAAAAGTTTCTATAAAGTGTGAAACCTAAAGAAGAAAAACTTATCATAAGAGAAATCAATCAATTAATTGAAGAAGAATAAAAAGCTAGAGAGAGCTAAGACAAAGCTGAATTAACTAAAACAAATATCAAAATAGAGGAATTTAAAAAGGTTAACAAAATTCAAAATGTTGAAGGACAATCATTATATTAAACAGCCATCAAAATCATCGATATACAGAACTTAAAATTCGATATTAAAAAAGTATTATTCCAATATATGATAGTGTGATTAACAAACTAAATAACAAAAAAAAGCTGATTTCGAATAAAATCGTGATCGAGTTATTGCCATCTATGATCAAAAGGCTAAAGTAATAAAACAATATTAAAGTAATACTTTTTTTATTGATTTTTAAAGCTTGCCATATTAATGAATTGTAATGTAATTAGCAATTGTAATAAATAACAGTGGAGAAGAGAAAATTAGAGAAAATAGGTAAGCAGTTGTTCCTTGATTTAATGGTAATTGAAAACGGGTTTTGCAGAATTGATTTTCATAAGTTTTTTTCGGCTGAAATTGAAAATCTACTTGATGGAGTGTTTGAGAAAATCGAATCGTACAAACTCTACAACAAATAACAAAAACTAAAATTATAAATAATAGTCGGCAAAGGTTTAAGATATATTTAAGCTTTTAGGTTTACATTCTAAAAATTAATAACCAATCATAGGTCCAATTACATAATAGTATTTATAACAGTATCTTGGACAATAGATCGAAATTATTGAAGGGAAAATAGATGTAATAATTTGAATCTTATTTCTTTATAAAATATGTTATATTGATCAGTATTTAAAGGAAAATAATAGTGCGTCGATGTAAACTAAGGTTTTAAATAAAATAATTTTGTTAACAATTAATTATAAATTATGATTGCACTTTTTTTAGGCCTTCATTTTACTTTATTGCGCTTCCTATTTCATTGGACTCTTTACGCAATCTATTTTACCCTTTGTTCTATTTTCGAATTGAAATTATCAATATTAGAGTACCTTATTCCTATTATTTTTGAAGTAATTTATTTAAGTGTTTGTACAACATTATCACTAAAATGGTATTTAATTTCATAATTGTTCAACCTCCTTTGGTATTTGATATCAATCCCCTTTATGATAATTTCGCATATATATACATTTTTGGAATCTCTGATACCCTAGTAAAGTGCAACACCTTAATTAACACCTTGGTAGTATGCAATCGCTTTTTTCATTGTGCTTGTCATTGTAATGTATTAGAAATACTAATTTGAAAACAGAGACTCGAATGAAAATGAAAATACCCCATACTATCAATGGAAATAAGCAAATTATAGGTACTAATTTAACAACTTCTTAAATTACTATTTTGCTTAGTAGAGAAATTAATCATATAAAACCACAAGATCTTATTCTTCAAAATAACCTCGAAGTTATTCTCAAAATATTCGTTAATAATCTCAAAAAATAAATAGATCAATTTAAGAAGAGGAAAGGAAAAAGAAATTAACTTTAGAACTAAATGAAAATAGAGAAACGATGGTACTCTTATAGGAAAAAAAGGCGAATCTCTACTAGTTAAAAAAGAACAAAGAAATAAATAAAGCAGAATTTAAGTATGCTCTGGAAGTATATGTTTAAAGAATAGAGTTCCTGTAAGAATCAGGCAAAGAACTATTTCTGAAACTTATAAATCCTTAGGATGGTTTATGTCGAGTGGATTTTCATAATTTTTATAAAGCGGAAATAAAAGGTTTGTTGGATGGACTAATAGAGAAAATTCGAGTGTATAAATACGAGGAGGATTTACGATAAGTCAAACTGAAAATAATTGTGGGGAAAGGTATAGTAGTTGTTATAGAATTTAGGGAATCATTCAAAGAATGGCATTCCTGTGATAGGACCGTTGACTTAAGACTATTTAAAAGAGTACTTATACGAGGATGTGGAAATAAGGAATGGGGTTATAGAGGTATAAGTTTGAAAAAAATAAATTTATAATTAATTATTAATTATTAATATAATATAAATGTGCATACCTTTTTAATCGATTCCACCACCTACTGAAGGAACAAAAAAAGCAGTTTAGATGTTATAAATTTTAGGCGTAAGTTAATTTGTGGTTGGCTTGATTAAATTGTTCGTCTTGCAATAAATGGCAGGATTTTATGATTTCTTTACTATATTCATACTGTATATGGCATGGGCATAATTGAATTATTGCAATTGTGTGATTGCTGTGTTTTACTTCTTATAAAATGTATTTAAATTCTATTTATCTAGTTATTGATGATTTTTATATTTTTTGGTATGAATGTTGAATTGAGCATTTCATTCTTTTAACCAACAAGAATAGGAGTAACATATTTTATCCTCTTTTTCTATTACATTGGTGCTTGTTACGTTGCATTTTTGGCATACAGAGAATTCAAAATCTTACAATACGATTAGATGGGAGGGTTGATCCAAACAGATCAATAGAATGATTGGGCATAGAATAATAATCAATAATAGTAATAATACTAATAGCAACCATACTACAATTAAGCTACAGCTCAACCTTAACAATAAGCATAGAGAGGATAGTTTCAAGCCTTTACAGGGAGAGGAGTCCAAATAGGTTGAAACATATAGTTGCAATACATAAATAGCTATATATATATATACATATTAATTATTCTCATTTACAGGTGAGATGGACAAAATTGTATTCATTTTGGGTTTATTCTTATTCTTGTTCGTCAGTCCTCAATCTTGACGTGGTCGAATTGAAGAAATAGCTATTTTAGTATTGTTTTTTAATCAAGAATTTCTTTTTGCTTTGCTATTACAATTGCATCTCTAACTGTGTTTTGATGAATTTTTGTTTTCTGGTTGTAGAGATTTCAGTATCAATCCTGGGAAATGGTTTTGTTGGTTTTGGTTTTTCACTAGTTCCAATCTCCAAAAAGTCAAGATTGATGTTTTTTTCGATTTCCTTTTTGGCCTCAGTCAGATCATTAAAGTTTTTTTCATAAGACAAGAGTTGCTTCATGAAGTTTTTGTTCTTCTGTTCTGAAAGTTGAATCCATTATTATTTAATTTAAGGTATTTTATCGAGAATAGCTTCGAAATGTTCTACTTTTAATTAATATAATTCTGATTGATCAGTATTAGAATAAACCGAATGAGTTCTTGTGATTTGATTTTACATTAGCAATTCCATTTCTCCAAACATTTGACCACTTGTAATATATTTTATAGTTACAAGTTTCTTCATCTGCTTATAATAATTATTTCCAAATTTTCTCCTTTGATACTTTGCTTCAAATATCTCTGATAGTGTTTTCTATTTATGATTCATTCCTAACAATATCTTCTCGAAATCTCCCATGAACATCTCATTCAAATCTATTGTGGATGTTAATACTGTCTTCACTATTTTAAATTCACCCTTCTTTATAATATACACATATTCCAATGAACCTCCTTCCTTATACACACAGGCATTCATGGAATACTTCTTTATAAAAGCTTTGTCATAGAATGCCTTGATGTCTTGAAATTTCCAATTGTGAAACAAATCCAAATTAGCGAATTCCTCAAAATATGTCTTTTTCATCAAATGCTTAACATTATTTAAAATTGTTAAATAGCTTTCCCTCTCCAAATAAGCCAAATGACAATTTTCAAGAGTTCTACAAGATGCTGTTCTTGTGGCTTCAACATCCATTCCTCTCTCTCCAAAAGTATCACCATTCGATAGTTGTTTTATTTCATGATCATATATTGATGCTTAAAGATCATTTGGGTTAAAGTCCTTCAAAACCTACACTCTCCCACTTATTATGATATAAAATTTGTCTCCAATATCACCTTCCTTAAATACGAAATGCCCCGCTGGCAAATACTTATATTTCAATGATTTGCAACATTATTCATGCAATAAATCAGACTCTAAGTTATTGAAAAACTCGATTGATCTAGTTGCAGACCTCAACATAAAGACATCCGTTGATGTTCTCACCTCGCAAGGCTTTTATAAAACATAAACCATGACATCAATCAGATCTTTGTTGCTCAATTTTAATATGATTCTTACTTTGACCCTGTTAAACTTTATCTAATATCAAACTTTTATAGAACCGTCGAAGCCCTTCTTACTTAATCTGCGTTAAATATTAATCTTCTCATATTATATAATCTATTGTTACTATTTTTAATATTATTTCAAAAAAAATACCAAAGACTAATTTGTAGATTACTCAAAATCTATAAACTCTATCTTGATTTCATCTCCAACATTTATCACATTATGATTTAAAATAATTTAACCAAATTACTATGATAAAAATGCTCCTTTTTTAAACAATTATACTTTTATCAATAATTTCATAACATAATTGCAATGAATACAATATTTTATGTAAATTATAAATTTAATTCTGAAAATTACAATGAATTCTAAAAAACTTAATAAGATTAAATCATTTTATTTTATTTAAAATTACAGCATTCGTTGGACTGAGTTAATGGTTAAAATGTATCTCCCATGAGACTTCCACATTGGTATTTCTTGTTATTTAATACTATTTCAAGATTTAACCTAATATGATCTTAACTTCCAACAAAGCCATTTATGATCCAATGCAATTTCTAGGACCTGCAGAGAAAGGTATATAAATAAAATTATTATCATCTTTGATTGGGCTATCCTACAACCATCTTGTGTAATCAAATTGTCCAGCATTTTCAAAATGTTTTTCTGATTAATTTTATAAGAAGTAATCAATGCACACTAGCCATCCTTACCTAATAGATTTATATTTATTACCCTTCTTAATTTATAAATCCTTTATCTTATGATCTTGGGTTGCCACCCTAATTATAGGTCTCATAGCTGGGTTTTTTAATCTCAATACCTCGCTGATAAATGCTGACAGTCTCTTTAAATTATTAATTTCATTTTCATTAATAAAAGATGAAGGGCAACATCGATTTACTTCTCCTCTTATTTCATCTTAAGCCTATGGATAAGAAGCCAAAAAATATAGACAATGATGTAATAGTACTGCTGTTGTGTCAGTCCCAGCAAACTACAATGTGATGAATTCTTGAATAATCTAATCAAATGTGGCCTCTTGTTATTATTTATTTGTTATTTTAAGATACTCATTCACCAAGATATTTAAAAAGTTTTCATTAATAGTATTATTCTTTGAATTATTTGAATCTTCAAAATACTTTATTCTTTATTATACTAAATCTCCAACTATTGATCTCATGTCTTTCACTCTTTGCAATAATCTCTTTTCTTCTTTAGTTGGAAAAATCTTCCAAGCCTTTGTACCAAAAATGAGTCTTTTTGTAGATTAAATTTAAGATTTAAATCTCATATATGCCATTTCATTCATAATATTAGCAATTTCTACTTGTAATTCTGTGTTGTTGATGTATATTTGATCTGTTTGTATCCCAAAAAAGCTTTTAATTACTATTAGACCAGTGATAGACTGCAAGGACGATAAAACATTTTCATTTGAAAATTTCTCTATTTTACTTTAAGTAATCTCATTTATCATAGGTACTTTTTTCTTTAAAGCATCAAATTCAAAAGAACTTGATAATAGTTTTCGTTATTTTTTCCATTATTCACCTTTTGACCACACAAGTCCTTTAGATAATAAATCACTAAAATCTCATGAAATGATATACTTATGACACACAGGATCCACTTTTTAATATAAATCATGATTTATAAGAGCCTCTTTTTGATATAAAGGATCGGCAATAGAAATTCTTATAATCCAAAGCATATTGGTCACAAAAAATTTGTATTGATATTTATTGTATGCTGTTTTCTACTTATTGAATATATCTCTGGGGTTTTTGTTTTCCTTTGTTTCTTTTAGTTGATCAAATATTTCCTTTCCAAAAACAGTGAAACAAATCTTACATTCCTTTCCGAATTGAAATTTTAACTTGATCATCTCTGTCAATGGTTTCATAACAAATAGATATAGGATCAAACCCAAAACTGCATATAAAACATAAATTATCATTATTAATACCACAAAAATGAAAAAAATAGGCAAATAAAAATTAATACTTCAGAATTGTAGAAATGATATAAGTTTTATTAATTTACTTTTTAGAATAATAATCTCTTTAATTTGTATTCAAAAATATTCTAATAAGACAAATGTTGGTTGAAAAATAATAATAAATATTTGAATGCTTAATCAATAGATGGTTTTCTGAGAAATGTAAGATTAAATTTCTTAAATTTTACATTTTTTAATCAAATTGCTTTTATTAAGATTTAATATGAGTTAAACTATAGAAAAGTGTTTAAATTAAATAAACTTATATTCTGTAATTAAAACACAAAATAACATAATTGAATTATTGGTGTTTTTTATTTAATACAACAAATATTATCAACAAATGTGAATATATATAAAGTTCAAAAGAATTATTCAATGGAATAGCTAAATTAATAATAGCCTTCAATTAAGTATAATGTTAAGGATCAAAATGTATATTTTAAGAATCAATTTATTTAGACAACTCAAAGTGTTTTCGATTATTAAATTGACTGAAGAGCATTTTCAAACACTTCATACTTTTAATTTATCTGATTTATGCGGTTATTTTCTTATTATTATTTTTTTATCATTTTTTAATATTTATCGATTTCTTTTTTATTTTTTTCAACTTATAAACGATTAGGACCATATTTTGATAGTAATCTAGATTATAATTCCTTTTTTAAATAGTCTATTTGGGATTACTATTAAGCAATTCGCTATTTGTAATAATCAAATTATTTTTGCTATTCTATTTTTTATGCTAATTTTTATTCAAATTCTTTGATCATATCATCAACCACATTTGATTCAGTTTAATGAAATATCAGAAGAGCAGAAGTCTTTTAATTCTCTAAATTGCCATCAATTGTTTGTGTTTCTTAATCAATTGTAGTTATTTGCTTTTTTTAAGGCTCAGGTTTGTTTTATTGAGGAAATATTAATTCTAAGAATTTCTAATTATTCTCATTCAATTTATCAAGAAAATTTTGCAATGAGGTCTATAATTCTTGCATTATCTTAATTATATTAATGATATAAAATTAATTTTTAACTTGAGCATTACTTCCTAAAGTTTAGTAAGTTTATGAAATCAGAGGTTTTTCAATTATGATTTTGAGTTAACTTTATTTTGTTGCAGATTCTTAATATTATTTTTAAATAGTTTTAAAAGGGAAATGGCAAATAGAAAAAAGAAGGCAAAAGAAAATGAGAACTAATCTTTTTAAGTGGACAACGTTGAATAAATGCCGAGTTTTATGCATTCTTTGTTTAATTCAGATGAGAAAAGCATAATCGCAGAAAAATCAAAGGAGGAAAGCAAAAAATCAGAAAGAAAGAGAGATGAAAGAATTTCTGGAATTCAAGTATAAAAAGCAAGGGACAAACTATAAAAGAGAAATAAACCAATGTCCAAAGTATTATAGGAGATTAGATAACTTTAAACTTCAGGAGTATTAGTTTGCCGCCGAGCAGGATTTTAAAGGTTTGTAAGGTAGGCAGGGATCAAGGTATCAGATGAACTTGGGTTTAAAGAATTTAGATATTCTAGTAAATCCTTAGAATGCCTATAAACATTAACTGAACAATATATGGTGGATTTATTCGAGGATTCAGTGTAGTGTACCTTTCATGCTAAAAGGGTGACCTTGATGGCAAAAGACTTAAATTTAACAGCGAGAATACGAGGAATAGAGTAGCCGCTTCAAGAAATAAGAAATCTTAAACTTAATTGATAAAATTAAACTATTATAAATAAAATTAATTTCTAGATTTAATACTAGTATCTGTTATTTAAGTGTTGACTCTTTTGGATGCTTATTAAATATCATAGTAGTAATATTAGAAATATTGAATTGGGTTCTAAATTGTAGACTTGATTTTTACATTTAAAATCATCAATCGGTCATAATACTATAAAATATGATGAGAGTGGATGCATATTTAATAATAATAAATGGATTATTTTTAATAAATATTTAATTATATCAAAAGTGATAATATATTATGAATAATGACGAAGTATTGAAGCATTTCTTAAAGAATATTATAAAATTGAAATTTTTAAATTATTTATGTAAGATTGTCATAAGTCTTAAAAGATAGCAATATGTATGGTTGGATTGCCAGCGAGAGGGAAAACATATATTTCTCGGAAACTTCATAGATATTTAAATTGGTTAGGTTACAATTGTAAGGTGTTCAACATTGGAAATTATAGAAGGGAAATCTGTGGAACCGAGTGTGACAAGACCTTCTTTGATTCAAAAAATGAATAAGTATATTGAGCATTAATTAGGCAACTAAAGCAAGAAATGAATGTGCTTAGATGGCATTGAATGATTTGATCAGCTTTTTAAATAGCGATGGGGAGATTGCTATTTTTGATGGGACCAACACAACAAAGTAGAGGAGAAACATGGTTTAATGCTCTTTGTCACAATAATGCCAAAATGTATAGACTCTTTGGATTGAATCAATTTGTGATGACGCCGATGTGATTCAAAATAATATCAGATTAACTAAGCTTAATAATCCTGATTATGTTTCTATGAATCCTGAGGATGCAACAAAGGATTTCTTAGGAAGAATTAGAATGTATGAGGAGGTGTATTAAAAGATAGAGTTAGACGAGAATTTGTCATTTATCAAATTAATTAATATCGGCGAAGATGTATCATATTGATTCATTAAAAGATTTAAATCCACAAGGTTAAAGGCTATTTGTTATCGAAAATCATATCATATTTGATGAATCTCCACATATATCCCAGACCAATTTATTTGACAAGACATGGTGGGAGCACATTTAATTAAGAAAACCGAGTGGGTGGAGATTGTGATTTATCTCAATAAGGAATCCAATATTCAGAATAGCTGGGGAAGTTCTTGCTTGATGAGTTCCCCACTTAGGAAAAGAGGAATCAAATTCATTGCTTAACATCCACAATGAAGAGAGCAACTCAAACAGCTGACATTGTTTGCAACATTCTCAAGATCAACTATTTGTAATTAAAGACTTTGGATGAAATAAATGTCGGCATTTGTGATGGCTTAACTTATACTTAAATTGCAATTCAATTTCCTGAAGACTTTGCTGTATCTTTTGTAATATTAACCCCATTAGTAAAGAAAAGTGAACAAATTAACATACAGATATCCCAGAGGAGAATCCTACTTGGATTTGATTAGTAGGATAGAACCAATTATCTATGAAATTGAGAGATCTCGAGAACCTGTATTAGTTATAGGACATCAAGCTATTTTAAGATGTCTCTATGCTTATTTCCATCGAAATGAGATCTCAGAAGTACCTCAATTGGAGATTCCAATACATGCAATTATAAAATTAACTCCAGCGGCATATTATTGCGAAGAGATAAGAATCAGAATTGATCCTGAAACTGGAGAAAGAAAATAAATCGAAGAATATCTTCAATATGAAAGGGTCAATTTATTAACTAAGAAAAAGAGCTACATCTTATTATGATAATATATCATTTATAGTTTTGTTCCATTCTATTATAATCATATTCTGCATATGCATATTGAAATGCAAAATTTAATGTTATTATTTTTGTGGTATGTATTATTATTCCAACACATAATGTTCGGATTAATCAACATTATTTAATAATTATTTTGTTACATATTATTCTGAAACATTTATTCTTAATTCTTAGATTACAAGTATGATCTGAAAATGTAGATACAAATGAAATTAAGAATGAGTAAGGGAGTCTTATTTGAGTTGTATGAATTAATGAAGAATGGTTTATACAATGAATTCATTTACTATTATTGAATGAATAATATCAAAATGCACCCTTGAGTTATGATTTAACATAATCGGTGAATCTTGGTTGGTTTAATAAGTCCAAAGCTTAATGGGCAGCATTCAATTCCTTGTTGTATTCAGCGACGGTGGCATTGTAGACATCAGTTGCAAAGGCATAGTCGTCGTTTTCAGCTTACAATTATCCGTTCAAAGTATCCAAATCAGCGTGTAAGACGTCGATCAAATCAAGGGTTTATTCAATCTTGTCTAGGAGATGATAGTATGAATTGGATACTTGCATTAGCCTCGATTTCAGCAGTCTTTACAATAACAGCTCTTTAGAATTCAGCATGTTCTGAGTTTAATTAGATGACTCTTGCTTCGAAGTCCTTTTAAGCTTCAGCTTCGTCAGCGGTGAGTTGATTGAGGGAGTCAACCAATTGGACTCTCAAATTGTTGAATGCGGTAAGAATCTAGGGGGATCATGATAAGAATTTGATACTTCTTTAAGAGCACCTTGATCAGCAAAGTTAGCTTCAACTGCAATTTCCAAAAGAGTCTTAATGAATGTTTAGAATGTGCTGTGTCTCTTGAGGGATTATTCGATTTTGGTCAAATTCTTTTAGACCTTTTGGATTTGAACAAGGGATGGGGATTCCAATTGACTGAGCAATTATAAGGATTCATCGATGGCACCGATAGCTTCATTGTGTTCAGCAACTTAAGCTTCAAATTCAGCATGATCTTTAGCTCTTTAGACTGTTGCCTCGTTGAGTGTTCTTCTGTTTTAAGCGATGTTTTCTTGTAATTATTCAAGTTGAGCAGCAAATCTATCTCTTTATGGGATCAACACATTATCATAGAAATCGTGAGCATTGAAGACCTCTAGATGGGATAGGGTTAATAGGGTTACCTCTTTCTTTGTCTTAGATTTCTTATTCAAGTCTTTAGACTTCTCTGTTGTGAATATCGGTTCTTCTTGCATATTAGTGATGGATTTCTGCCAATTCCTCATCCAATTCGTCAATCTATAATAAATTAATGAAAAAAGGCATTACAAGTTTGGCAATTTCGGTGTTTAATTCTGAGAGGATACCTCCTGTTTATAAATGGAGTTCACCAAAGTTCAAAATGAAATTTCCCCAACCTGATTATTTGATTTAGGCAAAAGCTTTTTGGTCGTGACTTGTCCAAACTGAGTTGGTGACATCGATTGCTGTTACGCTAAGGATAAGCAATGTGCAGAGTGCTAATTTATACATTTATTGTAATTAATAATGAAGCCAACACCTGATAATTAAATGTTAAAAATTCCAAAAACGAATTTTATTTTTTATATAATTAATTAATTATTATGTAGTCATTCTAAGTGCTTCGAAAAATGTTTAAATGAAATTGATATATATATAAATCATCAAGTCAGAGAATGCGTATCTTTTCGATTAGCAATGTTTAGTTATATTAGTTCAAAAATGATATGGTTTGTAGATTTTAATTGAGATTCTACTCTGGCAGCTCTGATTTTTTAATTTCTTAAAACTAATAAACTCAATTAAAATATAATACCTGCCCCATTAATTAAAGCCCATTATTATTATTGTAATTCCCAAGTCCTCTAATTAATCCTCGATGAAATTGGCCTTAGTAATAACTGCCGTCACTCCATGTAAATAGTCCATCTCCTTCAAATTTATTATTTTGAAAGAATCCTATATATCATATAGATTTATTAAAGAATTCTACTTGCATCCGTCGCTAAACATTTGTATTCCTCTCCCTTGCTTCCTCCCGTCCCAAAACTATCCTTGATAAGTAGTGCCATCACTCTTCATCTCTTGTCCTTCGCCCTGGAGTTAATTGTTTATCCAGATCCCTAAAATAATTTACAACTATTTATACCTTTTACAACTTTTTTTTCCGATTTAAACATACCAAATCCTACAGTCTTGCCTTGAGAGAATTGAGCTTCAAAACTACTATAACTTTATTATAATTACATATCTCCATTAGAATAATACATCGTACACACACCTTCCAGTAAATCATTTTACCAAGTGCTAAGAAAACTTAAATATTCATTTATACCCTTTTAATAAGTTTCCAATTTTGGGCCATAGTTAAATACCTATTCCATGTTTTAGGCTGTCCTCCATCATACCAAAGTAGATGCTCCCGTCGTTTTGTTTAGAAAGTTAGAAGTTTTAGCTTGGTTTGAAATTTTCTAATTTTATTTTTATATGAGCTGGCAATCCACCCACAAACTCCATTAATCTGGAATCCAAAACAGGACTTTCACTTCTTGAGGTATCATCATCAGCTACGCTTAAATTCATTCTTACTCTCACTCAAATGTAAAGATGAAAATTTCTAAATGAAATATTCCTATGATATCTATTAATTCATGTGTATTTAATTATTGAGATATTATAATTAATGAAAAATAAGAGAAATCATACTCCTAGATTAATTTAATATCTCAGAAATGTCAGTAGAAATCATTTTTTCAGAAAATTAGATCCTTCCTCTTTTAATACGGTAATCAATTAAAATCAATTCCTCCTAACGTCATTCTCCTCGTCTTCCAATTTCTGAACTTTCTTCAAATCCAATCTTCCTCCCCAATTATGCATTAGATCAATGTGCTGTTCAAGTCAACAAAAATTTATTAAATAGAGTGAAATAAATAATTTCTTCGATAGAAACTTCTATGCAACGATTCTTAAAGCTTAAATTATTGTATCGTCATGATTACGGCGATGATAATGGTAATTCCCCATTCAGCTTAAAACAACATCTTTACAATCATTTTCAAAAAACCTAAAAATAGAACAATACTTAGAATACATAATAAATCTTTATTATTATTCAATTACTTTATTTATTTGAAAATCATATAATTTTAATACTTCAAATAATTGCTTATAATACGGAATGTTGATTTTTAAAATCCTTCTGTTATCAATTAATTTATAATATTTCCGTCATGAAAGCTATGTAAATTAAGGATCAATTGAAGAATAATAAAGAAAGTGAGTGAATTAACATGAATCCAGGCTAAATTGGAAATACCAGAAAATAATTATTTTTAATAAAGAATATAATCCATTTTATAAATTCAACTACTCTTCTTTCACTAAATAAGTGGTCTTAAGTAGATGGAAGTTTTAATACCTATCAACAACCTTCTTTTAGCAAATCCATAATTATAAATAAATATTTTTCAATTTAAATCTCTAGAAAAAATAATTTATTAAAATATATACTAAATATTTATAAATATTGAAGTAAAATTTATTATTGTTAATTAATAAAAAATTCTTTCGAATGCTTAATTGTTTTATTCAGGAATGAAGACTTTTTAAAAAAAGAATACACATAAATATATATTAAGAAATTCTCATCATTCTGGAGTTAATAGTAATTTTTCTTGATTTAACTTATGATTAATCCTATGCCTTGAAAAATCCTGTTTTAATTTTTCTGCTTAATTCGAATTCGGCAAAGCTTTATAAAATTGTTCACATTCTTCGCACTCATGAGCATTGATTTATTGTCTTTCCTTTCTGTTTTTAACAGTTTCTCTGAACACTTTTTCTTTTGGAAGATCAATTTCTGTTTATATTGAAATTTTTTTGTTTTCTTCGCTTGCATTCAATGGTTTTTATATTTTGGATGCTTGAGTTTATTTGTCTTCAAATATTTCAAGAAAATTTGGTTGTAAAAACTTGGTTGATTTTGGTTGATTATCAAGAAGAAGTACTTCACTTATTGTTGTCTATTTATTTTATTCAACCAAACTACCAATCATTTTCATGAGGGCCTAAAAGACACTCGCTTGAGTATTGTGTAAAATGGATATATGGCAAAATAGTTGAAACACAGAATGATAAGTGAAATCTAATTAGTTAGCCTATTTAAGTAAATTAGTGTACTAATATTATATCGAGATGTTTTTACAAAGTGGAATAGATAGATTTTTCGTTTTCCATAAATTCTTAAAATTAAGGTGAGAAAAACATTATTTATTTATTTATTTAAATTGTATATAATAAATATTAATACTTAATAATTATGATGCTAAGAATCAATTTATTTATATTGAAATTTAATGAGTTTTTATGACTTTCTTAAATATAATAAAATAGACAAATGCTATAATAGTGATTAGTAGAATGTGAAACAATAGGAGACATAAACTTATTATAGAATTATTTAATTTTATAGAATGTTTTAATCGTATTTCATACGAGATTAAGAAGTGAATTAGTATTCCATAATGACTTTAATGGATAAGGAATCATCGTTTAGTTGACTCGAGTTTTCTAAGAAGTATTAGGGAATTCCAATTCTAAATAGTTCTCTTCTGGTTAAAATAATGTCATTCATTATATTAATAATGTCTAATTCACAAGTACATTTCAGTGACATGCAATCAACCTTCATTAGCAACTACATGGAGATGGAGGAGCCAGTGCAGGAGAAAGAACAGTAACTGAATTGGTGCCAACGTACTTTTGGTCCTCTGAAAAAAGGTGGAATAAGAATGAGTATTATCAGTTTGCTTGCTCCTTGTTTGGGTGTTGGGATGTTGGGTTTGCCATGTATATAATTTGAGTTTTATTTAAGATAGAGCAAAAGATTAAGGACTCATAATTGAATTACTGTTGATTGCACTTTGTGGAATAATCTCATGTATATCAATGCACATTTTAAGTTGGAGTGCAGGCGATTTGCAATGCTCATCCTATAGTGAATTGATTCAGATGAGTCTAGGAAATAAGATGAAGAGAGGTTTCGAAATATTAACTATCTGTTAATGTTTATTGGGAATTACATAAATCTAGATCTCTTTTCAATTATTTATATATGAATTATTCAGATATTTCGAGATAACTGTCGATCAAAGAGAACTGGCAATAATAACCTAATTAATCTTCATAATACCAAACCTATTGATATCTTTTCAGAAAACTCTTTACAAATTAAGATATTTTTCATTGGTTGGAGTAATTTCAGTGATATACATAACCTCCCTAACTTCACTTGATTATTTTGCCAGAGGCTCATACAACGATGACATTAAAATCAAATTGGTGGATGTAGATTTCAATATTTTCACTACTTTTGCAATGACCTTCTTCTGTTATCTATGTCATTTGTTTATATTCCCAATTAGAAAGGAATTGCATAATCCAACAATCTCACGTTAGTCTAAAATATGGAAAAGACAATGCTTGATCTGTTTTATAGTGTATTCACTAATCTGTATTAGTGGATACCTAAGATTTGGAGATGACACATAACCTTGGGTTATTTACAATTATCATGGGGATCTCTTTTTTGTGGGAAAATTGGGCATGTCAATGGCTCTATTCTTTGCTGTTCCCTTGAATATATTAGCATGTAGACAAATCATTCATGATATGTTATTATCTGACGAGATGGAATACCAACTCAAACATAGAAATCTCAGGATTTAAGCTCAGGATGGGAAGATTACTTTTGAGGTTGATAGTGTTGATACTTTTAGATCCAAAATTCACATCTATTCAACTTTAGTACTCCAATTTGGAAGTGCCATACTAGCTCTAATTTTACCCAACATCAAGTAAATGCTTATTTCTATTGTAAAGTCGCTACATCACATTACTTGGAGGTCTTTTAGGTACTACTATGGTTTGTTTGATTCCTGTTCTGATCTACTTGAAGGAGTATAGAGATAAACTGAATTATTCCATAGTAATTTTGGAAATCATGGGGGTTGTCTTTGGTTGGATTGGAGCTGTTTATGGTTAGTTTTGATATCGATTTTATATTAGTTTTCAATTCATTATGGTATTTAAATTATAATTCAACATTAATATTATATTATGTTAATTTTCTATATAATTTATAATATAATAAATAGAATGATATATGATGCTAAAATAATCGGAGTGGATACTCAATCCGATAATGTTTTGTACAAAATGCGTATCTTCAATTCACAAACTTTTGAGCAAAGGGAAATTAGGGTCAAATATAGTTTCTTATCTGATTTACATTCCCATTTATAAGATTTAAATCCAGATCGCCAAGTAAGCCTTAGATTTTTAAATTAAGTTACCCCAATTTCCGAAGAAAGACTTAATTCAATCCTTTATGGGAGAAAACAAATTTGTGAAGCAGAAGGAACAATTGATAGCTGAATACTTTTCATAACTAATGAAATCGCCACCTCCTTTATGTAAACCCTTATTGGAGTTTTTAAGAGAAGGAGCAGATGCCATTAGATAGAAGGAATTGTCAAAGGAATTACACACTAAATCGGAACTCTTCAAATTGATTAAACCACAAAAGGAACTCAAAAAATCAATATTTGGCAAAACCACACTCTGTACAATGCAGGGAAGAAAAGTTATTTTGCATAAATTCTATGTTTTAAGAAATGAAAGTGAAGAATTATTTAGCCATTATTTTAATACGCATTTATATTTCACTGATTTCACCTACATTTGTAAAGTAATTCATATATTCTTTTTGCATTCAAAACAGAATTTTATGGATAGCATGTTTGGGTCAATTAAACTACCAAGATCTTGCAAAAAATAGCACTTTGAACATTTTCTCTCCTCAATGAATAAGTATGATGTTGTTAAATTATTCTCTATTGAAGTCTAGGAAGGATAAAATCTAGAGGAAATTATAATAGAAAAAAGAAATAAGTAGATTCCCTTCTCCAATAGCGAACTTTGGAATTTAATCTAAAAGTTATTGGATGCAATACTCTTCCTTCACAACAATGAGTGTTATCCGAATAGAATAACACCTACTTCAATCATTATCTATCATGATAATCTTAAATTAACGGGAATCCAAGAACCAAATGAAAAATATAAAGAAAGATATGTAATTGATGGACATGCCATTAGAACAGACCAAGAGTATGACTCAATATATTTTCCACCTGAAAAACTGAATTCAATCTAATTACATGGAAAATTGGCAGATAGTTGGCAATTTGGAGTATGCATAGTCAAGGCTGCTCTACTTTGTACAAATAAAGAGTTAGACGGCATCCACTAACCGAAAGTTGTTAACGAGTTAATCGCAAAAATAAAGAATTAATATGGGTAATCAAACTTATTTTTAACTTAGATAAGTGATGAAATAGCCAATATCTTAATGTTGAGCTTGAAAAATTAAATCTAACAACGAGCTGTAATTAAAAACCTACATTCTTTGGCTACTCAGAGTTCTGTGATCCCATTTTAAAGTCTTTATTTGAATCAAACACAAGACCAGCCTGTGACCTTTTTAAGGTTCGACTCCATAAATGAAGAAGAGTAATAAAGACTTACAGCTTAACTTTCTTAATCAACTGTGCTCTCAATTAAGATCAATTTGTTTAATTAATAAGTTGACGATAAGGAATTAGATAAGTTGATGTCATTGTTGGGAGATTTCGCAATAGTTCGAGATATCGAGATAATATTGAATAAGTACTTTTATTGTACAAGTAAATTAGGGCAAAGAATATTAATGTAAGTAGTGTTCTCAGTAGTTTAGCATCGATTAAATCTGTGATAAACTTGAACTTAGATTTAAAGGGGATATAAATAGATTAAAATGATATCATATATGGAATCTAAGTATTGAAACAAATGAATCTGCTGAAACGGTTTACTTTAGATTGTTCTTCCATGGATTTTATAAACTTTCTAAAAGCAGAATTAGATGATAAGATGAAATTGATTTGTTATTATGAAACATAATTGATTTGATATGTTAAAATATCTATGTTTCTCTAATACGCTTTATTTAATTCAAATACTATAATTAATATTAATTCAGTGATAATCAAATCACATTTCTCCTTTGCAATTATTCAAATGAGAGTTCATATAATAACAAAAAATATTAAAATTTAATCACATTTAATATAAAACACGTTAACTTCTAATGCTAGGTAATGTAGTGCCTTCTGAGTAAAATTTACGTTCTCTAGGTCTTTTATCCTTATTCCCAATTGTCATCTTTAGATCTCTATTTTATAAAAATGGTCATAAACTTATCAATTGCCTTATTTGTTATCAATTTTGAGTAGGCTGCATTTGAATTTTATGTTTCCTTTCCCCAAGTGGTATTCTAATACAAAGAAAGGTTAAATTAATCTATGGGATTCTTTAACAACTTCTATGCCCCTTCAAATGATCTTTTAATAGGACTGGATGTCATTGACTCTTCTTCAAACAAAGTTGAAGCCAATTAATCATAAATTTTAGTTGAATTAATTCTACATAGATACACTTATTTTACTTAATTTAACCTTATTTTGTATGAGACTATTAAGTAAATCGTTTCAGTTTCTCATAATTAAAATTAGTAGCTTACTTAACTTCCTTATCCTCAGCCTTGACATTCACACTATTCACTTGGTTTCTATTGGAATTCATTATTTGTGTTAATCCCAAATACTCAAGTCTCGCCATCCTTAAACAAGGATTACTCATATTATTTAAATCAATAGTATGAGTTTTAAGTCCTTCTTTTAGACGACCTTCATAATTAATGGTCACCCCAGATTACAGATTCATGTTCTCAATAACTAAGGGAGCTAATTAATTAAATTTAAAAGTCTCTTTGTCTTCATCATTTCTCTTCCCTATCATATTTATCTTATTGTATTGTTTCTTTTTTTGTGCTAGTTTAGTAACTGTATCTTCCTCGAATTTGGATCTATTACATAAATTATTCTATTACACTAAAGTGGATGTCGATGGAGGTAGTTTAGTTATTTTAGTCGTGGTAACTGGTATTAATTTCCCATCATAATCGTAGGTAAATTACTTTGACTTCTTATCTTTGGCAATAATTTCGTATTTCAGTTACTCTTCCTGTTCTAATTTTATTTTCCTTCTCTTTTCCTGCTCGTACAATTATTGGCGTTCTAATGTCTATCGTTCTTTAGCTGTTCTCAGTTTTTCTTCTGTTATACTAATATCTAGTGGATCATCGAGATCAATTGGCATAGGATCTAATTGCTTCTATTCTTTTTTTATTTGAGTTTAATCCTTTTAATAATACATCAATATTACATTCAACTTTTATCTAACTAAGGTTTAAGCAGTAGTTAATTGTCTACTAATTGGTGCTGGTTGTTATTATTCTACTATCATATTTGCTGTCAACCATTATTCTCTTATGATATGCGGCTTGCAATAAAAATTTACTTTACAGGTTCATAGTCTTCAGATAATCCACCAGTCTTAAAGTCTGGTTTTGGATCTTCAGGTCGATTAAAAGATTGTGTTAGAGGTAAGATGATTAGTTCTAAGGCAGCAGTTGCTGTAGTGGGTGGAATCTTTCTATTTATTTCATTATCCGCTGCAATTTTGATAGTCTTGTGAACAATATTTTGCAGGACCTCTAAAATGAAGATTTCTCCTTCAATCTATTCATATTATGTTTGTTAGGCATTGATAGATTGGTAGAATGTATAATGATTCATTTTACTCATATCAATATCCTCCAATTCCACATCTCTCTGAGTATCAGAATTATCCGAAATACTGTGTTACCCAAAAGAAGTATTACGATAATTACTTTTCATTTTATTTTTATAATTGGGCGTAATAGACTTATAACTGAGCAATTATCAAACAGACATCTATAGACATCTATAGAAGAGTTGAGAATTTAAATAATAAAATGGGATTAATGAAATTTGTAAAATTAGTGTATTTGAATTAATGACTTCTTGCTCAATTTAAAATAATAAATGTACAAAATACAATTTTATGAAAACACTTCAATATTTAAAATTATTAATTAGACTTGCCAATATAATATTGATCTATGATGTATGGTGAGGAGTGCATCCATGCTATCCATTTTACTGTATGACTTTGGTCTAGCTTGATGATTATTTATTGTAATATATTGAGTATTAAATGATTAATTATTAAACCAAATTATGAACCCGTTTTTTAGATAATTAAATTAAAAAAAATATGAGAGCACTCATCACAATTTGCTTAGTGGCTGCTGTATTTGCCGCAGATACAAACAAATTTGCTGTCCTCCTCCAAACTGGTACAAGAGGAAATGATGCTGTTGAATCAGTGTACAACCTCTTGAGAGATCTCAAGACAGAGAATGTTAATGTCTAAGCTGCTGCAGACAAAAAGAATAACACTGATGAGGGTAAGCCTTATTTTATTATATCTCTATAGAAATCTTCTCTTAAGTTATCGGTGACTTGACAAATGTCGCCTCCCTCAATAAATAACAATGGGAAGCCCTTGGTGGAGTTAGAGGTGATGTTGAAGCCTAAGTCAGGGTATGATTTCATTAATACTTTCTCAAAGGATGGATATTAATGGTTGGCCTGGGCTGAAGCCAGACTTGCTGAAATCGAAAGAAGAAATGCATAACTCTAAGATTAAAGATGTTGGGCCAATGGACTCTTCGTCAGATCCCTTGCTGATCATGCTGATGCCATCGGTGTAGTCACACTTTTGACTCAAGACGTTGCTGGATTCCTCACAAACAATGCTGGAGTTGAACTCGTTGAAAAAGCCTAAACAATCGCTGACAAATTGTCTGCCTACAGTCACCTCTTCTAATAAGACGCTATCGAGAAATTCCAATCCCTTGCCGAAGTTAAGAGAGAAGGAACAACTGGAGAACAAGTCCTTTCAATCTTATAAGATTTACAAGGAGAATTGGAATCCACACTCGCCTAACTCTAAGAATAAGAAATCCACGCTGCTTTCGCTCTTGCCAAATACGTTTCAGACACAAATGCTGAAGTCGCATGGTTGAACTCCGAACACGAAAGAAGAACAAACCTTGTTGAAAAATTGGAAACCGTACTCATTTGCCTTTAATCTTTTAGTAACTCCCAGCCGTCTTAGCCCAATAAGCCAAGGCCCTCAAATTATGGAAAGATTCCTTAAACGCTGTTGCTGGTGCCACTGCTGATTTGGAAGAAAAGAGAGAATTCTATGCTTCAGAAACAGTCAGAAGAGCCGGTAACTATCTAGACATATTTTTTTAGAGGAAAATGCTATCATTGATGTCGTTATCCAACTCTTCAAAGATTAAGTCAGATCATTAGCTTCATAAACATCCCTTAAAAGATATTGATGGGATTATTCATATAAGAATTTATCTTATTTCATTCATTCATTCCTTTCCCTTCATCTTTCATCTCACTCCACACACACAGATTAAAATGAGGGAAGGTTCCAAATTCTTAATTCTTATATTATATACACATCAGTTAAAAAATATAAAATTGCACAAATATCTCTCATTTTTTTATCCTTTGTAGACTTTTCTTTAAGAAATTTTGCTTTTTCAAGAGTTGACTATTGATTTGGTTAATATTTCTGTCAGGAGATGATTCATTCGAGAGGAATCTATCAAATTGTTGCTTGTATTCTTTCTACTTGTTCATGTATTAGAAGAATGAATTTTGAGTTGAATGTTTCGACAAGGATTATGGTTTGTTGTTAGTCTTAAAGAAAAATGTGGAATTGACTTGATTATTGAAAGTTGATTTCGTAGTTTGGGCTTGAATATCAAACTTGCTGAAGGTAGCCTTGTCCAATTCATGAGAAGGAGGCAGTGTTTCAAAGCTGCTCTTTTGAATCAATTGCTATTTCAGAGGCTATGAACTCTCTAATTACAGGTATGGAGTATAAGTAGGAACATAGGGCATTCTAGGCTGATAATCATTGATGTCTTTGATAGAACTCATAGTCTCTTTTCGTTAATCTAACACGTATTTGAGTTCGAGGAAGTTCTTAAATAGGGCATCCACTTTGACATTCTTCTAAAAATATTCTTTGGGAGGATAGGTAAGATTATGTTACTCGACAATATTCTGCCTATGGGATCTTTGGATCTTGGTCTCGAGTTTTTATTCGCCATCCTACTCAAGATCTTTGAGTCTTTACATGAAATTCATATCTCCCAATTGAGATTTCAGTAATGGATGATTGATGATCTTGGGTTTTTCGAAACCTAAGCTAGTTCTATGTAGAGCGGTTGCGAGAGATGGTGAAATTGAGTTGATGTCAATTTTCATCCTTCTTATAGGAGGGGATTTAAATTGTTGTCTAACTTAATACTGAGTTTCTTCTTCAACTATGGGAAGTTTCCTATTTTTGGTTGGTGGTTTAAATATCCCTGAGAGAGTCTAAGCGAATTCTGAGCCTTCATCACTTTCTAGTTTGGTGTATTCAACAGGCCGACCAAAGAATTTGGTGGGTTTCACATATTGTGGTGGAGGAGCAGTTTTTTTGGTGTAATCCAAGTACTTATCAGTGAAATACTTTTTTAGATTAGTTTCGATGTACTGATCAGACACGATAACTCCATTGAGAGTGTAGGTTATGATATGATAACAATCTAAGTGGATTCTTTCGATGTTCTTGCTATTCATTTGAACAAGATTTTGCTGATAGTAGTAGGTCTTTTGCGCAAGGTACGCTGCACAAAATACTAGGAGATTGAGGTTTTCAACTTTTGGATTCTGCACAACTTTCATTAGAGCTATATAAGCACTCTTAAGTTTATCATCACTTTACTATTTCATGTAAAATGAGATAAGACGATTGTAGCATTCGTTGGTAAAGTATTCAAATTGGTCTGTGTAGAAGGCATCGATGGGTTTAGTTGTGAGAATACCAGAATTGATAAAATCTAAAATTGCTTATTTCATATAAAATAAATATGTAAAATCATTTGGAGTTGGTGTAATCAATGACTCAACCAAAATTGGAGGCTTCCAATCCTTGGTTGGTGGGGGGAATCCTCAGAACTCAACTCAAGAATGTGCTTTACAATAAGGATCTATTTAATGAGATTGATAAAGAATTTACAGAGTTCGGACAATTTTGCAATGATGTTCTTTACTAACACAGTGTGGATGCTGAATTGAATCCACCTAAGTTGATTAAACAAGATGTGTATGGGAATGTAATTGATAAATTGGTGTTGGGAGAAGGATGGAGAAAGGAAAAGGAATATGCTGCAAAAGTAATGATGTGATCTAAATAGTGTGGAATAGTAGCTATGGCCTACGAGAGTAAACATGGAATTTGGAATAGACTACTGCAATTATTGAGACTCCAAATGTACTAACCAGTATCTGGATTATTTGTAAGATATTAATTCATTCCTAAACCAATAGGGTTGTCCGTTGGCCATGACAGATGGTGCAGCCTACTTGCTCAAATAATGGTTAAGCAATCCAACCACCCAATGTTAAGAAACTATCAAACTGGTACAATAAGGATTTGAAAATTTAACATCCAGAGACCCTTCTAAATTTTGGACCTCTGGATAATGGATGACTGAAAAGGATGGCGGGTCAGATGTAAACAATTCAACCACAACCATCGCCGTCCATTAAGGAGGCAACAAGTACAAATTGTATGGTTACAAATGGTTCTCATCAGCCACCGATAGTGAAATGACGTATCAATAACTATTTAAAACTTCTTAGATTGGCATTAGCTAGAGTAGTTCCAGAGAAAAAAATTGAAGATTTTAGGAAATATCCATTGTCTCTATTCATAATGAGAGTCAAGAAGGATGATGGAACATTGAACAACATCAAGATTATGACAATGAAGGATAAGATGGGTACTAGACAATTGCCAACAGCTGAATTACTTCTTTAAGGAAGTGAAGCCTATCTTATCAGTGAGGAAGGCAAGGGAGTAAAAGGAATTAGTCAAATGTTAAATGTAACTAGATTGTATAACGCATCTTCAGCTGTTGGATCTATGAATAGACTATACTCAATAGTTGTCAATTATTCTTTGAAGAGAAAAGCTTTTGGGAAAGAACTCATTGAGAAACCAGCTCATTAAACAATGCTTACTAAATTCAATCTTAATGTGAGAGCTTGCAGTTTGTTCTATTTCAAAGTGGCTTAATTGTTCTCGAAAATCTAGAATAATGCCGCTACGAAGGATGACGAGGAGATGTTTAGAATATTGACTCCATTGTTGAAATTATATACTGCAAAAATCTGTATGTATTGGATGAGTGAGGGAATTGAGGCCTTGGGTGCTTTGGGATACATGGAGAATAGCTACATTCCTTTGATGTTGAGGGATGCTCAAGTACTAACTATTTGGGAAGGCACAACTAATGTCTTGTGTTTGGACTTCCTGAGGGCTCTCAAATCCAGTGATAAGAAGGATCCACTCCAGAAACTAGATGTCTATGCCAGATTCCACACTCATATTATGATGACTCAATTGTCAGCTGACACTCAATTGCCTGAAACCAGAAGAAGCTTCATTCCCTACATTGCCAAAATGACCATCAATCATAATGGAGTTGTGGCTGAATTATCTAATATTTTATAGGGAACTGTCAAGTACTCTGAAATGAGAATCAGAGATCTCTGCTTTATGTATTGTTTACTATTAAAATTAGATTATGCGAATCCTTTGTGGGTGGGTAACTTTTGGAGTTGATTTCGAAGAATGGGAGAGAAGAGGACATCCTCAGTTTTGAATTGTGGGTGGAATAGATGCAATCGTATACAACTACTTGGTCCATCACACCCAAAGCTTTTGAGGTGCTAGTCAAGGAAAACGTAATCAAAGCCAAATTATGATATATTAATAGATTTTTAATATATATCAATCAAAAGGTGAATAGTCATATTCTGCCTTGTTATGCATCACGAGTTGCTCTCCCACAAAATAAAAACTATCTGATTTTGTCTAGAATGGATTGTTTATCATTTCCTGTCTCTAATAATTCTTAACCATTATTCATTACCATTGCCTCGTCTATCTCTGGAATTGTGTAGATGTGTTCCCAAGTGTTCGTTGAGTTGGGGATGCAAAAGGGAAATTGAAATTCATAGCTTCTCAATAAATGTTCTTTGAAATAATGTCTCTCTATTATTGTAAAGTTTTTGACAGGTTTGTTGCCCACTGAAAAAGTCAATTAAGCACCCACAGTCTTTAATTCAAAAAATTAAGGCCCGAAATGATATTTTATACGTCTAGCCTCATCCTGATATTCTGGAGGTAGATTTTCTATCATACATCAACATACTCTCTACCTATCGACTCCTCGTCTTGATCTCGCTCAACCTCAAATAGTGTTTATCCAGAATCCATATCTCTTATTCTAAATTTCAAGAATTGAATATTGTAAGTGTTGGCATTTACAGGGCACAAGAAACTAAAATCAATCTATCAAATACTCTTGTGTGATTCCATTCAGATTTCTGACATATGCAGGAGTCACTTACTGCATTTGATTTAAATATTTATTATATTATTATTATTATTTGCTATTCAACATATCATTTTAAAAAACTTTCTCTTAAATTGAAACCTCTCTTCCATAATGTCCTAACTTCCTCTTTTTCACACTTACTACTAATCTAAAACAAAAACTATGAAATCATCCTAATTAATATCCCTCCTAAAACATAGAAATAATAATCAAAACTATTGTATACACATAAATTGATCGATGATTGTTGGCTATAACTCAATTACTTAAAATATTATTCTCTAAAAAAATATGTTATAAGAAGTAAAGAATTAAAATTTATCTGTTTATTGAAAAAGTCCAATTGATTATAAAGGTTGTTACATTTTAAATATTTACTATTTTAAATTTATAATTATTTTTCCCTTAGGAGGTGAAATTCTAATCAAATACATCTTGAAAAACAAATTATAATATTTAATATCTAGTTAATTATAATGAAATTAACTTATGCTATTCGAAGTATGTGGTTAAAACTTCATATTCATTGAAGGCATAAGATGTTCTTCATATCAAATTATACTTAATTATTAAAATGGCTTAAGTAAAGTTTTAGAAACTTTGAATCTAATGGAATATATATCAAAAAAGGCTCGATCATTATCTTTTACAGATCTCTAAATAGTGTTTATGATATCAATTGCCCATAGGAAATTAATAGTTTTAAAGTATTTATAAAATGGTATCAAAATAGTTGAAAAGTCTTCATAACCAAAAATTTATATTGTGTGTATAATCAAGGCATAGGTTTAATAATTTCTGATTTTCTAAAATTCAAATTAGAATTGCAATTTCTAGATAGGTTTATCAGCATATTTAATTAATTATTTTTATTAAATTTTGATGAACCCTAATTACAGGGAAATTCTGAAATAGATTATGGATTTCAAGCAAGAAGGGACAAGAGTACTCATATCTGGCTTGCTCGTTAAGTTAGTAATCTATCTAACAATTAATAGATTATTGGGCTCTTCTTTGCATGGCCAATTTTACAATCATATCATGAAATTTTAATTGGATATAAAGACCTTAATCACTAATACATCATTTATATCAGCTATGCTCTTATGATCTTAATTATGAATTTGTTCATACCTCATAGTGACTTTTTCCTTAAGAAATTAGGACCTCAATCCTTAATTTGCATATTTGTTAGTTTGATTGGAATGTCCTTTATGATGATGGCTATTTTTGATTAGGTATAAATATACAAATAGAATCACTTAGTATTGGATAATCCACCTCTTACTTCAGCTGTTTGTGATAGCCCCATCCATAGGAATTCTGTACTCAACACCATTTTTAACAACTTGGAGATACTTTGTTAAATAGAAATGTATATACTTTATTCTTAAATTAGAACACCTAAACTCAATATTCCAAATATTCATAGGATTAGGTGCATTTTTTGCATTACTAATCTTTGAGTCGAATTAAGCAAATTAATTAGAATTGTATTTTGATAATAATCAATATTTCTGTGGAGAATGCTTCAATCTTTAAACAAGAAGGTCTCTAAGAGGACTTACAATCTGGGCTTTTATTTTAGGAATCACAGCAGCTTTACTTGTTAAATAACCAGATGGAGATATTGCTGATAGTGTTGTCGATTATGATCTCCTCGCATTTGCTCATTTAGATCTTAAATAATAATAACACAGCCAACATTCTTAAAACGAGAATGATTAATCATTCGATTAACCAATAACATTTCCTTAATCCCTATCAACTAAGCCATTTTAAATAATGTCAATTTTAGTAGTGTCATCATCTCTTTTGCCATACTTGATATTCTGTTAATATCAGAGGATCCAATCTGCTTTAGGTATAACCTATAATAAATCATCTACCACATTTTAAATATCGATTGTGTTGTATGGATTTATGAGGTTGGCCTATAACTATTTTATTTCAGATTTGCCATACAAACTTGTAATTAGAAGATTAGGTTAAACAAATGTATTCAAAAAATTATTATTCATTTAGATGCTCCTAATTCTTATATTTGTTGCTTCAATATGGTTTGATAACACAGTGTTGATTAATGTTATGTGTTCAATTTTTACGGTTTCATTAGCCCTTTTGTTCTCTGTGATTAGTAGTTCTATTCCTAAAATTTTTGGATCTATGGCTAGTCAAGGAGTATTCTCCTTTATGTTGGCCATCATGGGTTTGAGTGCTATTATTTCAAATAGTATTTCTTACTTTTTTCCAGAAGGGGTATATTATTAAATATGCTTAGAGCACAAAAATGATGTTATTTTACTTTTCCATTAAAGTATTTCTTGGCTAGATGTTTGTGTATCGAGTTTCTAAATGATTCTATTAAAATATATCAAATAATTTGAGAATTAAATACTAACTGATTACAATATATATATTTTTCAAAATTAATGTATTACACTCCTTCTAGACCGGGTGACAATGACAAATATCCTACTCGTCATGAGAAGCCTCCAGGTTAAAACCCTCAATATCTTCAAAAATTACCCGAAGATCCTCGTCGAGCTGATGATTATTAAGGTCATCCTCAAGAACGCCCTCCACCTCAAAGAAAGCCAGTTTATTAGGAACAAGGCCCAGAAAGAGCCCCTCTACCCTAAAGGCCCCAAGATCGCCCTTTAGATCGACCACAACCTCCATATGGCAACATGCCCAGAGGATTTGAACGACCTCCTCCTGGTTTCAATCCTCAATATCCTCCTCCACCCCCTGAAAGATACAATAATGCTCCATATGATCACGGCTATCCTGATGATCGCTATTATAGACCAATATCTGCTCCTTATGGCAGTCCATATGGTCCAAGATAATAACCATACGGGGAACCATCTCCTTAAGGTTTGAAAGGACAGGGAAGAGCATATGACCCAAGAAGAGTTGGACCACCTCAAGATTTTAGAGGCCCTCCTCCTGATTATCGTGGATTGCCTCCTCCTGATTTTCGTGATGGTCCTGAATTTAGAGGAATGCCTCCTCCTGAATATAGGAGAATGTTCCCTCCCAATTATTAAGGAGGTGAGTTCAGAAGAGGAATACCAGAACCAATTGGTTATCGCGGCGATTACGGCAGAGATGTACCATCAAGAGATGGGCCTCCTCCTGATTATAGAGGACCACCATTAGATCACAGAGGAGGACCTCCTCATGATTATAGAGGACCCCCCTTGGAGTATAGAGGTGGACCTCCACCTGATCATAGAGGTGGGCCACCTTAAGAGTGCAGAGGTTTGCCTCCTCCAGAATACAGAGGTGGGCCACCTCCTGATTTCAGAAAACCTCCTCATCCTGATTAAAGAGGAATTCCCCCTCCTGAATATAGAGGAATGCCTCCTGCCAATTATAGAGGACCTCCTCCTGAATATGGGAGAGGAATGGATCCAAGAGGATTGCCACCTTAAGAGTTTAGAGGATAACCACCTCCAGGGGAATACAGAAGAGCAGGAGGATATCCTCAAAGAGGAGGCCCATCTAATGAGTTCTATAGGGGAGATTATCCTCCCCAATACCCAAGAGGTGGAGAATAATTATAAAGGGGAGGACCTGGTGGAAGGGATTTTGAACCACGACGACCTTTATCGCCTTAAGCGTAAAGAAGAGACCATGGATACCATTAGTTTAGTTCGCCATAATAAAGAATTAAGCAGGCTTGAATATTATATAAAATATATGTTATACTTTGTTTAAGTATGTTTAAGAAGTGTTAATTATTAAATTGAAAAATAATAATAAAAAAAGAGAGAGCTGAGTTCAACAAGAGTGGAGAGGGGATATGCAAGAATTGGGAGGATTAAGTGAGATGGGGAGACAGGAGAGGTGGGGAAAATATTAATTATATAATATTATAGTTTAAAATGAGTATAAATGAAGTGCTCGATCCGTTTTTAAATTAATATTAAAAATGTAAAAAATAGCTCTCTTAGCTTTGGTTCTTGCTGTGACTGCTGCCAAGTTCGTTGACACCCACACAACTTTGGCTTAAATCAACGCTGACCCATTCGGCCATGTTGTGTTGAGTGCCATAAAGGCCCACCTTTAAGCCTCAACCCCAGCCAATGAAGTTAATATGTTATTGAATGGTGTTGGAGCAGGACTCGTCTAAGACTAGAACGACCATGATCATGCTTTTGAACTTGACACAACAACAAACAACAGAGTTGATTCTATTTAATTAATCCTTTAGATCGTTGAAGATTTGGAAAAAGGAGATTTTGTATCACTAAAACTAAATTTCCTCAAATACCTAATTGAGAGACGATACAATTGAAGCACTTGCAGTGTCTGAAGAAGATATCAGAGTGACCATTTCAGATATCGCTAGCAATGAAGCTACCTATGCAAGAGAGGAAGCCACAAGAAACTAATAACACGAAACCTTTGTATCAAAAGTTGCTGCTATTGATGATGTGATTGATGCTATTGACGAAGCCGCTAAATTGATCCAACATTTGAGCCTTGGAGCCTCATTTGCTTAATTGAAGAGCAAATACGACACACTCCACAAAAAGCTTTCAGACAACACATCCCACACTGCATTGTTGCAAGTATGATTGATTACCCTACTTTAAATAGCCAGTCATCACTGCTCTTACTGAATTGGCAACCCACGGAGTTAACTAAAAGGCATTGACCAAGATTGCTTAACTCTTGAGCGAAATCAGATAATAATTAGTCTCAGAAAAAGCTGCCAAGACTGTATTCATTCAAATTTAATATTTAAGGATGTTGAGGATAGATAAGCTGCTCATTGGGCTGAATTCTCTGTACATTTGAGCAATGAACACACCAGATTGGTCGAAAGAAAAGCCTAATTGGAAGTCTAAATCTAAGAATAAAAGGACACAATCGAAGATGCTTAATCATGGATCGAATTCCATACTCTTGAATTGGAAAACAGTGAAGAGAGACTTGCTGGATAATAAGCATGGTATGCAGTCTAATCAGAAATCTATGAAACCCAAACTGCTGAAAGGTATCCCCATCATTCTAGTTTATTAGAACTGCCTAATAAGAAATTGTTGACAGACTCTAAGAGCACATCAGCGAGAAGTTATCCACCACTGCTCAATTCATTGCCAGCAGAAATTGATTTGATTATCAATACATCAATAAATAATTGGATAACATATGACAGATTAAATTTCTCTATTCGATGAAAATGATGAAGACTTGGTTGCGGATTACGGATTCGAGTCTCAAGAATAGGAAGAAAAGAATACATTCTAACTCAAGCCATTCCAAATTGCCGATTTCCCTCTTGATTAGAATCTGATCTCATTTGCAATCAATGATCATTGCATTGTCTTCACAACTGACAGGAAAAAGATATATCGATGGAGATTCCTAAACGAAGATGGATGTGTTGAATTGCCAATCAAAACTGAAGTTGAAGGAGACATTACAGATCAGATTATGAAATTGAGTGGACAAGTAGGTAAACAAATAGGAGGGGCTGTTCTCAATACAGTTTCCAAAGTTACCAAACCTCTCTTCAATGCATCAACGAAACGCTCGAAAAGGATGGATTCTGAAGAAGGCAAATTGGATTGCATATTCTTGGAACCTAAAGGAAATCACATCATTGTGACCTCAAATAAAGGGGATGTCTATCACGCTTGCAAAGATGAAGAAGAAGTTCGACTTTTAGAAGGAGTTGAAAATTACAGCATTCGTTTTTTCTTGTGGGGAGAAGGCTCACTTTACTCATTCCAAAATTCTATTATTATAGCATCCAACAATAAAATCTATACCTACTCACTTAATTATAATAATGATAAACTTTTGCACACTGAAGTCTTGAGCAAAACCATCCTATAAATACCTGAAATCGAAAAAATTGTAGATGTTAAAAAAGTCGTGAAGAACACTATTCATATGATTTTGATTGTCACAGATAAGCACATCTATATTTTGAATGGCACAAAAGATCTCAGGAAACTCTTTTAAAAATATCAAGAAGCCCCTGATCTATTTCTGAAATCTAGAATTGCACTCAAAGACAAATCCTACATCCCAAGAATCTTTATAGAGAACTCTGCCATTTTATGGACTAATGGCAATAATATACTGCTGTCTAACTATTCTATGCTAATCGAAAATCAAACCTTTTAGAATTCCAAAAAACTTAAAAATTATAAACGAAATTCAACAGAAGAGGTTAAATTAGAGTAACTCTATGGGTTAGGACTCACTAAATATCATTACTATCTATTAACCTTTGACACCCTGACTGTTATCAACTTACTATCTATGTCCGTTGTGGCATACTTCGATATTAATATCAACTCCTCAGGCAAGGCTTTAGGAATGTTATATGATTAGGGAACTGAATGCTTTTGGGTGTGGTGCACCAATGGCATCTTTAGAATTAGCGTTGAATTCGAAGACAAGGATGCTTGGGAACAATTGCTAGAACTCAAATCCTATGAAGAAGCCTTGCTTGTAAATAAAAAATATGATTCCCCCTTTTATGGTCAGGTATTTTATGTATTGTGATCTCTAGATATCAGGCAAATATGCAGACATACTTTTCAGCCAAGCCTTACAGCTAGATCCATTCAAGACTCCGAATAATGAAAATATTCAAAATGATATTTCTGATAACACTTTTATGAGAAGCAGACATAACAGAAGCAACATGAGAGAAAGTCTATTCGATGACAAAATTGAGAAGGTTCAAATTTCAACGGAGATTGTTGATATGAAATTCGAATTATATCGAAAAGCTGCCCTCTATTACTTTGGTAGCAATAGATCTTATGAATAAGTCATTTTACAATATGAAATGGGAGAAATCAATTACAATAGGGATGGTCTGATAGGTATGTCAGTTTAATTAATATTACCATAGAAAACTATCTTAAACCTATGGTTGAACTACTGGATAAAGAATTAAAGTAAATTGTATTCAAAAAGATTTTGGAACTTCTCATGCTCTCAATCACAAATTAAGGAACGATCAAAGCCTTTCTGGAATAATATAAAACTGACTTGGAAGTAGATTCAGTCATACCTACATTGAAAGTCCATGGATTAACTTACTTAGAAACTTATTTCATCGAATTGAAATAGGATCATAAAACAGTTGTTTAAAACCTATTGATTTAAGAAGATTATAGATCTGTCTAAGAGAAACTATCATCTTTAAATGATAATGATTTACTAATTAATCTAGTCTATAAATACTCCTATGTTATCATGAAATACAATACATAATAAACCTTAGATTTATTTAAGAAAATCGATGCCTTGGATGCACAAAAAATGCTTTCAATTTTGCTGGATGTTCCTTCCAAAAGCAAAGAATTAGCCATTCAATTTATGCAATATTGTATCTTTGTGAAGTCTCGCAAGATCACAGATATAAATTTTAACAACCTTTATCTTCAATATCTGGCAGATCTTGGGAAGGTTGAGCAAATTATGTATTACATTAATGAACAAATTAACTAAAACGAAAACGGAGAAAAGATTAAATTTGATTTGAATTATGCATCTTAGTTGTTCGTGAAGACTAATTTATTGTAGCCATATGTTTATATACTGCAAATGTTAGGCGATTTTGAAAATGCCATCAAAAAGGCCATTGAAATAGATCTTATTGAGGATGCTAAGAATATTGCATTAAAATGTGAAGACAATAACAAATAAAGATAATTGTGGATTCTATAAATTAGATTGATGTTGGAGAAAGGTGGCAAATACGTTAAATAGATAGTTCAATTAACTAGAGAAATTCCCCTAATTAAGGCAGAAGATATTCTACCTTATTTGACTTAGAATATTAAATTAGACGATTTCAAAGACGAAATCTGTGAAACTTTGGAGGAATATCATGATTAAGTTGAAAAACAGCAAAATGAGCTTGAAGGATACATCAAATCAAATGAAAATTTAAAAAAGCTATTGCTACAAACTAGTAATAGGTACATTTTTGTATCCTAGAAAACTAAATGCGAAAATTGCTTTAGAAAACTTTTCCAAGAGGATTATATTGTTTTTGAGTGTTCACATGGTTTTCATAGGGAATGCATTCTTCAATATGTTAAAAGTAATCCAACTGTATTGGATTAAAAGACTTATCAAAGTATGCTCTATTTAGAAAAATAGTTAAATGACATTGAAAAACTGTAAATACAAACAAACTAAAGTAAGCCTGATGAATCGATTTTTGGATTTTTCACTGCTTCGAATTAAATTACTTTAAATAATTAAAGAAATGCTAGAAATGAATAATAAAAGAAATTTCAATCAGAACTTAATGATATTTTATATAAGGATTGTCCTGTGTGTGGCAATTTTATATTTGATTAAATTTTATTGCCATTAGACAATGATGAGTATACTGAGGAGACTTGGTTTATATGATAAATTTTTAAAATTGAATATATTTTAATGAAATTATTTAAGGCTTTTTGTTAAGGGAAATCCATTCTTTTAAAGGATACAGAAAAGTTGACAAAATACTTCGATCTTTGCCTAAAGACACCTATTACCTATAAGGGAATCAAATAAACTATCGGGTATCACTAAATCATGGTTGCACAATTCAATTCAAAGGAGTTTAATAAAGGAATATTCCCTTAATTTATCAGTTTAATCGGAAGAGATTTTAAAGACTTAGACCAATAGGAGTTTAACTATTTTATCCAATCTCTTAGTTGCTATGTGGAAAGTGCTTTAAATAAAAATGTGTATGATAAATAAATCTTCGAAAATGTATTAAACTAAATAGGTTTAAATGCAACTTATATTTAAAAATGCTTATTCTACTTAACTATATTTCAGAATTCTGGTTTTCATAAGGTCCTAGATTAAAGTAAAGAAGCAGCCACTAAACTCTAAAATGAGTTGCTCGAATAAGCACCCTAAACACCTGAAGAACTTCTTTGGAGACTGTTTATAGTGATACAGCAAATATAATGGAGAAAAAAAGAATAGGGGCATGATGAGTACTTTAAAAATGTAGAAAGTTAAATAATCGATAGCTTTATTAATTAAATTGAATAAATCGAAATTACTTAACCGAAATTAACAAACGTTTTGAGTAGATTCATGTTGTTAAAATATTATATGATGTTAAAGCACTAATATGTAATATTCTGAAAATATTATTTAGCCATAATTTGAAGATAAACGAATTCAAAAATAATTATTTTCTAATTATTCAAATTCTCACAATTACATTTAGGAAAATCTATCAGCTTTAAATTCATTTGAATTACTTTAATATATTGAGATATTCTCAAAAAGTAAGGACCTAATTTAATCTGCAAAATGGGATCTCATATTGAATGAAATCAACTCTAGAAATTTGAACGAAATGCCAATATATAATGTAGTATCTTTAACAGTAAATATAATGGATAATAAAAAAAATGACACCTCAATTAGGCAATCGATTAATTTAGTAAATTATATTTTAAATTAGACATTTATATGAGAACATGGATTCTATAAATTCTTAAAGTTACGCAGAATTGTTTAAGGCCATTCATTTTATGAATCTAAATCAGGATCTAAAAGAATAATTTGTGACTAAAATACAATAAAAAGTCGTACCAAAGGATTTGCCCTTGCACCATGTATCTATGATTCTTTTTGTGCTTAAAAGTCTTAGAAGAATAGATCAAAATATGATAGAGAAGTATTTGGTAGGAATTCAAAGCAGAATTAAGGATATAGACAATTACGCTGCTCTTGGAATTTTAGCTGCTATCAATTCTGTGTCTCAGAAAAATCCCCTGATATTTGCCTAAATTCAAACGCTTAAATTAAATGAATAGTAGGATTAACCATTACTAAGAGAGATCTTAAGGTATTTATAACTGCATGATCCATAAAATGAGATGTCTATTAAAGTATAGGAGGGGCTTGTAAGGTTTTTGAATAAGGAATTTAATTTAGCATCTATTCTTTCGATTCTTGTGATTTTAAGAGAATTTGATCAAAAGACTCAAAAAAAAATTACATTAATACCTGAACTTAAAAAACATATAATAAGAGGAGTAGAGGAATTTAAAAGTTTGAGTTCTTTTAACCAAAAAGATAATGAATAAATGGAGTTTTTGAGAAAGCATTATCAGATCGATGCATGAGTTAAGTTATATTAAATGTTAAATGAATATTCTAATTATGTAAAATAATTAATTGACATATGTAACATAATGAACTCAATAATAAATATTCATTCAGCATAGATAATATCAGGGTTCTTTTCTATTTTACTCCATAATTAAGATATATATCCAAATTTGTCTTCTTTAAACCTGTTTTCTCTTTGTTTAAACCAATTGATTGATATAAGCTTTCGATTTGAATTCAAAATGAGGAAATCTCTTGCCGAGGTTGAACCATCCTTTTTATCATAGGAATTAGTTTGGTAATGGAAGGATCCATCGCACTCAATAATAGTGTTCATATTAGGTATCCAATAATCATACGAATAGGATCCATCAGAATATTCTTTAATGTATTGAATCCCTTTAGATTATAGAAAATCTTCAACGTCACTATTTATTTCATTTGTTCTTCCTGGTGTAGAATTTTTTTGAATAGATGAGACATCGATATTTTCTTCTTCAAATAATTTAACGTTGAAGCATTTCAATAGAGCCTAGCAGATCTTAGTTTAATTAATTGATTCTTAGGGGAAGGCGACTTAGGCATATCCAAAATCTTTGATGGCTTCAAGCGCTTGATCAATTAAAGGTTAAGCAAAATGAGGTTCCTTAATGAGTCTTTCCATGTTTTATCTAGTGGGATTCAACTTGAATTAATCCATTATGCGACTGGCTTGAAAATACAAGAGAGACATCAAATAATAAGGTAGGAATTCCTTTTCCAATTGCATCTTCTTATGAACATTAAGCATTTTTTTGATTATTTTTTCTCCAACTCCCACTTTACCCAACTAACAAAACATAAGCTTCAAATAGGCAAATTCGACTTTTTCTTCCTTGAATTAGACATTTTTTAACAACTATTCTTCTATGAATAAGGCATCCTCTTAGGACAAGTAATTTGTCTTTATTAGAAACTACGATATTTTAAATACTATACTGAGGATAGTTGTGAATAAAATTCTGGATTTTATGAAATTTCAGGTTCAAGATTAAGTTGAGCTCTAAATCTTTATAGAATGAACTTAGAGGCTTCGACAGCCAATTGTTTCTAATTCAGATAGGAAATGATTTAGTTGTATTTAATAAATTGCAGTTAATGGAGCATGGAGTATATGTGTCTCAATTATGTATTGGGCTTGTTTAAGATGATCTAAAATATAAAACTTTAATAGTGTTGTTTAAGATTTTGGTTATCGATAGCTCTTAATAAGTATCCCATGGATTTGCAAAATCTGGTTAGACTAATGTTGGAGAACTTCTTGCACTCATTGCGATCTTTTACAACTACAAGCATTTCCTTTAGTTGTTCTTCGATCAAATACGAAAATTCATTCAAATTAAAATTCTTACTCAAAATGGGGATGATGGAAATGAAATTGGCTACTGAAATTTGTTTCTAAAATAGAATATAATTTAAACTGATTTCAATATCTCTTATGCATTAGTTAGCAAAATGCTCTTCAAATCTTCCATTTATAGCTTTTTTAATTCCGATTTCATTTCTTCATAAGTGCATTGTTCATAATAATTAGTGATTAAGTAAAAATGCTTAGAAGACAATAAAAATAAATCTTTCTCTGCATTTTTCATTTAATTGATACTCTGCAAAACCAGATCTATATACACCTTAAGATTATGAATTAATTCATACAAGCTATTCAAATTTTTGAGGTAATACACCCTTCACCATTTGAGGTAGTTTGGTGACTGCGAATTGCATTTTAGAAAGAAAATTGATCATAATTAGAGATAATTTAATTTTTAAAATTATTCTCAGTTTTTATAGGAATTATAATCAATCAAGGGTTACTTCTTTGCTTAATACCTAAACTAGATGTTTATTCCTTGCAATCTACTATCTTGAGAATATTAATAAGGATTGTTTGACTGCCTCGATAATCGCTAGAAATTGTTTTGAAATAAAATAAATAATCGTTAAAAATACCATTAATAAAGCTATAAGAATTAAAGTCGCCATCAAAATGGCCTAAACTTTAGAATCCTCATTTTAAACGTTCTGACTAATAAAAAGGTTGTCTCTGTTCAAATTAAACTAAGGAAACACAAACCCATAGGCTATGATGATGTCTAAAAAGTCCTAATCTAGTAGAATCTACCCTAATCCTAAGCGGGAATCATAATCAGATTTCATGATCCTCAGAGTACTTTGAGAGTTAACCATATATTTCGAATACCCTTGCTGTAGAATGTACGGACATTTATAGCCCAATTAAATCATGGGAACTATTGAACCCATTTGGCAAATATCATTATTGACCATAGAAGTAAGTGAATAAGTATCGTGTTCATTATCAAATGGCAATTAAAATAGATATATATCTTCATAGTAAGAATATAATTCATCATAATATTGGAAGGTACTCTCATCAACTGAGTAATTAGGATTTGCATATGATTATATGAAATGGACTAAGCGATTACTAAAAGCAAGTTGAGCCAGTCCTAAGTAATGGACATCATTATGAAAATCAATGATTTATTATACTTGAGTTTGAAATAATTCATAGTAAGGAATGAAATAGAGTAGTTCTAATGCACCTATTAGAAAAACCAGAGCCAATTGTTTAGCCCAAAATTGTTTCTTTAATCGATGATCAATATTTCTGTATTCTTATTTGAGAGACTGCTAACCATTTTTATCTAATTTCAAAAGAGAGTACTTCATGTGTGACAATTCATCGATTTCTAAAATTCTTTAAATCTCATTGTCTTAATCATTCAGAGCTTGATTCAAGTTTTAAAACAAGAAATAGGTTCTAACAATAGAAACTCTCCATTTGGCTATTTGTATCTCGGCAATAAGTATGAAAAAGGCAACCCCAAGACATGAAGTTACTCCTGAAATAACATAAATGGATGCTATATATAGAGAACTATTTTTAGTGTTACTCATCTCATTATAAGCTTCATCAATTAAATTAGTTGCCAATTGGAAATAAGTAGGATAGTTTAGTGTAAAGTAACTTTCTTCCATGTTTGACAGATTAAAACGAGATGAATAAAATTCCACAACCTCTGTAATTCTATGAAATAACAACGGCAATTAATCTACCAAGAAATCTCTTGTATAGTAACAAGATTTAACTTAATCGCCGTTATTAGAGAAGAAATGAAGAATACAAATTTGGGATTCTTCTAAACCTATTAAGACTTCTGGATTAATAAATTTTCGATCATTATAATTTCTAATTTAGTTAATGTAGTCGTCAGTTGAATTAGTGATATAGAAATAAGGAGCAAGAAATTTCTAATCATGTGCTAATATATGAATAGATATTTCCATCAAATTAATGTTCTGCAACAGGGTTATTGAAAACTAGCCACCTGTGGAATCTAAATAGATGTGATGTAGTTCATTATTAATTGCAACAATGCTTAATGTAACTAGGATAACTAAAATTATTGCATATATTAATGCAACCACTAATATACTGTAAAACTCGTGAGGATTAGATTGAATCATCCCATTGATTATGTGATTTATAAGACCTTTTTAAGAGTCCGTACTCTTTACAGATGTAGATGGTTATTATTCAATTGTTAGTTTATGATTAGATCTCTTTTTTAAGGCAGTCGGTACAAAATGCTACTATTTATTGTGAAATTAATATTTATTCACTCTAACTTATGATTTTATCCACTCTATTTGTTCCTTCATCTATTGATCAGTTAGATCTTTAATTGAAACCTCAAGTTCCTATTCTACTTTCATTTCTACTGGTGATTCTACATCATCTTCCTCCCTTACACTCAACTGTTAATGGGGTTGAATGTCAACACTATGTTGATTGGTTTAAATCAGTTACAGATGTTCTCTTCTACTATCTCGATTGCTTAATTCATCATTAATTCTGAGTTGGGAGATTAGTAAATCTTAAGTTTGAAACGAATTTGCAATGATAGAAGAATGATTATTCTAATTAACTATTACTTTCTATTCATTTTGTTCATTTTGTTCTTATTTGAAAAATTAATGAAGTGATAGACTCAATGGATCTTGTTGAATGTGTATACTTTCATCACTAATAGCAAAGTTGTTATCATTCATTTCCTCCTTATAAGAGGGAGTCTTACCACTATTAGTGATTTGATAAGTTTCAGGAATTATTGATTTAAACGAAGTGTAGCTGGTCAGATACGTATCAGATTATATGTTATGCAAAATCATTACTTATTTAAACATCAATTCCAATGCTATCATTTTTAATTCAACATCCTTTATTTCATTGGATTGGAATATGTAAAGAGTTTCGTATTATAATTTGTTATCATCATAGGCTGAATTACAAAATTTATAAATTGAAATGAATACACTGCATTATTTAGGATGTTTGAGAAAATACTTGTAAAATGAAACTTAATTGATGTTATTTGATTGTATTTTTTTAAAGGTTGAATCTGATTACATTAAATTTACCTTTGGTATAATTATAAATCCATTGCACAATTCATTAATATTGCCAGAGATGGGTATACAAATCTTAAAATTTAAATTAATCTTATGATCCAATTTCAAAATTCTATTTAACTGAAGTAAATTTACTGCCTATTCTGAGTAAGAATATACAGTGCCTTTCTAACTCAATAAGATCTTCCCACAATTATCCTCCTACTTGTAACCCATGATTGTCATAAATGTTAGGTATTCCATACTCTGACCTAATCTAACCAGACTATCAATTTCTTTCATAAACCCTTTGTTTGTGGTGATGTAAAATTATTGAATCCCATTATTCAGCAATCTCGGCTTCCCTTCTTCAATCAACCTTCTGAGAAATGTCTAGTGAACCTCCCTTACAGGACTTGGTAATATCCTATCTATGTAATGTCCCACTAAGTCAGATTTTATTTCGGTTTCTTAAATTCAATTAAAATGGTACCTTCCATCAACTTCGGAAACAGAATGGAATGATTTAGCATGATCAATCCATTGTCGTATTTACATTAAACATAGCAACATTGCATATCGTTTAAAGTGTTCCATAGATTGTCAATTTTGAAATTTTATAAAACTAATAAGGATGTTATTTACTTCAATTTATCTTATTGGAAAGTGGCTAATGCATACAGAGCATGGGATAAATTCTTAGTCACGATTGAATGAGGGTTCAGTCTCAGAATATCATTCAATAGAATTTCACATTTTTAGACAAGTTTAATATAAGTGTACATCTTATTATGGTATAAGTAATAGAGAGGGTTCTGATATTATAGAGTCAAGAATACAAAAATTTACTACCTTTAATTTAGTAATTTAATAATTGATGAACCTAATTGTTCAACCAAATTGCAATAATTGAAATAAATCTAACTGTTGATTCTCACTCCTTCAATTTTCTAAAGCAATTTCTCAAAAAACATTTCTCTATGACTCTGGATTCGAAAGTGATGTGGCAACACAGTGTAGCCATAAAATTTGGTTGAACTGAGCTTTTGGCTTCTCAAAAGAGTTTCAAACAATTTGTCATTCTGATATTGAGTTTCGATTCTACTCAATAATAAAAACTTAGATATAAGAATGTCTTTACATATTCTTAGGAATTTTCAAGATATGAGATGTTGTACAATCTTAAGATTTCTCCAAGAACTTAATTAAGATGCTATTTCAAAACTTAATCTGGCGAAATCCAAGTTTACTCTTAAGTGAATTGAAAGCTTTAGGCGCAAAAACAATTCGGTCTATTGCACTCCTTAGAATGAGTAACCAGAATCTGTGACAGATAGAATAAGCCCACACTTTATCCCAATTAATACGTGAATTACATAAGGATAAGTTATTTCAATTGGAATGGTTTTTTTAATAGAGAAATTCTAATTTAATGGTGAATAAAAATGTCCAAAATTTTGAAACTTAGACATATTATGATGGGTATGATGAATAGCAAGGATTGCCATGAAATAGTGAAGTAGAGTATCAAAATAGTAAGTCGATTCATCGAGATAATGGCGATAATCTTAAATTTCAACAAATTTGGTGAAGTAACCAATGCAATTCCAAAGGTTTATATTATTATAATTGAATCGTAGATCATGACACAGATGTTGTATGCTAATTGGCTTTGGTAATGGATCGAAAAGGTTATTAAGATCATGATAAATTTGAATATCCTCAAAAATTTGTATATTTAAATTTCTCCTGTAATTTCAGTATATGATAAAAATAGAATGGCCAATATGGTTATTAATAGAATATTGCATATGTCGATAATTTCTACTTGCTGGGATTGAATAAATAGAGGCAACGCAACGTAAAACTGATGATGATACCACAATCGAAATATTCTTGCTTTCTAATAATATTATGATAAAATTATGAATGTCAAAATGAAGGTGCCATTAATTATTATTGAATACAGGGGATCAACATATAAAGCGATTCCAAATGCTTCGAGTGTTATTAAGATTTAAATTAATATTTCTTCATAATAATTTTTCTGGTTAATAAATAATAGTATCTACATTAAAATAAATAATATAAGTATAACATGCTTTAACTAGTTACATTCTGATTTTAATTGAGCATTATTTATATTAATTCTAATGCAAAATTAATAATTTTGTGAGGGAAGGAAAATCGACTTGGGTTGGTTGACAGATGCCAAGAATGATTATCACACCCTGCTTACCAAATCCTTCAGATAGCAATTCAAGGAGGAATAATAGAATATAGCAAATAAGGAATTGATTACGGATGAAATGATCATGAGTCTTTGTCTCAGTGTTGATTAAAAGAAGGAAGAATTGGTGATGCAAAAGAAGAGTAGTGTAACAGGTGGTTATTTGGATAGACAAGTAAGATTTGAGAAGCACATCCTTCAATAACTCAAAGATCATAAGCCTGTAAAATCATTCCCTCTTTATTAAAGAGTCTATGTGGAAACCAAGGCAGCTGATTAAAAGACTTGGTACAACAAAAATGGTGATATGGCAAGATTATTACTGGATTTTGAGAAAGGACATTCTGGTGTTTACATTTATAGAAAGGATAAAAATTAGGCAATAAAGTGGCAAAGATATTTGATAATTGAGAAATTATTGCAAGTGAAACCAAAATTAGTTGCTAGATGTTTTGAATATTGTTATTAAGAATATGAGGAAAAGTTTACATTTACTTGGGCATTATAATTTGCTTAACTTCTTGGAACTTACACAACACAAATGAATTAATTGAAAAAGCAAAAAGCTAAATTGGATGAAAACTTTTTGATCTCTTTAGACAGATAGGTCATGAATTATCATATTAAAAAATGGTAAGCCAAGAGTGAGAAGTAATACAAAGATGAACAAGATTATCAAGAAAAAATGAAGCAATTATCATTGAAAGAATAAGAACAATTGAAGGCTACAGAAAATTAGAGAGAATTAGAAAGATAATCCAAAGAAAAGAGGAGATTGGAATTATTAGAGCAAATGGTCACCTATCTGAGACCAAAGAATTAGGAAATCAAGCGATTCTACAAGTATTGGTAGGATAGAGCAATTCATATTCATCACAACAAACCAAAAGAGTTTTCTATCAAATTTCTTAGCATGTATATGCAGAGCAACACCTAATTGATACGCCCTTAATTAGAAGTAAGATTTGTATCTGAAGTATCTTTATAACAAATTATTATAGAGAACAGAGAACACTAAAGATATCGAAAACACAAAACAATTAGACGGCTTACAATATCATATTGACTAAAACCCATATTACACTACTCGTCTCCTAACTCAGATGAGTCAATAAAGAAGAAGAGACTTCACCAGTTGGGTTTTCAAAGATGGATTACTTGGAGTATGCGGCAATAAAACAATTACTATTGAGAATTTGGGATACAGAGATTTTCTGGACCTTTAAGTTATAGATACAATTAGTAACTATTAAATACTAATAAATAAGAAACCAATACATCTTCAAAAGTCCTGAGAATATAATTGCAGGATTTGGTTCAATATCTATATGAAGGTCGATCATTTTGGGTGCAATTGGAATTTGGAGCTTCCAAAATCTTTGTAGAAATGGACATACTCGAACGTTCAAACATTGACCCCATTTTTTTAGATAGGCTGAAGTTCATCTAATTAAATGGCATTCTCAGAAAGATAGCTTTAAAGATCATTGAACAGAGAACCCCAGTAATAAATATGTATCATTTAGGTTCCAATTTCAGAAGCTGTGAGATATGATCTTGAAATTGATAAATACGGTGAAGAAATTCAAAGTTTGTATTAAGGATTTTATATTGAGAACATTTGTTTATAGCCTCCATGTATTCCTACAGCTTGGTTCTCTTCTTTGGATGGAATGGATAAAGTAGTTAAGCCTATCATAGACATCCTTAAAAGAAATTTCTAAGATTTTGTGGACAATGAAGAAAATGTGAAAATTTATTAACAATTAAAATCAACTCCAAATTTGACTTTGCCTTAGGAGAAAGATGTCCATGAATTCATGAACAGATTACCTGTTATTTAAGCACATTAGCATAAACAATGTCAAAGCATGTTAATAACATTCTTGATTTATTGTAATGTTAGAGGAATTTAATTAAATACTTCACTACTCAATACTATATTTACAATTGCAAGTAAATTTATGTGTATTACGCATTCTCACTTTTTTTATAAACTTTCAAATCCTGTGTTTGGCGATAAATTTGATTCAGAAGCTCAAGCATTTTGGCTCTTTGTGTCGTTCTTAGATCTAATGAGAAATATTCGATTTCCATTAACTAAAGAAGATGCTTTGTTTTGTCCTTAAGAGACAGTCATACAATATTTGGAGTTTCAACATCAGAGTCTGATGAAGCATTGCAAAATTTATGACATTGCTATTAGCAATATCATCTACGACATTCTAATTAGTTTCTACACTAATATTGTTCAATCTTTGCCCTTATATAATATTTGGAGTTTGATCATAAGAAAGATGAATACAAATAAGAATGTCTACCTGATCGTATTGATTGTATTGATTGAGGAATTGGGAGACAAGTTATTGCTTTGTCAAAATACGGAAGATTTTAAGAACGCCATTTCTTTGCAAGGTATTAAATCAATGAGAGATTTTAGCTTAGCTTATGGATATCCTTCAATTGGAAGCATCGTATTCAAGTTGTGAATCAACCCTGAATAGGGTCATTAATTCAGAGCGATCGGTGTATCAATCGATTGAACACTCTAACATCCATGAGCCTTTGATATAGGACAATTGATTTATAAAAATAATATGTAATTAATTGAATCAGTCACTATATTTTGTGACACTCTTATATTATTTATTAAATTAATCATCACTTATATCCATTCTTTTCTTGGATCTATTGAATTTTATCATACAACAACTCAATATCAGCTTGATCAATGAGTTTTGGTTCTTGAGCCCATTCCCCAACTAAGTATTCGACTCTTCCAATCATCTTAGTTCTCAATTCTCTATATTGAGTCTCATTCAATGGAATAGGAAGTTCTCCTCCTATCTTCAGAATTGTTCCTTTTTTGCCAACGAACAATGTCTCAGTTGGTTCGATTTCTTCGATGAGTCCTTCTACGTGTAGAGATTCAGCAACAGTCAACTGTTGTGCTAAGTTTTGGATTTCTGGTAATTCTGGATTGAACCTAATTAATAATTAGAAAGTCTTACTTTTATTCTTAAATTAGTTCATCCCTCTCATTCTAGACTCCTAAAATTAGTTCTGCTCTCAAGGATTCTAATAATTTCTTTTGTTCATTGAAACTCATTTGAATGTATTGCTTAAACTCATCCTCAGTCAAAAGGAGATCTGGATGATAAATTTCTTCCACTGTCTCTTAGACTAATTCTTTAAACCATTAGTCAATTGATTGATAACAAAACCATTTCTTTTATAAAGCCTTTTCCAAATCTTCTTTTTATTACAAAAGTTCTTTGGGTGTAATCTCAACCTATCGTTCTGCTATTAAATCCAACTACCTCAGTTAATGACTGACTCCTATTATCAATCTCCTTTGTTTCTATGCTTTAAGTCTTTAGATTTTGCCATAAATCTCAATTTCCTTTTTAGAAGTAAAGTAAATATCGTCTCTAAAATATATACGCTTTTAAAGTTAACCTCTCCTGTATTTTGGTAAGTTTTGTTTATAGAATTAACTCATTCTATGTGATTTGCTTTCCAAAGCACCATAAACATCGTCAAGAGTAGTTTAACTTATTGGCTTCTCTTCCAATGAGGTTATTTAATTCTCATAATTAGTTTTAATTTTCAAACTTAAGAGATTTGTATAAACAGCTTTGGATTTGAAATTTGGCACTCTAGAAGATTAAAGAGTGAAGATGTAATCTAGCAATTTATCAGATTCAACTAGAGTCTTTTCTCTATAGGTGTTATAGAGTGTTGCTGCAGCTCTCAATTTTTTATTTAAATAATCCAACAGTCTTTCGAATTATTTAAAGTTTTGTAATTAAAATCCATACTCTTATAAGAATTTCAAGGGTCTAAATTTCAAAAGAACTACCTTACTTAAATGAGCAATAAATTTCTTCTAACTTACACAATAGGATATACGAAAAAGAAAACATAAGATTGCTCTCAATTACTTTAAAAGAGTCCAAAGTCAAAGCCTCATTAATCTAATCATCAATAACTGCCAACTCATTTAAGTGCTTGAATTACTTGGCTCTCATTCTATAAATGGATGTTAATATCTATTCGAAAATTGCCTATAATGGTTTGAATTCTTCAGGACATTTAAAGAAGTCAGCCATTATTTCGCTCAAATTCTCATCAGCCTAAATCAATCCTTCGAGATTAGATGGAATCTCATCTTTTTATTTCAGATGTTCTATTTATGATTTCATTTGCTTGATTAAATTCTCCTTGTTTACTTACCCTACAGGTTCTTTTTTTAAATTAATAATAATCTCTTCTTTATTTTCCTTCAATAATTCCAATATTTCCTTGACTTCTTTTCCTTCTAAATACTCTTGTATATTGTTGAATTTATTTGATTGAGTGACATTTTAAATGACATTCTTATAAAAGTTATCAATTTATGAACTAAACTCTTGATGGATATCTCCATATCTGGTTTCATATAATTTATCTCTTATATTTCTGGCTCTAAATACTTAATCTGTTACTTCTTTGTCTGCTATTTTGTCTGGTAACTCATTTTCATAGAACGATTTTTTATCATCCTTTGGAAAGATGAGCAATCTCTACATTGATCTATTCCATGCCTACTATTTCTTTAAGACATCAATTTCATCATTGTCTTCGGTTAATTTGTGATTCAAAATAGAGTTTCTTACTAATGAAAACAATTCTCTCTTTGGTTTTACAGATGCAATCTTGGCAACATTTGCATACCCATTGAATCTTGCTTAATTAGCCTTCTCGAAGAAGGAGTTTACTGAATCTTCCAAAAGAGTTCCAAAATCCTTAATATTATCCAAATAAGCTTGTCTTTCCTCTATGAACTTCTTTAGGTTTTCTTCGTATCCAACTATGCTTTTCAATTTATCCATATTGCTTTTGACATCTCTTTTCAATTCAGCTATTTCAACTCTCATTTTTCTCAAATCTGCCACTCTGATCGAACCATCCAACATATGATCATTATTTTTCATAAAGGCAGCCACATCCACTTCCTAATTGGCTCTATCAATCAACCCCTTTCTAAGATTTTGTTCATTCAAAAAGACCCTAATATTGTCAGGATACTCAGTATAATAATCTCTGACTGGTTCGATAGCATCTGGCAAATAATCAATTGATGGAGTAACATGACTGAAGAAGGAATCAATGTTATCAACTTTTCCTTATTTCTCCATCAAACCACTATTAGCAAGATTTGAAGCTACATTATATTCAGCAACTAGACAATCTCTCCATTACCATTTCTCTGCCTACCTTATTAATTTGAATGTGATATCAAGAGATAATCTCGGTTATGCTTCTAATTCCTTTAAGATCTCCTGGGCAAATTAACTCTATTCAGCCCTCAATTTATCCATAATCTCCTATACACTATCTCCACTGAAACATCTAGCAATCAAGGCCTTATCCAATTTAACTAAGTTCTCTCTTGATATTATGCTCATTTCTTCTAGACTATCAATGTTCAGTGTTTTAAAGTGGAGGTATGGATTGGCTATGGTTTACTTGGGCTTTTCAAATTTCTCACTTAAAAGATTCTCCTCTTAGAATCTTTTGAGTTTGTAAATTAATTCTTAAGCGACTTACTATGCATCTTCGTTCTTCATTCTAATCAACATTTCTTAACTCAATTTTGCTAAAAATCTCTTCTATCCATATTTGAATTATTAAAGTCCCCTTTTCACCTACTTTGGGTACATTTTTGCAGTAGTGGGTGTCTTATACTATTAAGTGGTCTAATCGATATAATCAATGGCTTTGTTTCTATCCCTCAGATTGCCATATATCAACTCCAAGTTTAATGCTTCTTCATTCTTCAACCATCGGCCAGTCAAGGCGTAGAACAACCCCAATTAATCCGGCAATCTAGACAAATGAAACGTAGCGCTAATATTCTTATTCATTGTTACCCTGCATGAGGGACAAATCCTTTGTTTACATCATTAAATCGAATGCCTCCTTTTTACTCAAAAAATTAGAATGGAGTTGAACATGCTAAGGCTGCCATTGATCCACTTGCTTCTCCTGTTATTACAGGCATCAAAATTTTATTGTACTTCCCAAAGTAGACTGCCATATTTTATATTTGTCTCAGGTATTCAATCTTCTCCTGTTGAGACAAGTGTTATAAATCTAATTGTCATTACAATTGCATACACTTCAAATCTGTCCCTTTAGATTAGCAATCCAACCATATGATATTCACTGTCTCATCCAAATCATAACTCTCCAAAAATCTATGAATCTGATCTAACATGGTTGGAGTCAAAACATTATGCTTATGAAAATGGTTAAGTTTTGCAAACACCTATTATCCAAATTGCTCTCCTAATAAATGTGATTGTTTGATTTCAGCATCGAATCTAACAACATTTTATGATCGAAGCACTTGAGTTGAGATGTAGGAATACTTAATTTTAAGCATCATAAATAAAATCTTAATTAATCAAACCAATTTCTCAAGGCTAATACGAGCTTCCAATATGCACTTCAACAACTCTGGCTTGTACTTATATAGAAAAGGATAATCCTCACTCAACTTGTCTCTCTTTATCGAAGTCTACCCAGCATATCTGGTCTTTTTCTTCCTTTTATTCTCCACCATATTCCCCTTCCTCTGAGTGAGAATCGGCAAATCCACCTCCAGCAACGACCCCGCTCTCTCCTGACGATGTGTGTTTGGTGTTTGTCTTCTTGAAACATCCAAAGAAACCTATATGATGTCCGATTAAATTGCTTAGGGTCTTTGCTCATACCGGAAAATTGGTTGATACGACTGGACTTTGCTTTCCTAATCAGCGAGATCTTATTCTTTTTAAGATTATCTATACAATATTATAAATTGAAATTTACTATTATAATACAAAAGTGTCTTCTAAATCTTTCGGTTACAATTTTGGAATTCGATCACAATTTCTAGCAAATTTCAATCCCTTTATTTCTCGCCTGATATTCAATTCGGCTGATGGTTGAAGAGTCTAAAAATGAATTTCCCTGGAATGTTGATTTACCTAAGTCAACTCCATTACCCTTTATTTATCTAAAGAATTAATTTAGCTAATTTACATAATTATAAATAGTATTCCAACTCTGGATCAAGTTTCACTCCTGCAATTTCACTAAGAATTAAATTAATATGCTCCTTTATTTCCCTTAAACTCACTTTCTTCTCTATTAACTCTTTGAGTTCTTCCTTTAAAATCAATAAATATTTTTTAGGATCCTCATCTTTTCCAATTTTTGGCATTGAAACTGAATGAAATTATCCTTTCCTTATTGATTTCTATCTTTTAAACTTATTATTGTTTCTTTTCTCTTCATCATCTTCTTTGTCCTGCTCTTCTTATGAAGATTCATCAACCGCTTCCCTGTTTCCTGTTTTATGTCTGCTTTTTCTGATATCTTATTAGGCTTGCTATTGACTCTCAAATGGTTTATTAACAATCTCTAATTTTTATTATTCCTTTTTATTTTATTTATTAGAGTCTATGATTTTAGTAACTGATTTTTGAAATCTCTTAGCCTTCTCTGGACTTTTTGCACTTTTTTTAGACTTTTAGGGAGATAGGTCACTTGATTGTTAAGAAATTTAATAATTATTAATGTCATCTTGTTTCGAATCTTGCATGTAATTGAGTTAATTAATTTGAATATGAGTATCTCTACCTTATGATTTATCCTATCTTGAGTGTTTACTATCTCTTGATTATTATTTGTTATCAACACGTTGTTCGTTAGCTCTTAAATTACTTTTAATTGACGTTTGTCTTGTTAATTTATTTGGTGAAACTCTTCTGACATTTTCATTTTCCCCCTACACTTATTGTTATTTAATTGCCTATTCTTGTTGTTAGTTAATTGCTTACTCTTCTGATGCCTCCTCGATACTATCTACTTTTGATCTTTTATTTTAAATAGAATTATAATTGCTTGTGTTTCTAGAAGTTCTGGCAGTGGTATTATTGGATAATGATCCTGGCATTGAAGATGGAACATTGTAACCATAATCTAATTTGACTTAGTTCTCAATAGACTCCTTATATTTTTTATCTTCCTTTGATGAAATAGTTCTACTCTAACTTTAAATGTCTAAACTCTTCTCTTTGTCCTGGGATTCTAAAGTATTCTTTCTGAAGTTGCTAACATTATCATCCCTTGATATATTTTCAAGTTCCTCTTAGAGTTATCTGAGTTCATCCTTTTCCTTCTCTTAACTAAATAGTTTGTCCTTCAGTTTCTATTATGAAACCCTATTTTATTGTACGAAGTCACTCAAGAGCTTGATGTCATCATTAATGCTGTTGCTAGTATTCTTATTGTTTAAACTAATGCTCATATTGTTGTGGCTATTACTCTATCCTTATTAAATATTATATTAATGATGACTGATAGTATTCTAAGTTAGATTCTTGTTTGCATTTGCATCCTTATAGGCATTTTCAAATTATTTGGAATCTTTATAATCAAGTTTCTAATAAAATTGCATACTATTTTTTTAGGGTTATTCCTTAGATGTTTTGACAGGATGTTTATTAATATCATCCTCATAAGGAGGTTTAATGATATCTTCGAGAGACTTCAAGGACTGCTGAGACCATTAAGATTATAACATTTTCTCTTATCCTTAAGATTGAACTCTATGAGTATTGTTTTAGTTATTGCTATTGTTATTAGACCTACTATTATTCTCTGATACTACAAGCATTCTTCTCTATGGTGAACTACTATTTGCCGGTTTTTGTTATAACTTATAACTTTATTGTTTGGCATACTACAAAAATGGTTTCTGCATTTCAGCCGAGACATTGTTGTTTAATCTTTATTCCACAATTGGTTATTAGAATAATTTGTTAGATTCATTCAACTACTTTTGTTCTAAAACATTCTAAAATATATCACTGCATTCCCTACTATTGGGAACTTCAGAGTATTAAGGAATTGAACCTTCAGATGAATGTTCCAACTTTATAATATTTTTCTATTCTTCATATTATACTCTGGCAAGTTAAAGAGCATCTTCTTGTAAAACTGAGTTGTTTACAGAAATATTATTATATTCATCTTAGGCGATCTTAGACAGAGTATCCATTATTGTTTTATGGGTGCTCAATTAGATCTAATCTCCCACCTTAACAAGCTCTTTATATTGCTATTCAGTCTTGTTCAAATCAAAATTCTTCCTTGCTTTCACCAGATTTGCATCTAATCCAACATTGCTTGCTAATTATAGTAATTCATCAGAAAATAACGTCTTCTCTTGTTGCCATCTTCTAAATTTGCTTTTTGTATTATTAGATGTCAGTGTGTATTCTCTTTGCCATTCATTTACAGTTTTATCGAATTCCTTTTAGATCTGATCTACAGAATTGAATAACCTTTTGATTTCCAAAATCTTTACAAAGTTCTCAGCATCTCCTGCTCCTTTGATTCTATCCTGAACTATATTCTTAAATGTAACGTAGTCATAGTACCCTAAACTTTAAACTCCTTATTCAGAAATCAACTATATTATTCTGTTAACAAAAACATCCTATAACTGAAACAACGATTTATCTTTATGTTCTTATCCAGCATGCAAATCCAACACTTAATATGTTATAGATTTCCTGTATTCAGGAATTTATCTAGATGGAAAAGGTGGGTTCGGAGATTTCACATTTCTTAAAATTTCTTGATAAAACTTTAGATCATCCTTCTACTTTTACATCATCAATTTACAATATTCAGGATTTTATCTAACTTCCTCAGGGCTCTATAGAATATTAATAGGAACACTTTATTTGAATTTCCGTGCCTCCTCTATCCACCACTAATTAATCGCAAAATGTCTAAAAATATGCTTAAAGAAATCCAAATTCAATTCTTCTTAGAATCCTCCACTATGCTACTAAACATAATTGATATAATTTCGTATTGGAAATGGTGCGTGGAGTGATGAATCAACTCTTTTAATATCTTTCTTTTCCCATTTTGGAACCAAGTAAACATTCGTATTCCATTATTATCTTGAATCGACCAAAGGTGGTTTATGCTGACTAAGACCCAATTCATTTGTTGGAGGTGTTTGGGATGGTTCTTACTTTGACTGCTAAAATTTATGTTTTAGCTTATTATAAAATTACATTTAATATCAAAACTTGAAAATGTAACACTGAATAAATCTTCTTTGCTCATCTCCAAAATGTAAACATACGAAAGAAATATCTATTAATTATTCTCATATATCAACAGGTATATGATAAACTCATTTACTCAATCTCTAAGATCAATCCATTAAAACAGACATATTTTATTTTGTTGTCTTAGAATTCAAATAGGAACTTCATTAGGCATGGCTTAATAAGATTATGTTTTAAATTTAATTTCAACTAAAGAAACTTAGGGGTATTAATTCGTATTTTTTTATGAAATATCTTTATTCTTTTAATTTTGAAACTATTATCTAAAATAAGTCAGAGATAATATTTTCTTAGTAGGATTCCTATGGAAAAGTTATATCAGATGCACTAAAAAGTGAAAATATTGTATTTTAAAATGCCTGAATTGAAATATTAAGATAAATAACCTAAGGGAAAAGCTGCTAGTAAAATTGAAAATTTTTGAATCTATTTGGGGTTCAAGGTTAAATAAAATTCAAATTGTTTTATGTAGTTTTTATACATTAAATCGTAACTTGATTATATAATATATTATTAATTATGAAGAAAGTAGGTCTTCTATGTCTAGAGCATTAAGTATATCCAAAATTAATATGTTTTGATCAATCTTGTAAAGCAAGTAGATTCTAATGCATGTAATGTATTAAATAAGGAGCTCATGTTTCTCATCCTTAAAACTAAGAAGACCCATAATAAATATATTAACATATTTTAAAAATTGAAACAGAAAGTGAAGCTTTAATAAAATACTTATAACTATCTATTAATGATGTAAATAAGCATCTTCAATTTTTGATTAATGGAATTAGAAGAAAATATCAGAAAAAATCAAATGAGATCTAAAAGATGGAGTATAAGTAAGTTCATTTTTTCTTTTCACAAACCATCAAATTCAAATCATTTGAAGAAACTCTAAAAATACAATACTAAAAATCCTTTTAGGATTTCATAGACTCACTAGAAAACTTATACCTGGATTTAAAATTACCCTAATTAGATTATATTACATTTTATAGTTAAGATGTACTTTAATCAAAATAATTATTTCAAGATGGTAAGAAAACCTTTAACATTAGCCTATGAACTATATCAGGATTATGATGACTATTAAGAGGCGATTTAATTATTTGATAAATCATTACAGTATATAACGGCATTCGAAACTTCCAAGATATGGGGCAAAGGTAAGATTATGTGTTAAAGTTTAGCGGATAGTTTAAGGATTCTTAATAAACCTGATGAAGCCATCATTTGGGCAGATAAAGCCTTGCAAATAGATTAAAACCATTGCTAATCGTTATGGTCCAAAGGTATAATTATATTTTAATTGTTAGCTGAAAGTTTAAGAATTCTTTGTAAATATGATGAATCAATCATTTGGGCAGATAAATGTTTATTAATTAATCCAAAAGACAATTTATCATTATTTTGCAAAGGTATGTCTATTTTTTAAAGTGTTAGCCCAATGTTTATAAATGCTTGGTAAATATAACGAAACAATCATTTTGGTAGATAAAGTGTTGTAGTCCATTCCAAAACATTTGGATGCATATTGTACTAAAAGTAATTATTTTTGATTTTAAGGTGACTCATTACGATAATTGCAAATGTTTCGGGAAGCAATGGATGCTATCGAGCTTTCATTATCAATTGATCCAAATCACATTGAATCATTAATGGTTAAAGGTTAATGTCTAAATTATTTAAAGGCTAATGTTTACAAGATCAGAAATAATATTAAGAAGCTCTAAACGTTTATGAAAATGCTTTAGAAATAAATCCAAATCATTAATAGAGTAAAGAAAAAAAAGGTAATTTTTATTTAATTATTTAGCTGAATGTTTAGAAGCTTTAAATCAAATATGAGATTTAATAGGACAAAAATTCAAAATATTTTAACATAATAAAACATTCCACATCTAAATCATTAATTTTGTTTTATAATTTTTCCTTGATTCTTCAAGTTCAAGTTTGAGTGATTCCAAGGTAAATTCTTTTTTCGTTCTCAATGCATCTATCTTTTTAAATCCGATAATAATAATAATTATATTTCTTGCCCTAATTCAGATTAATATATTCTATTTAAATCGACTAAATTAGACAAAATATATATTTAAGATTTGAAATTATCTTATTTGTACAAACTTAAAATAATTAAGTTAATGTGAAATTATTATATAATTCATATTTTAACCTTCTTATTTATCTCTTCTCCTGTCATCCAAGTTTAAATTTAATTCTAGCATTTCGTGAATGTATCGAAATCAATATTATCTATGATGATTTAGAATCTCTCTTTGCTGACTACAACAAAGGCACTCGGACTACTAGTCTAAATGATCTGAACTAATGCACCAATTTGATCAGGATTTAATTATTTTAGAATGTTTGAGAACTCTACTTTCTCACTATGTGAAATTGTTAATTGAGTGTCTTCTTAAACTGCTTCATCAGCAATCTTTCTAATTTTTATTGAGCTTTAAGGCACATTTACTAATGGGAGATAATTTTTCACATATTTTTTAAAGGATTTTTCAAGCTTCTCAGATAGTTTAGATATCCACTAAAATAGGATATATACATACACTAGAAGGTCCATTGTACAACTTGCAGTTGTCCCAAATTAATTGGATATCATCTAAACATTCTTCTACACATTTATACTCTGAATTTTATAATTTTTTCTCACAAGTACCCAAATCCATTGGTTTTTTAATTACACTCAAATAATCATGTAAACCTAGAGTTTTATAATCAACAGGTTATCGAAATTCTAAGCTTTCATTTGAATCTATAAGCTATTATAAAATTTGATTTAATTTTTTCAATTCCTCCTTATTAATGGGCGTCGGAGTTCCTTTGATCATTCAATAATTTTTATATTTATTTTCTTCAATTTCTAGATTAAAATTGATTATAAACTTAATAATCATATATTTATTTTGCTAAATATAATATACATGATTATTTTTTACTGATCCATTTTCTGATGATTATTATTTCCTAGTAATCTAAAACTTCAATAATTATTAGTAACTGATTCTATATTGAGATTTGGACTTAGTTTAAATTAAAGCTAAAAGTGATAAGCATCTCATGCTCGACAATAATTTATTATAAAAAGTTCTTATTTATTAATATTATATTACTTATTTAAATAAGCATCAGATTCATTTTCACAGTTGAATACCTGTAATTTTCTAGATTTTGAAAGGAATTGTTATAATAATTAGTAGATAATCTTAGTTTTTATTGGAACTTGAGTATATAAATTAATTATTTTCAATAATGTCTAAGTAAAGTAAAGGATAAAATCAAAATTAAGATGGGTTAACTTAGGAATTGGATGCTTAACGAAGAGACCTTATGAAGGCAATATCGACTCATAAAAATATGAAAGATCGTCTTGATAGAATGTAACTTCTTGTAATAGGAATTTAGGGAAAATGAGAGAGATAAATTTGGGAATGAGAATGTGGAGGTGAAGAGGAAATTATCGGATGAAAAAAAAGAGCTAATAGATTTGATTGAATTTCATAAAAAGGAAAAGGAGGAGTTGAGAGAGGAAAAACAGAAAATTGAGTTTGAGTATGGAGTGTTACAAAGGAAGATGGCTGATATAGATGAGGATTACAGTAAGATGAAGTATTTATTGAACTAGAGAAAATGATGGAGAAGTAAAGGCAACTGTTTGAGGCAGATAAATAACCATTGCTTGATAAAATAAAATATTTGGAAGCCCGATTGGAGAAGATTGATAGTTTTTTACAGACAAAGGCTGACTTAGAAAATGAGAGAGCAAAATTGATAGAAACATTGGCATAAGAAAGGAAGGATAAACAGAGGGAATTAGCAGATAAGGAGAAAGAGAAAGTAAAGGAAACAGGTATTGAAATCACTATGTATTTATATAGATCAATTAAAGAAAGAAATGCTTCATAAAATACAGGAAACAAAGTCATCATTGTTGGCATTGAAAAAAGAATAATTGGAAACTACAACTAGATTAACAGTCTTACAAAATCATTAACTGACTACAGAACTGGAATATCAATCAAAGCAGACAGAAAAATTGTTGTTCAAGAATTCAAAGTTATCAGAATAAGTAACAAGTTTAAAGAGAGATATAGAAATTCATAAATAAGTTGAATAGGAATTGGCAAAGAGATCTCATTTCTCTTAGAAACTAATCAAGAAATTGACAGCAAAGATTAAAGAGTTAGAGGACTAATAAGAATAATAACAATTAGAAGAATAGGAATAGAATCCATAACAGAAGGAGATTCCATAGGAGGTAGAGAAGATGAAGGAATAAGAGATTATTTAATTGGAGAAAAAAATAGCGAAATTATAAAATGATAATGACATATTAAGAAATGAGAATAATCATCTCCTTACTAGATTAGATACTATAAGATTGGAGGAGAATAAGTTTGCCAATTTATCAGTTATTTTAGCAAGTAATTTGGAGTATTTAAAGAATAATTCCAATGAAGATATAAAGGAAGTGATCGACCTATAGGAATTGTAAATGAAAATTATTATTATTCTTTAGACGTGAGAAGAGTGTGAATGATTGGACATCAAATTAGAAAACTGCAATAATGAGTATTCTATTGATGTAAGCTTAACAATACTTGACAAAGAAGAATCTAAATTTGTCCGATACTAATTAGATAAACAACAATAATACTATGGCAGAGAATGTCACGATAGTAGATAATGCAAACAAATCAGTCTAATTGCCAAGTATCTCATAAATTTTATTGTGAAGAAATAAAATAAGATGAAGAACAAACATCCCAATAAGTCTCAAAAAGATTTTAAGGTGTCTCACTTGATATTAGCACCTAAATAGTGAAGAGCAATCTGAGAGATTGGGGTAAACCGGCAGCATCATAGCAATCCAGCTAGTTATCCAGAAAATATAAGTTAAAATGATTATTAATATTATTATTATCCTACCCTCTGTGGGAGAAGAAAAAACATAAATGAATCTTATCATATATACCTTCACTTTTTTCATCATAATTGTGTATCTTCTTGATTATTAAAAATATACTATTAAACATCATATGTGATAGTATTGGTTCAATGTTCCATACCTCAGTGTTAAGTCATTTATTTTCTAGGAAGAGATTCAATATTATTATAAATAATATTTATTTTGCCTTTTTAAGTGTAATTAAAAATAAAATTTAACGTAAATTAATTTAATATCTGTTTGCAAATACCTTTTATACATAAAATGTCAACGAATACAATCAAAATGTTACAATAACGTAATATAGATGTAGAAGTCTCATGTTTTGATGATAAATTACAAATATCCCCTTCAAAATAAAATAAGGAAAATTCACATCATATGAAGGCAAAGACCTGCGATATGAGTGATCTTATCAAAATGTTACATAAAGTAGAGATCCAAAGTACTTAATAAGGAGGTATTAAATGTTTTTAATTTTCTATAGACTAAATCGAAGTAGAATAAGATAGTACTCCCAAAAAGTAAATTCAGCAAGGAAAGACTTGCAGATACATTCCTTTAAGGAGTGGATAGAAATAAAACCTGGCAGAGGAATTCTAATATAGAGAGATAGAAGATGAAAACTAAGAACCTTAGAAGGGAAGTGATTACAAGGATTAAGGAAATGTTTCACTAAAGGATATTTATAAGATGCACGTCTTTGGGCAACCCTTACAAAGTGACTAGTTACATTGGGAATCAAAAAACATCTTCAGATTCAATGACGACACTCCTTAGAAAAGGAAGATCCTATAAGACATCAATCCTTCAGTGTTAGAAACCTATAATAATCTGATCGAATATAGAGAATAGTTCTAAAATAGTTAGGATTATCAATACAGTCAAAGGAAAATAAACAAGGTTCCATTTAAGGTGCTGGATGCCCCTCAATTATAAGATGATTTTTATTTGAATTTGATAGATTGGAGCTCATAGAATGTCTTATCAGTGGCATTATCCTCCTCTGTCTATTTGTGGTCTGCCTATAATAATAGAGTAACTAAGTTCTGTGATTTCGGAAACAATGATGTAGTCTGTTCATTGATTTGGAATCCAATGGGTAATCAATTGGCAATTGGTACTGGTTCTGGAGAGATCCATATATATGATTAGGAGAAGATGAAGAGAATGTAAATCATAGAAGGACATTCTGCAAGAGTGGGATCATTGGCATGGAGTGGACATGTATAAATATGATGATATATTTTAGACTCTTTGTTCTGGTTCTAAAGACAGATCAATTATACTGCATGATCCAAGATAGAAGAGATAAACTGGAAAATTTGAGGGACACAAATAAGAAGTTTGTGGTTTGAAATGGTCTCCAGATGAATACCAATTAGCCTCAGGTGGAAATGATAATAAGTTATTCGTTTGGAGAATGGGATCATAGATTCCTCTTGCTAAGTTTAGCCAACATCAAGCAGCTGTCAAAGCTATAGCCTGGTCTCCTCATAGACATGGATTATTGTCATCTGGTGGAGGAACTGCAGATAGAACCATTAGATTCTTTAATACTTTGACTACTCAACAATTAGATTGGATAGACACTGGATCATAAGTTTGCAATCTGATGTTCAGTAAGAATGTCAATGAATTTATTTCCACTCATGGATATAGTATGAATTAAATCGTATGTTGGAAATATCCAAGTTTACAAAAGGTAGTTCTTTTTTAAATCATAGGTCACCACTCTTATGGGACACACTTCCAGAGTTTTATTTTTAGCAATGTCTCCAGATGGAGAAACCATTGTTACTGGTGCTGGTGATGAAACTCTTAGATTTTGGAATGCATTCCCCAAAAAAGAAGAAGCTTAACCAATAAAGACTATCTTGCTCCCTCAAATGATTAGATGAAAAGTATTTTATACTACTTTATATAAATATTAAACAAATTTATCCTATCAGTAGAGAAGTCTTTGGATTCCTTCATTAAAAAATCTGGTATTTTGGAGAGTTTCTATGGCTTGTTTCCATTGTTTTCCTCCCCAATTCACTGTAATAAATAATGCAGTAGCCTCACCACAAATATTTTTATCATTATCATATACAATTGCTTTCAAAAATACCTTCCTTCCTTGTACTTTTTCAACCTCACAACTAATTAAATAGTCTTTGTTTGTATGAATGGTTTTATTTAAATTGAGTTGGAGGTTGGCAGTCACTGAAGGTATGAATCCGGTTGCCAAAAAGCTTAGCTATCCGAATGCATTATCAATGAGAGTTGCCAACAATCCGCTATTTACATCGTTGTTATTCCCTCTAACTTCATCTGCAGCATTAAATACTACATGGAGATGATGGTTATTCTCTGAGCTAATCATATCGACGTCTCTTGGTAAGTACACTTTAAAAAAATTGAAGGCCTTCTCATTCTGAACAATCATATTGTGAAGAAAGTGTCTCTCTGGAGAACTGTGAAGAAAATCGATTATTTTTGGTTAAGAGTAGTTTTCATTTTGAATAAATTCTTGAAAACTATGGGAGTCTTCCTCTTATTTGAAGGTCTGTAACATCTTGAGATAAGGTTAAGATGCGTTGATCATATAACCACAAGCCCAAGCTGCACAAAATGCTATTGATTTTTTCATTATTTGGTTATTTTTAGAATAGATTTGATAAATGATTTACGCCTGGACTTAAAATTTTATAAAATACTATGTTGCGTATTAAAATCTAATTAAACAATTTTCATCAAATATAATAATATGATTGCATATTATTTTAATATTAAATATATTGATCGTATAATTTATGTCGATATTTCATAACAATTGCTTTTGCATATACAATTTTTATAAATGAAAATTCATTAGGTCAATTAAGGTAGTATTTATTAAGTTTATTAATAATCCCTTACTATTGTAGTTCTCAATTGATTGGGCATATCATATTTTAACACTTTATGAACCCATTTTGTAAGTAATCTTCTGGCCTTGATTTCGCATTTTTTTATTGTACCTGAACAACCTAATACTTTAATTTTAATTGGAAGTCCTCTAAACATATTCATAAACAAGAGAGTATTCCATATTATATTTTTATAATCCCTAGCCACTCTCAAAATAAACAATCTCGACACAGTATTTAGGTATTTTACTACATTAGATAGTTTCATAATGTACCTTAAAATGAAAATTAAATTCTGGCAGATCCAAAATCACCAAAATGATATTAGACTTGATCTCTAATTTCATTTAATAGGTCCCTCTCTGAGAATTCCTTCTCTTAGTTCTCTTAAACGTATTCGCATACAAAGTATCGATTCTTAAACCTGACCATTTTTATTATTATTTTATATATATTTATATACTCTCATAAATTTGCTTTGATACCTAAATTTTTTTTCAACTATTCCCCAACCTTGACTATGAATTCCTCAGTATTCACATACTTGGTTCTCGAAACACTAAATTACATTTAAAGAATTACTTATTATCATTATGTACAATAATGGCTAAATCCTTGGTCATAATTCCATTTTCTACTGTTTAAATGACACTTGATTCCAAAGTTGTACAAAACTTGTGTAATTCCTTATTATTATCTAATTTGGCTCTATGCAACAATCCTCTAGTCCAAGCATAAATACTTGCAATGGAATTAGTGGATGTTTCTTTTCCTTACTAATGCATTCTGTAATGTCTGGTAACAGTTCCATGTGCAGCTTCTGCTTCAACTGATCCATCTGGACTAACTAAAACACTAGTCATCAATCCCAATGAACCATATCCTTAAGCCACGACATCAGATTAGACATCTCCATCGTAATTCTTGCATGCCCAAACAAAACCACCTTCACTTTTAATCATATATGCAACCATATCATCAATCAATCTATGTTCATACCACAATTTCTTTTATTCAAATGTTTATTTGTAATATTTATCGTAGACTTCTTAAAAGATATCTTTAAATCTGCCATCGTATTTCTTTAAAATGGTATTCTTGGTTGATAAGTACAAAGGATAATTACGATCAATTGCATATTTGAAACAGGAATGTGCAAAATCAATGATTGATTCATCAGTATTGTACATACCCATTGAAATTCCCTTTCCCTCAAAATCGAATACAGGATATTTTGTGACTTATCCTTGTTTGTTGGTGAATACCATCTCTAATTTTCCTGGCTCACTTATCAAAAAATCTGTGGCTCTATATTAATCTCCAAATGCATGTCTTCCAATAATTATTGGTTCCTTCCAACCTGGTACCAATCTAGGGATATTCTTGATAATAATAGGTTCTCTAAACACTGTTCCATTGAGGATGTTTCTGATTGTTCCATTGGGTGATTTCCACATTTATTTTAACTTAAATTCCTTCACTCTGGCTTCATCTGGAGTACTACAAAGTGAATATTTGATATTTTACATGGTGGCACATTTAATTCCAACCTTATACTTCTTGATTGCATTAGCAGCATCAACAGTAACTTTATCATCTGTCTTGTCTCTGTTTTCCATTCCAAGATCATAGTAATCAATCTTGAGATCTAAAAATGGAAAGATCAAATACTTCTTGATTTGTTACCATATAATCTAGATTAAATAAAAGATATACTCTGGTCATTTCATCTCCATCTAATTCTACGACAGGAGTTTAAACTTGAATCTTCATGGTTTTATAATATTATTTAATAATATTTATCAATTAATTAATTAACGGAATGAATGTATATACAGCTTCATCCTTTGAAAAGACAATAAATCGAACTACTACACATCAATACTTAGTAAGAAAATATGGAAATAAGTCCAATGAATAATATTTCAATTTTGAAGAAATACTCAATTAAATTCAAGATGTTTTTTGTATGAGTTGTGAGAGCTATGTTCCCTCAGATTAAATCAACATACACACTCAAAATTGCAATGGAGAATGCGATTAATACGAACAAGTAGACTCTTTACAGGCTAAATTATAAAAATGTAATTTTCTTATAAATAAAATCAAAAAGATGCTCAAAACCTATTCATCAGATTAATAGTATATCATTTAATATTTATAAATGTTATGGAAATGCTGCAGTAACATAATCTTAGCTTCCGATTATGATGTGGTTTCACAATGCTTAGACGATTTAGATCTATTTTAATAATACTTTGAAAATCAGTAATAAGACGTAGCTGTCGAATAAGTCATCCAATAGATTTTAACCATTATTAGCAAAATAATGTAATTTTCAGAAAGAAAAGCCAGAATTTTATAAAGCAATCAAAACAACGTGATCAATCATCTTAAAGAATCTATTGCAACATCATTGGCAAATGAGGGAGGATTGCAAAAAAAGCTTTAAATTCATGATAATCAATTGAATAGATACAGAAACCCTTTTGAAAATGTTCAAAACAATATTCATCAGTCACTCAAAGATGATTTTCAATCTAAGTTTAAATAGGCAAATAAATAATCTCTCTCTCCAATTACAGAAACGAGTTTCATAGAAAAAAGCAAAATTGGAAACTTAACTCCCAGAATGGAAGAATCCATGTAATTAACTTAGACGATGGTTCATAAAACAGAAGCTGAGAAAAAGAATCAATTCTTTAAAATTGCAGCCTTCTTAAAAAAGAAATTTCCCTAAAAATAATCAGTGTAATAAGCATTAATCATTGCTCTATATGATACGGCAAATAAGCTTAATATTTAGCAAAACTAATATGAAAACTACATCATCAATTTATATCAAAACATGTGATTAATTACTTAAAATTGTAGATTTAATTTGACAAGTTATATAAATAGATTATATTGTTTAAATTAATTTAGTTTTAAAATTATTCAATCATCACTCCAACCATTCTCACTACTACTCTTTCTTTTCGCAAATTAAGTTATTTTTCTATTTTTCATATTCGCCTCAAGCATAATTGATAGATCCTCCTTTTCCTTAGCATTCATACTACCAATATCCATCTTAATATCATGACCTTAAACTTTATAACCAGTTGAATTTTCAATTTCTTTTGCAAGATTTTTTTAATCAACCTAGCTCTTTAAGATAGAATGAAGTTATGGTTTTTCCTATGTCTATGTGGTAGGATTGGTTATTTAAACTTGATCTGGTATTGCACTTATTTAATTCGAATTAGATTATTGGTTTGGAGGTTATTACTGTTATTTTTGAGAGGGTGGCTATAATACCTGAGGTTTGTTACCACCTTAATGAACTTAAGGAGGAGGAGGAGGAGGAGGTGGAGGAGGTGGAGGAGGTGGCGGTGGAGGTGGAGCACCTTTATTTGTAATTACTACTGATGGTTTATTCGATTATTATTATTGTTAAATTGGGTTTTATTTTTGAGAAGGTGGATTTGTCGCTTATTATTATTATTGCTTTGTCGAGTTCTTATTTAATTAATTTGACTAAAGTTGCTAAATAGATAGAATTTAGATACTGTGGCTTGTGAATTTTTATCACTAAATCTGGCTACAGTTTTGAAAATCTCTTTAGCCTTTGCTTTATCTTAGAGATCCTTTTTAGTAATTCCTGCATTCAAAAAGACCTCTATAAGCACAGGAGGTAATTTGTCTATATCTATTTCTCCAGTTTCCACATTCAAAGAAAGAGTATTTCTTTTAACATTTTAAGGAGTCCCAATTTAAATTGGCTTAATATATTTATATTTGATACTTTTTCAACTTTTTCTTTTCCGAAGAAAGCTTTGAATTAATAAGAAAATGAATCTTTTTCCTTTTCTTGTTGTTAATATGCCTTTATTAACTTTTCCTCTTCCTTAAGTTGCTAGTTAAGTTTTTCAAGATCTTTTTTGGATGGAGCATATTATCTAATTTTTTATGTAATTCTTTATGCTTCTTAATCATTTACAAAGAGCATTCCAACAAATCCTTTGCTAAATGGAAATGCATAAAAATTATTAAATCCCCTCACTGGAGACCAACTCTCAATAAATCCAAAATACAATTCAACAGAGAATTTGACCTCCAAGGTAGCTGGATGAAGTACTCTTAAATAGAATGCCTAATGCTTTAATAAGGTAAATACTTTTCCTTCTCTCCTATCAATCAGAAATACTAAGATTCCTTCTGCTCTACAATGATGAAATTTGTGTTTTCCCTCTTCACAAGTGTAAAGATGTACAAAAGACAAATCAAGAACAGTAGCTGTCTACTAATCGCAACCTCCGATAGCATCCTCTATAATTTTTTTTACCTTAGGGTTCCGTAGAGATTCTAGCATTCAGCTTGATTGCGTAATGATTTTATATACAAAATATAAAATTTATTATTCAATCCTTGCAACTCACCTTGATTTCCTTTAATATATTATGAATTATGTTTATTTGTCATAATTTACACCTTAATCGCATATGGAACAAGTTAAAACGAAAGATTTTTTACTCATAGTACTTTGAGCATATTTCTAAAAACATTAATTATGAAATATATGTGAACATGAAAGCCTTGTAATAAGCTGTTTATTTTTGATTTTGGAAGTGCATAATTTGCATATTTATTTATTTAGCTGAGAAGAAGGGATGGAGTACACATTTTATGGTTTTTTTTTGAGTTTTAATAATACAATAGTTGCCATTATTAGCTGTTATGCTATTGATATTTTTATATAATATACTCTTCAAAGTCACCTTCTAAGTCACTTATAAGAATATCTTCAAACAAGTATTGTTTCTAATTAGATAGCAAGATTAATGTTTTTAAGATTTTATATGGAACAAACATCATAACTAGTTAACAAATCAAAATGATTCCAGAAATGACAAATTACAATATTTGATTTGTGAAACCAAAGTAATGACAACGGTGTCTTTAATTACTCGTCAATTAAACGTCATAAATAAGTTCAATTATGAGATTGGTCAAATAAATTATACTTAAGCAGACAATTATAACCTTCAAACATCCTTATGATATTATAGATGAGTATGTAAAACTAAAATTGTCATTTTTTACTTTATAAAAGTATCTTAATTCCATGCAAGTCAAAATAAAGACTAAAAGGCAAAAAATAAGTTCTAGTATTGTACAAATCAGTTAATTGAGATCTAATTCACTTGTTATACATCTGATATCTGATTCAAGAATCAAGGCAACCATTGAAAATGTCAAAAATAACACAAATAAATGCCACCAATATTTTCTTCTTATAAAATCAATTTCTTTATCTTATTACATAGTTTAATTTACAATTTCTTTTAATATTTATTATAAACAATTATCTATAAATTCAATTAGGTAACCAGACATATACATGAGCATCGAATAATTGATTCTCTATCTCATAGTGGTTTTTTTTAACTCTAACACAAATGAACCCATTCTTTTGATAAAACCTAGATGCTATCTCATTATAAACAATCATGTCTAGATAGATGTAATTAAGTGTCTTATTGGACTCTAAAACTCTCTTCTTTAACTAGTCAAGCATGTAGTCAGCAATCCCTCTCCCCCTAAATTCATTGATAACTCCTATTGTCATGATGTAAAGCGCATTTTTCGTTTAAAACAATGAGCAAAACCATTATTTCCATGTCTGGGTTTATAAATATTTTGATTTGCTGTGACGTTACTAAAAAATCATAGCACCAATAATGAATCTTTCCTTTCTGCCTGTATGGAATTTTATTTCGATCTCTGCTATTAGAGAGGAATTAACTCCATTCAAAACAGCAGTGTAAAATTATTCGCTGTAATCGATAGGGAACCATTCTAATTACAGTTATTTAAGTTGTGCTATATCTCTCTTGGTTTGAACATTTCTAAATTTGATATCTTTAAATCCTATATCATCTATCTTAATGGTTGCTAACACATTGTGTATCTCAGCAATGTAACTAGAGTTACTTTAAGAGTTTGGAGGAAATGCCTAGCTCAATCTCTTATCTTATTATTGCATAGTTTAACTAGGTATTTAAGATTTTTGATTAAATCGTAAATAAATTTATTTCTAAAAATCAAAAAGGAAGGATGCTGTTATCTACATCTAAGTTGTCAACTTCTAAACTAGGAAAGTCCCAATTACAGAGTCCTTAAAGATCCACTGTTAATTATCTTTAATAAGACCTCGATTCTCCCTCCAGATAAAGAATCAAGTTATTATCTGATAAATGGAATCATATCCAAAATGGAATAGACAAGGATAAATTAGAGAAGAGAGAAGTTCTCGAGGAAAGAATTAAAATTATTGAAGATGTTCTCTCTTCTGAAAAACCTAAGGATGAGTAAAGATTTAAAATCCTTAAGGATCATGTATTAAAACTTCAAGATTATGCACATAATCAAAAAGCTGAAAGAGAAGTATTTCATTAAACTTATGCTTTTAGGCCTTCGATGACAAAAAAGAAAAAGACTTCAGAACCCTTTCTGATAATGTAGCTCTCTCTTTTGATCAAGAAAGAAACAGCAGAGGACAAGCTGAAACAAAGCTATAAAAACAAATTGATGAAAGATTCCAATAAATCACACTCACAATCACAAGGAACACTCATTAATATGAAGACAGGAGCTAAGTTAAAATTGCTGAAGTCTTGCAATAAGTGTAATTAGTGAAGAATCAATTAGATTAAGAGAGGAGATCAAGGTAAATCTAATGATTATTTTGTAGGGAAGAATCATCCGAATCTTTATCTGAATAAATCGATTCTGAAATTAATAAATTTTCAGATTAGCTTCTCATTGAAAAGAAGGTAAGAGAAGAAACTCAAGGAAAAATCTTTAGAATGATAGAGGACGTTCATGGAAAATTGTAACAAGATATCAACGTTGAAAGAAGAGAACGAGAAGCTACAACTGAAGCCTTGTTGAAATTGTTGGAGGATGCATGTATCAAAATAGATAAAAATTTCAGATCTTTTTGAGTTTAAATAAATAAATACACATAATATTTTTTAATTTAAGTTAATAATAAAATAAAATTTGATATGTTTTTGTTCATCATATTGCTAAATCATAAACTAGTATAATTATTTACTTTCCAGATAGGACCCTTACCTGTTTTGGCAAGAAAGTTTAGAGTTTTGATCTGAGGTTTATTATCAGAAGAATTCAAATTTTAAGGAGTGACTTCTGTAATTTTTGTAGTGTTAATTAATAATTAAGGAGGAAAATAGCTTTTTGTATTTATCGGCATATCAAGAATGAGTTTTTATTTGATATTTACATTTTTTAAAGGTTTAATCGATTTCGATGGGGATTTCTATAGGTTGGGCATCAATTTCAACATTTTTAGAGCAATTTTCTCTTAGTTTAAAGAAATAAATTACATCAAAATATGCTTAAGTTGTTTAAAAAGACGAACCATTGCATTTTGTATTACTACTAGATTTTGAAGATTGAGGCATAAAGAAACCATAGTTTCTTTACTTTTTTTTCTTCTCCTTAATTTCATCGGTAAAGAACTCTTAAATGATTCTTTAGACCTAACGAGATTCATTATATTTAGGTTTTTCTACAAATTAACTAGATTGATCAATTGATATTTTTCTGGTTTTTCTCCTTTTATTAGGGAATGAGGTATTAATCATCCTAACTTGTGAAGTTTAGGTCTCTCGCCGTTCCATTATATCATTCTGCACATGATTAGTTGAGGAAGTATAGGTTTTTCTAATCTATGCGATTTGCTATTAAATTGAATTGTTTTATTTATGCCAAGGTCCAAAAAAGTCGAGATCTTGCACTTGAATCGAATCTAGAAATAGTATATCTTGTACCATCTTTATAATTTAAGGTTTCAAAGATTTAAGAATCCCTGCTAACTGGCTGAGTTTTTTACATATTTAATTATAAATTATATTTTTGGTAGTGTTCTAAAAATATTACAAATTACATATATAAACAAATCATAAAAAAAGATCATAAATTGAAGGATTCCAATTCTAATTTCTAAGTCAACATTTAGTAAACAAACTGACCTTGAAAGATATTAAATTATAAGTTACCAAATTTATATTATTGTATTTCTTACAGAAGTTATTAATTATTAGTAATTTTTAAATACAGTTCTTTTTGTATTTCTGAATCTGCGCATTTAAAAAAATTTTAAACTACATAATTGCCATATGCGTTCGTAGACAATCTTACAAAGAGCACTTACGAATTATTTTGACTCAGTAACAATTCCATAATTTTTAGTTTGAACTAATTATCAGAGCATTTGATTGCACAATCAACGACATTACTAAATTACACTATTTACATACCTTCCAAACTTATTTAAACTATATTCCTCTAATTTTTCCATTATTATTTATTAAATTATGTTTTTGATTACAAGAGGCCCTTCCTTCAATAGCTATTGAATGATATAATTTCCATATTGGGAAATACAGAGTTCATAAGCTAACCTCATAATTTCAAATAAAATTTTCATTTATCTATCAGGATGATTAGCAGAAATAGAGACAGCTTTTTAAATTATTCTACAACCAAATGAATTAATCACAAGTTTGTTGACTTATCCTTCAATCCCATCTAAGACCCATAAACTTATATCATTTTCCATCAATTAGATTAATTTCTAAACTACATGATTTCCATGTTAATCAATTACTAACTCTCTCACTTTATTTTTAAACGTGTCGAATAAGATTGGAAAATCTGCTGTATTATGGGCATTTTATAATAACTTTTATAGAACTCTACAGCCATATTGATGAAATGCTAATTGTGAGGAGTGAGGTTATAAAATGGCTAGTATTTTTTATTATTGAATAGAAGTTCCTCTTATTATTAAAAATATTACCAAATTCAAGCAGATTTTGGATGACATAATTTCCAAAGACATCTTTTGAGAGAGACAACAGCCCCTTTTCTAGTTTGTTAAAAATTTATTCTCTGATAGCCTAAGATCCTTCTTGAAAGGCTTTTTGAATGTTTCTAGCCCCGTTCTAATCTTTGCATTTAGATATCTTAAATAGAAGCGTAATTAGATACTAAATCTCCGTCCAAGGGAGTTTCATCATCCGGATTAAATTGCGTTGCATAATCATAGGATTTTGGTTTTAATGCTGAATTTGGAGCACTCTATTAGACAGGGACTTTGGTGAGTCTTAAATCTAAATCGTAAGAACTTAATTAATGAAGATAAAAAACTTTTGTTTTTGCTGCACTTGAGGAGAATATACTTTTGGGTAATATATTGGAGATGAATTATGATTCTAATTAATTTATAGAACAGGGGGTCTATTTGATGTATATGATTTTTTGATTTTGGCGACATTTTCAAAACTATCTAAAATTTGGAGAAAATTTAGATACCATCTAAAAGATCTCCTATCATATCCTTTTCATTAGGATCTTGGTTCATTTGTAATTTTGAAAGGAATTAATATAAAAATAAAAAATTATTATTTTGATAAGTGAATAAACAAAGAAATAATAATAGTCGTAAATATCTTAAATTTATATTAATGCATAAATAAACTAGAAAATATGTCATATTATTAGTAAGAAATATGTAGAATATCAAACTAATAGAAAATAAATTAAACTTAGAAATTTATTTATAAATATATTTATTAATGGGTATGTGTTAAAACAAGCCAGCAGAATATACATCTACATTACCAAGCTTCAAAGATGTAATGCCAGAAGCAGATGACGAAGATGACAAAATTGGAGAAACTACACAATTACCGATTGAAGGTGAGAGTGCTGATTCCAAACAAAAGTTAAATTTAGATGATTTTGAGTTGATTAAGGTGATTGGCCGAGGATCATTCGGAAAGGTGTTGCTAGTTAAAAAGCGTGATGATCAATAATTATTTGCAGTCAAAATCTTGAGGAAGAAAATGCTGAGTAAGAAGAAATAGCAAGATCAAGCAATTAAGGAGAGGAAAATCATGTCATTGATAAATAGCCCTTTCATGGTGAAATTACATTATGCATTCCAAAGTCATTCACGTCTATACATGGTTATGGACTTTATGCAAGGAGGAGAACTCTTTCTCCACCTTAGGAAGAGATTTAAATTTCCAGAAGATTGGGTTCAATTTTATGCTGCTGAATTGTTGGTTGCAATAGACCTACTCCATTAATCCAATATAATATATAGAGATTTAAAGCCAGAAAATATTTTATTGGACAAGAATGGCCACATAGTATTAACAGATTTTGGGTTATCAAAACTGGGTTTTGAGAAAAATGAGATGACATATTCATTTTGTGGAACACCAGAATATGTAGCCCCAGAAATTCTATATCGTATAAATTAATTATATTTAAATAGAAAGGGGACACACATTTGTAGTTGACTTTTATAGTTACGGTGCCATGATTTATGAGATGCTTTGTGGATCTCCACCATTTTATTCTAAAGACAAAAGAGAAATGCTTAAAAATCGATGCGAGAAACCTCTTGAAATGAAATCTTGTTTTTCATTCTATGCAGCCTCATTACTGAAGGGATTATTGACTAAAGATGTATAAATATCATAATCTATGAATATAGCCAGGGTTGAGACTAGGATCGAATGGAATTTAAGAAATAAAAAAACATAATTTCTTCAATGGAATTGATTGGAAATTGGTAGAGCAACGCAAATTGCAACCACCTATCATTCCTAAGATTTAACATGTTTAAGATTTATAAAATTTTGCTCCAGCTTTCTTATAATAACCTATAATGGAGACTCCGGAATCAGTATCAAATGAATATTTCGAAGGGTTCACTTATCAATAGGTAATCTGAAGGCTATTGAATTTATTTTAACAAAGGTTGTTTATATCATAATGTAAATATTTCATAATATCTCAACCTTGCTCTTAACCTACTTATAGTTCTAATTCAGCAATTCTTCTTTAGAGACCCAGTAGTTATTATTAAAGTGCAGTCTTTTCGCCCTTCAAAGCAGTGATTTGTTATTGTAATCTTGAATTCTCAGCCTTTTAATGAGCAAAATGTCTAATAAGTAGAAATGACACAGAATACCTCTTCATTTCCTCTTCTATTCTCATGAGTTCATTTGTAAGTGTTTTTTTGACATCTTGAGTCTTCATACTCAAAACAGATTCTAGAGTGTCCTTTTCTGATTTGAGAATTTGGACCTCCTTCTTGTGGAAGTTCATTTCATCTTAAATTCCCTTGATTGTTTCCTACAATTAGATAAATCAATCTACCTCTAAACTCATAAGTTTGCCCTTTAGAGATGCGGGGTTTTGAGATCCTGCAAAACTCTATCCAGTTTGGCCCAAGTCATTCTTGGACAATGTGTTACCTGCAGCAGACTTAAATGCATTACTCATTAATAAATTATTAAATATAAATTTATATATAAAAATAAACTAATTGACATACATGTACTTTACATAATTATAATATATTTTATCACCAATCTTTATCAGCTTTCTCTGCTTCACCTTAGTGTTCTTATTCTTCACCATCACCTTCTTATTTGACTTAGTTATCTGCAACACCCAATTAATCATTGGTAATTTCCTTGTGGTAGAACAAATCAACCAAGACATCCCATTCTTCATCTATAATTATGGCTTAATTGAATTACCTTGTCTCAATTCTCCTCTCAAGATCTTGACTTCTCTGGCCAACAACCAATAGATCATAGAAATTGACTTTGTTTCTCTGTTTCCAACTGGAATTGGGATATCAACATATTATAAGGGGTTGTCTGAATTGCATAAAGCAATAACTGGAATGTTGACGTAAGATGCTTCAACGATGGCTTATTTATCCTAGGGAAATGTTAATTTATATATATACCAAATGTGGATCTGTGACAATCAATAATTATGGTTCTTGGAATTTTCCACTGGCACTGTTGGATTGATTTGTCAATGTACCTGGTGTCCATCTTGCTGATCTAGTTGAGCTAGCATGAGTATAGTGAGCGAATTTAATGACTGCTCTTTGTCCAATTGGTCTTGATGAAACAACCTGAATTACTCATCATTTATAATACCATGACATCTTGAGGTTATTCAACTGCAGCAATAACTCTGGCAGCCAATTTGATGTGCTACCAGGTTTCCTCTAAATTGAGAATGTATGCACCATTATCGCTTCTGTGTGATACATATCTCTTCTAATCAAAATGGAGTTGCTTTGTTCCAATGTGGCACTAGAAGAAGTCATATACATAACATTTTTACTTATGAAGCAATCAATCTCTTAATGTCTTATTCTTTTCTGCTCATGCAATCAAATATAAATATCTATTTTTTTAAATATTTAACAAATCTCAATTATTTCTTAATCAATTATTTCTAACAGGTATTTGTGCATCTAAATACTCATTATAGCTCCTTAGACCTGGAATAATGCATACATATACTAAAGAAATTGATAACCCATGCAGGTTCTTATCAAAATTTAAACAAATTTTTAAATAAAATTGAATATTTTTTCTTATTTCATTATATTTTGTAAGCTTTGTCATACTTTTTAATCAATAAGAACGTAAAAAAAGAATTTGTCTAACCTTGTAATCTATATTAAAGGTATTTAACCTACCCCATATTAAACTATTTCCTCCAAAGGTTATTTAAACTATAAATTGATTAGGTAATTTTCTTTTTTATTTAACAAACTTATAACATTTTCATATTATAAGACTGAATGGTTCAAATCGATGAATTTTGGCTGAAATGGAAGTAAGATTAAATTTGCTTTAATGTAATTCGTTTAAATTCATGTTATCATTTTTTTATAATAATTTAAAATTATATAAAACCAGGTTATGCTTGATTATATCTATTCATATAACAAAATTATAAGTGATAATAAATAAAAGGTTTCAAAATTTGACTTCCATTCTATTGATTTTCTAAGTTATGCTAAGAATCCTTCTATTCAGCCACTAAAGAAGAACATTAGTGACATTTAGAGGTACAATGCTCCAAAAGAATTAAATGAACAAGGCATAATGCTTAGCTTCATCAAAATTTGGATCCTAGAATAATTTCAGCAAAATTTTGAAGTTTTGTTACTATTATTGCTTTTCCTGATAACTGCATTATAAATATTATGTAAGAATATCCAATAATTTGATGAAAGACAATATCCTAAACATATTCACTATAACCTTATCTGGAATTTGAAGCATCTTTAAAAGTAGCAATGGTTGTAAAGTTAGCGGTATCTCATGTTTTAAGTTAATATTTTGGAAAAAAAAATACACCTTTTATAAACAAAGATTATTAAGTCTGTTTAAAAAAGATTGGATTAATTGTGTAGTTGAGAGAAGTGATTATCGATTTATTTTTGTTGATATTTTTAAGTTGTGTATTAATCCCCTTTTTGCGCATAAGATTTAAATATATTTATTAATTAATATAACTTAAAATTTAAGTTTTATTCAAAAATATCAGAAATTTTTAGAAAATGATTATTACAGATGATGATTTGTATTTCTGAAGCTATACGCATCTTGATTATCATTTTCTACGCTTCTTTGTCCAAATATAATTTCATATTGAGCATCATAAATATTGGCTCTTTTATCTGGACACATGAGGTATAAATTAACATAAATGCATATTAGAATCACCTAAATATAAAATAAATGTTATATTACTTTTATACCAAGTATTATGTATGATATGATTACTTCATACATTTAGAAACTGTGTTCCAATTAAAAGAAGAGTACACTGTTAGTTGTCCAGGGATTAGTAAAAATAACAAACCAAACAACATCGAAAATAATGGTTACAACAATCATAGTTGTAATTATTTTAAAGTGCAACAGTGATAATAACTTATTATTATTCATATAGTAGTATAAGCTATAAAATAATACTGTTAACTATTATTAAAGAGGTATTTTACATCTACAAACTGAGTTTTAAATAGACTAGCAATTAAGATTAATATGAAATAAACCAAAGTGAAAGCTAATGCTAGTTTAACCCATAGTTATGCTTGGGAAGTGTCATAAAATTGAAAATCATGGACTTATTGGATTGTTGATTGTTCAGTTACAATATATCTTTCATTTGTTTGGTTTTGGTGTTTTTCATCGAAAGGATAGAAGAGTTGGAGAATATCACTTTTATATTCATTAATGTCTTGACTTAAATCATCAATTACTTATTGATTTTCTTTGATAGACTCTTTAAAATATTTAGTCTAAAATAAAGGGTTAAAATACTTATGAGTGTATCCATTGAACTCTAAGATTGATGGTGGAATAAAGAACAACGCCGTATTTGTCTTTCAATTCCAATGAAATATCATGAGGCTTTTAATCATAAAAGTCCTTTAAATTGAGTTTTGCCTATCCACCAATTTCTTACTTCTCTATTAATTCTTCATCCAATATAACAATATAGATTTCCTCTTATCCAGTAATAATATTAAATTCAAATTTTTCATTCCAAACAGCATTTTGTCTATTTGCTGGCCTGGTGGAGTATTTAGTGTCATTAGAACCCAAAATAATAGCAACTCTTGTATTTCCAGGAAATTAAATTTTTGCATCTATAATTGTAATTCTTATTTTGCTGCCCTAGCATATTTTATGAGAGTTATATTCTTCAATAGTTTATAATTACTGTAAATGCAATTGATCATCGTCTACTTTCAGTTGTTTTTGTGCAACTTGCTATTCCAAAATGGATATTTTATTTTTTAATGATTATAATGCTTCCATTAAAATTGAAATGAAATCATTGATTGTCACTTAGCCATCGCCAGTCTTCTACATCCTTGTGTAGAGTTATTCAAACAAAACTCTGTCATACATTTTATTAGATTGCTAATCCAAAAATCTAATTATTGTTTCTTTGCTCATAGGTTGTGAATGGTTTTAGGAGAGCTTATTGAATACTTGCTACACTTAATGAATTATTTGAGCTTGACTCATTTAACTGTATTAAAATTATTAATAATTTTAACGAATAATAATAAGGTTAATGAGACCGCAATCTCCGAAGATCCTACAAACCCAAACTATCGCCACAACTCGCCTAATTAGTTCGCCTCTCAGAGATACACGCTAAGATTCATGTAGTAGACTGGCCAAACTCACCACCTGCTAGACTAGACCAAAGGCTACAATTACTACTTTAACGTAAAAACCGGCCATTGAAACCAGAACTGTTGTTCTCTGTTCAGATAAAAAGTGTTAAGGACATGTAAATTAAATTAAAATTAAATCAGGAAAATCTCATAGAACAATTAATATAAGATAATAATAAGTTAAATTAACGTATATATGAGTTAGAACACCAAATTGATAAGTATGATGGCGAATAACAAACTTGGATGAGTACAGCTATCGAAATAGAGAGTATGAGAAAGTTGCTAGAAGAAACTCAAAGGAATCATCAAGATGAAGTTCAACATCTGATTTCTGAAATTTATAATCTCGATTCTAAATGTCGAAATCAAGAAGATTAAATTAAGGCTCTCACGACTGTGTAACAAAATCTAGAAGCAGATTATAAAGCCCTGTAATAGGAGATAGAAAGATAATAATTCGTAATTCAAGATAAAGATGAATAATTACAATCTTAAGAATACAGAATAAAGGATTATGAGAAGTAGTTGCAAGTTGGAGAAAATGTAATTGAAGAGAGAAATTCTCAGATTTCTATGTTATTAGATTAGATTAAATAATATGAATAAGAATTTGGCTCATCAAATAATGTTATTCACTAATTCAAATAAGAGCTAGCATAGAAGGATATATAAAATCAACTTTTATTGTTATAAAAAGATTCCTTAATCTCTAATTATAGAGAGAACCTAGATCTTTTAGAATAAAAATTACAATAGAATTAGCAACTTGATGCTTAGAGAATTTAATAATTAGGAGAACTCGAAAGTTAAAATTAGGGTTTAAATAAGTAAGTTGAAGATTTAAAATTACAATTATAGGATCTATTAGAAAAAAGTAATCATTTAAATCAATAAGTAATTTTCGATGATCAAGCAAAGTCTAATCTCTTAAATTCTGCAGAGAATCAGACGACACAATTAGAATTCTAATTTCAAAGTTAAGCAGATGAAAATGAATAAAGAAATTAAGAACACCTGTAAAATTTATAGTAAGAACTATATCAAACCAAATAAGAAGTTGAAGAGAAAGATAGTTTAATATTGTCTTTAAATGAATAAGTTGCTAATCTCACTTCTTAAATGAGAGAAAAAGAGGAAAAGTTAGAATTACTTCAATATGAAGTGGCATAATAATTTGCCTAAATAGCTTAAAATAATAATTAAGAATTATATAATTACTTGATTATCAATGAAGAGTTAAAACATGAATTGTAGTTAAGGCTTGTAAAAGAAAAGTCTATTCAAGAAGATTTAAATAACGAACTAGAAAATAATAATCAACTATTAACAACCATATAATAATTGACTGTTAACATTGAAAAATTAGATAAATCAAAATATATCTTAAGTAATGAAATAGAAGGATACAAATAATAAATTGATGATTAAAAGTCTTAATTTTAAATAGAAACTCAAAGGTTATAAGGTCAAGTGTAGATATTATAAGAATAGATTTCAGACATTTCAAGGGAAAAAGAAGTTGCAGAGAATGGTGAATTCTAGCTAAAATAAGAAATAAATTCATTATAGTAATGTTTGTAAAAATCTAAAAGAGAAGAAAAGTTTGTAGATGGTAATTAAGAATTGCAAGAGTAATTAGTGCTTCAAAGTTTGGAAGTCTAAAGGCTTTAACGTGAAAATAACAATTTAAAAGAGAAGTTGTCATAATAATCGGATGAATTCTAAAAACTGAATCAAGAATAAACATAAATAATTGAAAACAATTAACTATTACAAGACGTTTAGGACAAATAAATTGAATAATAGGAAATCAAAATATAAGAATTAAGCATTCAATGTGAAACACTGCAATCAGATCTAAAATAACAAGCAGAGCTAAATGATGAATTGAAGAAGAAAAACTAGTTTTCATAAGTTTAAATATCCCACTTATAAGAATTAGAATCATAATTGAGATAACTAAATGAATAGATTAATCAATAATAAAAAATTCTATAACAAGAGTTAAATAATAAAAGTGAAGATGAGAATACGCTTAAATTTAAACTTAAAACTTTATTAGAAGACATTAAAGTTAAGTAAATGTAATTAGTAGAATTAGACAGATAATTATAATTTACAGAATAGGCTAATTAAAGTCAATAAATAAGTTTAGAGGAGAAGATTAATTATCTTTAAAATGAAGTGGAAATGTGGAAAGAAAAGTTCATTATTTTGAATAGAGATTATCACAAGGTTTAAGAGGAGTTAATGATGGTTTAAGCAGAATTTGAAGCATTCAATAAGAGAGGATCAGAGATTAAGAATATTAAGGTAATATTATTAAAATTTATATAGGAATCTACTTACTTTGAAGTCAGAAAATCATCACTGTACAAGGAGAATATTGATGTTAAAGCGAGTTAAACTTCTATAGGCAGACTTTTCAAAGAAAACATTTGAATCAATATTATATATATACTAGATTAACAATTATTATAAACAAAACTTTTTAAAACAATTATTAAAACAATATATTTTTTAATAAAATCTAGATCTATCTTTCATCCTTGTGCTAGAAATTTATCCATTTTTTAAGCATTGGTAAACATTTAGTTACTGGCATTCTTTTAGAACACACTTTTTGGTTAAGTGGAACTGAAATTACTGATAATTTTACTTTAATTCAGCATTTCCAGGCATTTAATAAGCTGGCATCAAAGGATTTGTATATCTTTTACTTACAATTCCTTTTTTGAGTGATCCTGCTTATACACCCTCAATGTCTTATATATTATTAATTTGTCTGTAATCTTTTCTATCACTGGATCTCAGGAAATGTTAAGTATGAGATCCTGCCTATGCACCAACGATGTCTTAGGTGGTTAAAGTAGAAGATGCACATTTATTAATAGTAATTGGATGCAATTACTTAGTTTTACTACCTTCAACAAATCCGATTTCGATTTTCTTTCTAAATTAAGACTTCTTAATACCCATCTTCATCTCTGTGAGAATATACTGGTTCAATTGGATTTGTATTTCTTACGTATTTATGTAGCATGTCAGTGTTGATGTCCTTGACGTCGAACTAATTGATTCCATCTAGTTATGCAATTAAGGAGAGACTAATACCTTTTTGCACATGTAATTATTTTGAATGCGACCCTTCAATATCAGGTAAAGGAATAGGTTATTTTTTCAATCTTGGATTAATTATAGAAGGTTAAGCTCCTTCAATATCAGTGATATTATAGCTATCCCTGAGAAATTTAGGTTGATAGTGTTCTGCCTATTCAAAAGATGGGATTTTGTAAGTTGGTTCAAGGGGATTGATTGGTGATCGATTAGTCTAAAATTTACAGATTTGTGGACGTGTCCCCTTGATATCATCAATCATTAATTGATTATCTGATCTGTTTGTATATCTAATTAAAGGTCGAGATTTGGTTCCTGGAATATCATCGTCTCGATTGCAAAATTGTTCCTTATTTACATATTGATAAGGCTTTAATTTAGGAGCAGCGCCATCGATGCCTTCTATGGACATAGTTGATTATGCTCTATTATCATGAATAATCTCTCTCCTTTAATTTTCTCATTTATTTGATTACTCATACTTATGGTAGATAGATTCATTAGATCATTTCGGTTTGGAAAAGGCCAATTGTATGGATCTGATTGCATTAAGTTACAAAGACAAATATAAAAATTATTATTATTAGTGTGATGTATAATTCAGTTATCTCTGCTTAAGAAATTACTTCAAATATTTCTAATAAATATAATTTAACTTTAATCCTTCTTTGAAAAGGGGACAAAAATCAAGACAAGGATAATATAGTGATTAAATTTGTAAATGGAATATATAATTATTAATCAGATTCCAACTTTTGATTTAACGTATTATTCGAAACTGGGTTAAGTTAACAAACCAAGGGCCTACTTACTAATTTCGATTTCTTTATTGTATTCAGCAACTGTTCTATTGTACAAATCGGTTTCAGCAGCATAGTTATCGTTTTCTGCTTGTAATTAAGCTTAGAGAGTGGCTCTGTCATCCTTTCTTTATCCAACATAGACGATGGTTTCTCCTAGTTTTTCTATGCATAATGTTTATTTATATACATTCGTTAGCAGCTAACTCAGAGTTCTTGATCATAACTGCTCTTTAGAATTCAGCGAATTCCTTTTCTAATTAAGCAACTCTTTCAGAAAATTTAGTCTCTGCAGCACTTTCATCAGCTGTCTCTTGATTGAGGGTATCTACAAATTAGACTCTTAATTCATTGAAGATTTTAACAAGCTATAATTAAATGAACATTGTTACTTATTAAAGAGAACCTTAATCAGCGAAGTTTTATTCTGTTGCTAATTCAAGAAGTGCTCTAATGATTGGTGCAAATGAGGAATGGTTTTAGAAGGATGTTTAAATTCTATTAAGATTTGTTTGGACTCTCTTGAATTGAACAAGGGATGGATTTGTAATTTAAGACAATAATCCAAGGGATTCATCGACAGCACCAATAGCTTCATTGATTTCAGCAATGTTGGATAAAAATTATTCGTGTTATTTCTTTCTGTTGAGAGTTTCTCCATCAAGGACTCTTCTGTTTTCTTCAATGTTTGTCTTCAATTAGACCAAGGCAGATTAAAATCTCTCTTTTTATGGAAGAAGAACGTTGTCAATGAAATCTTCACCGTTAAAGATTTCTAAGAAAATTAAATGCAAATCCAATACCTCTGTCAGCATCTTAGATCTCTTATTCCAATCTAGTCACATCACGATTATGCTCATCTGTTCTTTTGGAATAGGCATGATGAATATCATCTAATTCCTCTTCTAATTACTCAATCAATTGGTCAATAGCTTCCACTAATTCTGTAAGAGCACCTCCACTTGACAACTCAACTTCGGCAAAATCAACGATGAATGATGCCCATTAAGATTCCTTTAATTTCTCAAGTGCTTAGTTTGTGGCAACATTGTTGATTGAAATCTCAACACTGAAGACACTCAGGATAAGACAAGCAATTATAGCGCTTTTCATTATTTTATTTAATTAAAAATCAAAAACGACTATCATTATTAAAATAATTTGTGCAAATTTTATAAGTTCTCCCTGGCTTTAGTTTTCAATTAGATATTTTCCTAAATCATCAAATTCAATTCCTCCTGAATTTGCTACAATTAAGACCTCATTTCAACTATTTATTTATCCTTCTATTTTACTGTAATTTCATTCTATTTATCTATCACAAAGAGTTGTTTCTCTATTGCTTGATATTAAACTAAGAGTTCTCTGATCTTTTCATCTTTTTTTATTAATTCCTCTTTTGCATTATTCAACATTTTAACTAATTCTTATAATTAACCCTCCTTTTCTTACAATTCTAACTTTAATCCATTGATCTCCCTGTCCTACTTAATTTCAATCTCTTCAATCTCTTTCTCAAACATGGAAATCAATTACTTTTTATCCTTTAAATCCTTATTCTTTTAATCATATTCCTCCTATATTTGTTGTAATTAACTTTCTAATTCATCAATGATCTATGATTATCTATCATACTTCTTTTATAGTTTCAAATAGTCATCTGAAGCATTCCCCTCCTAATTTCTTAATTAATTTAATTATTGTTTTAATTCATCAATAGTATCATTTTTATCATCCAACATTTTATTTTTAATTGTTAAATTTGTCTATAATTCATCTACTAATTATTCGTTCTATATTTTCTATTTATTTTATGCCCTCAGTCTATCATTCTCTTAATTTATTGTCTATAATTCATCATTTTTTAATCTCAATTCCCGATCATATTATTGCAATCTTGTCTAACACTCCAGTAATTATTCTTAAAGAATATTAATATCCCTTTGCAATCCTGATTGAATAATTTGGTGTTCTCTTTTAGCCAGATCTTTCTCCTAACAAAATTCTTGCACTTCTCTCTTTAAGCGAATTAAAGCAGATTGCAATTCCTTTATTAAGTTCTCTTATTCTAGTAGTCTGCCCTACAATATCTTAATCTCTTGACTCTGTTGAACCTCTATTCTGCACTTTTCATCATATTACAATTTCAATTGTTTAAATTTTTCCTTGAATTATCACTTATATATGTATACCATATTTTCTTGAAATAGATTTCTAAATTCATTCTCTAACTAGTCTTACATCAATTTACTCTCTGTTTCAAATTCCTGCAATTATTATTCATGCTAACTTTATTACACTTAAAGCTTTTATTCGTACTCATGTGTGATTTATTGCAGTTAAATCTAAAATTGTTATTCGTTCTCCTTTTAAGAAGTTTCAAACTTAACTTCCCATTCTCTACATATTTCTAATAACTCTTAAATTCTCCTTTTTAACTATGAATTGTCCTAGTATAATGATCGATTTCTAATGTAATTTAATATTCATACTCCTAATTGATCTATTCAGACTTTGATTGCAGTTACTCCTACCTCATAAGGGTTTAGCTTGCTTGTTCAACAGCATTCTTATGAAATTCTTGCAATTGTTTTTCTGCTTCCTTCAATTGAATTTTATACTCAGATAATTTAAATTCCTTTTCTTAATCTTTTACTTTTTGAACGTTTTATTATTCAATTAAAATTTAATTCTCCTTGCTTAATTAACCATTTAATTAGAGTAACTCACTTATTTTATTTTGTAATTGTGTGATCAATTCATCCTTTCTTTCTTTTTTGTTAATCAAATCCTTTTATTATTACTTATCATACTCGTTCTATTCATTCAAAGACTCTATCTCTCTTCTAAATCTTTTATTCTCTTAATTCAACTCTTGATTAAACTTGTTTAAGTCAATAATCTCTCTCTCTAAATTCGAGCATTTACTACTCCAGTACTTATCATTGCACTCAAATTTGTAAATTATCTCCTTATTCTACTATGATAACTCCTTCACTTTCTACTATAATTAAATGACTTCGACTCTCATTTCTGCTTCCTTCTCAATGTTTGCCTGTTATTACTTTGGCAATTTGAAGGTAATGTTATTTGAACCATCCCCATCGTTTTCTTATAACTCATTTCTTGGTTTATTATCAACATTAACTATCTAAGGTACATATTTGATTATCTATTTGTAATATTGATTTAAGTTTTCGCAAATGGGATTCTTTCTTCGATCACTATTAAAGAACACATCCTATAGATTTGTTCCTTGCAGGTACTTAAGTTCATTCAAGTCAGATATGCTATTACTTCTTAAATCTAGGGATTTCAATTAATAGCCTTATTGTGTGAACTAGAATAAGTTCAATTCTCATACAATTTATAATGGTCCCAATAGAGATATCAAATTATAAGATAAATTAAGAACCCTTAATGATCTCAAACCTTCACAGTTAATTACTTTGATTCTATTCGATTGCAAATTTAAGACTTCAAGTTGATTTAGCGTTCTTAGACTCATAGCCTAGATGGAATTCTATGATAGATTCAACTGCTTCAGTTATCTAAATTGTTCAATCCCCTAAATTATAAGAATTTAAATACTTGCATTGAAATAAGATCTGGACTATGCATAATTCTCAAACTTAACATTTAGCCATTATTGAGTTCCCTTATATCTTTGATGCTTGAATATTTTATGTTAAACATAGTCTTTTCAGCATTTGGATCGAAATCATCATCGTCTTCCATTTTTTGAAAATTTTTAATTTAATGTAGTTAGAAAATAATACAATTGAAAAAATAAAAGAAATAGAATACTTGTAAAACAATATAGTTCCAACTCTATGTAGAAACTACTGCATTATATGAAATTAGTTTATCGATAAGAAAAAGAACATAATAAGAAATAGAAATAAAACTGTTATTACGGTTATGAAGGGAAACAATTAAATGATCTAATCTACTTAACACCATTGTTAATGCAGTTGATTAAAAATAATATAATAGATTAGATATGCTGAATATATTATTGATTTCTTAAGTTAATAATTTTGTGAATGTATTAATATCAAATTTTAAAATTAGGAATCTCCTAAATTTCAGAATCGCTGTCAGTGTCATTTATTTACTACTTCTGTGGTTTAGCATTTACAATATATTTGTTCCCCAAATCTACAGAAGAATCACCAGAATCTTCACTAAAATCCTCTACTTGTACTAATGGCCTGGTTTACTTAAATGGTTATTGTTGAAGGATTGTTTATTAATTCATCTATTATTAGTGTTATTTTTATTCAGATATCGGTGTTAGAGCTTATCTCATAGGGGATACTTGAGCTGTCTATTTTTCTGCGTGACTTTGTGAGACAGCCTATGGATTCTATTGTATTTATTAGGGTTAAGGAATAGTTTGTTGATTAGATATAAATGGATCATACATGTTACCTTTCCCAAATAACAACTTATATAACTATGTATCTTTGATAGGATCATATTTATTTGTGTTCATTGCATTTCTCATTTATTCTATTTTTGCTAAAGTTGATAATAAATTGTCCAGGTATTAATGACTTTCATTTTATTAATTACTTAAAAACTTCATCACTGCATCACTCATTACTGATCTTGTTAAACTTAAATATGTTATAATAGTTATTAATTTTTAAAAGTCATTTCTCATTTGCTCGAATTCCTTGATTCCATCTTCTCGTATTACTCTTACTATAGCTATTACTGTGATATCAGAAATTCCTTTGATAATTTATGAATTCTTATTTCGGTCTCCAGTTATTATGCTATTAAGATGGAGGAACCCTGATTAGAATAACTTCATAAACTCATTTTTTAATAGTGATGGATCTACTTTTCTCTACTCACTTTTCAACCACAAAGTGATCATTGGTTACTTGGTACTGATAGCTTTTAAACCAACCAACCAACAAAATTCAGATTCCTTCTGAGTGAATTGCATTATAGATGGATTGTTCATTGTAATATTTTTTAAGCATTAAAATTTTAAATTTAATTATTATATATAGTCACATAAGTCATATAATATTTATCTCATTATTCGACTTATCTTAGTAAATCCTACCTTTATTTCTTCAATAATTCGTCATACTTTTCACATGCCAATTACTTCATTCTCAATTCTTCTTTCAATTATTTGATCTCATGATCCTTCTTCAAAATAATTCTCTTTACGTTTTCTTCTATATCTTCCAAATTTTATGAATGCTTGATATCCAATTCTCTCACTACATGAATTCACATACAATTTACATGTTTCCTCCAATATTTATTTTTAATTAGCCAATTCCCCTTATAACTTATTATTCTATTCAGTAAGCCGATTCTTTTCTCTTTCATGTGACTCCTTTATTCCCTTGACTTCCAACTATTACTCCTCCTTAAATTAAGTTAATTTCTCCTTGTATCTAAAATATTAACATCTATTACACAAGCATTTCCTCTTTCAACTTTTTGTACTCCTTATACTGTTTCTGGTTTTCTTACTCCTATTTCTCTATCAACCTTTACAAATCCTGATTGGACTTTTGAACTACCTAATATTCACTACCTTCCTTATTTTCCCGATCTTCCAAAGCCTTAATTTACTTCTTCAATTACTTAATCTCTTCATCCTTGCTTGCCTATTGGTCTCTTAATTTCTTATCGTATTTCAATTGGACATTCTATTCATATTATTATTTCTCTTCAGCCAATTTCTATACTATCTTTTCAATCTTATCGTTTCTATCCTATTCAAGCTTCCTTTGAATCTTCTCAATCTATCTATTCATATCCGCCTCTGCCCTTATTGTAAATTGTTATTTCCAGGCTTCTTGGTCACCCCTCAACGCTTCTTTCACTTCGCTTTCCATATTGAAGTACTTCTCCTTGTACTCATCAATTTCTCTTTGGCAATCACTCTTTATACGTCTAATCTCTTCGGCCTGAGAATCTGAAAGTTATTTCATCCTCTTCACATACGTGTCTGCTTCTTCTTTTCTTCTTCTTTCACAATCTTCAATATCCTATTGCATTCTTAGTTTGTAGGAATCTCTTTCTTTAGCAAACTAATCCTCATATGTTCTATATAATTCTTTTTATTTAATTAATTAGGCTTCTCTATCTTTCTATTGCAACAACTCATATTCAGCAGCCCACTTCTCTTTAAATAATTAAAGTTTCATCTCTGACTCATCAACTACTTATATTTTATAGAGTTCTTTTTCTTTTTAACATTTTTCTTCAATTCTCTTAATTTCTAATTTATTCTTCTCTATCATTCTATTCAACTCAGGCTCCAAACCTTTGATTGTTTATTCTTTCAATTCAGCCAACTTCTCTTTCTCCCATTTTTCTCGTTTCTATTTTTCCTGTATTTGCCATTACTCATATTTTTGTTTTATTTCTCTGGCAAAATTATTCTTCAATTCTTCCAATTGTCTCTTCTATTGCTTATCGATTCCCTTCAACTCAGTAGTCAACTATTCCACCTAATTATTAAGTTCTTTCTTATCATTGATCAACTGATCTATGAATCCAAGATGTCTATTAATTACAACCTCTAATTCCGCCTTCTGTTCATTTAATCGACGATTGATGGTTTCTTTAAAGTTCGACTCTGACTCTTTCAATTTTGCTTATGATTTTTCAAGTAACTATTTTAAATTATCAATAGTTTTCTGTTATTCATCCAATTCAATTTTTTGCGTTTAGACTAACCCATGCAATTATTAAATTTTTGATTGGTATTCATGTTCCTTCTCAATGGCTTCGATGCTTCTTACTGGTTATTATTAAGTTTGCTAACTCACTTAAGATGAGTCAGATTCAACATTTTCTAAAAACTAGTAAATATTTTTGATTTTTGTATTGGTATATTACTAAAGTGAATCCTTGGGTTTGGCTGAGCCTATTCTCTTATCGATTTTAAGTTAAACATTTGCAGATTCATCTTTGTTTGTTGATCCCAATCTTTTTTCAATCTTTTTTTCGACTTTGACCTTAGTTGATTGATCCTTCTATTCGTCCTTTGTCAACTCCTCAATTTAGCTCAATGACAAATTAATATTTTTTAGCATGGAATTATTAAAATTATTTTGATATTCAATGTTCATATAAATTCTCACTTTAAACGGGCATCAACCATATCCAAAGCCTTTTTGATTACCTCTTTAGGATTGTTAACATCACTATTTACTAGAACCTACTTTCCTTCAAGTTTCTTGAAAGCATCCAAATACTCCTCTGCCAAATTGAACCTGGCAGCCAAATCCCCTTCTTCACTATTCATAGCACTAGAAATGGCTTCAATTCTCTAGACAGTAGCAGTTGATCTAATAACAATAGACTCAGCCAATCCTTCTGCCTTTAAAATCTTTGACAATCTCTATCCTTCAGCCAAGTTAATTTAAGATTGCTGTTTGGCTTCAGAATGCAAAATCTCTGTCCTTTTGGTTCTCTCAGCCTCTGCCTCCATGTTCATTGCCTTTCTGATATTCTCTGTGACTTTGATATCCTTAATTTCATAACGCAAACACTTCAAACCCCACTCTTGGACAGCTTCTGAGAGTCCAGCCAAAATCAGAGCATTCATTTTCTCTCTCTCCTCAAAGGTCTAATCCAGAGTGAGTTTACCTATCTCAGCTCTCATAACTGATTGAGCAAGAATCTAGGGGGATTAAGCACAAAATCTACTTGAGCATAATCAATCGGTTTTTAGGCTCCATACGAACATTTAACTGGATCATCAACTTAAATATACAACACGCCATCTATCTATATGATCACGTTATCTTTTGTGACTGCATTTTATGCATAAATCATGAAGGCTTATTCCTAGGATAAGTATCATTCTACTTTAAGCGAATGTTCATAAGCAATCTCTTCAACGAAGGGGATTTTCCAATTCAAACCTGGAGTCAGAGTTCTTGTGTATTTCCCAAACCTCTACAACACACAGACTGTTTGATGAGGAACTGGAACAAAAAATGATCGCAAAGCTGCTCCCATTTTATAATTTTTATGTTAAATAAATATCCTCAAATAAAATATATTTTTTTCATTAATACTTAAGTCCAGGTGCATTACCAACTCGACATAACCCACAAATCAAACATGTCTGTTAGTAATCAGTTTCATAAACACTTCCATCATATGGACAAGATTTGAATGTTGAAATGTTTTTAAGCGTGTTTGCTGAGTACATTGGTTATTGATTCAACCATTATTCTTAAAACTCTATCTAAACCGCATTTGAATTTTATTGTTGAGATGCTTTTTCATACTAAATACCATAGATTCTATTGAAATACCTTCTATGCATTTTGTAACACCTCAGGTTTCTGAGTGTTGTCACTTTTTAGTAACTCAATCAATTTCTTAGCTATTTATTAGCAAGTAATAAAATTCTTTTATTTGTAACTGATGCTCAAAGCTTGTCTTAGTGTCAATATTCTGTGACCAGGCTATAAATCAATTGTTGCCATTTTGCAAGCCATTTCTAAGGCATTACTCTCCTTTTTAAGCGAGTCACATCTCATAGCTAGTAAATAACTTCTACAGATGCTAATGTATCGTTTTATGTCTTCGATTTGATTCTCTTCAAAATCTGTTAATAGGATTTTTTATAGTACTGATTAGAAGCAGGTGCTTACTTCATTAAATTTGGCATCTGTTGTATATTTGTAACCTAAGTTTGCAGATGAAAACGATACCTAATTTAATCAGATTCTTGATTTCATTAAATCTATTGATTTTCACTGGCAAAGTTGCCAAAGCGAGATATGGTGTTGAATTCACAAGCTAAAAATTAGGTAAATCGACTAGCAATTTTAAAAATTGTTAATTGTTATTAAGATTGATTTATTGGTTAAGTAATTTGATACCTGTTTCATAATCTCCAGCAACAATGTATTTAATGGCCACGTCTCCTTTTTAATTGACATATCTTCCTCTTAATGCTTCCTCATCAATGTTCTTATTAACAGGATCTTTAGCTTTAGATTCTATGATCAGTTCTTCTGGCTCCTCATCTAAACCCCATTATCCATCATTAACTTACTCATCAATTTAAGGCTCTTCTATCACTTATTTTTATAATGTGAAAATATCTTATTGTACAACAGTTTCATTGGTCACTTCAAGATTGATAATGTCTTATTCATTCAATTAGACAAGTGGCCATGGATCACTCTTGAATTTCATAATGGGAATTGGAGGAACCAAAGCTTAGCTACCTCCTAAGGATTTAATCCATTCTATTGTTTCCTTTTAACCATCATCTAATTTTTGGGGAGTTCCATCGATGTGATCCATGATTTGTGATAATTTGGGCAAAGAGTTCTTAATTGCAATTTTCTTGTATTTTTAGGATTCATAGATAAAATTGGGGCTTATGTTTTGTAATTTCTCTTGCTTCTCAGTGTTGCCAGTGCATAAACATAAAAAAAACAATCTATCAAACTAACTTAGTTATTGATCACAAACATCCACTAACAAATGATTACCTTGTCTTAAAGCTTCAGTTCTTAGTTATTCAAAATATTGTGGATCTTTAATTACTTGTGCAACTTTATATGCATATTCCAAATTGCCACAATCAAGGGAAAGTGAAAATTTAGCTAAAAGTTAATACAAATTCAATTACCATGTTTATCTTTAACTAATTTTAAGGCCATAGAAGCAAGTTTTTTTTAATACAAGTATGACAGCATAGCTTCATTTTGATTATTCTCAATAAACTTGTGTATGGAATTCAAATCCTTGTTCATAATTGCTATTTTAAACAAAGGTTCTGAAATATCAAGAATTTCTGAAATATATTTGCCTGTGTTATCAAATGCAATCAACTTGAGTTTGTTTTGCTATTATTCTTCAGCCTTAGCCAAGTATAGAATATTTTCAGTTGATTTTAGGACTCCAGTGTCTCCATTCAATAAAAAATACTTAATTTGACTTTTTGTTGTATAGATTATTATATTGTTAAACCAAATGAAGGATTTGATGTTGATTTATTCCTTAATTTCAATAAGTTTTTGTAATTGTTTTGAAAAGATAGATAGAAACAATTTGGTCGATACAATCAGGTAGGATTCCACATATAAGACATATTTAGCATTTAAGTAGTCAACTGAGTGTAATACTTATTTGGTCATGGGATCAAATAGTTCTAATTGAGGCGTAGTTCCAATTCTTTGAATTAATATTTTGCCACCAGGAGCATGGAATACTTTAGATGCAGGTTTATCATCAATTAATTGGACAGCATCTGTTTCATAATTGTATGATTCAACCTATTAATCTTGATTGATTCTAGCAATTTTATTCTTTCCTATAAAACATGCACAATTAGCAAAGAATTGCTTGACTCCTGAATCTCCCTTTTATTACTAAAATACGATTAGCAAATGTCTTTTGGGTTTCGACGGTTCCTTGAATGACCTGATGCATCTTATCATTAATTATGTTTTTTGAGTGTCGTAGGTATTGTATTCAATAAATTCAATATTATCTTCCAAGAGAGTAGGAGTAGGAGTAATAACAGTGGCAATGTCTCTGATGATTTGCTATTGTCCACTGATCAATTCGACTACCTTCAGTGTTTTCTATTCAGCTATACAGAGATATCTGTCATTAACCAGAACAAGAGGCACTCGATCTTTATGTAGAGTAAACACTTACAACATTGTGTCTGAGCCACATGCAAAGTAGTAATTGTTTTGATGACATGATACTATCCAATATCGATCGAAGTATTTGTTCTCATAGACTCCAATTTGTTTACGAGTAGCAAAATCCCATATTCTCACAGTGTGATCTTCAGAATCTGATATGATAACATTGCCTTTTGGATGGAATTCCGAACAACAAACATTGTTCGTATGACCTGATAAAGTGTCATATTCCCATGCCTTAGTGTCATTGTACTTCCATAATTTGATGTTTTTGTCATCAGCACTAGTGATAACAAAAGGTTCTGTTTAATGAAAGGCACACCAATTAAGTTGATCTTTGTGAGCATCCAAAATTGAAATTAATTGCACTTCAGCTCCTGATAGCACATATTCTTAATTCTTTTTTTGGGCATATCTCTATTTAAGGACTCCGTAATTCCATAGTCTTGCAGTTTAATCTAATGAACATGTGATAATGAAATCTTAAGTAGGATGAAAATGACAAGCCATGATATAATGCGTGTGTCCTGTTAAAATTCCGATGGTTTATCTGCTTTAATAATTCCACACTCTTGCTGTTTGATCATCGGAACCTGATAACACCCAAGGATTTATTGGATGGAATGTCACGCATCTCACATAATCCAAGTGTCCTTTTAATATGAATTGGCATTATTTAAAATTCCAAACTCGAACTGTAAAATCATCTCCTCCTGAACAAAATAAGTTGAGTTGTGGATGAAATTAGACTGATCGAACAGCACCCTTATGATCATCGTAAGTAGCTATTCTTTTCTTAATTCGATAATCGATCAATTCTATGATTCCAGAGTGAAGTGCACTCAAAACCCAGGGACGATGAGGGTGAAAGGAAACACTTTTGACACGATCTGAATGTCTCTCAAATTTTACGAACATTTTAATTATTTTACACGTATATCATAATAAGGAATTGTATATCTCAGGACATATCACATAGCTGAGTACAGGAAAGGCGAAAGCACCCACACGTAAAGCTCCTACAGGATTTCGTTAAGCCAATTGAGTGAGCATCAATAACCCAATTGAACTGCCCAAAGCTATACGTCTATGCTTTCCCTTAAAGCCCATAATATAATTGTCTTTCAACACTTATTTTAGCCATTTAACATACATGCTACATCATTTGCCCAGATTGTGGAATGAATTTCAAACCATTCAACTCCTTCATTTATAAATTCCATTTTTAATAATGAAATTACCAATTTATTATATTTTCTAAGACTTAAATATCTATATATATAAATATAAATTCAGTATTAGACTGCGCTGTGTAAATTTCTACAGCTTGTTCTTAACTAAATACTTATTTGATTTTTTAATTTGATAGCTGGATTCTTGGGAATCCTATTGTACGAAGATTACATCCCACTCTAAATATTAGAATCGTAAATCAACTCCAATGGCAATCTAGCCACTTGAGGGACTGAATTGTATTGAATATAATTGTTTTATTGCATTTGCACTCTGTCCTTGCACCATGAACAAATTTGTTGGATGATCTCCAGAGGTCGAGAATCATTGTGTTCCCCATCCACTTTGATCAACTTTTTGATTCCTTTGTGTTGCTTATACAATTTCAAACTATTTTTAGCCTTTATAAGTGAATCCTTATCGCTACAAATGTAGAGTGTAGGCATGTTGGAATTGCAATGCACTTGGATATCATTCAATTGAAATCCTGCCTCCTCTTCTATCGACCCTTTGGTTAAGAAGATGATAGCCTTGATGATGAATTTTGGCAATCGAGTTTGTTTCTGGATTATGCTAATCGCCAATTTATTGAAGTTTGTGAAACAACTATCCAAAACCAATCCCTTCACATTCGGTTATTCCTTCAATTGAATGGTAGTTGCTCCCAAAGATCTTCCCCATAAAATGAATTGCTTCTGCTAGAAATTTAATTCCAATTCCTACAATATAGAAGTGATGTCATCCTTCTCCAGATGTCTATTAAATTTTATAGGAATAGTACCCAAAAGTAATGAAATCCCCTTCGGAATGACCACATGCTTAGAAATCGAATGCACAAAAATTGAAGCCATACTAGGCGACAATTGAAGCGTACTTAATGCCTTCTATTCTACATCCATTATAACCATGGCAATAAACAATGCAATTCGAAGTTTTGGGGTTCAATTCAAAGAATGACATTTCTAATTTGCAATTTTAACGATTAGTAATAATCCTCTCATGTTTGCGTAAGTAACCTTGAGGTAGTTAAATGCATTCAGGACCTAACCCTGCTAATAAGAAATAAACTACCTAGATCAAAGTAACTATAATTATATCTCGGTGGCCTCACAAATTTCTACCATTCTCTTTATATTGACATTTTTTAATTATATTTACTTTTCGTAATTTAATAGCTCTAAAAACAATATATATATAAATTAAAATGTCCGAAGAAGAGGAGGAAGAATACTTCAATATAAACACTGAGCACCATCAAATCTGCGATGATCCTGAAGATAGGAAATAACACAAACAATAAAACAGCAAGGTGTTGATAAATTTGGGCGTTTTCGCTCTCTTTACAGCCGTCTCCTCGTTGATCTTCATGGGCTAGTTAGCTAAGAAATCAAGAGAAGATAAAAAACCAAACATCTTGCCCTTCCATAATCCCAATAATCGTTCAGAATTATTATGTCCCTTGAATACATCATTTGACACTAGCTAATTCAGTTGTATGAGTTGTTCCCAAAATTGTGAATATTGTTATCATGAATACAAATAGAGATGTATTTAATGCACTCATCCATATAAACTGAAAGAAAATATTTGTGTTGAAGATTGTGTGTCCATTGATAATGTTTGTATCAATACAACAGCGGATTTACTTAATTTATATAATTACTCAATAGTTGATTTGGGAACAGAATTACGAATAAATCAATTATTCTAAGTTGAAATTCACACCCATCTATATGAAAATCTCTACATCATATTCCCTCCACTTGGTTAATCGTTTAATTATTTCTACTAACACATTAAATTACCAGAATTGGCTTAATAATTGAATGCCACACTTTTTGTGTTTTCAACGCCTTATACAGAAGTGTTATAAGTCTAAGAAGTCTCAGATTCAGTTGATGAGGAATTTAGATATATAGAAAGAGTCCATGATTTTATTAAACCATATTTATCAGAAAATACCAAGACTATCAACATTATTGGGTTAGGAGAAATGCTCTTCTTTGCTCATCGTTTATCCACCTTAATGTATCGATATTTATTATTTGTTAGAGTTAAGAAAATGCCGACAGCCTTGGAAACAAATGTTACTGTGATTTTAATGCAAACCTTGTAAATCCCTTTATCAGAATCATTAAATTTAAGTTTCTTGTAGTTACAGCACTTACTGGCTTACATCGATTAAGGATGGGACATATCACACAAAGAAAATAAGACTGATCTTATAGCGAATAATGAAGACGACCTTTTTTCTTCAATTCAGTAGTTTCTCTTGCATCTTAGCTTCAACAATTTAGTCAACCCATCTTACAACATGAAAATAAATGTTGTTGTTATGTCTGAAAGAGGATGCAAGGACTTATCAAATTTATATTAAGACGGCTTTAATGCCAAGAATTTTATGCAGATATTCTTAGATGACAGTCATTTGGCAACATAGTTCGCAAGATTGATCAGTTTGCAATGAGTTTGTAATTAGACTAGTAATTTTGAGTAATTGTTATTGTATCATTATATATATATTTTATGTTATTAAATACAATAATTCTATATTCAATACCTGCCTATTCATATCAACTCTTCATCTCCATAATACATATTTTATCAAATGTTAGTGTTATTAATTATTGGGTGTGATTAAAATTATTTGATATTTTATTTATGTTATAATAAAGTAAACAATTGAGATAGCAATATGAACAAGAACTAGAGTAATAACTTGCTATTGATCGAAAAGCCAAATTAAGGTATTATGAAAGTCAATTGCATCCAAAACCCAAATACTTTAAATTCATTAAAACACCAAATAGATCTTGTTTACTATAATCAATCAAAATACCAAAAGTGGAATAGAGCTACAGAGATTTTACAGATATCAAAAACTCTTTGTTCTAAGACCAAATTTCAGTAATCGAATCATTCTCTCATTAAAGATTGGAAAACATGGCATTAGCATTAGAAAATAGGAGATTTTAAAAAATTTTAAAAGAGTTAACATAGGTTGGCAAGACAATCTATTTTTGTAAGACCAGAATTCGGAATTTCAAGAAAAATATCTTCAGATCATTCATTTTGAATTATAATAGACAAGTTTCAAAAGAGCAATTTCAAAGAATAGCTGATGCCTTATATGCTCACATTTAACATTTTCTATTAAAATAAATTCTATTTTAATGGAGTCTCATCGCTAAATAGAAGAAAAGAGCACTACAACTAATTTTTATGAAGCAATACTTTTTAAAATGGCGTAGAATATAACCAATTTCACCTACTTTAATAAGAGCTTTTAAAGTTTGGAAGGGACATGTAAGAGAGAAAAGAGCAAAAAGGTTTTATACATACTTAAGAACAAAGAAATTATTTGAATTTTGGAAATTGTGGACATCCTTAAAAAGAGTGAGAGTGAGATAACAAATTTTGGCAAAACATCATTATAATAAAACTCTGATCCTATGCGTGTTTGGATTACTTTAATAAAACATCTTACTAAATAGAGGAAATCAATCTTAATTTTCAAACGAGTTTCTAAAATCAGATTCTTAAATTTAGACTATTAAATTGCAACAATGAAAATTTTTATTTATTAATTAATTTTTACATGAATTATATTTAGAACAATGGTTATTGTAATAAAAATCTCATTTTTTAATGATATTAAAATAGTTCTTCATTAGAAAAACAATCATAAAGGCTTTTAAAATATGAAATAAATAATCATTAAAAAGAACTCTTTTTATTGTTGAATTAAATTTCATGAATTGAAAGTTGCTACTTCATCTAACAGATAATTTATCCTGCTTATTTAATATTATTGAATAACTGTTTCAATTAGATTAAATTTTTATATTAATAATAATAGAAACAATTTTAATTAACTTATAATGTTAAGATTTAGGATATATTCATTTCTTAGAAAAAATCCTTTAGTAAGCATAAGCCTCTGATAAACAAAGACTCAAATCAGATTCTGACCATTCTCTTGTAGGTAACTTTTCAAGAAGGATCATTATTTCATCATATTATAATTTCTAAATTTTAAGAGAAAATTTCATTAAAATAGAAATAATTATGAAGAGGCACAATTCAAAATAGTCTATTATTAATATAAACAGTTACTTTGTTCCTCTGCTAATAAAGTATCAAATAATCTTAACCCAACTTCAAATTGAAACATCCTTAATAACATACATGTACTCCATTTAAAGATAAATGCATATAACTCCATTGCTATTATTAAAATGTATAATTACATAGTGAGGTAGTAAGATGTTCATAAAGCTTTTTATCCAAGGCTGACAAAATCTCCTTAAATTTATTATAGAAACGAACCAACCCTGGTTGTGAATTAGTATAGTTATCAAGAACGGTTTCTAATAATTTACATAGACACCAATAAGAGTCAGCCTCAACTTATTTGATCAACCTTTAATCTAGATGATCTAGTTGTTTTTCATTAGTGAATTGCAATTTAGTAGTGTCAATATCAACATAGTCAGACAAGAATACGATTAAGAAAGGAGTGACAATGTCATTCATTCCTTACACATACCCACAGGCAGGATTTCGTATATTCCAAATAAAAAGGATCCTCTCCAACAAAGTTTAAATTTAAGGATTTCTAAACACTGAAGAGTCTGGTATTGTTCGCTTAACATCTTCTGAGATTTATTTTAAAATCTTTTTCTCTCTATCATCATATTGCTGATTCTTGGCAAAATATATATCACACATTTCAAAGTACATGTTTCTTTTTCGCTCTATGATTGCAAACTAACTAAGTCTATTATCCAAATTACATTGGCATCCCTATTTGGGGATTAATATTTGAGTAATAGTCTCCAAACCGTGCTTCTGAGTTCACTCGGCACACCTGACCAAGCTAGATGAAGCAGTTCATTGATAGGAATAATATTTTAATGCAATATTTCCTTAAACTTTTCTAACATTTACATATAGATATACAAATTTTTGAACGATCTTCTCTATCAGTCTCACGATTGCATGATTTGTACTCTTCATTTCTGTTATAGAGAGTGGCAATATTTACTTTCTAAATTGATAACATAATAAAATTTAATAATAAGCATATCAAATTATATCATTTCTATGAAGGTGAAAACTATAAATAGCATAATCCAACATCATCAGAATTTATAATTAGAATTGTTGAATTCTTAAATAATTTTACTTATTCTCTAATAATTATTCACATTTGGTCATTATTACTGTTTTGCTTACTATTTTAGAATTATTTCCCTTAATATAATAACTATTCAAATCACTAAATTAATTCTAAAATATTTAGCGCTAAATCTCACTCTTATTTTATTCTCTCCATCTATAGATGATCTCCTAAGCTATTGAAATTGGATATCCATAATATGATTATATGTAAATATCAAAGATATTGTTAAAACAGCATCCCTTAAACTAATAATCATTCTTATTTTCAGGTATTAAATCTCTATAAACAATCATCACTATTAAATGATTAATTCAAAATCTAGTCTTATCATATGTTAAAAATAATTATTTGTTCACCCAAGTTTTATTTTTTTTCAAACATATAATTTAATTCGTTATCCTTGTATATACGAATTTAGAATATATTAATTTCCTTCATTGGTGCAAATGTTTTCAATTATTGTTGATAAATAAATATACTATACTAAGGACTCTCAAAATTATATCAATTGACTTCAAATGTCTATATTTTCAAAAGAGTATTGGTTAATTTCTTTAAATACTTTTCTAATATAAATTTTAAATTAGAAGAAATTATTAATATTTAGTGTTATGATGAATAATCATAATAGCCTATCACAATTTTTATTTTAATTTAAATACAAATGTGTTCATCTATCAATTTTGTTAAACCAATACATGTTAGCAATATAAGAGATATATTTGCAAATTTTATTTAGAAATCTTAAACCATTTTCTCTCATATCAGGAGTATCAAAAGTTAGAGTGTGTTAAATCTTGAGAATCTAATACTAATAAAAATTTGAAACTAATCATTCAAGCTTTGACTTGGAATGTTCAAATCCATAGTGGATAAGAATTCATCTAATCATACATACTAAAATTACTAGTCAATGGATGTACATAGTTTAAGATTAGGCTTACCTCATTTGCTGAAATACTTGCTATCAGTAATCCATGAGGCAATAGGAAGGAATGAAATTGAAAATAATAATTTTGAAAAAAATGAACAATCATTAATGGATTTTTGCAGAAAAATATCATTACTTGTCGAAGGACATGATAAAATAAGTGTGTTGATGATGAGTATGATGAATTCATGGAGGTGTATTGTTATAAAATATATAAATTGATTTTAAATTCAAATTTTCAATTTTCAAAATTTTTTAATACTCTTGAGTTTCTTGTTTAGAGTTGAGAAGGAGTATTGAGACCAACTAAGGAAGGAGAATTGGGAATTGATGAATGAATGGAATAGAAATGAGTTTTGGAAGTTGTATAATATATATAAAATATAATACTTCGTACTTTTATATATTTAAATAAATTTAGATTTATTGAATATATTGTATTTTGCTATATTTAAGGGTGATCTTTGATTTTGGAAACAAATAAGAATTTAAATTTTTAAAATATCTAAATGAGCACCAGGGGAAGAACTCATCTATATGACCAAATTGGACTGAATAAAACAGAGAGATTCGAAGATATGGTCAATTACATCAAACAAGTGGTTCAAAATGGATAAGAGTTGTCAATCGAAGAGAGAAACCTTCTGTTCCGTCGCTTACAAAAATAGCATCGGTGGAAGAAGAACAGCTTGGAGAGTCTTGTCCAGCATTGAAAACAAGGAAGAAGGAAAAGTAAAAAAAAAAATTTAAATTTTAGGCTCAATCCCAACCAGCCTCATAAAAAAATCTTGTCTTGATCAGAAGCTACAAGAAAAAGATTGAAGAAGAATTGAATCAATATTGTCACGATATCCTCAATTTGATCGACAGCCATTTGGTCAAAACTGCTTCAACACCTGAAGCCAAAGTCTTCTTCCACAAGATGAAGGGAGATTATCACAGATACATTTCTGAATACGCCTCCGGTGACTAACACAAGAAAGCCGCTGATGGTGCCCTTGCCGCTTACCAAGCCGCTTCCAATGTTGCTAATTCAGAATTAAAAACCACAAATCCAATCAGATTAGGACTCGCTTTGAATTTCTCAGTTTTCTATTATGAAGTCTTGAATGATGCTGCCAAGGCATGTTAATTAGCTAAATCAGTAACGAATCTTAATTAATCATTTCTAGGCTTTCGATGATGCTATTGCAGACATTGAATAAATTTAAGAAGATCAATACAAAGATGCAACAACCATCATGTAATTAATTAGAGATAACTTGACATTATGGACCTCAGAACTTGATGACGAAGGTGGTAACGTTGAGAACCTGTGAGGAGGTTATCATTTATGATATATATATATATATAATTATATATAAAAGAAACATTAAGAATTTTTTAAATAAAATAATTTTATTTCTTATAATTACTGTTATAAACTAATAAAAACAAGTGGTCAACAATTGCATTGTTATTATTTTTCTTTTTCATCTGGTTATTTTGTTGTAAGGAATTTTGGCTTGATCATACCTCCATCAATGACTCCTTACTACAACAAGTCTAGAAGTTTGATTGTAATTTGAGTAAATGCCTCATTGACTTAATAGCCAGTGTTTGCACTAGTTTCTATGTACAATACATCGTTTTCCTAGCAGAATTATTTAGCACATTATTCAGAAATCACTCTATATGATAAATGTAATTTTACCTTTCTTTTTCTAGATCGATTTTATTTCCTATGATAATTATTTAGATTGATGGTTTCGAGAAATCCCTGGCACATTTGATCCACTCTTTAAGAGCCTCAAAAGAGTCTGAACTAATTTACTGTATATTTGTACTTAGTAACATCAAACACTATCAAAGATCCCAAGGCTCCTCTGTAGTAGCCCTTGGTCAAAGATCTATACCTCTCTTAGCCAGCAGTATCCCATAGTTGCATCTTAATTTTCTTTTGCTTCACTTAAATTATCTTGGCAGAAAATTCAACACCCAATGTCTGCTTAACATTTGTAATTGCTTAAGTCATGATATAAATTACATTTTCCATGAGTGTAATGATAAAGTAGACTAGTTTTCCCACAATTACCATTGCCAATTATGATGAATTTGAATACATAATCACACTATTCCTCGGTCATGTGTACAAAATATATTTTATTAGAAAAATTATTACAAAAAATATACAATAAAATCAGATATTCAACTAAAGTTTTTATAAGTCACAATAGGAGATTAGAAAATGATTACTAAAAGTTTGGTATCAATGGCAGAATTAATAATAAAAATGGATAGTAGAGACATGTTAATTGGGAGTGGGGTAAAAAATAGAATGCTTTTAGTTAAATTCATTATTGGATTTAATTGGAGCAATAAAAAGGATTGAATTGAATGGAAAAGCAAGAGAAACTATAAATGAAATATTAATTTTTTAAGCGACATGCACTTGGTTATTATGTTTTCTAATAAAATATTTGTAAATTTAAAATAACAGAGTTAATGTGTAGGCAATTATGTCTTAATAAAATTTTGATATTTAATAATTCCGTAAAGATGAACGAATAGGATGATGAAATGCTTATAGAAGAGATCCTTTGTTGCTAAAATGACGATGATATACGGAGCCTCGTTGATTCTCAATGCCTGGATATCATTGGGAATTCATTGCAGGACCAGTTAACATTAGCGCATAAGCAACTTTTTCGAGTGATTAAACTATTCAGGGAGTTTTTGGATTCGAGTCGTAATCAATTTTGGGATCAAAAAAAAAAGAGGGAGCAGAATCAAACTTTGCAATAGGATTATTTGATAATTCATCATGAGTTACAGCTAGAGAAAAGTAGAGGCAAGCAGATTGAGGAAGCAAATAATTAATTGAGATTACAAATAAAATTATACGAGGGTGATTTTGAAACCATTAGACAATAAAGTTTTGAGGATATAAAAAAGGTGGAAGAGCAATTAGTTAAAACCCAAAACCAAATTTCTCTATACAAAAATTCTTTGATTTAAAAGTTTTGTGTGATATGTCTCCAAAAGGAATATTGTATCTTACTGAAGCCCTGTGGACATGTTTGTGTGTGTGAGGAGTGTTCAAAAAAGATTGATTAATGTCCTATTGATAGAGTCAAGGTTACAAAGATGAATAAAGTATACTTATCATGATTAAATAAGAATATATATATTATTATAGATTACAATCTATTCAAATAATGATCCTGTTTTGTTGTCTATGACATCTGTGGGATTACTAAATTGAAATCTAGTTTTAAAAGAATAGACTTAATTCATAGTTATACTTATATAATTTAAAATAAAATGGGAAACTTTTGCATTGATGTTTGTAATAACATAAACAACACTTTAAGAGGAACTGCTTCAGGAGGAGATTCCAAAGGAGGAAAGTAAGCTGGCAAAAAGGGGAAATTCGTTGATTTTAATATTGGTGCTTCAACCATTTCAAAGGAAGAATTCAAATAAGCAGCGAAGAAAAGAAAGGAAGAGCAAAGAAAGTTAGAATTAATAGATAAAATGTAGGAATAAGAAATCGAAAGGAAATTGAAATAGGAACTTGAAAAAATATAAAGAAGATAAATGGAAAAAAGATATATGAGAAGGGATTTTAAGTATTTCGATGAAACCACTCAACAAAGGATATACAACTTTGGTTTATTAGACAAGGATGAATTATTACAATCAATTATGGGATATGGTACTATAAGAATGCTTAATGAAAAACAATGTGAACCTCTTGCATACTTTCCCCTTAAAAATTCAGATGAGTTACTGTGGGAAGATCATTCTGAGTATTTGTAGAATATTGTACTCGATGAAATTATTTAATTAGACGAATCCGAGAGTTATAAATCTATGTTATGGACAGGCAAAAGACTCTCAAATCTAAAACAATAATATTTAGTTGAAATCACACAAATCAAAAAGTATGAATATCTGCAGGAATTTGAGGAGAATTTCTACTTCAATAAATCCATTTAATAATTGTTATCTTTAACCAAATAAGACACTATTGCCTCAGACATTTATAATGTCTCTTATCAACAGTAATGGTTCCTATTACATTATTCAAACATCTTTCTGAGAGTCACAGACATGCCCATAGCTACATTAAGGGAGGTCATTAAAATAAGAGCCTCATTCCCTAAAATGGAAGGGGCTTATAAAGAGTAGGAAATCTTAGGATTTTTGATCCTCATGATGAGAGCTCTAAGGGATGCCAAATCCATCTATATTAATCATGGAAATGTGAATGATGAGAACATCTATCTGAGTGGAGATGGACAATATAGAATCAAAGGCTTCAATGAATTAAGAATAGCCAGCTACATTGTTCAGAGACCTACAAGTTAAACTTTAATCAAAAAGACCTCTAAAATATATTCAGATAATCGCAGTGAGGTTGAAAGTGAAGAGCTGTTAGCTGACGATGATAGCTTATAGGAAGATGAACCAGAAAAATATGAATTGTGTTGCACCTACTCTTATTTGTAATACTATATCAAATAGGTCAAACCAAGACATTTAATCTTTTATAATGAAACTATACGACCTGTCATTGAAAAAGGTTTGTACATTTATTGGAACAAAACATTTGACAACATGAGTAATGAAGCCAAAAAAGAGAGACTTGTCAGAAACACTGAGGAGGTGCTTCTAAATTCCTTAATCATGCAATAAAACTTTTATAGTTTGGCTATTATAGCTATTCAGATGATTAGTTTAGGCAAATTCGAATAGTGGTGCCAAAGTAAATCAAAGACATCTCATCATTCTAATGCGAGTAATAAGAATGACATCAGCCAAGCAGCCAAGTTCATTAGATCCTTTAGTGGCTTACACACTGATGAATCCTATCTTAATTAAAGGGTTAAGAATTTAGATGAATTCAAGGAATATCAAGCCAAGAATTATATTGAAATTATGTCCTTTTTAGCCCAATATTAATTAATTAACAATAAGTAACAGAATTACCAGATTGTTATTTTATATTTACAAGATATGCTTAAGCCAAATTGTGATTGGAAAAGAATCATGGATTAATTATAAGAGGAGGAGTTTGATCCACCAAATGATATTATATTCTTTTAAAGAAGCAACTTTGAAAATTCACAATTAAATAAATCAAAGAATGATAAATCTACGAATAATTAATCAGATAAAAAGAAATCTGAAAAATAAATTAATTTATCCTAATAAGAAAAACCTTAGGCAGATCAACCAAAAACAGAGCTATCCGCTATTGTAGACTATGAAGAAGATAAAGGAGGACTGCTAATAAGGGCATTTAATGTGTCAGATGAATTTTATGATATCAGAAAGTACTTTTATTAGATTTAAGGGTATATGCTTATTAGAAACACTAGAATAGGATAAGAAGCCGCTAAATATATCTTAAAAATCATAAATTAATTATAAATCAACGATCCAAATAAATTGGCTCATTATAAAATTAGCAATCCGAGTGAAATCTTTTTTTCTAAAACTGAATATGTTTTTCTAAAATTCTGCTTAGGATTTTGTTACATGCAAAATAGAGAATTGGAATTGGCATATGCTACATTTACATCCCTTGAATCAGATATTGCAACTGCAGATCCTAAGACTTTAAAAAAGATCAATCAATCTAATGTCAAATTTTATGAAGGACTTATTACATTTATATCTGGAGAGGCAGAGGATGCATTATAACTCTTTAATAGAGTACTCTAGATTTCAAAAAACAGTCTTAAAGAGATCAATGAAAAAGCATACTATTAATTTATACATTATTATTTTCTGTTGTAACTAGATCAAGATGGTTATTTTGAAGCCTTTAAATATATTCAACAATTAAATGAATATCATGAATAATAATGCTAAAAGTATGATTACATAAGCAAAAGCTTGATCTTATCATGCTATAATCGAGGCAAAGCCTATTATGAAGTAAGTTAATTTGAACTCAGCAAATATTATTTTGATATATCCCTTAAACTAATATCAAACATTACCCGATCAGGAAGTGAAATGGACTCTCTTCGGCTATTAAATTTAGGTTATTTGAGCTACTTACATTTTTTAACAAATGATATGGAAAATATGAAATCAAATTTATAAAAGGCAATGAGTATTATGTAAGAGGCTTTGAGTAGTTTTCATTGTTTAGAGACAGTGGTCTTATTCTTTAATTTTTTTGGATTTCTACTAAAATCCCTTTACACAGATTTAGAAGATATGTATTAACAGGTCGAATTGTTTTAATTAACAATAGATAATAATAAAAGAGTGAAAATAGATTAATTTTTTAAGAAATTTGTGTTTGGTAAGATGTTCTTTTACGCTGGAGACATTAAAAAAGCACAAGAACTTTTTTTGGATGCAGTTTAATTACAATAATATTAGATTGCGGATGAATTAAGAATTAAATAGACATAAAATATTTCTGTTCATCAATTAAAAGAATTTTAATAAATAAAAATTCAAATGCTAAAGGATTATCAAGAATAACAAAAAAAGTTTAAGACCACTCTGCCACCGCCAGAAAGAGATAATCTAACTGTGAGATTGTTAATGGAAGTCTATGATTGGTTAGGATATATCTATATAAAATAAAACCAAGAGAAAAAGGCGATGTTATGCTATAAATTATATGAATAATACATGTACAATTTATTTAGATTTGAGTAAACATTGATTGATGAGTACACGATGAGATGGGCAAAAATCTAATTTTATTTACAAAAATATGATGAGAGTTTGAAACTATTTTCATAATTGGCTTGCGATCTTAGAAAATAGAAAGTAGATGAGGATTTGTATTTTGAATATCAATAAATTCAAAGCGATATCAGTAGATGGATGGGATTGCTATATCTATTGTAAAATAAAGATGCTTCAGCCAAGGTTGCTGTAGAACGTTCTAAAGAAGAGTTGATGAAACTGTATAAGCAGCAGTAAGTTAATGAATTGTCTAAGACATAGACAAATAATAGTAGAATAGGGACTTAATTAAGTGATCCTAAACTATTGTCGTAAGAAAGAGAAGACTTTGTGGCGAATTCATAATTTCAGGTTTCGAACAGGGTTGAATATGTTGGAACTTCAATGATTTAGTTATAGATTCAGAAGAGGAATTTGATGGAACAAAATTATTTCAAATTGTAATAGGCTCCTGTGCTGATATTATTAGTGTAAAACTATATGCGAGTAATTTGGGATTGTATTTCATTAAATTTAAAGAAGTTATCAATTAGTTATGTAGAGGAATTTTTGAGTTTTATAGAGAAGGATAAGTATTTAAATAGTCCTATTTTTGAAAATGCCCTAAAAAGTTCAATCAGGTCGGATGTTTATTTTTTGGTTGGATACATCTATGGGTAGAGAGGATAGCATGAAGAAACCTTTATATTTTTTAAGAGATCATTCATCATTATCAGAGAATTGTATGATAACAATCAATTAGATTAACAGTTAATAATAAAGATGAGTCTCATCTATGATTAAATGTCAAGAGTGTTAGCCAATTAAGGATTTTATATTGATGCCAAAACATATTTATTGCATTCGCTTCAATTATTTTAATAAGTCAAGAAGAAAACTAATCCCCTGTAAATTGCCTATAAGCACGCAAATTTAGGCAATCTCTTATTTAAATTAGGTTAATATACAGATGCAAGAATTCATACTGAAAGTGCTTTAGTGATATTTGAAGAGGAGTATGGAAAAGTGTCAGTGCCAGTATTGCAAGTGAGAACAAAACTGCTTGAGATTTTGCTAGCAAGAAACAAGAATTAGTTGATTAGAAAAGCAACCTTATAATTGATTGAAACATTTAAAATTGTTTGTGAAACTCATTACTCAACTAAATTGGATGGATAGATAGATAGAATGATAGCAAGTTATCACCATAAATATGGAAATCACTCAGAAGCATTAAATTTATATTTGACAGCATTTATCAAATTACTTGATGACAATGAACAAGGGATGTTACTACTTAATCAATTATCCTAAGGAGAGAAGAATGTTAAGAATTTGTTGTAGATTAAGTCAAGTGATAGAGCTTCACTTGATATAGCCTTAACAATATGCCAATTGTATGTAGATAATTTACAATATGAGAATGCTTATGATTTATTAATCAAATTGCTGGATTTAAGTTAGGGTATTGATTACGATCCCCCAGAGCTTGGAAAAATTGCTGTGTTAGGACATGACAAAGATGAAGACATACATGGTGGTTAAGAAGGAATTTTAAAAATTATCTCTTGTTTTAATAGAATAGATACAAAAAAAGGTAATCTTACAATTTTCGAGATTAGAAGGACAGAAATATTTGATATGCTCAAATCCAAAAGACATCTTAATTTATTATTTATAGCAGATATTTACAGATTATTGGGGTAAATATTGAACTTTTGGGAAAGGCAACGATTTGAAGCTTACTTTTTTCCTAATTATCCTGCAATAATTTCAAAATATTATGGAAGCCAATCCAAATTTTAGAGTTAAAAATCTAAAGTAAAGAATGTTAGAGGATAATAAATTGATGATTTTCAAAACTAAATATTTAACTTTTTGATTGATGCCTTAATCATTTATCAGGAAGCTATAGGAGACTATCATACAAATTTCGTTGAAACATTATATCTATTATCAGAAAGATAGTATCTATAGGAATAATATGAAGATTTATCCAAATAAGCTACTCAGGTCATTGGCTTACTTAAATAAAAAAGACTGTCATTCCCTATAAAATAATGGAAATTAATGCTTATATAAGTCAAAACTAATTTGCAGAATTGTAAAGCCTATAAATAAATATTGTCAATTATTCATAGGTATAATCTAGATTCAGGCTATAAGGATTTGGAAAATACTGAAGAAAATTTATATGAAAGAACAATGCTAAAAGTAAAGCAAATTATATTAGGGGAGAAGAAGAAAAAGAATAAAAAAATTATCAAAATTAATAGAGATGGATTGGTTGCTATTGCTTGTTTGATAAGATCTGAAGAAGAAGAATTTATATATTTTATTGATAATCTTGATACTCAAAATGAAGAACAGATAGTCACTCGATTGACGGTTGAAGTCAATTTTGCAAAATAACAAAGAGCCATTTATGACTTCAATAATCTTCAAGCTTCCACCTCTCCATAGAATAACTAATTTAAGTCACAAACTCCTAAAAATTAGAAAGATGAGAAATCATTTTTTGCATAGAAACAGAGATATCTTGATACTACCAAAGAACTATTGCCATAATAATAGAGAGTGTTATTTGAAGCATTAAGAGGCATGAGACAAATTAAGAGATTTATTCGAAGGTATTTAAGAAGAAAAATGAAGGCTAAATTAAAGAGAGATTAGGATGAAAAATAAAATATATATCTAGAAGGTAATGACTCTATTATAAGATTTGAAATATCTAATCTTTTATACGAAATGAAATAGATAAAAATTATTATTATCACCTTATTGGGATAATCATACTACAACTAAAAGAACTAAGAAGATGATTGATTTGTATCATATATGTGTAATAACAATTTTCATCTAGAATTGATTTATGTTTCATAGCTCAATTTACATTTCATCATCTAAATTTGAACTTTTCTAATTATATTCAATTAGTTGTTCTGTTAGTTTACCATCTCTATCGAATTCTATTTCTGTCTTTTTCAATTGTTACTCTACTATATTTTCAATTATTGCCTTTTAAAATTAATCTATAACTAATTTGTGGCACTTTTATTAGCAAATTGGACAAATCCATTTGTTTTCTATTTAATTTAATTTAACAAATATTTCTAAATCAAAACATTAAATGTGAGTACATCTAAATCCTCTCCCAGGAATTTTCATAAGGTTCAAAGTCTGTATATCTAGTAAAGAAACCTTTAATGTGGTTTCCCCTATTTAATTAATGAACGTTGAAATTCGGTTTGAGGATTCTTGAATTGATACTGATTAGTCTTTTTATAAATCATATAGCCAATCTCTAGGACTAAACACTTTAACACTATAGACTGCAAATAGATAATAGTTTTGAGTCTCAGTCTGTTATTTCTGACTAATATTCAATGACATAAGCTATTTAAAAATAGACTGTTAGTATAGTATTGTTATTTTATTTGTAGATCCAAATTTGACTGATTAAGTAACAATATAAGATTCACCACTCTTTTGACCCATTTTCGAATCAAACTATATCACTTTTAAGTTATTTAAATAGATCTCTCCGGATTCTGGCCAAGTTAATTTATCAACATTTCCTATCTATAGACATCTCATTTGAATTTGATAGTTTGATTCAGAATTGGGGCATTCAAATAGTAAAGTCTTTTCTTTGTTTTCATCTACCAAATTTATAATTTCTGGTTCATGTAATACAGATATAACTTTCTCCAAAGGACTTGCAAATGACAATTGACATGCAGGACACATAAAATTTATTTACTTATCCTATTATTATTTTTGAATGCAACAAGAATGATAATACTCTTTACATCCTTTGCACCTGAGTGTTTGAGCAGTTTTGATTTATTCTTCATTTGCTTTGAAACCTCTAATTTTACATAGGCATTGAGGGCAATTCTTTTTTTATGTAAATTTGGTAGTTTATTTTTTTATAGAAGTCTCGATCTAGTGGTTCAAGATTTGAATCTCTCTTTTCTTAATAACGTTGATTGCTTTTTTTTTGGAATCAAGCAACTCCATTATTTTCAGATTTGTGTTTTTTACTATGTTTTGTAAGATCTAATGCTTATAAAATATAGGATCTTCATAGGGTAGAAGAGAACCATATATTAGGCTTTTTAAGTTAGTTGGGTTTGAATAGTTGATCTCTGGACTATTGAGTAATGCTATTTGTCTTATTTTTAGCAGATGTTTAATGAGGTATTCCGGTATGACAATTAAGAATTGTTGTCTACTTTCAAACTTAGGGGCACTTAATAGTCTTAATATATCGGCTTGTTCGCTTTCTTCAATTTCATCTAAGCCAAAATCCATTATACACATTTTTATGTAAAAAGGAATTTAGGTGTCGATTTCACTTTTTAATTTTCGTAATTCTAATTAGTTTTCTACTTCAGCTTGCTAAATCATCACTTTGCGAAATATAAAAATCAATTTTTCTATCTATCTCAAAAAACATATATTCCAAATATTTATGTCCTTTTTATTATTTAAATTTATAGACAATTAAATTACTAATCTATTTTATGTATGGAATAATGTTACTATCTTGCATTAAAAACTTGGTAATATCTCAAAAACAAATTGGTCTCGACAGATTCTAGGTATAAAATTAGAATTAATAATAACAATGAATGAATTTTGATTTATATTAAATTTCATTTAAAATCTTCGAGATTTCGAAGAAAGGTTTTTGCGTTTTTTTAACCTAAATTTAGGGATTATGTACTATAAAAGAGTCAGGCTAACAAAATGAATTTTAATTTATTAATAAATATCCTTATACTTATTTTTTTTTTCTTCTTCCTTAAGTAAATGAATATTATTTGTAATAAATGTTTATTTAATTTAATTATATTAAATATCAATTTCAAAAAAGAATTACATTAATATTTCAATGGTTGTGTTTATTTTATCATCTGAATACAATGATAAGTCCTTCTTCGTTATTTATAAACCTACTTTAACAATACTTTTGTTGAATTAATGAATACAAATGAGCATTTCCTTTGCAAAATGGATCTTTAGGTTTAAATAAATATTTCTCCTAATTCTGTATAAGGATGTCTGAGTTTATTTTATTTTAAAGTAAAGATGAAAATCATTATAAGCTTATGTGGAAAATATAGAGTTTTAAATCATAAATCACTGTTTTGAATGATCAGAATTATGATTCCAACTGAATTCATCCTCATATACACGGCTTACTTCTGAGGGGACTGGAGTGAATTAAGAAAATTTCATGGACAGTCTCTATCTGGTTGTAATGGATTCAAACAAGAAAGCTTCGAATTTTTTAACCTCTGGTGATGACATCATCTATTCGATTTCATATGATTAATTGCGTTGATTCTTTTTAATTTGATTAGATTGCGAATCAGCTGGGGATTATGTGAGCTTCATCTTTATTTTACTCATTTATATTTATTTTGTCTATAAATATTCTAAAAATAAAATTAATTTAACAAATTTGCACTGGAAGTAATAAAATCAACCTTAATAAAATACAGTTTTTTTGATAAATAAAAGAAAACCCTCACTGAAAGATGAGTGGATATAAAATTAGAAACGATAATTATACTAGCCTTTAGAATTATTGATAAAATTAAATTTATCTGTTATGAAGAAATTCGATAACTATGATTCATTTTTGAAACTAACAAATAGAATGTCAGAGAATTCAACCCCAATAGGAAATATAGTTTAAGTATAAAATCCACGATATTTTCAAAGCAAAAACCTCATTCTCACCCAACCATTCTAAATGGAATGAGGAATAAAAATACTTAATCTTATAAAACTCTATGTTCACCTTCAAGGATTTTTGACTACTCTGATACTCCTGAAATAGCTTAAAACTAAAAAAATAAGTATGAAGCAAGTGAAAGGAAACGATAAATAGAAGCAAATACTACAAGAACAATTAATCCAAGCATCGAAAAATGCAATTCACCTCAACACTCGAGAATACAATCAAGCACTCGTTACAATGTAAATTAGGAGAGTACCTACAAAGAACCCAAACGCTAAGTAAAGTAATGAATTTTAATTAAAATTAGAGCATGTACTCAAAAATCATAGGATTTCAATCATCGAATAAATTTACCAATTAGCTAAGTAAATTCTTTTTTGATTTAAGATGTAAGTTAATGATGGCAATGAAGAATACGGAAATTCTCGAACACATAAAAAGTCATCATCTATTCAGACTTTCGTTAATCTATAAAGTTCTCCTATTTAAAATGAATGTATAATAATTAAATAACTATAGTCTTTTCAATATACACTGATAGAACAAGAGGAGCTCAATATGAGGATAGTTTCCGCCACTTATTAACAAGTTATTAAAAGGCTAATTAAATCAAAAATGAAGGCAAAAAGAAATATCCCTAAAGTCGATTAATCTATGAATAGACAAAATTAGCAGAACAAAAAGTCTTAAAACCTCATAATAAAGTGTTTTAATAGAGTGAAAATGAATAAAAGGTATAAAATTAAGAATAAGAATTTAGGTAAAATACATTAAAAAAGGGTAAGGAGATTGGAACTTAAATCAACAGAAGTCTAATTTTAAGATTTATTGAATTATTTTTATTTATTTTCTCATCAAGTTATAAATAATATGTTAATTACCATAGGAATAATTAGAATAATTTATATATATGAAAAGTTCGTCACCAAAAAATTAAATAATAATAGAGAAAAGAGGGTTGAGTGAACATGTCTAAGCTACAAGTATCAACTCAGGAAGCAGAAAATCGTCGATTGTTGTTAAGGATGGCAATAATTTAAAGGGAAATCTATAAAGTATTTAAAAATAAACAGAGATAAATAATACTCAACTTAAGAAGGTTTCTAGTGCTGGAAAATTACTGATACCTAAAAGTTAGCATATTATGTTATTTGATAGATGATTAATCATAATAAAAATAAAAACGATTTTCCTCAAAAGAAGGAGATGGATTAAATGTAATAAGATCAGGTTATTTATACAAACAAATATCTCCAAAAGTAACAATGTAAGAAGACAAAATGAATGTTGTATTTGTTCAGGAACTCAATAAATATTAAATAAATAATGAACCAACTTCACCAAAATCTCCAAAATTAACAGATGCTAATTTATTTATGCATGAAATGTCATAGAATGGATTTTAATTGAAAGGACCTCAATCACCATCATCTCATGATATTCTCACAAATGGATAACTCAAAAATAAGATTCCCAAGAGTGTTTTAAGTCATCATCAAAAATCTGATACCAACATCTGGAAGAGAAGATAAATGAATAAAAAACGGAGCAAACAATATTAAAACACAGTCACCTACTATTGAAAATGATTTGTAAACAGAATATACAACTTTTTACAGTATTAAGCAAGATTAACTTACATTTGTCCTTATTCTTGTAATACTTGCGACAATTGTTTATTATAATTCTGAACTATATACTTTTAAATATTAAATCAAGTATTATAAATGATAATCCGTTTTTCAAAATAAAAATACCTAAACTTCACCCGAATTATAAATCAAAATTACAGAATATATAAAGTTTAAATCATCTGTTGTCAAAGAATAACTACCTATTCTAATATATTTATAATATATTCCAACGATTGTCAGAAACATTTTATGTGATAGAATTTTTATAAGATTATTGTTAAAAAAAGAAATGGAATTAATTGATAAGCTAGAAAGGGTGAGGGGGTAGTAGGTATATTGTTAGAATGAGATATTTAAGAAGAGATTAGCATAATTAATGAATAGTTGATTTTTTGAAGAGAATAAAATTGGATAGGCCTAATTAAAAAAATTATGATTCCAATATAAAATAAGTTTGAGCATATTAAGATAAATAAATTATCAGGAGTTAATTCTTTAGGAATTTCTTTCATTTAAAATTAATTCTAAGAAGGTGATTAATTTGGTTAAAGTTAAAAAATGAATAAAGTGATATAAATTATTTTTATAAATATCGTATATATACTCACCATGTTTATTTTAATAAATTTTTCTATTGATCATTTCTTTTATATAATTAACTATTATCTTAAGAAATGTACTTTGAAATAGTGAATTTGACAAACTATTTTTTTCTATCTTTCCTTCATCTCTGACCTACACATAGGTATAACTTTAAAGTTTTCATTCAAGGAATATTAAGATTTAATCTCTACCTCATTTACATTCTTGATATAATCCTGATCTGTATCTGTAAAAAATCAAAATAATTCATAAATGTTTAAACTTTGATTACAATAAATTACTTTTTCATTTGAACTCATAAGTTTATTCTCAAGGAACCATTATTAAATAAATTTTCTATTTGCATATTTATAGAATAATATATGCTATTAGTTAACTTAAATACATAGATTTACATTATATATAAGATTGTTAGAAATTGTTAAGTTTTAAACATTAGCGATTTATATGATAAGAGCAATATTAATAAAATAATTAATGCTTTTGTCAATAATTACTAGATAAAAATAAAAAAAGGTGCAAATAGATGAAGAAAGTTAATGGAAAGATTAATAAATGAATAAATTCATTATTGTGAAGCTTTTCTATTTGATTATTATTGGTTAATTGAGATTGAATGCTGGGAACTTCCTTTTCTAATTGAAACAATTATATTGTTCTTCAGCTTTTCAACTATGTTATTAATTTTTTGGGCTTCTTCTTCAAATGACACTGCTAAAATGGGGAAGGCATTTTAGAAATCTTCGTCAGGTTTAAGTTCAGTTAAGACCAGATTGGCTAATTTTGACATCATTTGATTGAATGTGCTTGCAAATTTTCGGTCATTATAAATGAGGTAATAATCTGACTCATCTATTCGTTTAATGATTTGTTATTCTCTCATGACTCTCTTCACATTATTTTAAATAATAATGGAAATATTTTGTTTGATCGCTATACAATTGTTTAGTTTATCTCTTGTGTGCTAAGGTAGTTGAGACAGATTGCCAACTAGTTCTAGAAACATAGTGAATCTCTTAAAGAGCTACATAAGGTTTTACACAGCCTCTTCTAAGCCAGATTAATTCTTTAATTCCAATGGTAGGGATTGTCCAGCAGCTAATGAGGTAGATTCGAGACAGGGTTAATTGGAGGCTCGAAGTGCATCTTTTTCTTCTTGAGCTTTGTTTTTGCGCTTTTGGGCAGTACAGACTGGGCCCATTTTATTTCTGTTTTGCTCTAAAATTAAATTAAATATATAAATATGAAAGGGGAAATTTATTTTAGTAGCACAAGGGTTTCAGGTTGATAAATGTGAATATAGTTTTGAAATTTTATATTAATTTATTAAACTTATAAGGATGTCCATCGTAACCAGATTTGCTTCCTATTTCGTCAAAAGTAGAGTGATCAATTACTCATGTATGTATTGATTATGATCAACTCATCAATAGTACAAGTGGATAGGATTATGACTGAGATGTGCAAGGCTGGATTTTAAGACCCAGAGGAAGGATTCTTAGAAAGAGATCCTATGACTTACTATGAATGCAGATTTTATTCTCACATAGCCAGAAATTGGAATCCCAGACTGGAATCTTTGTAATTAGTTGTGTCTAAAGCTTAGTGAAGTGAGTTAATATGAACTGGCCAAACAGAAATTTGTTTAATTTGAAAATCTATACTCATTTATCCTTGACCTACATAGACTGACTTGGGAATACAGATCTCTGTACTTGGAATTGACCAAAGAAATTGCAACTCATAACACATGGTTCAGAAGTGAATACACAACATTGACCTATGAGCATCATTTGGAAGAGGCTATCAATAAATACATAGACCTTCTAGATCAAATAAAGGAGTATCCTTTGTGGTAAGAGAGAGTCAAGGAAGAGATTGGATATTATTTGCATCTCATTTATAATTCTACAACACATTCCAGTTAAAGCAAAGAATTGTTTGCTAAATTTGTAATCTTTCACTTCTATATTTAGGATAAATTATATTTCTTCAAATGATAGCAATGCCAATGAAATATGTTAGTATTTACACAATAAATCGAATATATATATTCTACCATTTATTATTAACTCCATAAGTATTGTGCTTTCCCAATGGTTCCATCTCGTCTTGAAAATGATACAAGTAATAATTGTCTTTTGACAATAAGTCATTAATATGGATTATTTGCTAATATCTTTAAAAGCATATGAGTTAAATTCTCTAAGATATCCCCATAGATATTAGACATTAAATTAATAAAAAAATGATTGAAGACGATGAATCTGAGGGCTTCTTTCAAATCAAGCTACAGAAAAAGATAAAGAAGCATAGAAGCATACCTTTGAGGATTTAAAAACATTATGAATCCTTAAGTTTGATGCAGGCCAAGGCGACCGATTAAGAATAATCAATTCTCTCTTTAATCCAAAAGCGAGTGGAATGTAATATTTACTCGTATTATTCGTAGTCTATTCAAAAAATAAGTAAATTGTATAATGGAAGGAAAATATTCCTTAATCTCATTCAGCATTTATTGTAAATCTGATCAAAAGTGAATCCGAAACTTTTGAAGACAGTGAATATAATTTCCAATAACCTATTGATGATTTTCCTCTGGAAAACTATTCAAGCTGAATTCATTACAATGACAAAATAATGAAATATTTATTTGTTTTTTTCCAAATAATCATATATAGTTTTATATCAATCTACATTACTACTTTACCATTGCATAGACGTATCTCCATAATTTCATTTGCACCGATTATTAAATCCAAATAACATACTAGCCCTAAGATCAAAGATAATAAGTAAATGGATTTTACTTTATCATATAAATGAAATGCCAAATAATCATTAATTACCCAATCCGTTTTTTAAATGATAATCTAAATAGTCTATTAATGAAAAGATTAGCATGCATCTATGTAAGTATTTAAAATCCACTCAAATTATGGCAACTACAAGAATGATTAAATTAAGTACTGAAATTACATAATTGCATATAAATAACAATAGTAAATAATCAAGTAATTCAATAATGTTACTTGTTCTACTCTGCTAATAAATATCACCATTTCCTTAGATCTAAAGCAGAAAAAGTTGTTTATAAAAAATTTAAAAAACTCTCAATAAGAATCAAAAGAGATAAGTAAATTATATAATAATTAATTTTACATAGAATATTTTATTTACTCTTTAATAGATTCCAGAAATTACAATGAGTATAAATTCGAAGATTTTATGATACGAATTATGTAAATGAATAGATTATTATTACAATAAATTAATTAATATGGTGGATTTTAATCCTAAAGAGAGAGTCTATAAAATGGTAAATGCCAAAAAAGCAGAGGTGAATGCTTTATAATTGAACTAGGCTACAGAGAGGGCTGAATAAAATAAAGAGAATTTTGAATAAATTAAAGAGAATGCTGCTCAACATTTCAGAATTGAAAAAATAAGCTTTTAAATTAATAAAAAGAAAGGATCATCGAATAGTATAAAGGAAAATAGAACTTATACGATCGAAAAAAGAAAATAAGATTGATTGCAGTTGTGCTTAGTTGTGCAAATAGTCGAATAGCATGCTCAAATACACTTGTGATAGAATGGAACTCTCATTGTAGAAGTTCTTGTCAGATATTAGAAATGGTTATTTAGAAAATGATTGGAAAGTATATATAAATTATAAAAGTTAAATAAACATCTATAAACATCAATAAGGCAAGTAGTAGCAAGAATCAACAAACATTTCGCAGTAATTTAATCTAATCAACTGTTGCTGTAGTTCTGAATGCAATTATGATAAATTATTTTGAGGGTTGCATTTGAAATTCCTAAGTTTTTCAAGTATTTCTTTGTTTCTATTGATTATATCATTGTACAAAATTTCCATTTACTTAGCATTCTCATTCTTGTTAGATTACTTATCATTGCTTTCTTTTTTTTTAAATTTGAGGTCCTCACATTTATCTTGATTAAGTTTTAAAGTGTCAATAAAATAAACTGATTATAACAATCGTTGTTTTAATTATCTAAAGTATGACGATTGATTAATGCACCTAATTTTATTTTGACTCTTGCTAAGAAACTAGGCAAAGTTACTTTCACTTTACAAAGCAAGAGTGAATTACTCAATAAAATAATTAATCTATGAAAATCCCTTACTTTGCTCTTCATTTTTGAATAAATTTTACATCTACAAACTTGGTAAGGCTAACAGTCTATATTAATTGGGATGGATTGACTTCGTAAAAGGAATGAAGAATCTTTATCCATAGTAGTCGTAATAAGGAATTTTGGTATGATTTGGTACAAAGAATTCTTACAAATTGAGTAATTAGAAGGGTTGAATAAATATTAATAATTGAGGATTCTTAATCTTAAAGTTAGTTAAGACAGTAGTAATGTCGACTACAAATGTATCTATTTTGTAATCAGTTATTTAAAATGCACCATTTATTTTTAGCTTTTTTTCATTGATAAGATCTTTGAGAAGTGATGAATAATTGAGTGTATAAATGCCTATCTGATAAACCCTAGATATAGAATTAAAAAGTTCTTTGATGTTTTTGTGCACATAAAAGGATGAAGTGGATGTGGCTCTTTAAAAATAATGATCCCTCAATATTAAATATTCTTCATATTACCTGCTTCCAACAAAATCAGGTTATAAACCAAAAAAACTAGATTCATCATAGCCTAAAACATTTTCAAATTGAATCATAACCAAATTGTTGATATTATTTGGACAGGGTTTGATTAATAAGCATTCTAGTTTCATACCTTCTAATTTTTCATCAACAACGTTATAAATTGTTTTCTTTAAAGAGATTGTGGAGTTTGTATTATTCAATGTCGATCTTCTTATGGTCAGTTATTATTTAAGTTCTTTGTAAGGTGTTACTACTTATTCTGTATTTGAAATTTGTTTATGCTTTTATCTAAGTTATTCTTAACTTTTGTCTTTCTTTGTAGTTTTTGGACTCATTGTAGAATATCCAAACTCCTTTTTTGAATCCAAAATATAAGACTTTTCAAATGAATTTGTTGTGTTATCTAAATTTTTGAGAAGCGTTCCTTTATAAAGACGACCTGGAATTTTGCGAACCTCATGATTATGCCCTTTAGAATGTGATGGCGAAGGAGTGGTTATGTTATTTTTCAATTTTTTGACAAATCTATCTGTCTTTGTCTATCTATTTGGGATATTTTCAAAACAATTACTAGCATTTAAAATAGATTCTGCCAATCGAGTGAATGATTATTTCATACCTTTTTACTTAGCTGAATGAGGCTGGATTTCCTTAGATTCCAAATTCATGGTCCTTTGTTTAATAAATGATTTATAATCCTTCTTCCAATATCCCATGATGAGTTTTCTAGGCGAATAGGAAGTATTATTTCTAGTACTTTCTGGCTTAGTGATTTGGGTCACATAATAATCATTGGAATAATAATACTCAACTGGGTTGTACATAATTATATTATTATTATATGATTATTTCATTATTACATTTGCTGAATTCCTAATACATGAAATTCTATAGCTTCTTTGAGCTTTGCGTATTTATCTATAAGATCATCTGGGATCAGAGTGAGCATTCTCATTTATTATTGAATTCCAGCTTGAACCTTAGCAATATAAGAGATCCACAAAAATAAAAATATCAAAATTAAAAATCCAACAAACCCAACGAAATTATAGATCTATATAGAATCACGAATATCTAAGAAACTAATGAAATATAAACTAAAATTCCTTACTCATAAAAGCAAATTTAAAAAATATTGTTATTCTCCCAAAAAGTAGGCAAAATGTATTTGCGCAATAGTTCTTGTATTTAGAATGAATTCAAACTCTCTTGCAGATTTGAAAACCTTGCCAACTGTTCATTGTTTCTCAAAGCAACCAAGAAAATGGAGTCTCTTAACCCTTTCGTAAGGATTCCTTCTTTCACTGTATTGCATTCCTGATCTAATTCTGATTAGGAGAAGGTATAATTCGTAAAATTATCAACTGTATCCACAAAGATGAAGGATTAGGTAATCAATTGGAGTGACTTGATCCATGTTATATGCTCACAAACATTTAAGAAATTGACATTGTTGAAGAAGGCAAAGTAATCATCAAATGAAGAGGGATAGGTGTTAATTAAAGTCTTGAATAGATCCTGTTCATTTGAGTACACCTTCTCATTATAATATTTATTCAAGTCATTATCCATATATACTCTTGATTGACCATTATTAACCAAAGATTCCAAGGTAAAAAGTATATTAAATTTTATGATACTTGCTCGTCGAGAGATGAACAGGTAATGATCCATTATTAATTTTGCATCACTGATTGATTGATCTTCTAAGACATACATAACGATATATTCGATCATCAAAAGTGAGCCAATACAGATGAATGAAAATATTAATAGATAATGAGTACCACCTTTACTTTCATAGATTCTTTGATGTTTCTCCTTTGATTAATCAAAAAGGGATTTCCTTTACTCTTTTTCCACTTTTTATTTTGGACTTTCAATCACATCTTGACTTTGATCTTAATTCAAAGAGCTTTCAACTAAATTTTGTTATTGAGGTTAATCAACCTAATAAATTTCATCAGAACTCTTAAATTTGGTAATGTGATCTTGAATAAATGTATCTCCCTGATCAATTAAATTCTTGATATCATCATTTGAGATCATGCCAAAATAGCTGATTAATCGTTTTCGTTCATTGAAGATGCTCATGAATATAGGAACATAAATGACCTCACAAATAACAATGATAACTAAGGCTGTGATTAGAATGATGACAGCATTAATAGTTTAGGAGTCTACTTGTTCAAAATAAAAATCATAAAATTTATCTGCTATTCTTTCAGATCCATTTCTGAGAACATCTAAACCATTTTCCACTACATAAAACAGATTCTTAGCAACACTACTAGAATTGGTGGTATCATTAAATTAAGAAAGAGTGGCCTTTTTGAATGAAGAAGCTGATGTAATATAAGCAAAGATAGCATCGTTAAATATGTTACCATACAACTTTGTTTCGTTATTTGAAAGCAGAAATACTACATCATATTAATCATCATCTATTTATTCGCCACTTCTGCTTTCCACTTTAATTCTAAATTCAATCATATCGAATTATATCAGCTATAACTTATCAACTAATATACTAATATTGGCTTTGAATGCTCCTTCTAAAGATGAATCAAAATATCCAAAGGATGTTAAATGTAAATACCGACTGTACAAATTGATGTCTGCCATTAATGAATGTCTTCGATGAGCTTAACGTATTGCACTCACACCCTCATCTACTAAGACTGATTATTGCAAAGACAACACCAATTTACTTATAGACAAGGCCAATGTTGATAAAAATAAAATTAAAGACAAATATCTAAGATAAATGATCTACTTTGGAGTTTTGGATTATTCTAAAGCACTTCTGATATCTTTATTCTACTTGTTTTCATCTTGGTCGTCCTCAATTGAAGATTGATGATTCTTTTATATGTCTTCTACTTCTTCAATCGATTTTTATTAGACGATCATATTTTTGGTCTCATCCAATCTCTGTTTTATTTATGATTTTCCATAATTTATTTTCTCCTAATCAATATCCTCTCGAATCACTATTATATGATATATGTTCCCTCCTGCTGGTTAACCATCATCTGCCAATGGGAATCTCTCTTCTATCAATTCTATCTTAACCTTTTTGCAATCATTGTTCGTATACATATTCTCTTAATCTATTGCAGTGCTTCCCAATTTCTTATTTTCTTAATCATGATTGATTTACACCAGAGTATCATTAATATGTTTAATATTTATAGTAGTTTCAACTGAATATATATCACCTTCTTACTTATACAACAAAGTTTTTAATGGCTAATCATTTTAATTTAGAGGGTTATTTATAATATCACCCAATTCTTTAAAAACTGCTCCAAATGAAAATTTAGATTACTCTTAAGCACCTGTCATTGCAATGTTCTAAATTTTTATACCTAGTTCTTTGATTGATTCACTAAAATTCAAAATTTGTTATGAAATTGCATCATATATCATATAATGAGTTCCAGGCAATTTCTCTAATGGCTTTAAGAATCCAACCAAAAGTATACCTTTATCTAAGTTTGGTAATACCTTGACCATCAATTTGCAGGGCACCAAAAATTATTGACTATTCTAAGCAAGTACAAAGCGTTCCATTCCTATTATATTTGAATTGTTTGTTCTCATATAATTTTCAACTAACTGATTATGTTGATCTCCTATGATTTTGGGCATAATCTTGCTTACATTCGACTCAAATAAATCTGAAGCAGGATAACCCAAAGACTTTTAGATCTCATTATTACAACTAGCCACTATTCCTATACTACCCACATTTCCACTCATTGTTATGATTATTGTCTCCTGCGATTCAGTTATCCTCGACTCTTATCCTGCCCCTTACCTTCTTTAAAATATAGCCTTCTTAATTTAACTTATCTATTAAGACAATTGTTCATGTTATTCCTTATCGTGCACTACCTATTGTAAGTATGCATTGTAAAATTCTAATAAATTTAAATTGTTATTGTTGATCTCCACTAGTTCCTAATATGCTTCATCGCAGAGATCGATCTATTGCAATACTTTCATTCCAATATTCTATAACTTTAGTATATTTGGATAGTCCTCTTACAGTTCTCTCCAAAATTCTAAGTGTGACTCTGCACTCTTCTATATCATACTGGTTAAAATAACCAATTGATTTTAGAAGAAGACTATTGAATTAACATCGATATCTTGAGCTTTCTCGGAATCCTCTTGCATTTCGTATTCTATATGTTATTTGAAACGGAATAAACAAAATTCATCTCTCAAAGTATGATTTTTTGTATCTTCAGCCTTCATCATATAATGTAGAGCATTATATTTATTCTTTAATTCGTCATTGCATAAATAAGCATAAAATATTTTGAATCTAGCGTTCTCTTTAAACTTTTCATCTGCCATGATGTCATCCAAGATGGATCCCAAAAACTTCATCCAATTCTCATTTTCTTGATTAACCTCCTCCTTCTTGTGGTCTTATGAAATTAACGATTTGCATGCACATACTGTTTTTGTACAAGATATGTAATGCAATTTTAATACACCAATCAACTTTATTTTAGTGTTTGGAGATTGACGATCCAAAATCAATTATAACAGAGTGTTCAAATAGTTATCTGCTTCTTCCTCATTTTTAAGGTTTTTAATTGAAAATGTCATCGATTCTTTTAGAATAGTTTTGAAAGCATACAAACCTCCAAATACTACACATGGTATCAAAACAAATAAGTATAACAAACCCATTTCATCAGGGGATCCAGTATCCAAGAAGTCAGTAATTATAACGCATATATTGATCCATAAAACTATTATTTCTAGTGTGATTTTGTAGAAATGTCTAATTATCAAATTATTCATAAATACATGAAATTATTGTATCCTTTCGGGTAATTGTATCTAGAGAATAGGAGGATGAGATCTCCAACCCCAAATAACACAACCATTTCACTGTTGTAAGTACCTGGAGCATTAAAAATAATTAGAAAAGGAATTACGAATTTAAAAAGCATCCTAGCATATTCAGCATCAGATTAATAGCCATTGAAAGGGAATTTTGATTTTGGACTTTTATCAATAAAATCTATACTTCAAATCAAAGTACAACAATGTCGTTGAAAAATGAAAAAATATTAGTAACACTATTCCAATTATAGCCACGATCATATGTAAAATGTGAATGCCTTGATAGCAACCCAAATCAGCCCCAGCAGCTGAATCTGATCTACAATAGATAGTAGCCAAAAAGATGTTATAGAAAGGTAGTGCCAGTATAGTATTCAAAATAATAAGTAACAAGGACAACAATTTGAAACTAAAAACAAGTAATCCAGATTGTTGTTCCTGATATTTTAATTGGCTTAATGAATATTAACTAATGAAGAATATCAAACCAATAATGACCATTACTCCAAATGAAATGTATAATAAAATTATGAATATGGTTACTCCTTAATCTATAAGATAATTGAATTGAAAGTAGCGGAGAATGATCCTGAAATAATTCAGTCCTTGACCATCCCATAAAAAATCTATAACTGGATGAATGGGATAGTACATTAGTTACAAATTTTCGATGCTTAGCAGCAAACAATAAATGAAAGTGTTGCAGAGATTATTCTGTATGATATTATGCATAACGTTAAATAGTGATATTTTGAACTTGTATTCCATTTCTTACGAAGTTCCTTTTTCTAATTAAGACTTCTTATGATTCATAATCGACATTTTTTAATTATATGTATTAAACAATAGATTTTGTAAAGCAGGTCTATTCATCACTCAAAAACTCAATTAAGTGGTAAACTCAGCTGGATGAATTCGATATCGTCATATTTGGGTTCTTGATTACATTTATTTTGCATTTCATCCTAAATCGCATCAGATTGCCAAGTAGAGACTACAATCAAAGTAAAATATCATTCTAATAGAGGCCATTGGTCATTTTTTAAATCGTAGTTATTTATGAGCTTAATAAATTATTGTCCTGGAGTCTCATCATTTTTGGAAAAAAAGAAAGAAGAAGCACTCAAATCTTTTTCACACTCTCTTGATAAACACACCACCAATAAAACATTTAAGATACCAGAAAACGGTATGGGTTATGATAAAATAAATGACAGGTTGAAGAGTTGGATTGAACGTGATAGTAAGAATTATTACAGTGGTAAAGTATCTGGATCCCTTTATGTTCACAAAGATGAGAAATTTATTGAAGAATGTTAGGAATTCACTAAGAATTTCTTATATTCCAATCCTATGCATGCTGATTTATGGCCAGCATCAAGACAATTGGAAGCAGAAGTAATAAAGATGACAGGAGAATTATTTGGTTAGGAAAAGGAGAGCATTGGAATGCTAACTACAGGTGGCACTGAATCAATATTGTTAGCCATTCTGGCCTATCGCAATTGGGGAGAAGCAGAAAAAGGCATCACTTAACCAAATATGTAATTTTATTAGTTTATTTAAGGGTGATTCCAGAAACAGCACATGCAGCATTTTATAAGGCAGCAGAGTACTTTAAGGTTCAAGTGAGAACAGCTAAAGTTAATTAAAAAACATTTAGTGTTGATCTTAAGGATCTTAAAAGCCATATCAATTCTAATACAATCTGTATTGTTGGATCAATGCCCAACTTCCCATATGGAACATAAGACCCAATTGAAGAATTAGCTGCTATTGCTAAGAAGAAGAAGGTAGGTTTTCACGTTGATGCTTGTTTGGGTGGATTCATTGTGGCATTTGCCAAAGAAATGAATTACGGAAAGTTTGATTTCACTTTAGATGGTGTTACCAGTATTTCTTGCGATCAACACAAACATGGATTAGCACCAAAAGGTGTTTCAACAGTTTTATTTAAAACCCGTTAATTGAGACAGTATGCATTCTTTTCTACAGCCACATGGTCAGGTGGTGCTTATGCAGTGCCAACAACTTAAGGTTCTAAAACAGGAATTGGAGCTGCTGGAGCCTGGTTTACTATGTTAGCCATAGGTAGAAAGAGATATGCTGAATTGAGTAAATAAATTATCAATGCTACAATTTAATTGGCCAAATAAATCAATGAAATACCAGAATTAGAAGTGTGTGGTCAACCAAGAATCAATTGTGTTTGTTTTAAAAGCAAGGGAAACATTAATGTCTATTCAATTCATCAAATCCTTACTTCCAAAGGGTGGAACCTCAATACAACTCAGAATCCAAATGGAATACATATTAGTGTTACACAATAGAATATTCAAAATCTAAAGCAGTTTGTTTAAGAGATTAAAGAAGCAATTTAAGAAGTAACTTTATTCTTAATTTTTAGATCAAAGCTAATCCATCACAATACAAAAAGGGAGGTGATATGGGTGCATTGTATGGAACGACACAAAAAATACCTGACTCTAAGTTTGCAGGAAATGCCCTTAAATTGTATTTGGACTCCGTACTCAAATTATGAGAGAGTAGATCTGAGTTTAATAATAATAATATGCAAAAAAACACAATATATTTAATATCATGCGGAAATATAAATAAAGAATAAATCATAAATTATTAATACTCATTGATTTTACGTGAATAAAGCTCTGTCAGTCTACAATTTTTAATATTAATCTTCAGGAATTAAATTAATGGCATTTGTTACGCTGAAAAAGCTTTTCAATAGATCTGGAGTGAATTTCTGGTTTCTTCATTTAAATTTAAGTATTACCTATAAACATATGGAATATGTTGAATTCCTTTTTTACAGACCATAAATACTGGTGTGTATGGGAAATCTTGGATACATGATGGTTTATTGTGATCATTGTTCATTCTTCCAAAAGTCATAGTAGGATGTTCTTATTTGTATGATTCCAATGCTAAATTTTCAAAATATTAACCATATTCTCCACATGCATGACAATTCTTTGAATACTAAAATATTGCAAAATCTTTGTTGCTTTCCATGACTTCCTTTTAGAATGTCTTACCCACTAGTTTTATGGAGTACTTTTTGTATTTAGGCTATTCTTGAGTTTAGAAATATTCATTTGCATGTCCATTCTTTACAGCCATGAAAAATGAAATCAAAGAATCCTTGCTTACCTATATTTATTCATCTAATCTATAGATGTAACTATGAGCTTATCCAAACTCATTGAATACACTTAGTTTCTGCATGACATTAATATCGGTTTCTTGATGTTGTCTCAATCGATCCCCATATTTTTGATCATCCCTTACATATACTTAATAACCCAAATGATTATCTTTGGGAGTCTTATTCAAGTAGATAAACTCAGTCTTATCCAATATTTCGGGGTTAGTCTCCTTTAAATATTTTTTCAATTCTCCAAAAGCCTTTACTAATCTTGTTTCCTCATGTTTTGGTATTTTATTCAAATCCAATTCTAGTACAATTGAATACTTGGTAAAGGACTTACCAAAGCTTCTATTTGAAAACACATTCGCATCATTATATGCCTTTGTCAAGTCCTCCATTACATTATCCACTGATTTGCCTCCTAAAGTGCCTGCTGGTGTAATTAGTAACTTTTTATTGTTGATAGTTATGGAGGATTAGAAGTTATTTAATTTACTGCTCTTCTATAAGAAAAACAATTGTCCATTTTAGATGTCCTGGACACCTAATTTCTCTGCAACAGCTTTGTCAATTAGAATCCAATGCAATTTTTCATTCTTTTGATAGTTATCGTTTTATTGCATAATGCAAAACCTTGTTTATACATTCTTGTATTGCGGCGATGATTTGTCAGCATAAACTAAAACTGCAGTTTCTGTAGATGGTAGATATGATAAAATTTACTCAAATTCATTTAACTTTTTTTGGGTTAACTTATTAATCTTCTTAAAATAATTGACCAAAAGAATTCTATTCTCAAAATAATCATTTGCATTGAAATTATATATCCTTTGAATATATTTATTCTTCAAAAGCATAATAGTATCCTATTCAATTGTAATTTTGTACTTTTACTCGAAGTCCCTTACCAATTTTTCTGTGATCGGTTCATTCAAAGTCAATACCTTTAGGGGTCTCTTTGACCTTACTCTTTACACTTTCACCACTTAATCAACCACTTGAAGCAATTCATCCAAAAAATGCTCCACAAATCTGTCTGGATCCACTACGATGATTATATCGTGAGTCTTGATTAACACTACGAATTTACTTAATGAATTTATTCATAAATTTAATCAGAGAATTTTTCATATTTATTGAAACCATTGCTTGATCCTTCTGGATTGGGTACGGTAGATGCATTGACTTTCTTAGGAAACAAAATTAAGTGAGAAGTTAATAATGATAATGCCACAACTCTTGGAGTAGCAATTTTAGGTACCTATCTCAATAAGGGGATGCAAACTCGTCTGAATAGGTTCATTTTATTTTAATTTATGGTTATTTATATTTTTAATTTATGACAGAAGCAGAATAAACATTTTACGTCTCTCCCATTGCCAATCCAATAGCCAACAGCAAATTATAGAAAGGACTTCTTAGATTTATTGCCAGATGTAATGATGTATTGATGATTTAGAAATAACCATTAAACATATTAAAAGAGGAGTGAAGGAAGTCGGAAAAGCATTGAGAAAGAAGACCACTGGAATTGTTGTCTTTGCTGCTGACATTAGTCCCGTAGATGTATTGTCTCATTTACCACTGTAATGCGAGGAATTAGGAATTCCCTACATTTATGTGAGAAGCAGATTAGAATTAGGTAATCATCAATTTGTTATTCTTCTAGGGGCTGCTGCATAAACTAAAAAGCCAACAAGTGTCGTCTTGGTCTAAGTACCAACCAAGGATGACGTGAAAGGATTAGAAAAATATCATGAATTGTTTGACAAAGTCAAGGAAAGCAATCCCTTCATTTGATAATTTATTCATTTATCAATTATATTAAGAATAAAGCTTATTAATTACGATCTCCTCCTTCCTGACCACTTTTCAAGTCCGCTTCCAGTTTGTTTAGCACTTGGTTAAAATATTATCATACATTTTTTTACACTGTTGAGTTCGATTTTTTTGAATGTAATATATAAAACTAACAAATATAAACATAATTCATTAATATATTTAACATAATGATTAGACAGAGTGTCAATTGATTTAATAATAAATAAAATTTCATTTACTCTCTATTTATTAATGCTAAACTAAAATTTTAATCTAAGTGATAAGCAGATGGAAAAAACCTAATTAAATACACCCTAATAAACAGATGTCAAATTAAATTAGACTGGAATCCACCAACGAACAGATAGATAAAAAAAGGAAGAAACCAAAAAATAGTTATTTGCATTTGGACATTAATAAGCATAAAGCGAATTAAAATAAGATGAATTTTAAAACCAAAATAAAGCTTAAAATGAATATGTTAACATATCATAATACTTAGAATAATAATTAGAAAGGTACAAAATAATTGAAACCCAAATCACACATCAAAAAGACAAGGGAGTTGTCAAACGCATTATGTCATCTATTGAAACTTAGTTGGATAAATTAAAATTTAATACTTTGGATCCAATCACTGTTAATAATAGTAAATTTGGAGAAATTAGTTTGATTGAAGAGTAGAATCAAACTGATGAGTCTTTCTATTCCAATTCTAAGATACAAGCTCATCTTAAAGAAATATATAAATTTTATTCAAAGATATCCTATGTTCGTGGCCCTTCTGATGATTTCAATAGAATTAATCATGAATCAAATACAATGTCAGAGGGCAAATTCATCATTTTCTGTAGACAATTTGGATTGTTGGAAAAGAGGATTCATCACATCAAGACATAATCTAAAATAGATGAAACTAGCAAATTATCAAACAATATTCTGCCTCCCAATTCTAATATTCTTATTAAAAATACTATTCATAACGATAATAATGTGAAGGCTAAGTATTTATCTTTCAAAGAATTAGTATTTAATTTAAATAATTCATTAGAATAACTTATTCAGAAGAGTAAACAAAAATTAAAACGAAGTTACTTACATGAGTTTTTTACAATTATTACAAGAGCTTTCATAATTAATGTTCGATAAAGAACCTAAAATAGCCGAGAATTTACTCTATAAATTCATGAAAGTAGATACTTAAGAATTTCGAAAATAATTCAAATCTCTCTACATTCCTTTCAATAGTAAGGATCAACCAGGTTTTCGTAAACCTGAAGGTCTATCTTGTTAAAGATATGAAAATCATTCAACAGATTAACTTAAATCAAAAAGACTATTAATAGACGACTGGAAAAAAAGTAAATAGGAATAGTTGAGAGAGAAATTAATAGTTCAAACTAATTAGTCTAGATCCAGATCAACTCTATTTGAACCATTATATGTGAAAACAAGCAGCTATAAAGAAAGAAAACTAAGAAAAGATGGGTTATATGCTAACTCTCATTAAATTGTGAATTGGGAAAAGTTGGACTCATTAGATCCAAAACTAATTTTACTTGATGAATTCAAACCTGCTGATTTAATTTAAGAGGACGAGGATAATGAAGATAAATATTACCTCAAAAGCTATGATTTATCTAGATCTGACAAAAAAAGTGATCACAAGTAAATCATGATGTAAAACTAGACCATTGTCGACTGAAAAAAGAGTGCCAGGTTTTAAAATGAAAACGGAAACTACAAATAGAAGGACTTAGATCTCAACTAAAATCGATAGTAGGATTGAACAAAACTAGGCTTATTTTAGACTTCCAAAATTGAGAAATAAATGACAAATATTTATTTTATTGATAGTTTTCCAAGTCGTTATTATTTATTAATAAGAACATTAATCAATTTATATCAATTAGTTTGAGTTCTAATAGTTTAATAACTGAAGGTTAGGTACCAAATAAAATTACTAATTCAAACCTATTTTCATTCCACAACTTAAGAGACCTCCACTCTTTTACATCCATATAAGAGACATCATATTATTTAGCTACTGATGTTGTATCTTCATTAAACATTTATACAAATCCACTAAATAGTATTCTAAAGTCGTCTCTATCTTTAAAAGTTATATCACATAAAAACAAATTTTCAACTGCTTCTTTCATTCCTAACTTATTATCTAAATAAAATTTATATGAAAGATTTATATGTTCTTTCATTTTATATGTGAAATATAAACAATCTTCATCCAATTTTGGCATTGCTTTTGTATCTACAAAGTAAAATAAATTTTATCCTTTTATTCCTGTATGAATATTGATCATCAATTCAAAATCTTATTAATCATACATATAATCTTTCATTGATGCATATTAGATCTTATTTTAAATAACTTTTGTTTTTAAAAATGTTGATACTTTTTTTTTTGGTTTAGGAGGAAGTTATTATTGTTGTTATTATTATTATTATTATTATTAAGGCGATTTTATTTAAGGCAATGTTAAAGTTGTTTATTTCTACAATTAAAATGATATGTATTCATCATCACTATCTTCATCTATTTATTATTTCTATTTTGATTCTGAAAGGGCTCTTGAATTTTACAAATTTTATTTGGATCTTTATTCCATAATTGATTTATACTATTTTTAGATTAGTCCTTTGTTTACCCAAAAGTACTTTTACTTTAATTATTTCCAAAAATAATACATTAAATCTACAGTTGAATTTTCCCATAAAAAATATAACATTTATTTATCATTCTCAAAATAGGTGAATAAATAATGACCATCGGTCATATATGTAAATGCTTTTTAATTAATTGATTTTTTTAGAATCTCTTAACATTCATAGGTTTTCATAAACTCCTTTGATAAATTCAAATATTTAGATTCTATCTTGAAGTAAACTTGAATGCTATCATAAGTATCGCTCTTCATATTTATAGGGATCCCATCTAATAAGATTTTGAAGTATAAATGAGATGCAAAATTTAATTTCCTAAAGAGTATTTAAGGAGTGAATTATTTTTTGTTTACCCTTGCACTTTAAACATTAAGTTAAAGGGATTCAACTAATTTATCAGGCAAATTTAATTTGGTAGCTCCATATTAAAACATAGAGTTCATTTTTTCATGAAAAGTTGAATAGCGATTAATTTATTAGTTAAAATGTATCACTTTTAACTATTCTACAACTTACTTGACATTCTGCAATTATGCAGAATTTATGTATTAAAAATTATGAATGTTGGATTCCAATTCATAAAAAAATCTTTAACATACTTACCTTAAATTGATATAATCAGCAAAATTCGCAATACTAAATCTAATTACGATTCTAAATAGATTTTATGATATTGCAGATAATTTGCCAGAGCTGTTTGTTGGATCATAAGGTGTTGATCCAGGAATCTTTTTTGGTTCTTTGTACTTTGATTTTACATTTTGATATTTTTGATTTTATTTAAAGGAGGTTTGAGTACTAATTTTGGATGTCTGTGAAGACTATTTAGTTAGAGATGAGGCGCGTTTCATTTATTAATTTCTTTTTTAATTTAATTAGAATGAATAAACTTTATAAAAATAAATATAAAAGAATTGGATTAAACTGTTATCTAATCAATATGTCTGGTGAGCATGAATCATAATTCCTTTTGGATGATCAAGCCTAATTATTTACTTAGATATCTTTTTGGAGATACAAGTAGTATAGCTGTTAGACATGTTTCGATAGAATCCTTTTACATTTTCAGCAAATATCTTCCTAAGAAGAAAATTATAATCAATCCAAATAGACCAACACTTAATGTGAAAACGAGCAATAGTTTTTTATATACATCTAACAGTTCATTATATAAATCTTTTTCAATACTGAGGAGTTATTTATAAGCTTTGATTAATATTTCACTTCCATAATCAATGTATAGCATATGATTTTAGTTATTGTAAAACTCAATGAAAACTTACTCAGAATTTACAACGTTATCAGTCTCATAAAATTATGGGTATTGGGCTATAATCGTACTTACTTGAGTTAAGAGAGATCTCATTCCTTATTCAAAATAAGCAAGCATTCCAGGATTTAACGATATAGTATCAGTTAATGAGCAATCAATTCCTACTTCCTTTGTGCAAATGTTTTTCTCATTCAAAATGTTAAAGTTATTATATAATGATTCATCCACGAAAGTTGAAAGCAATTAATTCTTGTATTTCTCAAAAAAGATATCAGTTGAGTTGTCATTTAGAATTGCAGAATAAGCTTTAAATTGACTGATATTCATAATGTTATTATAAATACCGTTTGATAGAGTCGAATAAGCTAATAAGTCTAAATTATTCATTAAATTAATGATGGAGGATTGTGCCAACTTAGATTAGAATATAATATCAATGTTGGAAATGATATCTTTTGATAGCATCAAGATTATAAAAAAGACGACCAGGAAATATGCTAAAATTACAAGGAGTCCAGCCAATAATATTGTAATGTATTTGTTTTAATTCATTTTAGATTTTTTTAGTTTTTCCATTAACTTATTTTTATACTTTTTATTTGAATTAGGAGATGTGCCAAGATCAGGATTATCTATCCTTTTTAACCCTGGAGTATGAGCAATAGACCTTCTTTGTCTATTGATTTCAAACATTTAGGTTTCCTATACAAAATCTATAAGCATCCACTCATAGATGGATTTTTTCAATGTGTTGACTACTGCATCATAAATTTCAATTTCATCATTCACTTCTGAAGGTTAAATTGAAATGATTTCTTTATAGAGAGTTCTGTGATTTCTCCTTAATTTTGAAATGAGAGGAATTTAAGTAAATTATAACATCATTACCAAAAAAAAAGTAACTGCTATAAAGACAATAAGTATGTTTTGAAAGTATGTGTAATTATTAAGGTTTTCTTAATAGCATGATTGGTGAGCCTTTAAAGGAAGTTCTCCAATTTCTTTGAGATTAGCAACTGCTGAAGATGTCAGAGAAGCATCGAGTACATTTGAATGGTTACTATTATTTTGTTTAAGTTTGTAGAATTATCCGAGACTTAATTGGATTACTTCTGATAAAGATGTATTTTATTAAATTCTATTTTCGATGTCATAAAATTGTTCAACGTATAAGTTGGCTTAATTAAACTTAATTGCATAATCATTTTATATGTTGATTAGTTCTTGGAGTTAACCAAAAAATTAATTGGAATAAAACTATTTCAAAACTTCCATATCTTTGATTTGTAGTTGATTTGTTATTTCATTGTGATATAGACTATGTGTAATTTATGAGAATGAAGTTTGCGTTGTAATCATTAATTCAATTAAATTAAGGCAATCAGTCAAATCATATAATCCTTAAGTGGATGTTGAAATAAGCATGATAAAACAAACTATCAGAATAAAAGTAGCTGAAAATAAATACTTCTATATTCTATATGAATATGGATTACTTATAATTTTCAGTTAGGCTTAAACTAGATTGTATTAGGTTTCAAACAATTTTAAATTTTCTGAATATTTTACTTAATACTCTTCAAACACCTATTGTTAAGTATCTTTGCTTTCTTAAGGTAATTTAGACTCGTTTTCGTTATAAAACTATTATTGTTACTTTCTTTAACTGAATTTAATAAACACACTTTATGCAATCTCTTTTTCTGTAATATTGAGTTTTGACCCTTTAAATTATGCATCCTCTACACTATGTTCTGATTGCATAGAAGCTTAATTCTTTCTTTTGGTTTCTTTACTGTTTTTTTCAGCTATTTCTAACAAAGGTTTGCTTTATTTTGATCGGTTACTTAACAAAAAAAAATCACCCTTATCATCTTACTTGGGACTGAAAATTTAATCAGTAATCAAGACTTCTTTATTTTCAAAAGTGTATGCATCATCAAAATAGGGCGAAGGATGAGAAGGAAATTGATAATTTTTAATATCTTTATCATTTACACTTTTCTCTTCACTAAAATTAGCTTATAAACTTATAGATTCTTCTTCATCGGTTTATTATTCTAATAATTACTTTTTTGATTGATAATTTTGATATATTTACTTAATTGTATCTCTCAATTGTCTTCTATATCCCTTTTCTGTATTCAGTAGTTATTACTCATTTACTACCAATTCAACAACAAATATTTATTATTTTTGATCAATTTCATTTTTTCTATAGCGAAATTCTTCATAACTTACAGAATACATGACCGGAACAGGATGAAAATCTTATGGAGAAAATTTTTCTATGTATCTTGAATATCGGTCTTGATAGATTCTTTCTGCTCTTGTTTTCAATTACTCGCTGTCCTCTTAACTTTCAGAATTTGTTAATTGTTTTTCTTGTATTGAAGATCGAGATGATGGTTTACCTTAAGTTTTGGGCAATTCAGATTACCTGGTTTGACCAAAATTAAGTGTTTAATGTCTTTTCAAATGTTCATCATAAAAGAATGCACATAATTTTTCATTAAAAATATTTACTGCATTGAATTGATCAATTTCATAATTTTCACTTTTTGAAACCTTATAAGCACTTCCTTAGGAAAAGTTATTTGATTAGACTCTTACATCATCAAATATTTTTTACAGTATTTTTTCATATTATTAAACAAATAAATTAATATCTTCTGGGATAAATAAATAGGTTTCTTTATTTTACACTAAAAGATTACTGATGTCTAAATCAGTTAAATTCTAATATCGATTTTTTGGAGGAATTTATCCATTCATCAAGAATTCTATGCCAGTTGATTCTATTTCCCTAGAAATAAATGGTAAAATCATCCAAATTAACACTTTCTGGTAGAAATCATCGATTGATAATTCAATATTGGACCATTTTTAATCGAATGCATTATAACTTATCATATTAATTACATTTACCTCTCAGATTCTTATGAAGATTCAGATTTTGATATATTATTGCTTGATTTAAATTCATCTATTTCATGATACGTTCCCTTATTAACTACTAACCTTTACATTTTCTCTATCATTTTATATAGCCCCCTAGTAATTCCAATGATATTTCCATTCAAATCAAACAATACATGCTAATACCCTTTGAATGCTACATTTTTCAATCGTTTTCCATCTTCCCCTATAAATTTAGGTTATTCTTCCTCAAGGGACTTAAGACATCCGATCATTGTAAAATCATCTTCCAATTCTTAACTGAAATTATGAGCCAAATAGACTTGACACTTAATCAATGTTTTATCATATAGCTTCGCAAAGGTTTAGAAATACTTTCCTATCCTTGCTGTTACACCTCTTCTAATATAATTTTGCATCATTTCATCGTGAACTGGTTCAAGCCAAGCTGGCATTAACTGATTTATGTTGCCCTTAGTATAATCAATAAACTAATTAAGTGGATGTTGGAAATGGCCAAATCCAAAGAACTTTGGAATCAAAGGAGAGATCACCTTATTCATCACTTTTCCAATATTGGGGCCAAATGCTATGCACACTTTTACAGAGATGGCTTCTCCTTTAAAGAAATTGATATTCGTGATTTCAAAGGAATTCATGCTTTTTTCAAATTATAAGATTTCCTTCCTTTCTATTATATCATTAATTACATTATTTACCTTTCTCCATTTCAAAGTACTTTCTTAGGTTATTAAATAGGAGGAGATTAATCAAAGCATTAAACTTTAGAAATTAAACATTGAAGGTTCTCCCATTATGATAAAACATGGGTTGATACACGTTAAACTAAAAAATCAGGTTGTCTCTCAATGATTACAATTTTCTCACTTCTTTCTCAATTTAAGAATATTCTGAAAATTTACCTTCTTTGAAAGATTTCCAAAACTACAATTTAAATTACCCTACTTATACTAATAACGGTATTATATTGTTTTTGACTTATTCCATTTAATATAGATCTTAGACAATGCTGTGTTCACTTTTACTCACTTATAATTTCACATTAGAAACTCGAGTATCCTTATTAATATTGTAGTCTTCATCTTTCCTTAACTATGTTTACAAAATCTATTGCAATACAAGACACATTTAGATAAAATAGAATGAGTAGTCTCTCTTTTTTTAAAATAAAATCTTTAATTCCTAATAACTTTTTGGTGCATTGTGCTTGTATTTGTTAATGAATGTTAAGAATTTGAGACTAAAAATTTCAAACACTCTTAAGTTTGATTAATTGTGTTTATATTTTTCAAAGCTTCCCTTAAATAAGCATGATATCATTATAACAATTTAATTGAATTGTAGAATATTTTAGGGTTCAATCTTCCGACATTAACATTTTGTTGAATTACATTTATTTGTGTGTAGAACCAATTTTTAAATAAATTCAATTTCAATTTGTTTGTTCTTCTATGCCAATTAACTTAATTCAAAAAAATCTTCAATATAAAGCAAGTCGTAATATTGATTTTTAGTGATATTGCTAGATATATAGACATTTGATCTTTTACTCTCAAAAAGAATTTAAAACAAATATTAGACTACAGGTTGCATTATCAACATAATTGTGGCTAAGCTATAAGGACTAGCAGTGCTGAGAGCTTTAATTGAAGAGAATGTAAAAATTACTGAATGTGTCATCAACGCTCGATTTAGTGTGAAACCTGATGCAGAAAACCTAAAATATTATTTTAGTATCTTACCCTAAGGGCAATGAGAAGTATGCATCATAGATCTGAATAATTAGTATTAAACCATGGAGAATCCTACTGATAAGTTGAGTTGTGCTATCATTATTCAAGTATAGGAGAGCCATTGGTATCATTAACAATTATGCCAATAGGTCACTATATGAAAAATGCTTTCTCAAATGTTGTTCGTTGAATTCAAAATTAATAAAATAGACATTTGAAATTATAAGACTTAGAATTGTAACTATTAACACCACTGATGCTAGAATTAGGAGTGAAGAACTTGAATGGATGTAATTCCAACCTACGTAGTAGAGTTATGGCAAATATAAAAACCATGAAAAATAAAGAAAATAGTAATTCACTATCATTGTTGTCATCTTCATTATATATTTAATATTCTTACTTGCAAAAGGCTTTTCGAGATGTTATGATTTGTATTAGTAATCTTTCTGTATGTGATAATGATATAAGGTACAACATTTATCAAAATTATGATAACTCCAATTAACATGTTTATGGCGTATGAATCTATAAATATTGGCGTGATTAAACTAATTTCAGATAAACCATTAATCAGGCGATAGATGTATTCATGATTTTCACTCACCAAAAAGTATGTTAATTGCAGGTAATAAAATGTAATTTGAAAACTAGTAAAAAATGAATTATTTAGGGAAGGTGACAGGTTGGTTTGGATGATTAAACTAATTAAGTCCCCTAAAATTTTCCAATTCATTTTTATTGAAATTATTTTATAACAAAATTGTCTCATTAATTTGAGATCTCATTATAATATTAACGAGATAGAACAAAGAACCAAAAATATATTACAATTGAATTCCAATCTTAAAGCAGTTTGTTATTTTAACGATTATAGAAGATAATTTATATTTACTAATTATTGTATTCAAATGATGCATTTTCACTTTAAATTATGAAATTTAATAATAAACTTATATATTCTAATGGATGACAATGTTGTACCTCAATAAATCATCAAACTCCTGTATGATAAAAGTTAGGATAAGAAACAATAGGGATGCCAATAATTAAAATCATTAGTTTAATCCTATGCTTAAAGCGGGAAGGAATTGTTGATCAAATAAATAATAGAAACTTTAAAAATCAAATTTACATCATCTTCCCAATTGTACCTAAAAAGATAAGGGATGTTTGCCATTTAGACAGTGGCTGAAATTCTAGTGAAGGAAGTAAATGCGATTTTCATATATAGTTTCCACAATTGGCTGAAAGGTGTGTCAAAGACCTGACGTAACCAATCTTGGAATGTTTAAATGATAAAGAAGACAAGGCCAGATAATATGCTGTTGAATGTTTATTGTAATTGACCAAAATTATGAAAACAATGATCCTTCTTAATTTTAATGAAATATTTGATTAACAATTGGGAAGATCAGCAGAACAAGATAATTAAATTGTTTAAGCCATGTTCTTGCTGGATGCATAATTAAAGACCCAAGTTCAAATAGCAGTCCAGGAGAGATTTTCAGATCCAGGAAAAACATGTTATTTTAACTTAAACTCTTTTATGACCTAATTATAGAGTAAATTGAAGTCGAGAGTGACATCTGTTCGACAATTCCTACTTGGATGGATAAAGGTCTTGAATCAATGTCACAATAATGATTTGTACATATATTTCCCCATGATATTGGAAGGCATCTTCATGATGTTAGGAGAATCAAACAAGTAAAATGAATGAGTATTACTAGAGAGGTTCGTAATGGTGCTGACTTATAAGCAAATGAGTTCTTGAAATAAGTAGAAATAAAAGTGAATTTGGATTAGAGAGTAAATGAATAGATCATAGAAATTTTGTTAAAGATTTGTTAAATGAAAGGAAATCAAAACAATTATGCCAAATTAAATTCGTTACTCTGGATTTTTGAATATTTAAGAGTGTTTTAATAAGAATTGGAAGAGGAATAAAAAGGGAAGTTGGGATTACAACATTCAACCTCCCACATAAAGCAAGAGGAGTATTTGAGAAGCAATACCTCTCCAATTTCTAAGAATTAAATGCAATAATATTTAGGAGGGTTTGAATCACCTTTAAGAAAAACGATCTTGAACAGTTTAAGCTAAATATTGGGTCCAATTCTGATTTTACTTTCTCATGAAGAAGAAGAGATTAGGAAGGCTGCTTAGAAAACAAATGAATTATTACTAAAAGTCATGGAACGAGTCAAAAATTAGTCTGTAGAATTTATGAACATTGTGCCAACTATAAAGGAGATGCTAACTGATAAAAAAAGCAATACAGCTGAATCCGCATTGATATGGATGAAACACTTATTAGAAACGTATTCTGAGTCTCTCTTTCCAACTATCGAAGATATATTAACAAAAGTATTTTTATTTAAATTAACTAGCTCATTGATAAATTGGCAGATTCGGAATCCGCTATTGTCTAAAACATTATGGATGTGTTAGCAAATATATCAATGCATAGCCAATATTTTGAAATTGTAATCGATAAAATATTGACTATGCTTCATAAAAATTAAGAATAATCTGAAAAGAAAGGCGATTAAATATTTAAAAAATTATGTTCTCTACTTAATCCATAAAAAGTCTATTTCACAATAACAGCTAAATTATTGGAAATATACTCAGATAATGACGTGTTGTTCATCAGTAATACTGTTTAGACATTAACTACCTTGTTGATTTCAGAAAAAGAACTTTAAAATCTTAGAAACATACTTAGAAATTTGAAGCATGAAAAAGATGAGAAATAAAGATAACATAATTAAGAAATCTTTGAAACACTCTACAGAACATTTTGTTACAATTCTATGAGTGTGATAACATTATGTTTACTTTCTGAAGAATATGAGTTGGCCTATAATATAATAATTAGTTTTTCAGAAGTGGAAGTCAATTAATACATCTTATTAGAAATAGCCCAATTAATTAATGTGCTAGAAACACCAGTATTCATCTGTAATATAAATAAATATTAAAGTCTTAAGATTATAATTGTTGGAATATGATTCTCACCCCTTTTTAATGAAGTGTTTGTTTGGCCTAATGATGCTATTGCCATAAGGACCAGCCTTTAATATGCTTAGATAAAGACTAAAGAATGTTTCAAATACATAAATTTAGTCTTTATAATAAGAAAAGTAAATGGAAACAGAAGAGTTCTTGGATATTTAGAAATTACTGACATAATTTAGAGACATTCGACTTCAGTGTATTAATTAAGAATCAAAACAAAAAGAATTAAATTGATCAATGTTTTAATTAATATCATTCATAAATAATTATATTGTCATAGTACTTAATGTCCTTATGTATTCCAAATAGTTAAATCGAGTTATCATTCTGTAAATTCTCTTGATTAATTTCAAAATATCTATTTAACCATAAGAAGATCTTTTATTCAAATTTGGCATTAGCCATTATAACTTTAATTTTTAATTTCAATTGCAAAATTAAATTTAATTCGATAATTTGTTTTTTATATTGAAAATAGAATGATTCCATAGAATCTTGATAAAGTAAAATATAATTTCTATCTAAATATATATAAAATAAGGAAATCAAATAATTCTAGTTTTACTATAGACTCTAAGATAATTGCCTTATTCATTTTAATCAATTTCATATATTTCTATGACTCTTTATCTACAAAGAAAACACTCCCTGCTTTTTTATGCACTTTCAAACGCGCATTCGTAACATATACCACCATGACCACATTTCATCAATACTGCATTGGCTTGTTTTTCACAACAAATAATGCATTAAATACTAGCAGCTTACGTTTTCTGAGTTTCAAGAACTATGTCTGTTTTTTACTTTGACTTTTTGATTCTTTTAATTTCCTAATTAACATCTCTAATTATATTTTATGACAGATTATTGGCTCTTTCAGTAAATAGTTCTTCTTTATTAGTATTAGCATACATTAAGAATTCTTATGAAGTTACTAAACGAAAATATGAAGATGACAATTTTTTCAATAATATTGGAGATTTCAAATCTTGTTTGACTCTAATTTCATCCATTCTGGGACTACATGGTAATTCTCTTTGTGGGTAATCAGCGTTCAGGAAGGTAGTTAAGAATATGGAAATGTCTTTCAAAATAAAAAGAGTTCCTGCAAACACAACCAAATTGAATCCAATAAGTATACCAAATACAATGATTCCAATATCCAATTTTAGATTCATTCCCACTAGATTGAAAGTATTTATTATCCATATACCAGATAAGACGCTGGTCATTGAAAAAAGATAAAAAGACCAAACCAAGGTTTTATCTAAATAAAGACTGATGTTTTACATTCATTCGAGTGGAGAGATATTCTATGGTAGTAGAATTAATTAATTAATTTAGTAATTAGGATCATTAATAGTGTAAAGGCACTGCCTATTAGAGCACTTAAATACATCCAATACCACCAAAAGGTTTAGGACCAAGTCCAATTGACTAATTGATTGAGTTTAATTGTCACACATAATGAAGCAATCAATACTGAAATACTATAAAACCCTTGGAGCTATTAATATGATTTATATATATTTTTACATATCTAAAGATAGTCGAATATTCATGCTAATTATCTTATTGGCAACTCCATTTGATTCCAAGGAATGTTGTGAAAACAACAAACAAGTTTACAAAAATATAGTAATACAAATCGATATAATAGAGAATTATTATAAAAATGGCTGCCAAAACTTGAAGCATATGTTGCAGTGACAATATGAGATTTCTTTTAGAAAAGCAAATCCAACAAATAACTTCTTGAATAATCAGTAATCCAATTGGTAGAGCAAATGGGAGTAAATCATATTGAAATAATGAAAATATCAAAGCAAATACGTTGTAATATGTATACTTGAAACAGAAATATTTTAGTGCCCTATCTATTTCCTCTCTTAATTATGATGATAAACTTACTTTTGCATATATTGAATAATTTTTAAAATTAGAATATTACCTTACAATCAATGTTTATGATTATTTATATATGAATAAGATTGAGGATGAACATCAGATAATCATGAGATAGATTCAAGGAGTATCTTTTGCCTCTGAAATGCATGATAGAGATGAAAAGCAAATCCACAAAGACTTGGTTAGAATAATTGTGAATGAGGATCGAAAATTGAAAGCCAAAAGAACTTTATTTAGTCTGGCAAACTCAATCCTTATTGTATTATTATCAGATATTTCAAGGTGTTATCCATATACAACATGGTATCATTGGTAAATATAGAGGCCTATCATTCATTCATATACTTCGAAGAATTACAATAGGACCCAGATAACTTTGGGATCCTCTATTACTTGGTGTTGATAGACATCATTCATTTTTTGAGAATCATAAATTGTTGTAATGGGATATTCGGAGCAGAACTCAAATCTCAAAAAATAGTCACTTTTTATTTGATATTTTCATCATTTCTTTTTTTGTGTCGCAGCGTTCTGACAATCATTACAATAATCAGTTACTCATAGATTCGAAAGTTATGCGCTTAATTTTTTTTAGATGAGGATGCAGATAGTCTGGCTCTCAATTATTGTCTAGTGATGGCATCATTCCTGATTTTGGATGCTCTGTTCACAATGATCTGTATTGTTTAAGGATCAAACAATAGAGAGAACCAGTAAAGTAATTAGTAATTGCATTTTAGTTTCTAATGAACTACGACAAAAGATTCAGAGGAAGTACTTCATTTGCTATGAAAATGCTTTAAATTCATTTTTTTGAACATATTTATTAATGTATATGCAACAGTTTAATATAGTAATGCACCATAACATTGATTCTTAAATTACCTCGTCTTATCGTTATTTAGTGCAATATATGAACAAAAATATCTTCAATCAAAAAATGTATAATTTAATGATTGTATTTATTTTATTAGTACTCAATATCTCCGCATGGGTTTCAGTATTCAAAGATATGTAGAATATTGATTCCTCTTCAGAAACTCCTCCATGGTACATTAAAGGACAAGACACACAAGCATTATTCTATTATCAATGTGAAAGATAATTTATTGTTGCAATTTCTGGATAAGAAATTTATAGACCTTTTTCCAGTAAGTTATAGGAAGTCACTTAAATTAAATTAGAGGCTGATCTATATTTTAATTTCTTTGATGATAGCGAAGTTATCATTGCAATAGACGACTAGATAATATATCAAAAATTGTTTTATAATTCACAAATAGAATTATATAGTAATCTTTGTTTGGATCCAGTAGGTAATCATTACTTTACTACTATTGAAATAATATTTGACTTTTAGGTTAAGGCTTAAAACACTATTTCAATCAAGTTTAATTCATTAAATGGATTTTCTTATTATGGAATTAGAAACATTAATCTTTATACAGATGGAATCCAAATGAGTTGTCCATCAAATACACCAATTATGGGATTATAATCAATCTGTACCAAAACTTGTGATTCTATTAACGAATAGTTGCAATCACCATTATTGACAAATTGTATTTCAAATCCTTCTCCTTCAAGTAAAAAATAATACATATTTTAGATGCCCTTTTAAGAATATTTCCAGAATAATCCAACCTTATTAAATATTAGATAGCAGATAGTGTATGGGTAAGCGAAGAATTTAAGCAAAGCTCTGATGAAAAAATGAAACAAATCATTTTCTCAACTTTCACATATGCGTTATAAAACTCAAAGATACAATTGCAAGGCATTATATTTTTAATTGGAGAATGGAAAGAGGGCTCATATGTAAGATTAAAGCTGAATTCAACCAAAGATACTACAACAATCAAAAGCGTGGCATTTTAACAAGAAAGCATATAATATTACACTTCATTTACTAGTTAATTTAAGTATAAATATGTTAATGATAACACAACTACTGTCACTTGTACAACAATTGACTGCTAATAAACTTTGTTTACGAGAACTGATTATTAATACGAGCTTGTTACTATCAATAAAACAAATAATAAATTCGTTGCCAATCCATCTAATCTTTTTGATGTTTATTAAACTAAGTTGATTTTACTAAATGGAACCACTATTCCAGTTTCAAAAGTTATACTTAATACAGAACTCAACATACCTTCTGATCCTTAATTTTTAACATTTAGTATAGAATAAAACGTATAAGGAGATAATGCTATGTATGCATTTTAAAATAATATTTATATATATTCTGCAGCAAAATAAGATTCAGGATGCGTTTCTTATTCTTTATAGGCATGCATCAAATGCAAGTCCACATATTATGTTCATTTAGGCAAGTGTGTGGCTTAATGCCCAATCCATAGCAGGGTCTTAGAATCTGTTAGAAATTGTACAGATTATATGAATATTGAAACTTTGCAATATACTCCAGGAATAAGTTAAAACTCTAGCGGAGTATATTTAATATAGGATTTTTATACTTTAGACTTTGATTCTATAACAATTTAAAAAACTTTTAATATTTAACCTAAGAGTGATAATAGTTTCACTAATTTGCTCTACTCAAATTTACTAAATAATAAAATAATTGGAGGATATGCTACTTGGGGTTATGGAAGTTATGAAAAATAATTTTTTGATTTGCCTTATCATTATTAAATTAGAATTTATTGCACATTATATTTTATAGATGGATGGTCTATTGAAGATTTTTTTATTATAAAAATTGATGAAACGGAATACATATATTCTATAAATGACTTAGAACAGCAATAATTGACAGGAAAGTCAGATGTGGATTATACTAAGTCTGTTTTTATAAGACATGAACATTACGATGAATAATTAAGCATAAAATTTACCTGTCTGAGTGAGTATTATAATGATTCAAGGGAAAAATCATGTGGAATGAATCAAATCTTTATACTATATGATAGAAATGTTAATTATTTGTGTCCCAAATAAAATGAATTCTATTAGTAAACCTCTTAAACTTGTGCAATTTGTACTACTAAAGGAATAGGATGCATTGAGTATATATCGTAAGCATTTAAGAAATGCGATTATCGTTGTTTCTCTTGTTCACTTGATTTGAATTATTGTTTAACCTGTGATCCAGCATTAAGAAGGGTATTCAATAATAATTAATGTATATGCATAGACGGATATTATGAATTAGATGATGTGCCACAATGCAAAAGTAATGATCTTTTTATAATTTAGAATGCCCTTTTCCTTGTTTGAATTGCGATGAAAGTTAATGTTTGTCTTGTGTGGATGATCGAGAATTAGAATTAGGGAAATGCAATTGCAGGTAGGGTTATTAAGAAATAAATAAATAATGTGTACCAATATGTGATTCAACCTGTTTAACATGTGATGGAGTTTCAAAATCTGATTGCTTAACTTGTGACTCATTAATAAATAGGTAACTTTTTGATAAACAATGTTTGTGTAAGAATGGATATTTCGAGGATGAAATTTAAGGTTGTCTTAAGTCATGTTTGAGCCCAGAATACTGTTATGCTTGTGATGAGTTAGATCAATGTATTTAATGCTTGCCAAATTAACAGAGAGTATTATTAAACAATTAATGTGATTGTTAATAAGATTATTAAGAAAACCCAATAACAAAACTATGTGAAATGATTTGTCATTATTCGTGTTTAACTTGTTCTCAACCATAATCTTCAAATAGCTGTACTTCATGCTAATCAAAAGATGTTAGTTTCAGAGAATTAGGAAATCAATCCAATTGTGCATGTATAGATGGATATAGAGATGAAGGTAATTTAAGTTGTGTAAAAATACCTAATTGCCATTATTCTTGTAATTTATGTTATGAATCAAATAATTAGAATTTATGCATAGATTGCTAATCTAATAGATACATGAATGAAAATAAATAATGCATTTGCAAATTAGGACTTAAGGAAATAGATTAAGTTTGTGTTCTTGATAATGTAGATAATAACTAAAGTAGTGGAAATAATAATCAAACTGGAGGAAATGATAATTAAAATAGTGGAAGCGATAATCAAAATGGAGGAAATGATCATTAAAATAGCGGAAATGATAATTAAAATGGAGGAAATGATAATTAAAATAGTGGAAATGACAATCAAAATGGAGGAAACGATAATTAAAATACTGAAAGTAATAATGAAAATGGAGGAAATGATAATTAAAATAGCGGAAATGATAATTAAAATGGAGGAAACGATAATTAAAATAGCGGAAGTGATAATCCAAACGGAGGAAACGATAATTAAAATGGAGGAAATAATAACCAAAATATTATTGAATGTGACGATGGTAATGATTTACCTAGAGACGGATGCTTTAATAATTACATTGAATAATATTGGTATTGCACTCCAAAAAGTTAATCTTAGTATTCTTTATGTTCAAGATGTCACGCTAATTGCATATACTGTTCATCAAACTCTATTTGCGAATTATGCCTTGATGGATATTACATCAATAATGGTGATTGTTTGCAATGTTAATCATAATGTAAGAAATGCAATAAATTTTCATCCTTTTGTCTTGAATGTTCAGATAAGTCACAAAATCCAACTAATGGAATATGTTAAAAGTGCTAATCTGGATATTATCTAATTCATGATACTTGTTAATCAGTCTGTGGAGATGGTATTGTAGTAGGAGATGAAGAGTGTGACGATAGCAATAATAATAGCTTAGATGGTTGTAATTCTTTATGCAAAGTTGAGTCTAATTACAAATGTTCAGATTCATCTTGTATACCACTTCCAGAAATCAAAAAGGAGGTAAGCCTTTAATAAAACAATCAAGTTATAATATCTCTCCAAAATATCAATTCAAATTGTTCTTTAGTTTCATTATGGATTGAATAAATTTCAGCTGAAAATTATAAATATAATGTTTCACAAGTTGAATCAACTTAAGATTCAGGCATGAAATGCTCAATTGATTTTTTATTTTAGCAAGATGTCAAGCCATTTAACTTGATACATGTTCTAGTCAAAAAGAAAACAAGAATATTATCTGATTCAGACCTTGTGGAATTACTTGTTTAACCATAAAAAAAGTATTATTATTCATACTAATAATAAGAGGATGCAAATATTGTGTATTAAATGTATTGCGTTACATTGTATTTCTTTTTGGGAATGATTCCGATATCAATATTATTTAACCAATTTGATCACTTGTGCTTGGATTTTGTTATTGCTATATAATATTTCTATTATTTTAATGCTGATTTTAGCATTTATTTGCAATAATTGCTTTCTATTTAAATTTGGCCATTAGCTTACCTTAATTATCCCTTTTCAATTTAGAATATCGAAAATGATTATGGTCTGAAATTACAAAATAGAAATTAAGACTACTATTTCATTTCAAACATATGGATATCTTTCGTTTTTATCACATCAATCTATATCTTGAAATTCATCGTAAAAAAAATCAGAAATCATTATCAAACAATTCTACAAATATAAACTAGACCAACATCTTCTAAGAATTTTGTTTTTACTTTTAGAAATCAAAAATAAACATTTGAGAATATCAAAATGACAACAGACGAGAAATTATAATTGGCAAAGAAAATTGAAGTGAAAATTAACTAAATCTTTTACAGGGTTTTAAATATTCAATAATTTGATTTAGCTTTTTCAATACTTTTATATCTTTTCTGCATCCAAAAATCTTTCTAAACATCAATTTATGAAGTGGCAAATGTTATTTGTGTCATTATTGGTTGCATGTTTCAAATATTTCAATCTATAAAACTTTACAGATTTACTGCATTAAGAAAAAATCTACTAATTTATTATTTCAATTAACTTGTAACAAAAATATTATTTATATTCTTTCAACTGATATTTAGAGAAAATCCTTTGAAAGCTACTTTTGTTTGTTTATTATTAGAAATTGGATCAATCTTATGCTAATACATTAGCTGCCAAGATTATAAAATCAGTGATTTTATATTTTTACTGATTTTATTAGGAACAACAGTAATATCATACTTGGATGATGTGAATGAATATATCGACTTTGCGATGATAGGAACCATTTTTATATTTATATTAGGCAATATAATATATGTAATATAGAAAATTATACGTCATTACATTTGATTAATATCGTCATTTAACTAATTAAACACTAATTATAAAGTCTATAATTATATTATAATGATCTTACAATTGTACATTAAGGGTTGTCTTCCTGACTCAAATGTTTCTGACTGTATAAATATAGCATGTAAATTGCTTCAGAAGATTACCCATATATAGAAATAAATAAGCTTGTAATGCTATATGCAATCACAAAGCAATATAAAGACAGAATAATCGAATATGGGTGATCTTGGATGATCAACATACATATTGACTGACAAAACAATGCCATACTCAAACGTGATATTTCCAAGAATGACTAACCTAACTCTCCTATCTTATTAAATGTATCAATCTCCTTTATAATTAATTCTCTAACGATTATGCCGCAATCTAAAAAATGATTAGGTTAAATATTCATAATCACGTAATTGTGTTTTGATATAGCATACAGTATTCTATTTTAAAATCCCTAACACAATTTTGTTGTATTTAATATCTATTTAATAAATTTAAAAGTTGTAATTAACATCGACCCAAGAGCAACTGATCCTATGTGGTATTTAATTAGGTTTGATAAAACGTTTTTCTTCTCAAAGTTTACTCTATTTCCTTGTTAGTAGTACCATTCACAGACCATACCACTTGTTAAGAATTCGATCAAACCTAGAATAAATACAAGAGTCCAAATGTAGATGAGAAAATTCATAACAATCAATGCTTAGTCTCCTGAAGCAAAATTCAACTAAAAATATGGATATTTGATATCCTGAGTTTTCAGATTTGACAATAAATACAATTGCTATTCAATCCAAACAAATGAATATAACATGATTATAACTGCACCTACAAAAGGAGCAATTATACATGTTATATTTGATTTAATAAAATCCCCACCTACTTTGATGAATGAATTCAATAAAATTGTTTATGATTTTAGATATATTGCATAGATAATACTTAAGATTATAGCAATGATAGAAATTATTATAACTATTTAGTATAATTTTTAACATATCTCGAGGGAATTAGCAAATGATATCAATTTATTTATCTCAAGTTATTGATCTAATAGTAATTATTCTTATGATTAATAGTATTGCTAGGCACTCAAAAAACATAAAGAGAATAAACTGAGTACAATAATCAAAAAATAACCCCAAAAAATATGTGTGCTATATTTTTCAATGAATAACAATACTATCACACTATTTTAGTCAACATGAATTATTACCTAATAATAACTGATATCAAAGAAATTCCTAATATTACCCATTTCAAATCTCTCAAACCTGAACCAAGTCGTTGATTGAAACTAGGAACAATATATTCTTTTATTTCATTTAAGTAATCTGGATTTTTTGGTAAGCATATTTAACTATTGTCTAAATGATAAAATAAATTACATGCTTCTGAAGGATAAGCTAATATAGATTCACTAATATTGGTTACACTTGGATTTATTTGACATGATTTTACTATGGAATTTGGAGAGCATAGCAGTTTAGCTAAATTAATTATTATTACTGCTACATATTTATTACTTGTTTGGACATTCACTCAAACATACAGTCCTTTACAAGAAATTTTTTGAAGGTGTAGTAAAGTATATATATTTGTATTATTCTAAATCAAAACCACAAGAAGAATCTATATAAAAATTTGAATAAAATTGCTTACGATCAGGATCAAAAGGTAATCCAAGTTTGTTTGGATTTCCATTCAATAATGCATATATGGTAACACAGAAGAAAAATCCTTAGAATAAACTAAATAACCAGAAACAAATGAGATCTGTGGATTTTCGCTATTCCTATTGTTCTTGCATTTATTTAAATTTACGTTAATATATTTAACTAATTGTTAATTATTGATAAACATTTAAAAAAATAAGAAGTTATTCCAACATTAAGGAATTAAGAATAGGAATATCATGTTATTGCTCTTATAATATACTCAATAATAAAATTTCAGTTATGGAATTTTAAAAATGTATAAGTTACTTTTAAAATATTTATCCATCATTTATTTAGTACATCCACACCTATAAATATATATGACAATTACCCAATCATCGATATTGAAAATTCAATCAATCTTTTACTTTTAAGCACAAATTCTTAGAGCTTTTGTAAGCAGCTTTCATTAATTAAAATACTAAACGTAATAATATTATTACTTATTAATAATAAATTCTGCTGTTTTTAATTTTTCAGGGTTGACAGCTGATAAAATATCTAAAAATTGTTCGAGTTTTGCTTGCAATAATTCAATTTTTAATGTAATTAATTAGTTATTTTAAAAAAGATATATTAAACTGTCTACTTTATTTTCATTTAGAGTCAATACAGCCGTCAGGTCTTCTAATTGTTGAGTATTGTATAGAATAATATCAAGTTAAATTAAATTAGAAGTGCTGAATTCTAATGCTTTGAAATAATGAGTACTAGTTTATTTATTAATAAAGATTTCGTCAATAATATTGCAACTTTTATCTATAATACAGAATTAATATACTTTTCAAGTTATAAGTTTAAATTTGTAATTTAAGTATTGATTAATGTGTTAAAAACATCTATTATGAACTAATGTTTAATTAATCCAGAGATCTCCAAATAAAATGTTTTTATGTTGAAGCTTAGTTAAAGGCTTTCGCATAGTTCGGTTAAGCTTTCTTCTGAATACAATTGACTAATTTAAGCTTAATTAATACAAATCAGCGATGTTCAAAAAGCATTACAAATACAATTTTTTCATAGATAAATGATTGTTTTTTACCATTTAAGCAACAAACCTCATTAAAAACATATTAAAAATTGATTATTTATTGGTATTTTTAATACTTAGTTTCTTCAACGATAACAATCTGAACAGTAAATTAAGCCATTAGACTAGGTCATCTTTAGTATTTTTCTAATATAATCAACAAGTTTACTTGATTAAAGTCAAGTTGAATTTTATTATTATTAAAGGAAGTAAGATTGATAAAATCGTTTAAAATTTGAGAGTATTCGTTTAATTTAATTTATGTTTTTCTAACATCTAGAAATTATAATTAATGAAGTAATCTTTCTCCTAATTTGTGTAAACCTTTCACTGTGATTTGCTTGCATCCTTCATGAGAATTAATTTTTACCTTTAATTTGTATGTACGACAACTGTGAAAAAATGGTTTCTGAATATTTTCCTACTAACGCTAAATCTTCATCTCTTAACAAATCTTGCTTCATTAATACCAAATTTCTTATTTAAGAAACATTAATTTTTTCTTTTTCTATGGGGTCTAAATAGTTAATCTGAATAATTGAAATTTGATTATTTTATTAATTTTTTTTCTTCCACATCATATATTTTTGCTGAAGCCTTTGTTATCGATTATAAAACGTATGATAAGATGCAAAGGTTGTTAACAAATAATTAATTATCATTCGTTAATAAATTATCTAAAAGATTATTTTATTCTATAAAATTAGTCAAATATTAAGCTATTAAATCTTCATCAGTGTATTAGACTTTTAAAACAACTTTGATTTTTTTTATGAATATGATTTAGTCTATGATTGCATACATATGAGTCTCAAAGAATGTCTTATAATAAGGGTCTAATTGAGTTAAATTTTGATTAAGTTGCTATTATTTTTGAAATTAAAGCTATTGTTTCCCTACATGTTGGTAATAACACCCTTAGTCTAAAAAGAGCTCTATATATAAAGTTTTAAGACTAAAATCTTTCCAAATGATCTGCTCTTATGAAAACATTCCAACAATTTGACTTTTTTATGAGTAAGATCCAGATAATTCTAAAGAGGTCAACATTTTACCAAATTTAGAATCCATTAATGTTTTGATTGCATCGCATTGAATATCCTCACACATAGCTAATCCAAGATGGTTTAGTTTTAGGGATTTGCTTTTGATTATTTTGTCCAAACCATCTGATGTTAAGTTCAAACCCAATAATTCTAAATCTACTAATCTTTACACAGATGCACCTGCTTCTGACAAATAATAACAAATTTTATCAGTCAATAATTTGCAGTGTCCAATATTTAAGACTTTGATGGAACTTAGAAATATAATATTCCTACACAGCATCTTAATAAATTTATTAGTGAGTAACTCACATTTAAACAGTGTTAGGGTTTAAATTGATGTGCTCTTCAAACTTAATTAATAAAAGTAACTAAAAAATACAATATCAACATTACGTGTGATCTTCTTTCATAATTCGATTAAAAAAGGTATTCATTATTGTTTATGCCTTAGTCATTTATAGTTGATCAGGTTAGACAAAGGAGTTGCCTACACTAAGGTTTAATAAACTTTTATTGAGATTGGTTTAAGAGAGTATTTCAAAAAACTTGTATGAAAACCCTTGTTGTCCTTTTTTCTAGTGATATATCAATATATTTTAAATACAATATCGTTTAATACAACAGATGCTAAGTATTTCATTTTATTTGGTTATAATACAAATTTTAAACAGACATCAGATAATTGATTACCTGATAAGTCAAGAACTTCTATATTCACGATAGTATCAGAGTTTAATAAATTGACAATTGCACCTTCTGTAAAGTTTACACAATAACTTAAATTCAAAAACTTCAAAGATTTCGAGTTTAAGAAACTTAATTGTAAAAGAGACGCGTCGGATAATAGAGTATGTGATAAATTTAATGATTGCATTTATTTTGCTTGAGGAGATTTTAAATAAGTAATGAATTCTAAGTCCTATAAAAAAACGCAATATGATAAATCCAATTCTTTAGGATTTTGCTAAACCTTCCAAGATAGTTGATTAAGTTGTTATTCCATAATAATTATAAATATATAAAATTTGAGTATATATGAAATATAATTGTGTATAATTTGCAAATTATATATTAATACTCAAAATTAAAAAAATATAAGCGCCTGAATTAATATTTCTTAAGTGATATTAAATTAGTAAATAATGAATAATTTAATTGAAGATTTAATAATAAAAGAGCTGAATAATTTTTATTCTCTTTCAAATCATATAAATTAATAGAAACTTCAAAAATCCTCCTTAAATCTACTATTAATATGCCAGTACTACTTCCAATAATATTTGATAAAATCTAATGAATTTATCTTTTTAATAAGTCATCAAACTAATTTAAGCAATGAGAATTTGAATATCAATTGTAATTTAATAAATTATTGTAATTAAGCTTTCGTATATTACATTTAAAAGGAATAGATATCAATTAAAAATTCATAAAGAATTAATCTTCTAATTATCAAATTTCTTAAATATTAAATCTTATACAAATGTACTGTTAAATGATTAATAAGTAAATTCTCTCAATGCTCTATATGAAATTTTTGAAGAAAATTGCATCGATAAAATTTCCTATCTTAAAGGGAACTGTTTAGATAGAGAAAGATTGATATATTGATTTTGCAGAAAATTTCTTTGTAAAGTAATTTTATTAACTTATAATTTCCCTATTGAATTAGAGGAAGAATCAAACATAATTAAATTGATTAGAATAATCTCCAATAAAAGTATAGAAATTCTAATTTAAATAATTATTATATGTTTATATAATAAATATTATTTTCTTTATTTTATAATTAAATCATTATATAATTTAACTATATTTCCCTACTCTTTAATTAATTTTTTCAAAAATTAATTTAACTCATACCTTAATAAATTTTTTTCTTATTAAAATTACTTTTCAAATAATTATAATTTATACTTATAATTAACTATATTATGTTACCTTTTATTAATTGCAATTTACTTTTAAATCCTAAGTCTGATGATAAAAATTTCAAAAGCAAAATACTAGATATGAAAAAAGATTTCTCTTTGTCATTTATAATAAATTTAAATTATACAAAATAGGAAAATATCTTGAATAATAATTTTCTTTACCATCACTACAAAGATTAATTAAAGATCTTATTTTAGAGACAACAATTATAATGAAGTAAGTTGCTAATTATTTTATTACCTTCCTTGAATGTGTATATAAATAATTTCAAAATTGGTTATTATTGCTTAGATTTATATATTGTTTTTTAAGTTTAAACATTAGCATCTTCAATTCGTTTTATTTGATTTTTGTAGTTGAAAACATTACTAACTTAATGTAATTTAAGCTAATATCCTTGTGGATAAAGAGTGACAGTTCATTTTATTATCTTATTTTATTGAGATATTAAATACTTATTTTCATCTTTATTATTAAGTACTTTTGTTAATCCTATTCACAATATTAACTCAGAATATATTTTTATTGCTTTGATATTGAAGTGAAAATTGTATTCCTTAAAGATAGAAAAGAATATTCATCATTTGAGCATTTTTTTACTTCCTTGTATGTTCGTAATCATCATATGAAACATTGCTGAGTGCTTATATTGAAATATTTTTGATTAATTTAAAAGTACTTTGGCTTCCTATTTTGAGGCTTTAGAAATTGTTATTATTTACTTTAACGCAAGTATAAAAAACTCATATCATTAAATATTTTTGGATTTTCATTTCTTTCAAGCGTTTCTTTTCAATTAATTCTCATGTACAGAATATTATAGATCATGCAATTATTAGATTAATTCACAAATATGAATATTATAATGAATATGTATATAATTTATGTATGATAATTTACAAATTGAACTTGCAACAATTCTATTTGAATTATTCATTCAAGTTGTTGGGCAGGTATTTAATAACATTGCTATAGGTGGAAATTCAAGTTGTTGAGTACAAAGGCATTTAAAATGAATTCTATTGAATTATAATATTTCTATTTTGCTTTCTATTTTCTTTTAGTATATATTAAATTGAGGAAATTTTAGATCTAAAATTAATTAGACAATTATTTTTAGTAACCAAAAAATGATTAGATCTTGACTTTTAGAATGATTAAGTTGATTGAATGCGACTTGAATCTTTGTAACAAGACTGCTGGGCAATAAGCCCATATAAATTTTGAAGAAAGTTACATTTTTATTCCAATAAATATTTTTAGATTTCCACAATAATTTAGTTTATTAAAAATTTTATAGTTTTAATCAGCTTCTATGAGCAGAATTTATTTTTCTTGATTTGTTATTAATATCTAACTATTTGTAAATTGGAAGACATGATAGAGTCTTATTTTATAGACTAGTGATTATGGGGAAGAAATATGCAACTTTTAGATCTATTGACTCAGTTTTATTTATTAGATATTTATTGTAATTTATCTAAACAGACACAAGAATTTATAGTGTCATTATACCTATTCATTCTTAAGTAACAACTTTAATATTTAAATTACAGAATTTTTACAAGTTCATCCTAAATTTCTTCAAGCTATATAATATATAGTACTGGAGAAACGGGCAATGATGAAAGGGTACTCACCACTAACAAAATGGAATTTTTTTGATTGTGGGACAAATGTATGCAAGTTGGAATGCAAATTTTGTAAGAATTTGATTTGTGTGTCGATTTTACGATAAGAATATTATAACGAATCTATTTGCATTATTAAATTTGCATAGAAGTGGAGGGATAATAAAAACACTTTCATTCAAAGATGCTTGTAATTATATACCAATAGAAATTCAATTTTTGAATCATTTTTAATTCGTTATTTTTGTTGAATAATAACCACATCTACCTGTAGTTGATGATTATGTAGAGAGTCTTAAAACTTAAGGGATTAGCCTATAGTATTTATCCTCTGTTAAATTCTGGATAGTCAGCATAAACTAAAAATTGAAATATCTTTCCAGTAACAAATTTTCCTAAGCCATAGAAGAATTATTATATTTAAAGAGTATTTAAATGTAAGGAATTTAGGGGAGTTCATTGTTCAAAAAAGACTTGTTGAAAGATTCAATAATAGAGATAGAAGTAGAAATTAGGCTAGCTTTTCAAAGTTGTTTGAAAAATTATGTTTGATGTTTCTACAATAACAAGACATTTTGTACTCTTTTTCTGATAGTGACACCACAACAAATTACTTTAATAAGTAAAGATATTATCTCTAACCAAATTTGTAAATTTAGAATATATGAAATAGATTTTGAATAAAGGCTTTAAGAGCTCATCAAATAGAGTATTTTTTGGTTTTTAATTTAATACTCTATTAGATACAATTCATACGACTTCTTTTATTCACTGAATAGAAAACAAGAATTCAAAATACAATAACTTATCATAAATATTCTAATGCTTTTGTATGATTCAGATTTTGCAAGGTTTCCTAAATTGAATTTACAATGCTTTTGTTTGTTTTAGACATCACTCTACTAAATACTACATTATAGGTTCAGATAGAAAATTGTGAAATACCGATTGTACACTTAACATACAATTGTGAATACTAGCAAACATCTAC